ACTAGCCTCTGTGAGGATCTATATGAATAGTGTCGTATATATTGCACGCGAGTTTTCCCAACAAAAACATGAAATCTCCAGTTGACTGTGACGTGAAATGGAGCTGTAAATTATAGGATTTCCGGTGGAATATTATGACAGTTGACCACTTCTTTTCCCATTGCTGGCATAACTTCACGACGTGGCGTCCATTACTGAGCTTAGCCGTCTCAAGTCCATAGATTACTTTGAGCAAGTTCATACCGACAACTATACACTATGACGTCAGCATACACACAGACGGCGATATTTACATCAAGTTCATACACGGGCACGCTGGACACATTATTTGTCTGCACCACAAAATATGTTTGTGTTTTTTTCATCCTCAGCTAAAAAACCTCGTTAAAAACCTCGTTAAAAACTCAATTTTATCTTCATCAGGTAAGTTCTGGGATTATCTGGATTGCCTGGGATCCGAGATCTGACTTTAGAATGAAATTGTTTACTAACACGTACAGCACTATGAAATATCGAGTTGAAAAAAAGTCTCAAAATGACTTCGATGACATAAAAGTTAATTACAAATTAATACCAGTCTGCTCTGATGAATAATTTAAAATTTGCGATTAAACATACCCGAATGTTTTGAGCCACAGTTAACAAATATTGAAATAGTGAGGCTTGGACCGCAAAAAAATAGTCTGGCACCATCCCATTCAACAGTTCACAATTTTATAAAATACGTTCAGGGAACACGATCGAGTGTGGCTTCCGCGTGCGTAAGGTCTTATCGTGTTGCGGCCATCTTGATTTTTCCCATTCAAATCAACGTAACCAAAGCGAGGCTGGAAGGAAAAATAGCCTGGTTTCTTTTTGCACAAAAATAAATATCATTCAGCACTATATCATTGGATACAGGGAACATGACTGAAATGGTGGCAGCATGATAAAGGTCTGTTAGATTAGTAATGTATTAAACAGTAAAAGCAATAATACTTCTAAATGTAACAATTACCAAACCGAAGATATACTTAAATTTCACTTTAAAGGATGCAAAACAAAGCTATAACGAAGCTTTAAAAGTAGCAAGTCCCTATGTATCATAATTTTACTAATTAGTTTTCATACAGGACGAAAAAAATTCAGAAAAATCCAACTCTCAATAAGACACAATCCCAATCGTCTTACAAAGTCTCAAGGTTATCCGAGACTCAGACGAGCGCTCCTCAGGTGTGCATTCCTTGCATGCCAGTATGTGCTCCAGGTGATGAGTCGGTTTGGAAAGCTAAGTGGAATGTTTACCAATCCTTGAGCACCTGTGGCGACACATCGATGTCAAAGCAATCATTCCTGTCAATCATGCTTCACTAATGAGTGACATGGCTCATTAATGGGTGACAATGACACAATGGGACAGATAGTACTTGTTAAGTGAAGGATATGACAACCGGCCATCACAACCGACAAACATTACGGAAGACTGCGATGATAACTGAACGCTCGGTCAAGCAAGTTACTGAAGCATGACTGAAGAAAATTAAAGTGATAAGATTGAGACAGTATCAACCCTCCCGTTCATCCATCTCAACTATTCCTGGAAAGTGGAAGAAACATTGAAGTAAAGTCCAAGACATCTCATCAATTACGATTCTTTTGATACACAAACATGGTTTGGAAACCATTGAAACGTATATGTCAGTGTAAATTTATAGCATTCAGACAGTTTTTAGAGTCTTTGATGTGAATGTTTTGGGCTCAACGGGTGCCGATGTTTCAAGAAAACTACAGGAAAGCTTGTTTGTTATGGCCAATATCTATGTAAAACTTCAAAGCGCAAGTTATTGTATAAGTTTGAAAGATCATCATTGTTCCTGAATTGATAAAATGTTTGGTTTTAGAATAAGAACTTCTCCGAATATAAGAACTTTGATTTCTAGTTTATCAATGTGACAGCACTGACATTGAGATGTCTATAAAGTCGTTGACTTGCTCTTACTAGAAGTTTGTCCGTGAATTAAGCCAGTCAGCCATGATGGAATCCAAGAACTGTTCAGGACAGTAAACATTAATGTGATTTGACGCGTAATTTGTAGCGTGTTGTTGAGTTTTCAGCGTGAATGGTGTTGAATTAGTGAAGATGCGCAAAGCGGAAGAATCCTCGCGTATAGGTGAACTAAAAACTGGGACAACCACAAAATGGCGATCGTCTCTTATACAATACATGAAGAAATCTTATAATGCTCACCAATAGAGTACACTGTTGATGATACAACAAGGTTACGGAACCAGACTATTATACGAACGAAAGGGTTTATCTAGACGGATATGTAAAGACTTCTTCAGTTGTTTTCGTTTCTAAATCACAAAAACTTGTGTATACCAGTCTGATTACTGCTACTTTGTTGTTGATTGTGAGGAGTTTATCCTTCATTACATGTAAATACTATTACTCCAACATCATCAACAAAAAATATTGTACAAGTTGCGATTGAGACAACCCAATGACATGTTTTCATCGCAGCTTCAACTTTCAAGCAAAACAAGAACTATGCCATAACTCCAGGTTCAAATTCCACTCAAGATCCCTCGAGACATTTTGCCCTCGCCATAATTTACGATGAAATCATAAAATGGTGGCGAATAAATACACTTCACACAGCTGAGCATACACATTCCAAAGATAATGCTTTTGCTGGGATTTCTGGGGGCCATAAAGGTGGCAAATCGGAGTGGAAATGACGACACACAATAATGAAACTGAACAAAAATTACGAGGACAAAAACAAAATCGTTAACTCCGCTGTCGCAACAGTCTTAATGGAATACAAGAAAGAAAATAACCTTTTGTGGAGGAAATCGAAAATGTTTTCAATTTCTGATGAAGATACACGAGACAAAGAAGGGACTGACGAAGATACTCCACGTGAGTCCCGGATTTGATTCGAACCTTGGCCACGAAACTGGCAGAGAAGTTAGTCTAATCACAAACAGTTTCAAGCATTCAACAGTGATACCATTTTTGCAGCACATGTATCAAATACTATTTGATAGACTATCAATTACTTCTACACATGTCGTCTATCCAAGACAACGTGCTGATGCGCACGTACTGCCACACGACATACAGTCTGTTTTGTTTCAGAACACCACACGTGCCAGTCTATTACTACATCGCTAAAATATGAAGGGTGATTCATATCATCTTCCTTGTAAACAGAACTCAACATCCAGACTTCCTCGCTCAAGTGATGACGTCACGTCTTACAACTGGAGGTAGATACTGAACAACGGACAACGTGTCAGTTTGTTTGGCAAAACATGACTGGTACAATCACAAATTGATTGTCCTAGAAATATGCTATTCGCGAATAGGCCACACTGTCACTATAATGACCGGTTGTGGTGCAATTTCCAAAAGCAAAAAAATACGCTGCTAGTATTGAGGTACATATTTCTACACCAAAGAGTAAAATGCACTTACATACCAACCGTGTTAACATGGTTAATATTTTCTTTGTTGTTTCAAAACAAAGTGACCTCAATTTGATGTTCCGGAATGTGGTTAAAATATTTTTGATACTGAAATTGTGAACAAATTACTTCATCTGGAAAGTAAGTACCTCAAAGAAGTTCTTAGTAGCGAACTCGACATCGACACGAAGTTGCCTTTACAATGATATTAGTTCAACTACAAAAACTTGAAGATATGTGATAAAAATGTCGGCGGTGTCGTAAAAATAATAACTTACCCACGTGACATTCGTAAAAGTATTTGCCCTCTAAATACCACGTACTGGGCAATTTGTGACGTCACGAGGGACATTTAAGAGGAGATTTATAAGTTTTTCTTCGCGTATCCGTTATTCGAGTCTTTTCTCAGTCGACACGGCACGTGCTGCGCAGAACGGATGATGATTTATGGTCACCATGTGTTCGCATGGCACTCGCGGGTCCATTGGCGATTCCTTGACACGCAACGGCAAGTGAACTTGGGGTTTTATTGAGAAGTATAGAACATACACGAAAACAAGAAATTCGTGAATTAGAAATGTATTGATGTGATAAATAGAAGACAGATATGAATGTAAGACTATGGGGAGATAATGTAATGTGAAGTGCTTGACCTAAATTGCTCGTTATAAATCAACTTGTCTCTTGTGAGAATCTTTTATATACATGTATTCAGAACATGATCCGAAGATGTCTTTTAACTGACGCATAGAGCAATGGGGCAATAAAATGAGCTAACGCGGTGTCCTTAACCTCGTTAATACTTGGCGTTGTTTACGTAAAAAAAGTGTTAAAACTGTGGAAGAAATATGGTAGACAAAAATTACAGGTTGCAGTTCAGTAAATAGACTGCCATATAACTCAGTGATAATGACGCCCACTTCCCAAAAAGTATTACTGTTCCATTTGTTTGGGCTAATCAATGACTTTTGGGAGAAAATTGCATCCATTATGATCGCCCCTAAAAGTAGTCCTGAAGCCCATTGCCATTTTGAAAAATAATGCCTGCGCTCCATTGCAAAATAGAGCAATTTTAGGGCCCAATTTCATCCGAATTTCACAGAAATACGAGCTAACAGTTCTGTTCATGGCTTCGACCCTTCATTTTTACAAACCCTCAAGTTCATGGCCCACAAAATGCTCAAATAGCAAAATAATTGAGGGCATGCAAATCGTGATTTGGCAGGCGTAGGCAAAATCGGGTCTATAACTGACCTGCAACCTTACATAAAGTGCTGAATCGATTCAAAACTAATTTTTCATGTAACAGCCTTCAAAGCAGTATTGAATTAACGAAGGACTAAACCAAAATATTTGCACGAAGCGTGTCATAAGGCCAACGTGTCAACGCACCAGACTAGGCCTGGTAGTTTGTTTATATGAATTTAAAACATACACAATGACGTACGATGTTCGTTGATGTATAACCCACAAAAATCTGTCTGATAGCGCCCTCACCGGTCAATGAAAAGACAGTAATATCTGAAGTAAGATGACAATTTACTTACCTAATGTTGGATCATACTCATTTATAAACCGTCTGGTGATGAACTTGACTGTCAAAGCTGCAAAGAATCAGAAGAACAAGTCTCTCAATGATGGTATTCATGCAGAAAATTATTCAACAATATCGTTCTTTTTTAAACAAATATTTCCACTCAAGCTTTATAAAAAATAAAACCACAGTGCGCCGAGCAAATAAGTTTTCGAGGGAAATAATAAAGTAAATGAGGGACCCATCCCTAATTATGTACATTGAGGAGAATGTTTGTAGTGCAAACAAAGTCCCAAAGTCAAAAATGTGTTAAAAAAAAAACACAAACAAACAAACACCCCAACAAACAAATAAAAAAACTCGTTTTCCTGTTAGATTTGTTGCAAATTTCCAAGAAATTTAATATGGACACGATAAAAGAAGTGCAGAACAGATCTACATGTAAGTCTGGTAAAAAGGTTCAATCGCCAGACATAATTGCTAAACCGCAGACTGTGCGTTGATTCGAGCATTTTTGTGGTTTCTCCTTCACGCGAGCATCTTTCTACAGTTGCACGATTGATTATGTTTGACAGATGCACAAACTATGAGGATTACAGCGTTATTATTCCCAAGGTTAACGAGATACCGTATTGCAGCAACAGAATGAGAGCCGAAGATATTTGACGCCATCTGAAGTCAGTATCGGCAAATTGCCTAAAGTGTGCAGTGTTGAGGCAGTTGAATCAGAATTTGTGGGTCAAGTTGGAAGCTGCACTGCCGCATCACGTTCAGTCAATACCAGATGCTTTCAGAATACTATCAAAACTGATTGATCTGCTTAAAAGTACTAGAAGAGTCGCTGTGCACACGAGACTGCACTTGCAACTGTTCTGTTTTCATTGGGTATCGAATGCATAGAATCTGTCACTCAATGCAATAGTGGTACGATTATGGGTGCGAGGAAGCAGAAGCGTATTTTGTTTCAACATAACGAAGATGGAATTGTTCCTCAAAGATTGTCACACACGAACGACGATAAATGTTTGCCTAAGTCTCCCAGAGTCCGAAAGACAATGCAACTTCTCCATTCCCTTGTTATACTTTAAAGGGCCATATGTATTTGTTCATGCAATCCTCCAAAAAGCATGTTTTTGTCCCATTGAACCATATTTTCAATTTTCGTTTTGCCATTTTCAAGGTATTTTGGTGCCTTTGGTTTTTATGCTAATGCGAATTTCCATATTCATGAGCAAAAGTGTGATGTCGTTTCAGGCAGAAACCTCAATGTTGCAGGGAAGTTTAGCACCAAAAGTTGCCAGAGTTTTAGATATTTCGCTGTCCTAAAATTTCTTTTCTTTGGTGATTCGTTGTGTCAGTGCATGGCAGTAAGCCAATGAGCAAACTTTTCTCAAATATGTTTTATATGAGAACATTTTGGGTTCAAAATTTGAACTGAAAACCTTAAACTGAACAGTGTCTTCCTGAAATGACATCACAGCAACAGTGCCCTCGGTTGTCCGGAAAAGTATGGACAATTTGAAATGTTTAAAGAAGAGCACTTTGGATTAAAATTAACCAAAAAGGGATGTCAAATAGTTTCCATACATTTAAAGATTATAAAGTTGCACAAATTATGTTCCCAGGCCAAAAAAAAATAGTTCTGCTTCCGGTTTCCTTACATAACCTATTCTGACAGCCCCTACTCTATTTTTTTTTATTGGAAAAATGAGGGAAAAAATACCCAAAACCACCAATTTCTACCTTTTACACGCAGACGCCTCCAAATGATCGTTCACAAAAAATTGGGCCACAAAGGCCCTACCTACCTACCCTATTTTCGAACGCCATGTAATCGGAAGCAGAACTATTTTTTTTTGCCCTGTAAGAAAAATTCATGTCATGCCCTTTAATCTAAATAACCGCAATTTTACAATCACCAAACCACAATAGTGCAATATAATGTGACCTTACAGAAAACATTATAGGTTATTATTCCCAACCACACCGAGTGTGTCGCCATGGGTGGCATTTCAAACAAAGTCCTTTTGTCCCCAACTTTTTCATTTTTTCTCGTATATCCTCAAAAGAAATATCTAGGTATCAGCATGATCACCTCTCACCTCCGAGCTATAAAACTTCCAACTTTGGTGTTCAACTATCACATTTAGATAAACAAAGAAACAGAAATGGGCCATTTGGCATGGCTGGGGATTTTACGACGCCAAAATGACCATCGGTGCTACAGAAGAAGGTGAACTTTGCTTTTGGTAATAGGGTGGTAGATTTAGAAACTCCATTGAAGGTTTTGTTGGATGTCCTAATGACCTGAGTTATTCTAGCAACGGGGGAGTAGTAGGCGATAACGCCCACGTAATGAAACTGCACAGTCGGTAGATATAAATTAGAAAGGAAGTACACGTATATAAATACGGTCATATGGTTCGAATTTAACATGTTATTAATTCTGTTGACCATTTCTTATTACTGCAAATCAAAAAGAAGGAATTTTCTCTAGGAACTTTCTGCATGTAAACCTGCCTAGTTGAAGACATTTTCAACTAGCAAGTTTACATGCAACTTTTCTCAGTTGAAGACATACATTATAGAGTTACTTCAGTCAGTCACTCAGTTTTCAGATAGTCTACTCTGAGGTCATGTCAGCAGACCGACTCTGACTGAGCGAGGATCTAGCGAAAATAATAGAAATCTCCAGCGAGAAAATGCGTTCAAATAATCCGCTACTCCTAAATCAGCTAATATAAGCGCTAATAAGTCAGAGAACGAAGTAGATGACAAAAGATCAACCGAATTAGCCGTCTCTTGAGGGATACCGATCGTTGAGCAGTTTACCTTATTTTTGTTGGATGTTTGACTGAATAAAAGTGTTTGAAGGGGTCTGAAGGACTGTAAAGTGCAAGAATGCATCGGTATGCGGGGCACAATGGACGGCAAGTCGCGTGGAATGTAGTAAAGAATAGACGGTGGCTACAATGTCTACTGTGCATTGAGGTTGCAGCAACAGCAAACAAGGCTGTTTGACTACAGCAAAATTGCAGCTGGACAAAAATGAACAATCGGAATTCTATAATAGTCTTTTATTTTCACTCAACATTATGATACAAGACCACGGAGTTATTTCCCCCAAAGGGATAGACGGAATCAGTTCGTGTTTTTGTCAATTGTGACATTTATTGATTTCAAATTTTTCTGGCTTTTTTATTGCATGACCAAACAGTTAGTGCTGCAAAACATGCAAAACGAAATCAGACCAACTTTACTCACTCTTTAGCCAGCAAAATTCTCCAAAAGTTTCATTGGGCAAAAGAAAAGGTCCTCGGTATTTCACCAACCAAGTTTGGAGACTCAATTCAATTTTTAAAGGAAAATTTTCTTCAATATTTTGCACATGAGAGGGAAGTCAAACGATTTCAAAATGAGGCTAAAGACTAGACTGGTACATGTCCAACCATGGTCCAACTGTTAGAAAAGACTGACCTCTTCATTCATTGTCATTAGTCTGGTGGCTGACTATGGAGAAATGTGTAGAAATAGAGACTAGTATCACACATGCCAGATGTTTCTTTTGGCACAGTTGATTAATGCAGTACTGAAGGGTTGTTGGACTTGCTGTTTCAGGTGCCAGTCTATTTTCTTGCTTTGCATGTTTTCAAAGCTTAAGTTTTGGTTTTCTCATACACAGTATTGAGTCCCAAATCTTCCACTCATTTTGGGGCTCTTCTTTTGAAGAAAAAAACCAAAACGATCAAACTTGGAATGAAATTTATTTAAACTTGACATTTTTATAGTTGGAGGGTTGGAAATTCTGTTTTTTAGACAAGTTTCATTTTTCATGTTGGATTTTCTATACACTACAAAAATAGTTTAATCACTGACAGTACTCAACTTTTCTTAGAAACAAATAACACAGGTGTGTCCATGGATACAAAGAGACGTCAAGAATTGGACAAAGAAACAATAAGGAGAGCAATGATGGTTGATGATGGTATACTGTGGTATACTGTGAGTTTTAAATAAAACTAGAGCAAAAATGACTGAATGGAAAAGGCACTAATAACTTAATAAGCACATTCAACTTGTTCTTTACCTAAGCAGACGTGAAACAGACAGAGAGTACTTTGTTTTGCAAAAATACCGCAAGAGAGTATTTGAGCACAATGGTATGGGACAGATCAATAAATTTAAAAAGGTGTGCCGACTAGACAACACAATCGACAAACAGCTGATAAAATGGGATCGATACACATAAAAAAAAAAAGGTCGACAGCTAGCAGTTGACTCAATTTTGTATTTTTCGTTTACACTTAAACTCCTGTTGTTTGTAATTGTATGTAAATAAAAGGTTTCATTGTGTTCATAATAAACTCGTATTCAATTCTTACCTGATTTGCCGACCCCTAAACTGCCCAGCAGTGCTATCTTGTACTCCGGAACGATCATCCCGCTGGCGCCACTGCTACGACTTCTCATGGGTCGATAGGACATTGTTCCCCCCACGAAAATAACGGCAGTGCGCGGTGGCCGGTCTAAAGTCCGGCACTGAACAGCTGGCGTGCTAACTCCAACACGACATCAGAACTTGGATATTCTAGAGCATCAAATCCTGGTCCTTTGAAGAAATTGATAACTTAGCTTGGTGTCCTGAGAAACCAAGTTGTAGAGTGGTCTTGTAGCTAGACTGTTGTACGTGTCAAAACACCATTATTTCTCCACATTGTTAATTAATGAATGCAACGCCGTGACTACCGGCTAACCATGTACATGTACATGTTTGGAGCCGGTGAATGTTCACAACCAGTTCTTCACTACCGGCTTTATGCAGGGGGTACAGTCGGCCTGGCCTAACAGTGGGATTTTGGTCTTTGTAAAATAGATTAGCAGTCACCACAAGCTCTACAGTGTTGTTGGCAAGCTACCGGCGCACAGTCTGCAGACTGAAAGGACCTGCGGTATCTACGTGTATGGTGTCTCGAGTAACAAGGGGCACATGTGTACCCACCATAAATGGGTCATTAGACCAGGGAGTCAATCATTAGACTTCTCTCAATACGTCAGTCTTGTCAAAGGCTTCTCACAATCACTGGCCTCGAACGTTTCACGTCTGAAGGCGAAGACCATTTTCTTCATTCTAAGAAACACTCCTTTTTACAGTTCTTTCAAACTTCTGGCAAGACATGCTCATGGTCACTCGGTTTTATATTCACTCGCAGAAGAGAGAGGCTAGCACGAGCCATGCACGAACCAACACAAACAAACCCTGCCGATCCAACTTAACCCGATATCCCCCCCGAGACTGATATGAACCGGTCGCGTGCTGATCGTTATCATACGTCACTCCGCGAGTTATTAGACTCGTCCACTGACCAGTGAGGGGTGTTAAGTTAATGTACATGTAAACTCATTGCTGTGCGAGAGTTCACGTGAAAAAAAGGTTTTCTCAGATATAAAGGTTTTTTCAGCTATATCTTCCAAACCACAATTTTTATGCCGTTTCTCACTCAAAAATATGTTGTCAGTCAGAGCAAGACACGGTGGTAAGTCTCTACCACACATCTTGATGTTTTCCAAAACAAAAATGCCAATGTCATGAAAGTGAAATTAAATCTTAGTTTGTATCTTGTTCATTTTGTTATTCAAAACCCAAGTCTGAATGAGCATGATGCGCACAACTACAAATTATCAATTTGAGCACATCAAAGTGACATATCAATGGTATACAATGGCATGCAGTTATCACAGCTCTGGAATTCTCAGCGTAGAATCTTGAGAATGTTTGATATCATCACGTAGACACTTGTCTTATCGCGAGAAGGTCGCGATGGGGGCATGTCATGTCACATTACATTGAGAGAAGTTGAGAAATAACAATGTGGGAAAATGTTCAGTCCATGATTCACATTCCGTCCGCTCTGATCAGTGTATCTGCCAACCAGGCCATACTCTCAGACTTTGTAACCTTCTCATGATCGATCTTTAATACGTAACATCTGATACTAAATGAACACTCAAACTTGACAAACAAGTACAGGTAGTCTTATGTTTCGAAAGTAATAAAGCCGGTTTGTGTCCAAGATGATGTTTATCCTGATTGTACTTTCTGTCTTCGAGGTCTTCGTTTACGTACTAGGAGCAACAAATCCTCCTAATTCTAAATCGGAAGAGCAATTAGAGGGACCCATATGTTCTTTGTCCTGTTTGTGTCTTACGTCATCGTCTGCTGTCCCCGGCATTCCAGGGTCGCATGGAATTCCAGGATTGCCAGGACCTGTGGGACCTAAAGGTGACACAGGCAGTAAAGGCGACCCAGGACCTCAAGGTGACCCAGGACCCAAGGGCGACAGAGGACCACGGGGTGACAGAGGACCACGGGGTTACACAGGATCTCAAGGCGATCGGGGGCCTTTAGGCGCCCGAGGACCTGCAGGACCTTCAAGTGCAAACGGTGCTAAGGGACAACCTGGAGGTAAAGGTGATCAAGGAGACAAAGGGTTAAGGGGTGACCCAGGACCTCCAGGCGAACAGGGACCTAAAGTTGATCTAGAACATGTAGGTTACTACAGACCACAGCAGCAGACAGAAACACAAGCTGCAGGACCTATCGGACCTAAAGGCGATAAAGGCAGTAAGGGATTGAAGGGAGACTCAGGACCTGAAGGTGATGAAGGACTGAGAGGTCAGGATGGGCCAAAAGGTGACAAAGGCGAAATAGGTGAGCCAGGACCAGCATGTACTTCATGTGTCACATATACTGTGAACGAGAAGCGTAATAGACCAACAGGCGACACTAGGATACCAGACGACAAAGGTGACAATGATCACATCATGGTAGGACTACGACAATCAGAGCCTACCATAGATACATCAACATCAAAGCTGGCATTCACAGCGGCTCGGTCTTCCAGTGTCAGAGCCAACGCCGGTGACGTCATCGTTTTCCCACGGGGTGACGTCATCACTAACGTAGGCGACGCTTTTGATGGTGACACGGGCGTCTTTACCAGCACGCGAGGGGGCGTCTTTTACTTCGCATTCTCCGTGTGTAGGTTTGCTGCCATAAAAAATGCAGCAGTTAGTCTCATGCACGATGGCGCGCCGGTGGTGAGCGTGCTAGGAGGCGCCCTCAACGGTAACTCCGATCAGATAACGAATGCCGCGACATTAGAGCTCGAGGTTGGCGATCGAGTGTGGTTAGAGGTGGTCACTGACGAAACTACTCTTTCTAGCAATGAAAAACGTTGTACATCATTCAGCGGTCTAATGCTTTAAAAAAAGGACAGAAAATGACAAAAAGTCTGGAAATGGTACTACCTAATAAGCCTCTGCACTAATGACGTCACACTTTGTTTACGTGTGTGGTTTCCTATGGTGCTCAGTGGACCATGGGCCCTCACTGGCTCCATAGGAAAGTGCACATGTAAACAAAGTGTGACGTCATCAGTACAGAGGCTTATTAAAATACAGAGACTGAAATAATTGCCAATCAAAACAAAAATAAGCAATTATTATTAAGCCTATTAAGATAAATTGACACAGCCAAAGTCTGTCAGTCATCAACGGTCTTTGTTCTAAGAAAGCGTCGGTTTCTTACAACATGGAATTCTTGTGAAGTGAAGTATCACATTCCAGAAGTTTTTCACATTTTTTTCTGAGTACATGTACATGTACAAACCAGGTTATAACATGTACATGTACCCCAAAGTTCAAAACTCTAGGGGAATGTAAATTGCTTCCTTTCATTATTGATTTTTTTTTTTACAATTTATCTCAAGTTCCAATCCTACTTTTTGATATTTTAATCAGACAAGGATTTTTTTTCAGAAGGAAAGAATCCAACTATGAATTCGAAACTCTTCAGTGATACTGATAGCATAACATGGATATCGCCACAGCAAGGATCTTACTCACAAGCGAGTCGAAAGATACATGCCTCGCATTCTCGACAAATCATCTACCGCTGCGTTTCGCAGTAAGTGATGCTCCGTTGATGACTGTCTGCCATGCGGATGACATGATATGAAGACGTTATGGATGACTTGGACAGATTGCAAGATACAGTTACTGCAATCCAATAACCTGAGCAGATTAATTTCAACGCGTCTGTCACACTGATAGCCGACAGATATTTGTAATGTTAGTAATCGCGGATCACGTGAACGAGCGTCCTTAACCTAGATCCTTCAAGCTTTTCACCATAGACATTCAATATTTCAGCACATATCTTAATTTCTTGGGGTCGAATTTTTATGTTTTGGGTTCTAGGAAGGAATGGGCCTCCGTTTGAAGAATTTCAACATTTTTAAACTATGACCAATTTTCTTTTTTAGGAAAGTTGTTACCTCTTTCGGAAATTTCTCTGAGAAAAAAATCAACCCCTAAATTGTTAATTCTGTGACGCCCTCTGACCACAAATATTGTCACCCCCACCAATTAAAATCGGTCTCACCACGCCCCTGAGGAAGGAAGGATCATTTGTATTTTGAAGACGAAGGCTTTTTTGTATGCTTTATCTAGATATCAATTTATCATTTTGATTAATATATTTATGTTTTAGCTATTTTGTTCAATGTTTTCTTCACCATCTGTATTTGAATATTTCCGTTACTCCATTCAAACAATAGAGTAAATGACATGAGTTTCTGCAAAGCAAAGTTACATATCCAAGGAAAAAAGCTTCTTCTTGCGTTTATTACAGACAAAATATTCACTTCTTGTTTGTCACAACCTGATTACTCTGGCACGAAAATACCGAAAAACCAAACTGCAACTAAAAAAAAAAGTGCTAAGAGAAACCATACACACAGATTATAATTATAACTTGTCATTAAACAACCCATGCACTCATAGCTGAATCGACAACGTATTACTACATACCATAAAATAGCAAGACTTACACTCTGCTTAATGTTATACACAAAGGGTTTTTGGCGAAGTAGAAGTAAATGTTTCGACTCAAATATATCTGGTTTTTAATTTAAAGATAAGTCAAAAAATGACCCAATTTTTACTAATTTACATCTTGTGTATAGTTATTAACAATTATAAGTTTATTATAATAAGGAAAGAACAAGGGCTAGGCCTTTGTTCTTCGAAACAAAATCACTTGTATTTACTTCTATTAGCTTTGCACCAACAAAACAAAAGTTTGCTTAAAAAAGTGTATTTTGGTGGTTTTTAGTGTTAATTTAATTTGCTTTACAATGCTATGGACAAGCTTTAATAATACAAAGTTTTTTTAATTTCTGTAACATTAACCACAAAATATTGCCATATTTACTAGTCGACTAGCTACCAGAGTCCTAAACACACACCAATGTCATCAAGCGGGTACTTTGCAGTGGTGAATATAAATTAGACAAAAGCAAAGATGCGTTGCCATGGTAACAAGCTCTCTAGCCTCGATGATGTAACTATTCAAAAGAGAACCGGTCTTCATGACTTGCTACATGATTGTCGTCAATCACTACAAGCAACAGTCTATTTCAATTCCTTCTTTTCAGATTTTATGTCATAAAAGTTGTGACGTTATTTCCAAATTTAACACAATGATGTAAAATTCTTTGTTTCTGATACAGCACGACACTCAAAACACACTTAATGTTCAACTGCACGTTCAGCAAAGTTGCTTCACTGTTTGAGATAAGACAGTAACCTTTGAAGTTATTAATAAAAACGTTTTATGCTGTTGCAAATTTTTATGATTTTGTTTCTATGTGATGTTAATTGCCAAAACTTTCCATATCCAACCCCAAACAACTCAATATTTGTGAGGCGTTCTGACAAAATGGGACAGAACTGGGCAGAGGTCAAAATGAGGGTTTGTGGGTATTAAGAAAGAGAATAAAATTCTCCTTACAGTACTGTTTGTAGCACTTCGAACGGACAAGTTATGTTGACAAATTATGGCCGTTTAAAGTTCGCATTTATCGACATGTCAAAAAATAAATAGATAATGGCCTTTAAAGTTACATGTTTTGTATTCGTAAAAATGAATGATGCCAATTGTTTTCTTGAAAAACAGTTTTTCCACGATTTTCATACTATTTCTTTAAAATGTGTGTATAGTATTTGATATATTAGTGATTACATATATCAATAAATCTGAAAACCTCAAAAAACAATCTCCATTCGTGTTTTTTGGTTTTTTTCTTTCTTTTTTTCATATGGGCTCCGTGCACAAGTATTCCTTCAACGGCCAGAAAAGGAGAGTTGAGGGAGACCTAGACTGGTTCCCGGTCCATCCACTGCGTATTTCGAATGATCCAAAGTTATAGGGGGCGGGGATTAGTCTGGGAGACCATCGCAAGTTAAATTTGAACGTATTCACGCGCTGACACCCGACGCTCACGCGCAAAGGCGCTATGGCTTAGCTTTGTGCACATTCAGGATAAAAAAGTCGTGCATACTTCGCGCACGAACCAGTACAGTACGCACACGCGGTGTTCCATCCAAGGGGCTATTAAAAGTGGTAAAAACACGCCCTCTTTTGTTGGCGCACGAAGCCCATGCCCAGTTTTGCTAGAATGCCTCACTATTTATCAATCTCATACAAAAACTAGTGTCTGTCATTAGTTCTAGAACACTGAGTTTCATTATTTAACGAAACTATGCAAAAGTGCAGCAGACAGTACCATGGGTGCTGCAATACACCAAGAGCTACTAGATCAGATTATAACACCCCATCCACGGACTCTGTATCTTGATTGGCCGAGAGCCAGTCACATGGTATTCGCTATTTCTGTTATCTTACTGTGTGTGGCCAAAAAGACTATACACATAGCAATCAAAGTACTATACGCATAGCAACTGGTATTGTGTGCAAATGCATACGGGCGTGCGCATTGCGCGTATTGTTCCCAAATGCTAGCGCTACAGAGCTGGGTTCAAACATTTTGTGAATGGGTAGTTTGGAAAAGTGCAAGTAAATTTTCAACTAATTCGGTACTGATATCGCAATACATTGTAATTGTATTTAGATTAAATTAATCAGTTATTGATTAAAATCAAGCAGAATCTGTGGGTGAGGTGTTATAAAATAAATATTGACTGCTTTAACTTGTGGTATATTCGCCTCGGGATTTAGAGTGCGCCATGGATCACCTTGGGATGCTAGCTTTACTATACCACTCGAAGCAGTCAATATGTGTATTATATTATATACAGCGTGAAAGGAATTGACCTATCGCCGTTTGCGTGTTAGCCACGCCCCTTAGACAACCCTATGGAATTTTTGTACGTTAAAATTTTGCTTCTCTAAGATTTTACGCGTTCCGCGTCCATTTGTATATCATGTAATTGGACAATATTTCACAATATGCGTTGACGTGATTCTTCGTGATAGGTTAAATGGAATGCGATCAAATAGATTTCTTGTATTTAGGAATTGATGACTCCGTCGTGAATAAGAGGAATTGATTTTGCAAACAGGTCAAAAAACTAAACAGCGCACTAGCATACATAGCATAGTTCAAGCATCAAGGACCAAACACTAGCACCTAGAGTAAACTGTGTACATCACGAGATAAAAAACAAAGCTTGAATGAATATTACTCCACCGGACCGCTGAAGGAAAAAAAAAATCAAAATCAAAGCAAAGCGGTTGAGGTGGACCATTTCCGTTTTCAATAAACAGTAAATACAACAAGATTCAACTTCCACGAGTATGTACACGTCTATGTTAAACCTCGTGAATCAGGCGACATAGACGATATTTAAGAGCATGCTGTCGACACGCTCGTTGCCAGGTTTGTTTAATTGGCTCCCCAGTAGTTGCTCGCTCCGTACGGTGGCTTGCTGACGGGCTTGCCTTGGTTGGCGCTTCCTTGCGAACGCTGAGACGAGCCAGCCTGCCCGTCGCTGTGCAGCTGATGCGGCAACATGGTGTTGTGAGGCAACACGGGGACGAACGGTGGGTAGCCCGTTGCAGCTTGCAAAGGCCCTCCCTGGTTCCCGCTGGCCATTGGGAAATTGAATGGTGGCGGGGTACCGGTATGGAAGCCTTGCTTATCTGCATAGGATTGGGAATGCGCCTTGTTGTATGTACTGGCCGACATGTCCCCCGGCACTGCTGAAGATGACGAAACAGATACTGCAGAAACAGATACAATTTGGAGATCGTCACTCAAAATGTCGTAAACGGTTCTAAATTCACCAAAATACCAGATTTGATTTTGGAGAACATTAGGGGTGAGAAAAGAACCTTGTCACCTTTACGCAATGAGCATCAGCATGAATTTATATTCTGTGCTTGTGTCGAATATTTTATTAACAGGAAAACAGTGAGTAAGAAGTCAGACAGAAACAAATGAAACTATTTTTAGGAATATTTAACCAAACCACCCCAACTCCATCAAAATCCATCCCCCCATTTTGGTGGATTTTGGGGGACTTGGTCCAGAAGGCCTGGCGTGACTAAATATTGATGGAGTATGATGGACTTGGGCCTAATGGCCTGAAGCAGTGCTAGGGGTATCCAATTGATTTTGCCTAGCTTCCTGTACTGCTATTGTGATAAAAGCCATGTGTAGCAAGTCCATGAATGTCAACCAGTGCGTCAGTGGTGGGTTCCATTATGTCGTGCACAGTTTTGTATTGGAAGCACAGTGATTGATGGATTTTGATGGACTTGGTCCAGTTCCTAGTAAAAGACGCTAGGGAGTTAGGGTTAAGTCACTACCTCTGAACAATGAAGTTGTACACTGATTTCTGGAAAATTGTTCTTTAGGATTAATATAAATAGATGTTAATCTTAAATGTATAACAATAATTAATAATTGGTTATTGAAGAAGGCTGGAGAAGCCAGATTAAATGTGTTAATATGGAGTTAGTTACCTGAGCTACGTCCTGTTAGCACACAATGCATGAAGTCAGGCAACCAGACAGTTAAGAAAGAGAGAATCAGATACACAATTAAGCAAAATATACTAGTGCAGGGACAGGGTACTAGACCAGGAGAATCGGACAAATAAGGCTGTCAGAGTTACGTGGCTATGACTAGAAATTACACCCATAGACTCGTGCATTACTCCTAGTCATAGCCAGGTAATGGCTATGTGGCCTGGGATGGATGAACTGGAGAAGGTTGTTTAGGGTGCAGACCAGTAAACAGGCCCGAAACTGCCTACACCGGCCTAATCACGGTTTGCTTGCCCTCAAATTCTCCGGGAGCATTTTGAGGGCTGTGCATGTGACAATTTGTAGGGTGGAAGCCGTGCAGACGACTGCAAGCTCGTATTTCAGTGAAATCTGGACAAAATTGGGCCCTAAAGTGGCTCTATTTCGCATGGAGCGTAGGCATCCTTTTTCAAAATGGCGATGGGCTTCTGGACTACTTTTAGGGGTGATCATCTTTGGTTGGAATTTTCTCCAAAAATTCATCCCTTAACCCCCAAAAATTGAACAGAAAATGAAAGATGATGAAATAAGCTTTAATTTGATGTGTAACTCAAACACATTTGAGAGTTGCAAGTATTTTTAGGAATTTTAGGAAGTACGCGTAATTATCACTGACGTCTATGGCAGTCTATTTACTGGTCTGCAACTTTTAGAATAAGAATTAAGTTATGTCCAAATGAGTATATACGGATGAGTATAGAGACATGCCCAAATGAGAATAGAGTGTCCAAGTTAGAACAAAATAATGTCTGAATGAGAATGAATTAATGCCCAAATGAGAATGAATTATATGGATGAGAATAGAGCATGCCCAAATGAGAATAGTATCCAACTTAGAATGAAATAATGTTTGACTGAAAATGAATTAATGCCCAACTGAGAATACTATGTCTGCATAAAGACTGATCAAAATTGAAATAACAGAATGCCTAAATGAGGACATAGACAGAATGAGAACACTAAGGAAAAAGTATAAATATAGCAATCTCAGGATAAGAAAAGAATCAAATGAGACTCGGGTGACGTAAAAATTAGTCTAGCCGCTAGACGTTGTTATGATTTGAAACGCCATAACCCACCAAAGCCACGATAACCCGCTGCCGCGACAGGGCGTTATCACGATCAACCAATATCACCCACAAACTGCCAATAACGTCTAGGAAATATTGTAATATCTCCCCCGAAAGACGCGGGAAACTAGTGCGCATGCGCGACTTCTGCAGGCAATTACGGTGCATTTTCAGTCCCACGCACACTACAAAAGAGCTGACCAGTGAAGCTGCACGAAACTCTTGCTGCATCTTTTATACTACTGGAAGAAATTTAACAGTTGCGTTCAGAACTACAATTAAATGTTTTGAATGCGCGCTGCATATGTTAGGCCAAACAGATGCGTGCGCATTACACAACCGCTACAAGGTTCCCTAGACGTTGTTAATGGCAGCTCGTGGGTGAAATTGATTGGTCGTTATAGCGCCCTCTCCCTGCAGTGGGTTATCGCGGCGGTGGGTTATCGCCTATCAAATCCTAACAATGACTATCCCCTAGACTACGTAAAAATGTGAAAAAAGTGATGTTAAAATGAGAAATTATGTGTCAGGATAAGTAATAATAAACGGACACAAGGATAAGGCCAAAAAAAAAAGTCTCCGGTTTCTGGTATGCGCGCGCGTCGCCGTAGCCATGCGCGTCGGCAAAATGAAAAAGGTTTTTTTTCAGTGAAAGATGATGTCTCAAAACCGCCAAACTCACTGGTTTGACTGGAATCCTGCTGCTGCACAATTTTAACGTGTTTTTAGATTGGGTTATGATCGAGAATAAGCTTTATGTGGCCTCTCTGGACCCCCATATATATGCACTAAGTTTAGTCGGGCACCATTTGCAGTCATCAGCCGACATTTGAAGCAAAAAATAACAGGTAAAAAAAAAAAAAAGCCGCGTCGCCGCACCACTTTTTGGGCAAGCTCCATACCAGAAACCGGAGACTTTTTTTTTTTGGCCTAAGATTTTGTTAAAGCAGCATAAATTATCTTAATTTCATTAAAAAAAAATCTGCCAGCAAATTTACTTAAATGAAAAAGGAGAATTCTCTTAGTCTGTTGTGTCTGTTGACATTGGCAACTTTTGGACACATGATAAACTTTTAATATTTTTCCTTGATTTTCTTTTCGGTATATTAAGGTTAGCAGGGACCTTACATCTTAAAGCACAAAGTTTTCAAATTTGCAGCAAAAATGCGGCCCAAGCATGCAACCAAGCTTTTATTCACTTTCCGCAGCACAATTTAGCAACTAAAACAAACGCCAAACAAAACCAAATGGAACATCACAAATTGTTTAAACAACTGTCGTATGTGTGACTCTTAATTTAGACATGTTTACAAAAATAGTGAAGATGTACATTAATCTGTACATTCAGTTAACCTTTGATTCTGGTCGTTAAGTTTATCAAGTCACAATTTTATCAGCACTTTTTGGGTCAAGTCAAAGCTCAGAACTCCGTTGAAGCTTTTTAGGGGTTAAATAACGAGACAGACACTATCGACTAACCTGTTGCTCCTGTGCCCTTGGCCCCCGTCTGAGAAACACTGGAGTAGCCGCCCTTAGGGAAATCTTGCGACTGATTCAGATCATCGTATCCTACAGGAAAAAGAGTTGAATTGAAAACAGATCATTAGCGACAGGGATCCAGGCCAACGCAGCTCTAGCTTTCTGGGTAGTAACGCAAAGTCTGTCACAAGCCAATGTGGCCCATCAGGCCGGCGTTTATCTCCAGTTTCAGTAGCGTGAAACAACTGAGAATATTTCTATTCCCCCTGGATGGGATGCCAGTCCATCGCAGGTTACTCCCCAGCTAATGCCGGTACCCATTTATACTCCTGGGTGGAGAGGAGCAAGTGGGGGTGAAGTGGCTTGCCCAAGGACACAACATATGGCCAGCAGCTGGATTCGAACCCCTGACCCTCTGATCATGAGTCACGAACCCTAACCACTAGGCCACACTCCCCACAGCTTTCTGGGTTGTCAGGTTATTTTTGGAAGTCAATTATGGACTTACCAGTGCCATAACCTCCGTGGGATCCGTGCTGGCCGTACGGAGCTTGCTGGAATGCCGAGTGGGGCGTTGTGCCGGCTTGAGATCTGTTGTTGGGTTGCACCTAAACATCGATAGCAATACAAAAAGTTCAATCAAAACTATTTTATGTCTGACTAACTATCAAGGTTTTTCCTTGACAACTCTAAGGCCACCCTAAGGTTGACCCTGCAACGACACAGAAAGTTCGGCGACTGACTTTTCAGGATCAAGCTGTACCTGAGCTATGACAGTCAGGAATATATCAGTTGCCAGTTTTTTTGTGACCCAAGTGTAGCTGCGACGATCTTGAGATGATCAGCATCACTGGCACTCAATAAAATAAACAGTCGCAAGGGTTTAGTCAAACTAATTTGAGTCGCAAGGGTAGAGAATGTTAACTTCTGCGCTGCAACAGAACGTATTCTCAACAAGTGGGAATCAATTGCAGTCGACCTGTGCGAAGGTACGATGTCGTGCGCGCATCGGGATCGTCTTATTTCATGTAGCTAAGCAGCGTGCCCAACAAACGTGACCATGGAAGATTGCGCACCGCCATTTTGAAGACGTCACATGATCACGTCTATTCCGAGGAATCGTTGTCGCGTCATGGATGACGAGAGCATGATTGCGATCATTTTGTGTCGGGACGCCATTTGTTTCAAAAGAATCACACGATTTCTCAGTTTTATGACTGAGCATGATCTGACACGGCGCACGCAAATCGCTGGTTGACCTGATGACATGACATTATCTCACAAATAACAGTAATGTTTTGGCTACTAACACATTCAATCCTTGATTTCTGTACCCAAACTGCCCAACAATTTATCATTAATATCAATCTAGGGTTTGACTGACCGTATTGACAGCGGGAAAGACAGCAGGTTGATACTGGAGGCCTGGTGGTATGATACCTGGGCTGGGGTAGTAGGGTAACCCACCGTAGCCATAGCCTGGAGGTACGGTCGCTGCGTTCAGGAACGCTGCTTGCTGGGTGGCTTGCTGCGTCTGATGATGACCTGCTTGACCTGAAATATAACACAAGAACATGGTGATTATGCTCAACTCACCATGTGGTGATAACATGCAACTCACCACATGGTGATAACATGTAACTCGTGACATGGTTATCACGAGTCTCACAACATATGGCGATCAAATAGAACTCACAAACCAACAACATGGCATATGTCTTGGTCATCACATGGCCATCACATGGCTATCACATGGCTGTCGCATGGCAGTCATATCGCCATCACATGGCTATCATGTGAGACCGTATTCTTTACAGCAGTGAATCGCATAAAAATCACATGGCAAGTATCCTCACCACTGACTAACAATCCTTCCCTCTAACAGAACGTAAAAAGACCCTCGCTTTGGTGATCTGACAAAAATACTGCAATGAACTCTAAACTTCCTTAATTCCCCAAAGTCCTTCGGGCGGTTTTGGAGGATTTTGGAGGATTGAGGATGAATGCAACATACAATTTTGGAGGATTTTGGTGGCTTGAGGGCAAATGGACATTCAGTATCGGTTGATTTTGCAGGATTGAGGCTGAACGGTGTTTGAAAAAGAGGAGGATTTTGGAGGATTGAGGCTGAATGCATTTTGAGAGGCATGGCTTTTGGAGGATTTTGAAGGATTGCCACAGTGGGTATCCTTCATTTGAACATCAGTGCAGAATTTTGGAGGATTTTGGAGGATTGAGGATGATTCCTAGCAAAAAAGAGCCTAGGGGTTAGGGTTAGGTAGTTTTGTCTTTTGTTTGAGTGAATGCAACTTATTAGAGCTTGTCCGTACCTGTTTGCTGTTGCTGCTGTGGTTGTTGCTGTGTTGACAGTGATGACGCTACGGGTGACGCTGCCTCTCCTCTTGTGAACTTGCTCTGGTCGGTCACCGAGTACGGCGCGCTGGAGTGCGACGTCACATCGCGGCTCGTCAGCGTGGTAGCGGGCTGCGGGAACTGTTGAGGATCATACGAGTAACCCTGGTGTACGAAGTGAAATTATATATACTGGCTACTGGCACTTTGCCAACGATTTCAACACACGGTGCGCAGATCCAAAAATTGAATCAAAATGACATTATCATCTCATCATACGGTGAAGATGGACGATTCAAGTCATTAATTTTGTTAAATTTTGAGCACACGTGTTCTCCGCAAACAAATTTGGTGCAATTTTTATTTCTGTTAACAGGATTTTGGGGTTTGTGAGTGTAAGGTTTTAAAATTGTGCGGTGATAATAAAGGAAATTGTGCTTACCATTGGCATTCTTGATAGCTGTAACTGTAACTCATCATAGTTGTAGAATGGCTGATGTGTCGCAGCCTGTTTACACAAAGACAAGGAAATAACGTCAAAACGTGAATATTCAGCATGACTATCTCAAACTTCATGTTGTAACGGCAATGTCTGATTTGTTCACCAGGCATGCACAAAAGCAAATGATTTGACAAATTAGGGGTGTGCCATGCTGCTATTTCGGCGCAAAGCAGCTACAATCAACCACAATAACCATCTCTGCCCTCACAGGTACCCATTTACTCCTGGGTGGGGACAAGCAATGAGTGACAAAGTGCCTTGCCCAAGGGCACACGCACCATGACCCCAGGCTGGACTCGAACCCACAACCTGCAGCTTTACCCGCAGACCACGGATTCAATGCTCCAGACCACGAGGCTACGGCACTCCACGACCAAAAGGCCATGGGTACTCACTAAAAAAAACCGACCCCAAATTTAAAACTCAGAAGTTGCTGTTCACAAAGGTCTGCACAATAATACTACCACATCTGAGCATCAACACAGCAAGATACAAGTGTGTACAGTGAGCTCTTTACCTGAAATGAGCATTATGGTGTAAATTATCGCAAGCGTCATAAACATGGGTCTGTTCTGGTTTTTCCATGTGGCCTGGTTTTCATTTCGAAAAATTCTCTACAAAATGTAATTCCAAATCTTTCTTATTGTCTGAGAAGTTACTAAGTAATTTGTAAAATTGGTTACGGTACTCGATTCTATAATCTGGAACCGTTTCCTGACATCAACGCTCGGTACTCGGTACCTGGTTTCAATGCGCAGCCCTATGACAAACGCAACTGGAATGTACACAAAACTTCATTTAGTTACGACAAGATTTTAACCTAAGGCCAAAAAAAAAGTCGGTCTCTGGTCAGCGCGCGTCGATTTTAATCAAGCGCGTCAATCTTTTTTTTCCTCCAAAATGTTCCGCGGTAGCTCCAACAGCGCCCTCCATTGCCGCACCTCCTCAATTTTTTTTTTACCAAAGAGCACCAAGGAATGGGAAATTGCACCAAGGCAAATGATCGAGAGCACCAAGGCAAATTATGGAAGACACCAATGCACATGAGGACACCAAATAGCAAAATAGTACCCCACCTTGTCTGTACAATCCAAGCTTGGAGAAAAAAAAAAAGAAAGCCGCGTCCCCGCGTCAATTCTGGAACTTTGGTCTGACCAGAGACCGAATATTTTTTTTGGTGTCCTAATAGACATAGTCTTTATTATGAAAATAGGTAAGCTTCTTACAAATGGGTTGACGGGTAGAATCCCATGTCCCATGATGTACTGATGGTTAAACAACGGCATTCCGGGTGGCAAGTTGGGGGGACCTTTGTCTAGCAAGAAAAGAGTAAAAAGTTATGGAATTTAATACAATTCTGATGTTGTACAAGTTGATTGGCGCAAGATTTGTAATCACCTACGCTAATGTACGAGGTTTGGTCTGGGCTGATCAGATCGAGTCTTTGTCCTCAGACATCTACGTCAGTAGAACGAAAGTAAACATCATATCAACCCAGACATTGGCTGAATGGCATTGACCCAGAGTACTACAACATACCATACTGTTATAGCAAGGTTATAGGCCAGGCGTTGCCATGTCACATCACAGTCAGTTTGACAAATATTTCAACACCACAACAGATTGATCCGTTAAATGCAATGTTATTTTTAAAATGCCTTAAAAGGGAATATACATCATTTGCTTTTACTGTAATTTTCAGAAATGGATGGAATTGGGGGGTTGGAAATATATAGCAAATATAGTTACACTGACTTTTTTGAGGTTTGGGTTCGAAAATGCAATAAAAAGCAAGAAAAATAATCATTTTCCTGTAGTCTGGTTCCCTGACTCCATAGAAGAAGAAACAGAGCAGTTTACATACATTGGGGAATTGTAAGGTCAGGGAACCAGTCTAGCTGGCTTGTACCCGTTCATAGGTGTGTCATCGATTGCAAACAAGTGCGATGGTCAATTGGCGCCAGTATTTGAAAAAAAGCCAGTTTTTTCCAACGCTGATCGGCCGATCAGCGTTGGAAATTGATACAAAAATAGCACTTTTCTTGAAAATGACAGTATACCAGGTGCCATGATTTTACAGGATGCTTTAGACTGTCATTCACTAACAGTCCAGCAAGGTATTTCAAAATGATTTGGTAGTTTTATTTTTTGATGTTTGCAAATGTTGTATTTTCCCTTTAACTGAAATTGCACCTTTGTATCTTATTTAACCTTATTTAAAAAAAAATTAATAATAATAAAAATACCACAGTCGTATACAGCGCACATATCTACCAATAATTAGGTACTCAAGGCACTGGTAATTATGTCAATTATTAAAGAAAGGTAAATGAAGTTTTATGGGAAAATGTGAGACCCATTATGTAGCACCTTTATAAAGGGTTTACAAGGTGCTGCAGCACATATATTGCAGCCACTGCCAGAAACACCGGGGCAAACCCCTTCTCTTAGCAATAAGTGTTACTGGGTTCTTTAACGTGCATTACACAACACACAGGACCTACGGCTTTACGTCCCATCTGAAGGACGAAGCAATAATGGTAAAGTGCCTTGCTCAAGAGCACAAGCACCATGTTCCCACGGTCAGGATTCGAACCCATGTACCACGGCACACAAGTCGAACACCGTAACCACTGGACCACAGCCCCCACCAAAACCATGTTTTGCCATTTTCCAGGCTATTTTTGTGCCTTTTTGGTTTTTATAATAATGTAAATTTCCAATTCATGAGCAAAAGTGTGATGTCATTTCAGGCAGAAACCTCAATGTTACAGCTATTTCAGCGCCAAAAGTTGCCAGAATTTTGAATGTTTTGCTGCCGTAAATTTTCTTTTCTTTGGTGAGTTGTTGTTTTGTAAGTACACGGCAGTAAGCCAATGAGCAACTTTTCTCAAATGTTTTCAATGAGCAAATTTGGGGTTCACAATCTGAACAGAAAACCCCTAAATGAACTGTGTCTTCCTGAAATGACATCACAACACCACCCCTCAGTTGTCAGGAAAAGCATGGGAAATCTTAAATGTTTAAAGAAGTGCACTTTTCAATAAAATTAACTAAAACTGGATGTCAAATAGTTTTCATACATTTAAGAGTAGAAAGTTGCACAAAATATATTCCCAAGTAAAATTAATGTCAGCAGCCCCTGTAACTCCAACCTTCCCAAATCCTCTTTGCCAAACGGAGGATTTTGAAGGATTGAGGCTACATGGCAAAATGTGTGGCTGATTTTGGAGGATGCACTGTGTCAAGGTCTTGGGCCGGACCTTGTGTTGTTTATGCTCAGCCATGCATACATTTAGGCCTAGATTATACTTGAAATCCTCCGCACTGCTCCAGGATGTCACTGGCTCTGCCTCAACATATTGACAGTGATTGCTGGAGGATTTTGCAGGATTGAGGCAGTGGTCACCCCTCCAAGGACCACACTCAAGAAATAACGGAGGATTTTGTAGGATTGAGGCTGTATGCAATTTTTACACGAAGGCAGTTGGAGGATTTTGAAGGATTGAGGTTGCATCCTAGCAAAAATTGCAAAGGTTTTTTTTGCAGCAGAACCAGAATATGTGGCGCACTCCGGTTATATTAACACAGAGTGCAGTAATGAAATATCTGACTGCGTTAGCCTTAAACACAACACATAATGACCAAATAATTTTCCCAATCTTGTGTTTTATAGCCACTGATTTGAAGAGCGTAATGAACTTACTTGATGTCATTGATGATTTCATACCAGACGATCCCACTGAAGTGACCGAGGTCATTCCAGATGACATACCGCTGATGCTGTTATAGCCCAACGATGACCCGGCGGTGGTCAGTGGGGCCGTCGTGTTCAAGGAATGACCGCTCAGACTGGACGACGATAAACTACTGGACGACGGATGATTATGATCCATCGTGTGCTGTATAAGAGTAATAACACAAAGCATTCAGATGTCTTCTAGTGTGCAAGATAAATCTAAAAAGATTTGATAACATCGTAAGTCTCCTGACGACGGACAGAGCAGACTGTCGCAAACGTTGAGTTTCCACGGCCCTTTTCAGTTTCCACGGTCCTTTTTGGAACCTCATAAACTCGCAAAATAGATTTGTTAAATGTTGCAACCGTAAACTTAATCTTATAATATTGGCTGATCAGAAGAAACTAAATGTGTCCTCAGACGTTATGTCAGTAGAACGAAAGTATTGTAACATCATTTCAGCCAAGATTGAACTATCTCTGTCTTGTGCAGGAAAGACAGGCATTTCCCATCCAAAATTTGAATAAAAATCTGGCAAACTGTTTAGTAACTTATATCCACAATATGTGTGATTTGACTGCTGCCATGTTGACTGGAGTAATTCACACAAGGGTCTCAGTATAAGGATATTTCCATAACTAAGTATTTTCTGCACTCTTTGCAGTTTCAGTATGTGGTAATGGCTTGTCCTTGTCACTCAAAACACGAATCGTAATAATTAAATATATCTTCTTCATATATGATGAAAAATATTGTTTCATGTGTAATGGGAACACCAAATTTGGTGTCCTCGTTACACGTGAAATCACTGTCTTTTTTGTCATAAATATCTGCACGATTACACTACAAATAATTGAAATTCAATTATTTCATAAAGTAATTGGTATATTTCATACTAAATAAATTCAGACATTTTGAATGAAATACTTAAGATATATGGTACATAAAAGTTACTGGTTTCACGTGTAATGGGACACGACCTTTAAATATGGAAATAATTACTACTTTGTGCAATATATCCATCTGAAAATTTCTGAATTGTATGGAATAATAAATGGCATTTATTAGCTTATGCAATATATAGAATTCAGACATTTTTAAAGAAGGCCAATAGACATATGGCACAAAAAGATATTTTGCTTTCCACTGTAAAGGACATTTGTTATACGTGAAACTTATTTGCGCAATAATTCTTAAGCCTGCCGTTGAAAATTAAAATGTTCATAACAGACACGAGTATCTTCACTGCTTTATATAACATGAATTTAAGACATTTTCAATGAAAACAACAGAAATATGGCATAAATAAGTCAACAATTTCACACATAACATGTTGGTGTCCCTGTTACATGGTAAAGCATGTTTTTCGTCATGTAAGAAGAAAATTGGAAAATGAAAAATGTTGAAGTTGGAAAATGACAAATTCATGTTTAAAGTACTACGATCAACCAGTCCTGCAAATTTATAAAAATATTTTTCAAAAATAATTTTTAGAAAATATTTTGCATCCAGATATAAATATACATATAGCAATGTTATACTTCGTACCCCTTACTTATGGAATAGCCCATATGTAGGATATTTCATCAACTTTATAAGTAAGCTTGAAAGGTTTGTGACATGGGTCTAGGAAAGGTCAGATAAATATGCACTGACCTGAGCAGAATTCATCCGATTGTCCAAGCTGCCCATCTTACTGCTGTTTAGCTGCGCTGACTGTACGCCGCTCTGCGACGCCATTGTATTCGACACAGTCGTTTGCATTCCGCTCATGTGACCAGAACTGGCCAATCCGCTGACCGAGCTAGACAGTCCAGCTGGCTGCGCGGCCGACGGTAGTCCACTCATTGTACTCGGTCCTCCGGACATACCGGACGATAGTCCACTGGTCGAGTGCGTCAGGTTGGACGTCGGTAGACCAGTGCCTCCAAGGCTTGAACCGGAGAGATTCGAACCACCGAGGTTTGAAGTTCCCAGATTACTGGACAGATTTGACCCTGCTAGACCTGAGTTATGGCTAGACGTGTAGCCTCCACCGTGCGACATGCTGGAGAGACCGCTGGACAGACTAGCCGGTGAGTGGATGGTCGTTGGTGCACTCGTTGCGTGATAGGAATTGGGTGTCTGTTCAGGCAAAAGTATGATCATTACATGATTTCAAAGGAATAAACATGAAATTTTGAAATGTCGGTCGATGTTTTACGCATGTTTTCTGGTAACAGCTTTTTTGTTTTTCAGAATAGCAAATTCAAAGCAATCATTTCTCAAGAACAAAAATTTATGGAGCCAAAGGATAGGTAGGAGTGTTTGTTCCACGCCCTCGAAAAATTAGTTTTACATAAGGCCAAAAAAAAAAAAATATTCGGTCTCTGGTCAGACCAAAGTTCTGGAATTGACGCGGCCACGCAGCTTTTTTTTTTTTCTTCTTCAATTTGCCTTGGTGCTTTCGATCATTTGCCTTGGTGCAATTTCCCATTCCTTGGTGCTCTTTGGTAAAAAAAATTGAGGTGCGGAAATAGAGGGCGCTGTTGGAGCTACCGCGGAACATTTTGGAAAAAAAAAGATCGACGCGCATGATTAAAATCGACGCGCGCGCTGACCAGAGACCGACTTATTTTTTTTTTTTGGCCTAATCCAACTAATTTTTTTGATAAAAACCTGAATATGTCACCTATTTTCAGAAAACAAAAGAATCCAATTTTAACAAAATCACAAATCACAAAAAAAAGGTGTGCGTTCCTTCAGCAAAACAAAAACAATTCACACATATCCCTATGTGATTTGTTTTCGTATTGCTTAAGGCACACCTTTCTGTGATCCATGGACAGAACTTTACAACGGTGGTTGTGTTTAAAATTCCGTAACTTGAAAAGTACATGAGTGATTTGAATGATTCTTATACTAAAAGAAAGCTTATGAATTGGGCTTTCATGTCCTAGATTTTGGAAGTGCTACATTATGAACTTCACTAAAACAATAGTCCCGACATTTGGGTGGTTTTTGGGTTTTTTTTACTCACCCTGTACTACTTGCGGATCAAGTCAAGCTGATATAAATAATATAATATTGGATGGCGTTTTTTCGGGGGATACAAGAATATTGCTCTCGCCATAAATATTGTTACAGCTCATGCAAAATAATAATGACATTTATATAGCGCTTTACACAAAATGTCTCAAAGCTCTTCACAAATTTTAAAATCTTAAAAGGGAGAGGTAATTTACAAAAGGATCTTACATTTCTACCTAAAAAACACGAAATTTCAATGAAAAGTATATCACGTTACAATATATTCGTGTGTCTCCTCAACACCATCCAATATTATGTACATGAAACTATTTTTTTTATCCACCTGTCTCAGTTGCTGATTGGTGTGTGATGAGAGGCCCATCTGTGAGTGGAGGTTCGATTGCATCCCGCTGGGCGATTGAGACATTCCCGTGTTAGCCATACTGGTTGGATGTGAACCCAGGGACGATAACTGCAGAGGAATACTTGGTGAGTACGGACCCGAGGGTAGTTTCTCCGACTTATCTGGATTTGAAAAAAAACGAAGATACATATTGAAATCAGGCATGAGTACTGCAAAATGGCCGAGCTTAGCATTATCAGGAAAATGTTGAAAGTTTTGTGAAGTTTCTCTTAAAGGTAGGTAGACCATTTGCAGCTATCCAAAAAGTGACTGGCCAAATTATTGTTGAAAAGCTTATTTGATGTTAACCTAACCTTCCCAAATCTACAAAATCGTCTTTGCAAACTGGAGGATTTTGATGGATTGACGCTATATGGCAAAAAATATGTGGCTGATTTTGGAGGATGCACTGTGTCAAGGTCTTGGGCCGGACCTTGTGTTGTTTATGCTCAGCTGTGCATTGATGTAGCCATAGATTATGCTAGAAATCCTCCGCACTGCTCCAGGATGTCACCGGCTCTGCCTAAACATATTGACAGTGATTGCTGGAGTATTTTGCAGGATTGAGGCAGTGGTCACCCCTCCAAGGACCACATTTAAGAAATAATGGGAGGATTTTGCAGGATTGAGGCAGTATGCAATTTTTGCATAAAGGCAGTTGGAGGATTTTGCAGGATTGAGGTTGCATCCTAGCAAAAATGCCTAGGGAGTTAGGGTTAAAGATAGTAATGACACTAAACTCTGTGAAATTATTCATTCTGGCATGCTTTGCTTTGTCATTTTGAAGAAAACATACGGAACACCTATACGGAACATCGTCCTTGGCTCCTGATTTTTTTGTACAAAACATACTGAACATTGTTCTTGAAAAATGTCATCAGAAGAGAGACAAGTGGCTATTATTTCCCCAAGGAATAGAAGGGGAAAGCCACCCATCGATGTAGGTAGTAAGCTCAAAAACTGTGTAATTACATGATTCAATGGTCGGCACATGTTCAAAGTTGTCTTTCAGTAACTACCAGGGCGTGCAGGGTGAAGTTCTAAAGGGCGCTATTTATTGAAAAGTGAGTACCAGGGCACCGACGGCTAATTAAATCGTTATACCGAACGATCGCTATTACGAACAATTTCTGTGGATCCTGCGATGTTTATTACAGCAGCGTTCCACTGTACTCGAAATACGAGTGAACTTCATAGAGTCTTTAAACTGTAAGACAAGTAAATCAGACAGAAATGTCAGAGTTTGGCAATTTAAGACGTCAAATAGAAACAGAAGACTCAGTTGAACTGATGGACCAGACGGGATGTGAACCTAGGTCCCAAAAAGTACCACTGCACAAATGCTCTCAAATTGTAATGAAAATTAAAGAGAAGAGTAAACTTACTGTCCAGTTGCTGGCTTGGCGATGTTTTGGGAGCATTCATGTAACCACCGACCTGCGTCTGATTTGGCAACGGAATTGGCTCTGGAGCAATCTACAAAACAAAACAAGTACATACGAGAACCAAAACGTAAATCCATGAAATCATAACGTGCACACGGCACATGTGTGCGGCATTCTGGCAAAATATGACGGAATTTGGCACAGGCGATAGTGGAGAAAAATGCAAGAAACTAAATGTTTTTTAGTATTTTTTTTTATGTCCAGACTTATTGATATTTGTAATGTTTGATATGTTCACTACACACATTTTAAAGCAATAGTATAAAATTAATGGAATAAAAGTGTTTTTAAGGAAAAGCAATTGGCATCTTTTATTTCGCAACAACAAAACTTGAAACTTTAAAGGGAATATACAACATTTGCAAAAATCGAAAAATAAAACTACCAAGTTTTTGCGAAATACCTTACTAGGATGTTGGTAAATGACAGTCTAAAGCATCCTGTAAAATTATGGCACCTGGTATACTGTCATTTTCAAGAAAAGTGGTATTTTTGTATCAATTTCCAACGCTGATCGGCCGATCAGCGTTGGAAACAACTGGCTTTTTTTTCAAATACTGGCCCCAATTGACCATTGCACTTGTTTGCAATCGATTACAAACCTATGAACGGGTACGAGCCAGCTAGACTGGTTCCGTGACCTTACAATTCCCCAATGTATGTAAACTGCTCTGTTTCTTCTTATATGGAGTCAGGGAACCAGACTACAGGAAAATGATCGTTTTTCTTGTTTTTTATAGCATTTTCGAACCCAAAACCTCCAAAAAGTCAGTGTAACTATATTTGCTTTATATTTCCAACCCCCCAGTTCCATCCATTTCTGAAAATTACAGCAAAAGCAAATGATGTATATTCCCTTTAAAGGCATTTTACTCAGTATTTTATTTTTTGATGCGTCGATAAATGCAAACTTGAAACAGTCATAACTTGTCAACGGAAAGTCTGATTGAAGTGCAACAAACAGTATTGTAAAGAGCATTTTATTCTCTTTCCTAATACCTGTAAACCCTCATTTCAACCTCTGCCCAGTTCTGTCTCATTTTGCAAGAACGACTCATAAAGAACGATGAAATAAAGGAAAAAATAGCAGATCCTTCACAAAGCAGCCATGTTTGAGTACAATAATCTTGCCTTTTTGAGTCAAGCAAAAACCTGAGGTTTAAAAAGAGTATACAACATTTGCTTTTGCTGTAATTTTCAGAAATGGATGGATTTGGGGGTTGGTATTTTATAGCAAATATTGTTACACTGACTTTTTTAAAGTTTTGTGTTCGTAGATGCTGGAAAAACCAAGGAAAAAAAAATGTGTTCTTGTAGTCTGGTTCCCTGACCCTACTTCAGACAAAACAGAACAATTCGAACACGTCAGGGAATTGTCTGGTCAGGGAACCAGACTAGCTGGCGTGCACCCATCCACAGATTTGTCACCGATTGCAAACAAAAATGTGGACTAACTAAATTTGGTAAATTGGGGTCAGAATTTGAAGAAAACTTTTTTTAAAACAAATAAATAAATAAACGTTATTGAATTCAATACAATTCTGACGTAAAAATTGATGAGTGCATGATTTGTAAAAATAAAGCTAAGCCAATATACGACGCTTAGTCTGGGCTGATCAGATGGATCAAAATGTCCTCAAACATTGAAGTCAGTATAACGATAGTATCATCATCTCAACTCAGGCATTGCCTCAATGGCATAAGGCCAATTTGTTGACAGATGCGTAACCGATTACAAACAACATGTGGACTAACTGAATTTGATAACTTGGCGGCAGTATTTGAAAAAAGTCAGTTTTTTCCCCAACTATGGTCGTTGGAAATTGATACCAAAATTGCACTTTCCTTGAAAATGACAGCACACCAGGTGCCATGATTTCACAGGATGCTTGAGACTATTAATTATTCACTTACAGTCAAGTAAGGTATTTCATAATATTTTGGTCCTTTTTTTTCAAGTGTTTGCAAATGTTGTATATACCTTTCATTCTACATGTTTCTATTTCTCAAAAGGCACCTCTAAAAATAACAATTTCTTTAATTTTATGTAAGCTTTTATCACAAACAACACCCAGTAAACGTCAAGAATTTCACGTTACAAAAGACATTCTTGAATAATTTCAAAAATGAGGAAAAACCCTAAGGAATATCACTCCGGAAGATGTTTGAAATCATATTTTGACCATAACACAGATTAACCCTTACAGAACTCAACCCATCAAAACCCAACGGTATGTTTTGTTGGAATCTGTCAGGATGGGTACAGTACCCCTAAACTGACAGTCTTTTACATTGGGTTGGCACACCTCCAGAATCAAAGTCAGAAATATGTGTGTGCAGTTTCCCATATGGTGTTGGAATTTACCAGGATGGTATGGTTCCTAGTAAATCATGCTAGGATGTTAGGGTTAATAAGTTAAAAAAAACCAATAGATTCTTTGTACCTGCTTGGGGGCGACTTGTCCATAGCCTGATCTCTGCTCCAGCGTTGTCGAGACTGGCGATGCCGACGTGCTGCTTGCTAGGAGCGACGCATTCATACTGGAGGAGGGATAGCTGTCATTCTGGACTTTGTTGGGATACGATGGCAAGTGGCTTGTTGCTGTTACTGCTGCGGACTCCCCCATACTGGAATGGTACAGTCCATACAAACATAAGTGTACTTCATTAATGATAATACTGAATTCAGTTGAGAGTTAAAAATGAAAGTTTGAGGAACACTTTAAGATTTTTTTCAGGTTCGAGTGCCTACATTCCCAAGACTATTTGACTCATATTGTTAATAACACTCTCTACTGTAGCAGTGACTTAGGAGAACTGGCTGTATTAGCCTTCCTATGCAGTTTGCAAACATACATTCTGCGCAAAGTTGTCCTTTCAGTCAAAATCAATCAAGTGACTGTTTTCAACAGTTAAGAGCTCCCAGCCTACATAAAGCAGGATTGACTGGCTGTGACTGTTTATGCAACTTGATGCAGCTATGCTTTGACTGTTGGTGATTGATAAGACAACTGTGCCTACCAGTCACCTATTTGTCTGTTGACTGCATTTGACTAGTCAGAGTGCTTGCTTAACATATGATCCGACTGTTGGTGACTAGCCTGTGTTAAAGGCATGGCAGGGAAGTAGATGACATTTTTGACTGTATGTGACTGTTCAAACAGTATGAGGTTTAAAGGAACAAATTCAAAATTCAGTCTTCTACTAAGACTACTTTAACCTTGACCCCTACCTGTATGAAGGCATAGACGCTGGCATTTGACCGGATGACGGCATAGGTACGGATCCCTGTAGTGTCGTACTACTCACTGGTACGCCGGACAGCATACTAGGAACACCAAAGTCCACTGACTGCTCCATGCTAAGATCCATTGCACCAAACTGCACGTCTAAAACTCCGATGCCTCGCGCTGAAACGGGCATCTCAACAGCGGACAATGGAATCTGTAACACCGAAGATCATTAAGTGTGCAATTAAATAAATGTCAATGAAGATGCAAGCTCGTAACCCCAGCTTAATGTGTGTAAATGAGGAATTTCACCGGTTCACTGGATCATCGGGCCATCGTACAGAGGTGTGCACTAAAAATTCGAACCGATCCAACCGTATACCGGGCGACCAGATGAAATCAAACACCTTTTTTCGCATCTGATTTCACCGGATCCGCGGCCAACACTGCGATTTCATCGGACTTGATATCTATGTGAATCAATCAGATTCACGAAGGAATCAGATTTGATTCAAAATTGAAGGCCGCCATTTTCTCATCGTGTGAGTGGTCATCATGTCGTCATTGACACCACGAACTGACACTCATTTGCAAGTGGGTGTCAGTTCATGAAAACGAAAAAAAAAACGGTTCTGCAAAATACGCGCGTAGGAACACATACTGCCAAACTTGTTTTTCCCCTGAATTTGCAAAAGCTGTTTCTGTTTCACATGAGTGCTAGTTATAATCGCAAATCACCGACACATCTCTCAAGAATCTTATCCTTTAATGGACCCTTCGTTTCTTTTAATCAAAGAGTGCGCACTGGCCAACCAAATCCTGACTTCTGGTCAGGTGACCATGATAGCTCAGTCAAATGTGGTTACAAGCACTGTGGGCGGGGCTTACGGCTGATTCTTGAGCAGTCTATATTACCTTAGTTGATGGTGGCGGCATTCTCTTCTTCGTCGGTTTTGCAGTCTGTTGTTGAGCTCTCTGCTGGGTCTGTTGGCTGGATGGCGACTCCTGGCCAGGAGCCCCTTGGCCCGGTGGCATGCCAATCTACAACAAAACAATCAAAGTTTCAATTTAACCATCAATCATGCAATGTCATTTTGTTTAATGCAATCCTTCCAAATGCACCTTTGTGTCCCATTTAACTTTATTTTCAATATTTGTTTTGCCATTTTAAAGGATATTTTTGTGCCTTTTTGCTTTTTATGCTAATTATTATTCATGAGCAAATCTGTGATGTCATTCCGGGCAGAAACTTGGATGTTACAGCTATTTTTTAGCACAAAAGTTGCTAGAATTGAGGAAATTTTGCTGTCATATTTTTTTTTCCTTCATGATTCGTCGTTGTGTCAGTACATGGCAGTAAGCCAATGAGCAACTTCTCACAATGTTTTCAATGAGCAAATTTTGGGTTCAAACCCCTAAACTGAACAGAGTCTTCCTGAAATGACATCACAGCAACAGCGCCCTCAGTTGTCCTGAAAAGCATGAGAAATTTCAAAACGTTCAAAAAAGTGCACTTTTCAATAACAAAATTGCCAATTAAAGGGATATCAAAAAGTTTTCATACATTTAGGAGCAGAAAAGTGTACAAAATGTGTTGCTGAAAAAATGAATCGCATGGATCTTTTAAACACGGTTAGGGTTATGTTATCGGGAATACAGGAAAAAAGAACAACTACAAGGAGACCTACCGAGTTGACCTTATCATTGCCAGGCATGGGTGGTTGGGCCTTGATGTCTCCAAACTGGCCAAAGACGCTAGAAGCCTGCCGCTGCGATGCAAGGGGGTCCGACAAGGAAGAACCAGTCAACTGGGCCGTCACGTTAGGAGCATGCTGCGCAGGCTTGGCGAACAATGCAGCCAGATCAATCCTGGAAACAAAGGCAACGATTAAGAACATGTTACAAATATCTAGAGTGTCAGGCAGGCTAGATTGAAGGACGAAGTCAACCAGGGGTCATGTTAGGAGCACGCTGGACATGCTTCTCCATCAACGAAACAAGGATGTCAGAATTGTATTTTCAAAATCCTGAATCGATAAAAGATAAATTTACCTGGTGAAGTTCTCCGGAGCGTTGCTGGAACGCGAATCTTCCATACTGTAATTATTCATCACATCCCTAAACACACATTAAAAAAATAATATGAGTTGCGAAAAGGAATTTTCAAGGTTTTTTATTCAAATATATACACCTTTTTCTTGAAGGGCAAACTTAATACGGCCAGTTCGTAATTATTAACCCTAACCCTGCCAGACGCAACACAGTGCATCAGGTGGAAAAGTCTGGTGCACTTGATGCATTCAGCTACCAACACCAGTGCATGAACGGCCACTTCTGAGACAATGAGAGCTAGTCCCTTGAACAATGCCACAGTTGTATCCTGCTGCATCCGGTGACCACAGACTCTGAGGCAGTGTGGCCTTGAGACTTTTGACCTGATGGATCTTGCTACACTGGGCAGGCTTGTCATTTAGACAAGTGTTGCATGTTGCTGCGTTTGGAAGGGTTTCTAGCCAAAATACTCTGGTGGGTTAGGATTAAAGGGAAGATATAACATTTGCAAACATCAAAAAATAAAACTACCAAATCATTTTGAAATACCTTGCTGGACTGTTAGTGAATGACAGTGTAAAGCATCCTGTAAAATCATAGCACCTGGTATAGTCATTTTCAAGAAAAATGGTATTTTTGTATCAATTTCCAACGCTGATCAGCCGATCAGCGTTAGAAAAAATTGGCTTTTTTTCAAATACTGGCCCCAGTTGACCATCGCACTTGTTTGCAATCGATTACACACCTATGAACGGGTACAAGCCAGCTAGACTGGTTCCCTGACCTTACAATTCCCCAATGTATGTAAACTGCTCTGTTTCTTCTTAAAAGGAGTCAGGGAACCAGACTACAGGAAAATGATTGTTTTTCTTGGTATTTATAGCATTTTCGAACCCAAAACCTCAAAAAAGTCAGTGTAACTATATTTGCTATATATTTCCAACCCCCCAATTCCATCCATTTCTGAAAATTACAGCAAAAGCAAATGATGTATATTCCCTTTAAACAAACGACACGTCACAAATTCACAAAAGCTGAAGACACAAACTGAGTTGGACTTGCCTTTGTTGCATTGCAGACATCCCACTAGATTGTTGCATGTTGGTCTGCATAGAAGACTGCTGCTGCTGCCCGATGGACGATTGCACTGCCATAGACTGGCCCATAGAGGGCGCCATAGAGGACATAGTCGCGGGCATAGAGGGCGCCATTGAGGACATAGAGGATGGCATAGATGGTGGCATTGACGTGTTGGTTGAGAGCGGCGACTGCTCAGGGACTGCGGCCGACTCGGCAGAATTGACGGCGTTTGGTGTTGGTTGGTTTGAGCTTGGCGTAAACACCTTGCTTTCTGCCAGCTACAACCAGGACAAAAACAAAACAATTAAGTTACAATTACTAAAACAATTTAAAAAGTCGAACATGACCTTCCGAACCGAACCGTACCGAAATGGTCGGTTCGGAAGTTCGGCAAGTTTTATATTTTGATAGCGCTAGAAATGCTAATGCTTGCTATGAAAGGTCAAAATTACTGGTATTGCTCACCGTGCGGTATTGCATGTATTGGGGAAATCCCTTTTTGATTGGGCGCGCTGTGGTGGCACATGTTCATGTATTTTACCGTAACTATAGTGCAGGAAGTCGATGCCAATGCGTGAATTTCTAAATGCCGATTTACACAAAGGATTTCGTTGCGCTTTTTGAAGGGAACTGAGAGTAACACGTCGACTTGAGTGAAATGGCGACTTATAAAAGCAAAGCCAACTTATGGCGCAATCCGGCAAACGCACATATGTACATGTATGTATGTTTTTCATGTACATTGCACATGTACTTCCGAGCCTGAACCGAACCGATGTTCGGGGGGAAAAAATCCAAACCACAACCTAGGGCCAATGATTTTCCGTTTCAGAAAAGTGCAAATTCCGTTTTCAAAAATCCTGAATTCCGTTTCAGGCTGAAAAATTCCGTTTCACATTTATTCAATACATAAAAAGGCATTTAAACATATATACCATGTACACAGCAAATGATTCCAAGACGATAATGAAATAGTCGTTTGGTTGGAGCGCTGGAAAACTGCCCCCAAAAGATTTCTATTTTATCAACGGCCGATCAATGCACAGACATAGTATTTAACTTCACCACAGTCAAGTCGTATACTGCACTGCCACTGCCACACACGCAAGAAACATGCAATAGCCGTACAGGCCAATCCCATGACGTCACACACATCAGCTGGCTGAAGCGAAATTCATGTCCGCCATTTTGTTTTCGGGCTAACGTTAGCGACAAAATAGGATAGTTTACGCATGGAGGAATAAGAAAACACGGTAGATTTTGGACCTTAGCACAACATGCATTTCAATAGAGCCAAAGTTAGATGTTATACGAATGGTTGATTGATTGAAGAGAGAAAAATAAACCTGCCGATGGAGCAAAAGAGACCCGCGAGAGCGTGCCATGAGTGTGATGATTTTCACCGTTGCGCTGACCGACAGCTACAGCATGCGTCGGGACTGTCACTCCCACGACTACGCGTACTACGGTAGTGATCTCGCAACATTTATTGCTCTGATCTTGAACGTTTTTGTCCCCCCAAAATCGTGATATAAACACTGCTCATTTGTTGTATGGCTCGTCTGTTCAATCAATCATCAATAATTCATTTTGTACTCAATAAATTTAACGAAATTATGTTTTTTATCAATAAAATTGCAGAAGTTATTTTCTTCAGATTCAAATTCCGTTTTCAGTTTCGAGGAGCAGATTCCGCGAATTCCGTCCATTTTCCACGATCGCGGAAAATCATTGGCCCTAACAACCGAACCGAACCAAACCTGGAGGATCAGTTTCAGCACTAATATCAAATCAAACATATGCTTCTGGAAATGGATGTTTTCTAAAAAAGAAATTTGTCAAGTATTTAAAATACTTAAAAAATGCAGAGAACTATTCCCTTTTTAAACTATTTTTCAAAGCAAACTACAACATAATCAAGTTCCTCAAAAACAATTTTATTTCTTAAAATTTTATATAAGAAATTTTATGGAATGATATAAAGAAAAGGAATCTATCTTACATCTCCGCTCCAATCATCTGCCGTCCAGCTGTCAGTGGCCGCAGCACTTCCATCCCAGGCCGACACGGTGAAATCACCCACTGCAATGATTGGGAAAACATAACGGCTCAGTCAGTACATGGAAAATAAGATACTTGGAACGGAAAGAAGCAACGTAGTCTAAAGATTAACAGTTGCAAGTGTTCAGTAAAATGAAGACAAACTTACTGCTGTCATTGTTGGTATCTGGTGGGTTTGTCCACACATTGTCTCCTGGCTTGAACGCATCTGTCTGCTCAAATGTCCTGTTCATTCAAATTAAAAACCGACTTGCATAAATATCAAAAATTAAGTGATAGTAAAAATTGGTTGAACGTTCACAATCCTCACGTAAGCATGCGCAATACTACCAGTGAGTCAGAATTTTTCATTGTGCTAAATTCACAATACACTGGCACAGCGGCTGCATTGTGCACCACACCCCGCAGTACGCACGCCAATCTCCATATAAGGAGTTGTTTACGACACTCACAAGACTGGACATACCATATTATAGCTAGAGGGGTGTCCCGAAAAAAATGAGGTAAAATTTGTAATTTTGGACTGGTTTTGACTTTTGGACCAAAAAGTTTTGATTATTTGACCGAAAAGGTATTTATGAATGGGAATAAATATGAGCTTGGCTGGTATTAAACATTATGTTTAAGACCGGTAGGAGTCTGGGTGCTGATAATTACCCAAGCAATCCAGACTCCAACCGGTCTAAAAACAGCGTGTTTAAAACCAGCCAAGAACACATTTATTCCCTTAGAAATGAATTCTTAAAGGGAATGTACATCATTGGCTTTTGCTGTAATTTTCAGAAATGAACTATTTGAGAGGTAAATAGATCAAATATTGTTACACTGACATGTTTGAAGTTTTGTGTTCGAAAAGGTTGGAAAAACCAAGAAAAACAAAAATGTTCAAGTAGTCTGGCTCCCTGACTCCACAAAAGATAAAATAGATCAATTTATAGATGATGGAAAATTGTAAGGCAAGGGAACCAGTCTAGCTGGCCTGCACCCGTTCATGAACATGTAACCAATAGCAAACAAAATTTGGAGTGAAAAAATGGTAAATTTGGAGCAGTAGTTGAAAAATAGTTAGGTTTTTCCAACGCTGGTCGGCCGACCACCGTTGGAAATGTTTACAAAAATACCATTTTCTTGAAAATGACTTCACACCAGGTGCCATAATTTTACAAGATGCTTGAGACTGTCATTTACCAACATCCTAGTAAGGTATTTCGTAAAAACTTGGTAGTTTTATTTTTCGATGTTTGCAAATGTTGTATATTCCCTTTAAGTTGCATATATGCTTCTTCTAATGGACTGAAAAACAAACTAGTGAGACAAATGTTGCGGATAAAGGTTTAAAATTAAAATGAGGGAAAAAAATGAAACCTTACCCAAATTTAGCATTCGTGTAGGATCTCGGGCCTCTTCCACGTCTTGACGGACCGTTCGTTTGATCTGTTGAAAGTATTTCAAAGGAAAAACGTAAAGCATTTTTTAATCCACAGCAAAGTGTAGATACGGACCACATCTTACCACATGATCTTCATCATTAACCCTAACCGCCCTGAATCCTTCAAAATCCTCTTTGCCAAAGTGGAGGAATTTGCAGGATTGAGGTTACATGGCAAAAGTGTGTTACTGATTTCGTAGGATGCACTTTGTCGAGGTCTTGGGCCGGACCTTGTGTTGTTTTTGCTCAGCCATGCATAAATATAGGCCTGGATTATGCTTGAAATCCTCTGTACTGCTCCAGGATGTCACTGGCCAAGCCTCAACATATTGACAGTCACTGCCGCAGGATTTTGCAGGATTCAGGCAGCGGTCACCCCTCCACGGACCATATTCAAGAAATAATGGAGGAATTTGCAGGATTGAGGCTACATCCTAGCAAAAAGCCTAGGGAGTTAGGGTTAAAAGGCTAAGTATTTATAATATTATCATTGGAAGCTGATGCGAGTCTTACCATGCGCCTTGCGACCGCGACCCCTGCCAGATTCACCTCCTTCCCATTTGTTACTCTGATCGTTTCTATCCCGGTCCCTGCTGGAGGAATCTGCGTCACGTCCTCGTCCTACAAAGACCAATCAAAACATCATCAGAAATTTGTTTACATTTCTTAATTCCTTCTGATAATTCTTGGGTGATACTACTCACAAAATCAAACAAGCCTACTGATTCTAATATGATGTAAAATAATCTCATATAAAAATATTTTTTATTGCTGTTTATCAATTTTGACGTGCCAGTTCTTATAATTTTTAGATATTTTTGTTAATATTTTATAAGCATCTCGTTTATATTTTTTAATCCAAATCCTTCAAAATTCTTTTTGCAAAATGAGGATTTTGCTGGATTGAGGCTATATGGCAAAAACGTGTAGCTGATTTTGGATGCAATGTGGCAAGGTTTTGGGCTGAACCTTGTGTTGCTTTTGCTCAGCCGTGCATAAATTTAGACCTATATTATACTTAAAATCCTCCACACTGCTCAAGGATGTCACTGGCTCTGCCTCAACATATTGACAGTGATTGCCGGAGGATTTTGTAGGATTGAGGCAGTGGTCACCCCTCCAAGGACCACACTCAAGAAATAACAGATGATTTTGCAGGATTGAGGCTGTATGCAATTTTTACATGGAGGTAGTTGGAGGATTTTGCAGGATTGAGATTGCATCCTAACAAAAAGCCATCTGGCTAGGATGCAACCTCAGTCCTGCAAAATCCTCCAATTGCCACCAAGAAAAAATCGGATTCAGCCTTAATCCTCCAAAATCATCTGTAATTTCTTAAAATTTAGTCTGTGCAGGGTGACCACTGCCTCAATCCTCAAAAATCCTCTGCCAATTACTGCTATGGTTTGAGGCAGTGCGAATGGCGTTTAGAAGCAGTGCGGATGAAATGCGAGGAAAAAACACAGGGCTGATTTATGCATGGCTGAACATAACCAATGCAGGATATGGCCTACTGGCTTGACGTAATGCATCCTCCACAAAAAAAGCGATACATCTTTGCCATTCATCCTCAATCCTCTAAAATCATCCAAAACCGGCAGCAGGATTTCGGATGAATAGGGATAATGTTCATATGTTTAAAGAGGTTGTGGAATGCTCAAAGACATTTCCGTCATTTTTCGGGTATATGTAGCCTAAGGTGTGATGAAATAAAAACGACTATTGTGTCTGTCATGAAATGAGTACAAAAGGTACTTTTGAGAGCTGTTTTTCAGGTCCTGTTTCGACTCGAACGTGCAATTTGTGTAAAAGTCGTTGTTCGGCGCATCAAACAAATCATAGTAAATCGTGATGTAATAAACAGGACTCGTTTATACTACGCTGCAACGGGAGTCCTGTTTATTACGTCACGATTTACTACGTTTTGTTTGCTGCCCCCAGCAAATGACAGAAATGTCTTCGAGCATTCCACAACCTCTTTAATGTTCGTTTTAACCCAAATCTCTGCATATAACACATGCATGCTGGCACATAATTTTCGCAATGCTTAGCACAACTTTCAGGGTCATTGATAGTTTTGATCTTTTTCCGGATTATCTTACACTAACCTTTGGTCATTCTCGGCGGTAGCTGAGCCCTCCCCCCTCGACCACGCCCACGGTAGTTCCCATCTCGCTCCTTATTATCCCTCTCCCTGGGCTCTTTCTCCCTGCCTCCTTTCTCTCGACCACTTCCTTCCTTCTCGCCTCTTCCCTCCTTGCTGCTGGATGTGTTATCGGACGTACTGTTACTTCCTCGTGAGGACGGGCCTGAGCTCTTGACTTTCTTCTTGCTGCTGATCGTCTCCCATTCGCCCTGGAAAAATAACAGGAGGCAGGAAAAACATGAAAAAGATGCTTCACTTTTACCTATTCTCAGGGAAACATTTGTGTTCTCAGCCTAAGTAAATCATCATCAACTAGTAAGTAGTAAGTAAAGTCTGTCGCAAGACAATGTGGCCCATCAGGCAGGCAAGTGTCTCCGGTTTCAGTAGCATGAAACGACTGAGAATATCTTAAACTTACAAGTGACCAGCTGAGCGTCTTGACCCAGAGAGCCATCAAGGAATCGATTTTCATCTTGAACAAGTTTACGAGTCGTTAGAGTTAGGGGATGAGGTCCATAGCCTCAGTAGCATGAAACGACTGAGAGTATCTCTACTCCCCATGGATGGGATGCGAGTCCACCGCAGGTTACTCCCCAGCTAATGCCGGTACCCATTTATACTCATGGGTGGAGAGAGGCAAGTGGGGTAAAGTGGCTTGCCCAAGGACACAACATATGGCCAGGAGACTGAGAATTCCCCTTGGATGGGATGCTAGTCCATCGCAGGTTACTCCCCAGCTAATGCTGGTACCCATTTATACTCGTGGGGGGAGAGAGGCAAGTGGGGTAAAGTGGCTTGCCCAAGGACACAACATATGGGCAGCAGCTGGATCTGAACCCCTGGCCCTCTGATCATGAGTTACAAACTCTAACCACTAGGCCACGCTCCTCAACTAGTGGTGGGATTTAACTCTGATATTTTTTTTTTTTTATTTGGTTTGAATTTCACTAGTCTTTAGTAACTTACCTGATCTCCGTCAACTCTTTCCAGAAGAAGGTTGATAGCTCTCTCGGGATCTTCCTGACAGTCATACAGTGCTACCATGATCTCATCTTCACTTTTGTGAGTAACATCATACACCTGCCAATCATACAAGTGAATTAGCAACTCAATCAATTATCTATACACCTGTCATAAACTGAACAGAAAACCTCTCTACAATTCTAATCATTTGAGCAAGTCCTCAATTAACCTAATCCTAAACGATGGTTTTTAAGTTCACCAGACGAAGTTTGTGAGGATTTTGTAGGACTGATGCTTCTTGAAACTTGGTAGATACAAAAAGAGTATGCCATTGGGTTCATACACAGTGGAGGATTTTGTAGGATTGAGGAAGGTACAGCCCAGCCACTAGTACTCTACATGTAGCTTAATGTCCGTTTACAGTTTAAGTATGGAAAACATGCCGTAGCTTTTGGCACAGAGGAAGATTATGAAAAAATTTCAAAGAAAAAGTCTTGGGAGTTAAGGTTACTTAAATGAAGGAGATTCTCTTTGCTCTATTAATGACAGTAAACATGTTTTTCGTACCTGTTTGATTTTTTCCACCAGTTTTTCGTCCATTTTGTTGTTGCTGGAACTGTCGGAAAACATCTGGGCAAGACGTATTTGGTCAGGTGTAGCCTGTACAGCAAATAAATGAAGGAATGTTTAGAAAATCACGTCTCAACTACACTGGCAAAGAATTCCAGCATGTCCAAGTTTGTGTGTTTGGAGGGCCATCCATCACCATATACCAGCTGAAAGAGTGTTTTCGGATCGTTCTAATGGTGTAGTTTATTCATAGTGTTACCATTACCACAAAAAAAGTGCTTCAGAAGTATCCATGCACAATATGAGGTACTGAGTGCCATTTGGTCATGTAGTGAAATGGCTTGCAGTTTGACAATTGAGATCAGATCAAAAACAGGCGTAACTTTCTTATTTTTGCACTTACGGCCCTTATTTTTACATCACATAAAAGAGTAAGGTTCAAGGAACAAACTTTACAATTAACACTTTTGGTTTTGTTCACTCCTTGGCAGTGAAAATCTGGGTTGAAAAAAGTGAGTTTTCAACTTGTGGTCCACTTTTCATGCTCTAGTGATTTCAGCATGACTGAGCAAACAATTTGGTTCTGGGGAGAGCAAGTCAACAAACAATGCGGTAATGAAAGGGTTTATTTCATACCAATACTAAATATTGACTATTGTTCACCCTTTTATAGAGTGGTCCGTACAATACAAGCACAGTCGACTTTGAACTCCATGAACAATGTAAGCTCATGTCAATACCAAAGAGATAACGAACACTTGAATGCCATAAAACTCACAAAATATTACAGGATTATGCTTGTTAGAATTCAGTAAAGGCAAACACTGGAGTCTGTGACTAGACTAGTCGGTGTCTGGTACCAAGACACCGACATAGAAAGCGAACTTGATCTGACAAGACTTGCAAGCTTTATTTTGACTGTGTTCACAGTGCCTATTGTAGAGACATCATGGCTTTGCAGGCCTTTAGATGAAAATAAGTCATGTGCCAGGGGGAGTGTCCACTTACAAACGTCGCCCTCTGACGGTGTAGCATATTTCGATCGTGTTGTGGGCATGCGCAATGGCAATTTTATCAATTGTCACCTGATCATGCACAATTTGCGAAACTCGTCATGTTGCGAAACTCGCCATGTGTTCAAGTCATGTTTTTGCACATCAGTCTTGCCACTGTGTATGTAAGTGGAGCTTGTCAAACTATGCACCAAATTATACTAAGACTTTCAAATTCACCCACAAAATTCTGCATTTCATGATTAAATTCCTAAAAAGTACATCAATCGTAACATAATACTCACCAAAATACGGAAATTTGGCCCCAAAAAAGCATGAAAAACCTTAAAAAGTATGCTATGAGAAAAATGCTAATAACACGTACGGGAGTAACAAATTTCAGTGCAGTGAAAAAGCATTCAGTGTTGATTTCAGAGAATTGGAATATGATGTGGTAATACACCATGTGACCTTTTTAACCAATGAGAAGCTTGGAAACTACGGAATCCCTTATCGATGCATTGGTTTATCCATAACAGTGTGACATAACGTAATGACATCGCTGTTCGCTAGTTATTTGCATATTTTATGTCCATGAATTGTGACAGCGATGTTTGATTATGACGCCTATTGTTTCTTAGCAGTGTCTGTCGCAATGTCCTACCTTCTTGATCACTGGCGTATCCCCCGCTCCGGACTTGCTCGCTGTTTGTGACGTGGATTTAGAGGCGGGTTTGTCCCGCCCCCCACTGCGTGTGTTTCCCCTGGTGGAACCCATAGAGGACATCATATACAGTATATACAAAACAATGTATGTACAAGTAGTTGTGTTTTTTCTGCCAAATCGAAAGAGAAGAAAAAGCGATTATTATTGTCCAAAATCAAAAACAGACGTTGCGGGTCGAAGCGTAAAATGTCCCCTCTTTGTAATTGTATGAAAATGGCAATAACGATGTCAAGATACTGTACTAAAACGATGACAGACAGCAAAATGAAGCGTCATGACGTCATGTGTGTTCCAAGGTTGACGTTTATCACAAATAATGCTCGGCAAAAAAAAAGAAAGAATGTTCTATCCAGACGCCACTTCAGCGATGGTGGACAAAGTCTATGGCGAGTCAACATTTTCAAAGTATTTTCCAACAAAATTGGAAATGTTTCTCCATGCCTTTTCAACATTTTTGCAATGACTGACCTTCATTGAGATGATATATGATGAAAAAGTGGTGTCAGGATGCAACATTCTTGCCCCCCAAAAAACTAAATATAGGCCCTAGATTGGCAAGAAAAACTCATTTGCTTGCAACCCTGCAAGTTGAAAACTTTGACAAACAATAAAGTTTTAGTGAAAAAATTCACACATTTCAACCGCAAATTCAACCGCAGAACATGTAGAAATATATATTTGTAGGAAAAACTTTTTCAGATAATCCATAAATTTTCAATACTTCACATTCTGGGGGCTACACTGTGACAACATGAAAATATTTCACATCGATTTCTGGGACAAGAACTTATCACAAGTTTTACCATAAATACTTCAAAACATACAGCTGCAACTGCAAGAGCATTTTTCCTCTAAGTTGACAATTTAAGATGCACTAAAACAAAATTTTCAGTTACAAAATTCAAAATTTCTTTTTGGATGATGACATACATGTAAATTCTAGTCTTACTCAAGAAACGGTGCAAGTTATGAATTTATCACACACACATGGGACACACAACGCAAACTCAAACTTTATATTCCACGACCTGACGACTCAAAACATGTGCAAAAACGTGTTCAGTTTCTGTTTTTACTGAACAATCTTCAATTCTTGAGTCGTTGAAGGACAGGTTTAACTCATATTAAGCTTTTACATCAGTAGAAATTTTACATCAGAACTTAATTTGAGGAAGTATTTTATGCCGATATTTATATTGCTACACGCAAATCTATGCAGGACACGTAATGCCATACAAATGACGCATGCTTGCCAACGAACAATAACATGACATGGCCAACTCGCACATGACGAACACGCAGTTACGTCTCGCAAAGATGACGCCATGCTAGAAAACAGTTTTTGCTGATTTTCCAACCCGAAAACTGCCAGCAAATGTGCGATCCACACTTCCTCAAACCCTATACATGACGATTACCAAAAATGAGATGATTTTAAAGTGAAAAACACGTTTAAAATGTCTTAAATTTCGGCAACAAAAGCCGTGTCGTTTACCTGCTTCGGAGAGTTCACAAAGCCGTTGTCACGTGACCTTAACTAAAAAATTTGCGCGGCCATACTTCCGGGGATGACGTCACATTGACCCCGGGGACACACGCCCTATATTATTTTCTCACATTTATAAGTAATTGAATATAAAGATAATAAAAAATTTACACCAAATGCCTACATGTACAGGTTCACATTCGCAAAATATCGACAAACATTATTCATTGTGCTGATATCGTTGACTATGATTGAAGTAATGTATTCTTTTGGAGGATTGAAAACTCCAGATTTTGTTGGGCGTGTATCCTAACGAGACAGGGGAACCCTAGTTCTGTGGGTTGTTGTGTGTCATCATTCGGTATAAATTAAAAACCTGAGTTATAATTGTTGAAAGTTTGTATTGAACCGCCTTTTGATGGTGGGCGCACAAATTGGGGGCACATTTTTAAGGAAGTTTTGAAAAGAAAAAAAATAAGAATTCACTATTCTGAGAAATGCAGGAATAAAAAAGAATACCTGAAAAAAATGTTTCTGTCATAGACAAAAAAGTTTCACAAATTTGGTTTGTATATAGGTCTAGACGTAAGAATGTCATTATTTTGTATTATTTCAACATGACAACGTTCATATTAACATTTTTTCAAATTAACCAAAAAGAATAATTGTGATTACTTTCAAGTCGTTTGACCGTCTTGATTTATTTTTGATGGGCTGTTTTTCTTTAATGTAGGCCTACACCGTGTTTGTCATCAAATAATTGTTTTCACTGAATTCGCTTCTGCATACCAAATGGTAGCAATCTAAAAAGGTTACGTAGTAACAAAAATATTAAAATTCCTCTAGATATCCGATTTTTACATCATTTTCCTTGCGTTTCTTTCTATCTTTACACATTTTACACGGTATTATAGCTCAACGCGCTGACGTCATGCAGGCGCTCCCAATTAAAGCGCGCAGGGGTTAACTTTTCAAAATGAGCGACAGCCTATACGGGATAGTGCCAGCAAAAAAAAATAAACAGACTAAAACAGGCACACAAATACTGAGGTGAATGCATTCAAAACTAACCCTTGACAATGAGTTGACTATAATCCGCATATGCTGCTTAATTTAAACGGCCACTGAAGAAGGGGAATAGCGCCCTCAAGTATATAGCGCTTGCCTTCGCATTCGCTCGTACCCCGCCCTGTTTGCAGGGCGGGGTACGGGCGAAGCCATCGCAGTCATAAAAAATTCTAACTTTTTGCGCCCTCACTGGGCGCGAACTATTTCTTAACGTGCAGGAGTGAGATGTGAGGATACGAGTGGTGTTAAAAAAGGTAGTGTTCCAAAACAACAGACATAATAATAAGGTGGATATGAAGACTAAACGTCGGGTCGCAAATACACGCAATCCTCAGTTTTTGGAGCCGAGAATTTTAAACTTTCTTAAGAGGGCAGGACATTTGTACTCCAAATTAAAAGTGTTTGGAAATTATTTTGTGTGTTCCTCTGCAGGTAAAATTAGCAGGAGAAGGTTTCGGAAAGTATATTGGGCCGCGCACAGCGTCAAGACGAGCACACCACGGAGTGAAACCTGCTCAGGCTGACAGCCTACTCTATGGCAATTTACGCACTGAAACAAACTCAAACAAAATATTCTTGCTTATGTCACAATTATTATTGACCTACGTCGAGGTAAATACCCCGTTAACCCCACCCCTTACTCTGGGCTTCCACCCCCGCTTCCTAAGGACCATCCTCCGGTCCAAGTCTGTGTCATCCCGGTCCATCAAACTACGAAGACCAGTACGATTATCCAACACCACCCCGGCGCGGTCGGCACTGAATTAGCTTTGGCGACATTCATCAGAATGATCTGCAGGTTTCCATGTCAAGTTTATGTCAACAAACACTCACGTCAGAGCTCACTTGGTGCTTCCTGATCATGGATCGACCATTCTTCTCTGCCGCACCTCATAGCCATCGTCCTGCTAATATCCGTTGAAAAAAACTTGTACTTTGTTTCTTCACAGGATGTCCTGTGCCCTATCATGGTTCAATCCATACAGGGAGTGCCAGTCGGGATCGGGGTATATAATAGGCAATATTTGGCAGATATCCACAACAGTAGCCAAAAACTGGTGCAGCAGAACTGATCAATCCAAACGTTTTCTCAAACTTTATTCCTCAAGTAGCACGATGCATAAACTCATCTTCATCTGTCTGATGTGTTGGTGTTGCGCCTTACAGACAACTGGACTCGTGGTTACCTTGCAAAAAGGACCCAAAAACACTAGCGTTACTGAAGGCGTTACGGTCACATTAGACTGCATATTCCATGGCCTTAGTCCAAGCTTTGTGTATTGGTACAGACATGAAACTGCTGAAGTCATCAGCTTGAATAGTTTCATCAGCAGCGACATTGAGCAAGACAGGCAGACTAGATACAAAATCATCGGCAACATTTTCAATTATAACTCCTCACTACAGATGAACGATGTGAAAGTAACCGATTCCGGTACATACAGCATTTACTCCGACGTTTCCTTTCGCAATCAAGACCATATTGCAACAGCTACACTAACAGTGCATCCCAATAAACTTGGTAATAGCAGTTCCATACCGAGATGCATGTTGTCCGCGGCACCGGCACAGAACACTGAAAATGGTAATTTAGTTAACCTCACGTGCCTACGAAACACAGACCACGACTTTGAAGGTTCGTTAACACCAGAACTGATCTGGTACAGGGAGTCTCCCGATGACGTCATCAGTGAGCCACAAAGAGACCAATCAATGATGAGTCTCTATCTTCATCCTGAAGACAATGGAGTGGAATTCACCTGTAGATTGCAGTATCCTCAACTGGGGGAACTTGGACGCACAGTCGGGGGAGAATGCTCCATGATGCCGCTGCGTATACTGCCGTCATCGTGGATTGAACCGTCAGGCGAAGTACGAGTTCAAGAAAACAGTGATGTCATCTTCAGTTGCAATGGAACGGGTATCCCGGCCATAACGGCATACCAGTGGAGGACACACCCAGAGCTCCCCTTGAACAGATTCGAGTTAAAGAACGATGGAAGAGTGCTACGGATAAAAGACTTACAGAAAGAAGATGACGCACTGAATGTGACCTGCTTGGCTCAAATCGCATCAGGACTCACAGGCGATGTATCATCAGCAATACTGAAAATCAATGGCAGTAACACAACAAACATGCCGAACGACATGTTCAATGTACCAGCTGTTATTATCCCGATCCTCGTAGTGATCGTAGTTATGATTTTGCTGGGGATTATTTGGAAGTACATTCAACACAAACGCAAGAACACACCGGTCTCGAAAAGCTCAAAGGACGCCGCCAAGTCCAGATCCTCCCCCAGAGAGGAGGGTGGAGTTCCCGCCACGCCTTCACCTCTACCACCCCGTCTTGCTCACTACGACTACCCATCTACACCCTCTTCAACTCATAGTTCCCACTCCAATAAGAACTACATATACACAGATCTTGATTCCAACAGTCATCATGAATATTTGGATCTAACTGGTATCGGTAAAAACCATCATTTGAATAACGAGAATGAGTACACGGATTATCTGCCAACAGAGGGCGCTACAGCTATCGCCACCGCGACACAAGATCTAGATGCAGATGATTACGAAACTTTTGAAATAGGCAATTAATATTTTCGAATTGATATATAAAGAATAATGTTTCACCACTGTGTCAAAAGCGATCACCGTTTTAAAAGTCTCTTTATATATGCCAGACGATCGTCCGTCGACCATGCACCTGAATTTTAATTACTGAGAGACAATTTTTCCTCCAAAAGATAAAACAGGAAATGTACTTTTTTGGTAGGTTCAGCATTAACAACTATATTTATAACTCTTTGGATTTTTGACATATATTGTCTCTGTTTGCCCTCGTTCGAGTTGGAGTCATCGAGTGAAAAATAATTACTAAGTAACTCTTGCGACATGGAAAAAAGGTTTTTGAGTGAACTTCTGCGTCCATTATTTAACGGTGACTCAACACATTCATTGGGGTTTTCAAAGTCAAGCGCCTAACTCGAAGTGTTGTAGCGTGAATTGAAACAGAAAGCTCCAATGGATTAGTACAAGTTCGAAATCATTTGCAAAGGGAATTTGTTCTTCAATTATTGAAAGTAACTCGGGCCGGCCTGTACACAGTAGTCGACAGTGCAATAATGGACCGATCCAGTAAGCATCGCCCCATCCCCATGGTGGTCTGACCAATCACAGCCGTGATTTAAGTCCGACGTGCGTGCACAAAAGTCCAACATGCGCGCACGCGCGTATGATGCGCGCGGCAGGAAAATGCAGTGTGGCATTGGAGAAAGTACTAGGAGCACTTGTTAATTTTCCCAGGTGCGCAGTGGGCGGGACTTACTGGATCGGTCCATTGTAAGAATAATTTCATAAGGTGACAGATGGAATGTTCCAGAGGCGAAGCTGAGTGGAATGGAACGTTCCATCTGTCGCCCAATGAAACTATTGCTTTCATTGCACGAATGTGATACTTGTACATTCAGATGCCCGAATAAATCCTTGTCATCTGATTGGTCAGAGTCACAATTGGTGGACCGCGCGGAGACCGCGAATTATTCCCCCCCCCCCAAAAAAAATGTGATCAACGACCGACCAATCAGATGATGGGGATTTGGTCAAGCATTGTATAAAACACTACACCACTCACTTTAGACTAGACTAAACTCGTTACATTCCCTTTTAAAATATATTTATGTCTGATGTGTATATAAGGTAAAAAGTATCGTGATGGCGTTGTTGGTTATAAAGTTAAACTCATTAAATGATGTTTTCTGCAAGTGTTTAGTTTTAATTGCTGAACAAGAAAGTATTTAGTTAAAGTATGTATTTTTAAACCTGGCCATGATTCGACTAGACTCACTTCCAGTCTGAATGAGGTTTAGAACATTATTGTATTATCAGCAAGTTATATGTATTGATATGGGATGGGCAGTTCGTTGAAATGGTCGAAAATTACAAGATAATATAAGACTTTAATATTAATTAAGATTGAAAGTACTTGTATATTTTTTGGGGGGGAAAACATGTGGGTTTAAATATATGTATACACACTACTATTATTATCGAACTTAAAAGGCAGAATGAAAATTGATTAAGCTGTTCTGATAATAAACATTAAAAAAATCAATGAAAAAAAAACAAAGCAAACTTGATTTACATAATGAAGTCTTAAAACTACGTTTGGCTTTGCAATCCCGACTAGATTTTCCGGGCTTGTGCAAAACATCCATTAGGCCGAGTAAAAAGTAAAATAGTTTCTCGTCTGGCTTTTTTAAATAACAAAGGATTCCCCCCCCCAAAAAAAAAGTGGTCTATTTTTTTACACCAACTTTTGTTGTCCGAAGGAGTCATATCTCTTTCTACAAAGCTACAAATTTGATAGAAACAAATAAAAAGACAATATATTAACATTATTTGTACAAAATATGGCAAAGGTATGAATTAAAGGGAATATACATCATTTGCTTTTGCTGTAATTTTCAGAAATGGATGGAATTGGGGGGTTGGAAATATATAGCAAATATAGTTACAATGTACACTGACTTTTTTGAGGTTTTGGGTTCGAAAATGCTATAAAAACCAAGAAAAACGATCATTTTCCTGTAGTCTGGTTCCCTGACTCCATATAAGAAGAAACAGAGCAGTTTACATACATTGGGGAATTGTAAGGTCAGGGAACCAGTCTAGCTGGCTTGTACCCGTTCATAGGTGTGTAATCGATTGCAAACAAGTGCGATGGTCAATTGGGGACAGTATTTGAAAAAAAGCCAGTTTTTTCCAACGCTGGTCGGCCGACCAGCGTTGGAAATTGATACAAAAATACCACTTTTCTTGAAAATGACAGTATACCAGGTGCCATGATTTTACAGGATGCTTTACACTGTCATTCACTAACAGTCCAGCAAGGTATTTCAAAATGATTTGGTAGTTTTATTTTTTGATGTTTGCAAATGTTGTATTTTCCCTTTAAAAAAAAAAAGGTTAAAAAAGGAGGCGGCAGGAAAAAGCAAGTGGACGGGAATGAGAAACTGGTTTAATTTTTGACTAGGCCTCCATGACAAAAAAGTTGAATTCTTTAAGCACTATGCGTGATACTTGTCTCTAAGCAGCTACGATAGATTCCTATCGATGTTTTGCTGTCTTCTTCTTTGGTGTTTTACTCTTCATCATGCCTAAGAAATAAACATAAAAATTACCAATTATTTAAAGAAAACCAATTACATTGGCCGTTCACAAAGGAATATATTTGGCAGAGTCCCTTCATAAATAACAGTACTGGCAGACTTACCATTGACAGTGACCTTTGACCTTGTGGCATAACCTTTGACCTCATGAGCATCTGGTATCTGTGTCTTGGCCTGTCTTGGCGTATTCTCAACTTTCTTGGCATTGACACTTGTTTTCTTGGATGACTTTCTTGAAGGTGTTGATACCTGAGTTTTGGCTGGCCTCTTGCGTGGTGATTTCTTTTTATTTTCAGTGTTTACTTTAGCTTTCTCTTCTGCCTTAGCTTTCTGAGAAAAAAAGCAAAAAGATTATACTTATTGATACTGCATAAAACGTACCATAGACTATAATACCTAAAAATGTTAGATTGAAGGGAATGTACACGTACAACATTTGCTTTTGCTGTAATTTCCAAAATGGATGGATTTGGGGGTTAGTATTTTATAGCAAAAATTGACACACTGATCTGTTTACAGTTATGTGTTCATAAATGCTGGAAAAACCAAGAAAAAGTGCTGTTCTTGTAGTCTGGTTCCCTGACCCTACTTTAAACGAAACAGAGCAGTTAATAGACTGTCAGGCCAGGGAACCAGACTAGAAGGCTTGTGCTTGTTCATGGATGTGTTACCGATTGCCAACAAAATGTGGAATAACTACATTTTGTAAATTGAGGGCAGTATTTGAAAAAGTCAGTTTTTTTTCCAGCAATGGTCAGTCGACCGTCATTGGAAAGTGATACAAAAATTCCACTTTTCTTGAAAATGACAGCACACCAGGTGCCATGATTTCACAGGATGCTTGAGACTATTATTCATTTACAGTCAAGCAAGGTATTTCACAATATTTTGGTACTTTGATATTTTGATGCTTGCAAATGTTGTATATTCCCTTTAAGAATAGTTGTTCTTCATTAAGAAACATAACTTGGAGAGTTATCTTTCCCTATGTCCTTATAACATTGTAATCACATAATTATACACTCACCAGATCAAATAACAATAAAATTGAAGATTGTCTTATTGATACGAACCTTCTTGGGGGATTCCTCATCGTTGGCTGAAGCAGTTTCTTTCTTCTTTCGCTTCTTAACTGGACTTCTTGATTTGCTTTCTGTAATTAAAACAAAAGAGGCATTTCCATAACAAAGGTACAAACAAAGTGACAGTACATGTAACACTTGTATTGGATCATCAGTCCTACATCTACAAGTCCATCACAAGTCCTCACAAGTCCATCACAAGTCCATCACAAGTCCATCACAAGTCCAACACAAGTCATCACAAGTTCATCACAAGTCATCACAAGTCCATCACAAGTCAATCACAAGTCCATCACAAGTCCATCACAAGTCATCACAAGTCCATCACAAGTCCATCACAAGACCTCACAAGTCCAACACAAGTCCTCACAAGTCCATCACAAGTCAATCACAAGTTCCTCACAAGTTCATCACAAGTCCATCACAAGTCCATCACAAGTCCATCACAAGTCCTCACAAGTCCATCACAAGTCCATCACAAGTCCTCACAAGTCATCACAAGTCCATCACAAGTCATCACAGGTCAATCACAAGTCCATCACAAGTCCATCACAAGTCCATCACAAGTCATCACAAGTCCATCACAAGACATCACAAGTCCATCACAAGCCATCACAAGTCATCCAAAGTCATCACAAGTCCATCACAAGTCCTCTAGTCCCAAGTCAACTCACAAGCTATTCAAATGAACTCAGACAAAGGCATTCCTTTGTTACTGATCATCCCCTGTTACTTGTGACTGGACTTGACAATTGACTTGTGATTGTCTTGCGATCCATTTCATGCAACACTATCAATGGAAAGAAATAAAAATGACGATTTTTGCAAACTGTGTTCTTACCTTTTGGAGCCATAGGCCCAACAGGTCCTTTGAACCAGATCGTTCTCTTATTGTGATCGACGAGGTTATTCATATCAGGTTGATAGTAGCATTGCAACCAGGCGTTAAACTTGGAATAATCTGCGGATTTCCCTTCTGGATCGTAGCCCCCTCCTCCTGAAACAAAAATCATCAATGAGAAAGAAATATTACGTAATTAGTATATCACTTCAAACAAACAAATAAATAGTGTTAGTTAAGTCTTTCACAAGTCCAATCACACGTTAATCACAAGTCCATTCAAAATAATAATAAAAATAATAATGTGGGGCTTATATAGCGCTTTATACCAAAGGTCTCAAAGCGCTTCACAATTATTACCCCTGTTCATCAGACCATGAGACCAGTTTTTACAGCAGCTCGAGATCAGTGCATTCTGGTCTCTACCTTCACAGGTACCCATTTATACTCCTGGATGGAGAGAGGCAATTGTAGTAAAGTGTCTTGCCCAAGAACACAAGCACATGTTCCTTGTCAGGGTTCCAACCCAAGTACCACGGCAGTGAGTCAAGCACCATAACCATTGAACCGCAGCGCTCCATAGAGGATGAACTGAGCCAAAGAAAAGCCTTTGTCCAAATTCATTTGTTACCTAATTGCGACTTGATTTGAAAACTGGACAACTTTTGGGGATTTAGTTAAAAATTAATCCCCGCCAGACACCAACACATTCTTACCTAAGTTTACCACTTCCAGTGGAACCGTGTGACACAGATGAAGTATGTCGACTTTAGGATCTTCAACTTTGACCTTGACCTCTTGACCTTTCACCTTTGGCTTGACCTCTGGTGGGTCCTCATTCAGCCCTTCCAACACATTCCGAGCTTTCTCAAATGGTGCTATTGAAAGCCTAAATTGGAGAAAAAAATTAATATTTTAAACTTCCACATATTTCACATTAATTCCTTTTACTAATAACATCAATATCTACTTTCTACGATCAAAGGTAGAAATAGTTCTTCAAGCCATGGGCGTCGCGAGGGGGGGCACTTGCCCCCCCCCCCCTGGAAAAGCAAAAAAAAAAAAAAAAAAAAAAAAAGGAAGAAAAAAAAGGGAAGAAAAAGAGGCGCGAAGACAAAGTGGTGTAAATTAAATGAGTTGGGGGGGGGGGGCAAAATGTCCCTGCCCCCCTCTAAAACTGATAAATCGAGAATGTGTTGAGAAATACAAGCATTTTTTGGCAAAAACAATTTTTTGCCCCCCTCTAGAAAAAATCCTGCCGACGCCCATGCTTCAAGCTTTTATTGATAAAACTTTGTTAACTGATTTTTGACATTGGAACCTGTAGAGTATTTCGGCTCGGAGGTAGTTTCCGATTCCATTGAAGTATTTCTGATTCAGAAGAACCTCACAAATAGGTCGATCAAAGGCACTGGACTTGATGTTCTTCACTACATTTGACCTGCAATTAAACAAATAGAAAATTAACAAAATATCTTCAAACTAGTTTTGTAAAGTTAAAATTGCAGCATTGATCCAAAAGGCAATTAATTTAATCTGTTGATTAGAAAGGAAACAATGTAATGATGTTTTATGTTTTTGTTATTCATATCACATGTAAACACTTTGCCATGTTTAAGAACCATTTATTGAAAGAATGTTGCAACCTGTCGCCACTTTTTTTCATCATATATCATCTCAGTAAAGGTCAGTCATTGCAAAAATGTTGAAAAGATTTATCTGGGACTGAGAAACATTTCCAGTTTTGTTGACTATGTATACAACTGCGCGCTGCTAAAGCGGCATCTGCATACTACGTTCTTTCCCCATGTTTATTTCCATACATGCCAAATAACTAAAATAAATCAATTAATGAATTAATAAATCTAAAAAAAAATTGAAATTTGGCTGCTTACCGGAACAGTTGATATTCAAACATGGGATCGGGTCCTCTGACTTTAGACCAACCAGCGTCAACTTCCCATCTTCCAAATCTGCGGACGTCCACATGACTCAAAACCATAGCTGGATCATCGTTCGTAAAAAACTGAAGATGAGAATGTTTATGCACCTCGGAAACTGTCGTGAACTGAAACTTTCCTGACATTCCAAACCGGAACAAAATCTTCATTGTTTTCAGGTTGGCAAGGTTTTTGGGCTTTTTGCCTCTGCCTTTTGACTTCGGAGGGTTTTCAATCTCTGACAGAATAAGTTGCATTTCTTTCCCGCGAGAAGCGGCCGTGATGATGTATGATTGCGCGTGGAATGGAACTTCGTCACTTTTGTGGACTGGCGATTTGACAACTTTACCCGTAAAAACGCGGCCACTGCAAACTCTGTTCACAAACCGACTTGCAAGGTGAAGCTCTGGTCCTTCGGGCATGATGAATATCAGACTTGGAAATGAATTTAGGAGAGAATTTTCCGAGTTCGTCCAGTTATCAACTGTCCACGCTGCACACGTGAGATTTTACGTAAACACCACTCATAAACATTACACAATTGTGCCCGTCTTCGGTCTGAGCCAGATTACTAATGGGGTAAACTGAGCTTCGGAATCCGCATAACATATGGCACGCGCAATTAAAGAAAAAACATTTATAAAAATCCAAATATTTTACTGTACATCTTTAGCGTTAAAGGGAATGTACATCATTGGCTTTTGCTGTAATTTTCAGAAATGAACTATTTGAGGGGTTAGTATAATAGGTCGAATATTGTTACACTGACATATTTGAAGTTTTGTGTTCGAAAATGCTGGAAAAACCAAGAAAAGCAAAAATATTCAAGTAGTCTGGTTCCCTGACTCCACTAAAGATGAAATGGATAAAAAATACCGGAAAATTGTAAGGTAAGGGAACCAGTCTAGCTGGCCTGCACCTGTTCATAAACACGGAACCAATAGCTAGCAAAACAAAATTTAGACTTAAAAAAAAGGTAAATTTGGAGCAGTAATTGGAAAATAGTTAGGTTTTTCCAACGGTGGTCGGCCGACCAGCGTTGGAAATGTATACAAATATACCATTTTCTTGAAAATGGCTTCACACCAGGTGCCATAATTTTACAGGTTGCTTAAGCATGTCATTTACCAACATTCTATTAAGGTATTTCGTAACAACTTAGTAGTTTTATTTTTCGATGTTTGCAAATGTTGTATTTTCCCTTTAAATAAACATGTTGAGTATTCATTATTCAGGGAATAAATGTGTGCTTTGGAGGTTTTAATCACTCTGCTAAGACCGCTACGCTTGGAGTCTGGGTGCTGATACCAAAATTAAGAGGCCATATCCCAGAAGAGGAACATTAAATTAGGCAATTTCTGCACTGAGAATTAATTGCGAAGCTGATAACTTTTTTTAATTTTTTTGGCTGCCCATACCCTGCGGCCACCTACCCAACATGGAATTCCAAGTCGGCCCTTATTCGCACTTGGCCGCCCAATATAAATGCCATGCTCAGTACCTACAGCATTGCATACTGGGTAACAGGAAATAGCAGACGACGCGCGCCACATTCACAAAAACAAAAGCTTTAAACTAAAATGGCACGAAATAAATAAACAATCCAAATAAATAAGATTATCTCTTTTATTTCTCCAAGGGAAAACAAAGTTTTGAGCATTCAATGATTGTGAAGTCTTAAAGAACACCAGTTACTGAATTTTGTTATACATGTAGTGCAGGCTCAAAGTTTTAGCATGGATAAATGATAGTTAAAACATGGAGAAATTATTTCTCCATGGTTAAAATATGAACATCTAATTTGAAGTGTACATTATTAATATTTTTAAGAGTTTGGAAGAAATTTTTTTGTCTGAAGGAACTTGTCCCAAACAAAAACATGCAAGGCCCAACAAAAATAAAATTCACATCTATACTTTTCAAGCATAGACATTTCCCACATTTCCCATAAAAATATTCACATTCGTCTAAAAAAATCGATATAAAGTCGCATTTGTCATATTTACAGCAACATTACCAATACCACGTCAAGCTACATCATGGTAAAATATATTCCACTTTTTAAAAGTAAGTCTTACCCTAACCCATCTCTATCCTCCAAAATCCTCCTGCCGGTTTTGCATGATTTTAGAGGATTGAGGATGAATGGCAAAGATGTATCGCTTTTTTGTGGAGGATGCATTACGTCAAGCCAGAAGGCCATATCCTGCATTGGTTATGTTCAGCCATGCATAAATCAGCCCTGTGCTTTTCTCGTATTTCATCCGCACTGCTTCTAAACGCCATTCGCAATGCCTCAAACCACAGCAGTAATTGGCAGAGGATTTTGGAGGATCGAGGCAGTGGTCACCCTCCACAGACTAAAATTCAAGAAAATAACGGATGATTTTGCAGGATTGAGGTTGCATCCTAGCCAGAGGGCCTGCCTAGGGGATTAGGGTTAAATTAGAATTTCAACCAGAAATGCAGATGTTATAATACATTTATTTTACTTTTTGGTCATGTGAAAATTGTGTTTTTCACCGTGCAGAGTATAAGCACAGATTCAATATCGGGTTTTGCCTTTCACCGAAGTATTTCATAAACACTGTATACTCCGTGTTGTCTCGAGTGATTGTGAGACAAAATCACTCAGGTGGGACTCGAACCCACGACCTCCTTCTTACTAGGTGCAGACGTCTTACCACTCGACCACCGAGCTTTATAAGCACAAAGAACAGCAATGACCACATTAACATGCCATTGGGCATTGATTAAAAAAATTAGAATCAGAGAATTTTCAAAATATTTTTAAAAAGTCGGGCACAGGGAGGCTAGTTTTACTACACCACGAGATAAAGCAGTCAATATTTGTTTTATAACACCTCTCCCATAGATTCTGCTTGATTTTAAGTGATAACTAATTAATTTATTCTGAGTACAATTAAAATTTACTTATATTTGAATATGAAATTAGTGGAAAATTAACTTGCACTTTTTCTAACTACCCCTTCATGAAATGTTTGAACCCAGCTCTGCAGCACTAGCGCTTGGGAACAATGCGCGCAACGCGCAATGCACACACCGTATGCATTTGCACACAATGCATATAGCACTTTGGTTGCTATGGGTATAGTAATTTTGGCCGTGCACAGCAAGATAGCAAAAGTAGCAAATGCCATGTGACTCACTCTCGGCCAATCAAGATACAGAATCTGTGGGTGAGGTGTTATAATTTTAATTATGTTTTTAGCCTTAAAAGTGCAGAATATTGACAACTTTGAAGCACCAAAATTGATTATGACTGGGAAGCCCATTTATCATTTTAATTGTTCTAAACATTAACATATAAACAAAGTAACCCTTAAATCAGTTTTGTCAAAAAAAATAACTAAATTTTAGTGTGTTTTGACTGTTTGGAAGAACAAAGAAAATGACACCGAATACTTGTTTCAACAACTATAGCCTGGTACACAATATCTTTAATAACAACCCTACTTTGGCCAACAATAGGATTTATAAAATCCACTTTTTTTTTACAGACGGGCCTTGAAAAGGACTTTGTTGAATATTGTTAACTTCTAAACTGAGGTTTTATCGCTGGTGATGTTTGAAGACAATTGAAACGACAATTCTTGAGATTGATCATATTTTTGGACGAAAAAGATTTTAGGGTCATTGTGTTTAAATGGTGATATAATTTGAACGGATTGAACAACTGAAGTAATTTTTCTTTTATCTAAAAGTACTTGATTAAATTGGCTTACCAGTCATTTTTATTTTTGGTGCTACATATTTTTTTAAATATGAAATATATTTCTCTGGGTTTGGGTTCTGCTTTTTTGACTCGCCCTATATAAACCAAATAATGAATGTTTCACGTTCGTGCAATGGAAAGAATAATTTCAGTTGGTGACAGATGGCATGTTCCATTCCACTCAGCGAACCATTCAATCTGTCAACGAATGAAATTACTGTTACCATTGCACTCATAAACATTCATTATTTGTATATTATGTTCTCCTCCCATGAGTTGTCAAAAGAGCGCCACCTATGGTTCATGCACAGAGCCAATAGAGCTGCTATGGCCAAGTTCGGGCAAGGACCATTAGTCGACTAGTGGTTGATTTGTGACGTACCTTACGCCTGCGCACTAATAGCAAAGTGCGAACGTCTCTAGTCAAACGCTGGTCAATGTCATTGCAAAACGTCTGGATCCTGGCTCCCTGCTGTACGTTATGAATACGCACGGCTATTGGTTACCAGCGAAGCAACCAACCCCAGTAGGTTGGTTCCAAATAGTCGACTAGCGTAGTTGACCATCGTCGACTAGACATAGTTCGGGCAAGCATTAGTCGACCAATGGTTAACTATAGTCCTTGCGCGAACTTGCCCTATGCCATTCCTAGGTTGAAGTCCTGTTGATGTTTTACTTGACAGCTAGCGTTGTGTCTGTTGCAGCTGGCAATGTCGGAATCCTCTCAACTGTCGCCTGCTTCATTTTCATCTCGATGAACTTAATCTTCCAGTTATTCTCCTTAAGAGGATCTCGGATGAGTCCAAACTGTTGCTCAAATAGTCCCAAGCACTCATTAAAGCGATGAACAGTCCCGCAAACCCTAACCATCACAAGTCCGTGAGGGTCGTCTAACCCCTGCGTTCCTTCATGACTAATGTTAGGGTTAAAAATCAAGCCCTCGTCACGAACAAAGCTTTGAAATCTCTGAGATACACACTCGGCGCCGAAGAAACGTTCATCGCGTTGTTCGGACGTTGTGATACAAAGCCTGAGTTTACAGTCTTCCCAGAAGTGGTGCGGTCCCCAGACGCTTGGGGTATCGCTTGCCATAGCTCGACCGAGCATGTTAAGCTGGTTGAAGAACCACGCGGCAAATTGTTCAGCGAGTACTTGTGCATTTCTTGGTTTGCGTTCTGACGTAAGATCCGGGGATGGTGTTCTGTCTTTCGCAGGACTCTCTCTCCAATCCTCGAATGAATAAAAATGAAAATAACTTAGTTTGAGTTTCTTTAAACTTCGAAAAAGTATTATAACACAAGTATAGTTGATAATCAATCAGTATAGTATACAAATATTGAATGCTTCGAGTGGCGTAGTAAAACTAGCCTCCCGAGGTGATCCATGGACATTCTATTTCCCGAGGCGAAGCCGAGGGAAAATAGAATGGTCCATGGATCACCGAGGGAGGCTAGTTTTACTTCACCACGAGATAAAGCATTCAATATTTGTTTTATAACACTTCATTCACAGATTCTGCTTGATTTTAATATTTTAAATTATTTAAATCTGAACACAGTTGAAATAAACTTCAATTTAAATACAAAATTGGTGGAAAATGTATTTCTCTCTTACCCCTTCACGAAATGTTTGAACCCAAGTCTGTGGCGCGCTCTCTTTGGAATAATACGCGCTACGCACAACGCGCAATGCGCACACCAGCATCCATTTGCACACAAATACCGCGCCGTGGAAATAGTACTTTGGTTGCTAATGGTATAGTACTTTGGTTGCTATGGGTATAGTGCTTTTGGCCGTGCACAGAAAGATAGCAAAATTAGAAAGTAACATGTGACTCGCTCTCGGCCAATCAAGACACAGAATCTGTGGGTGAGGTGTTATAATAATGTTTATGGTGGAAGCATTGTGCCAGCTATAGAGCCTAAAAGTTCACCCTGGTGACGCACTTCCAAAACCATTGAATTAGAAAAATGACATGCAAAAATTCAACAATTTGTATATTTTCAGTACATTGATTCCTTAAGAAAATCACCTTCGAAAAAGGCCTTTGGGAAATTGTTACTAGCATCTCTATTTATGGAAACTAAAAAATCATCTGACGTAAAAGAGAAATACATGTATCGTGCCAAAAATTGACCTCTCACTTCCAAAAATCTAAAATACATGTCGACTAGTGGAACTCGGTGTACTAGTACAAAGATGAAAAAAAAATTGAAATAATTTGTGGCGGTCATTGGTGAAAACGGAAACTTAAATAGGAGACTAAAATGTCTCTCAGGATACACAATTTTGTTGAGTAAACTTAAAGGACTCATTAGCACTTACAAAAAAATCTAAAATGACCGCTGATATGGACTGCATTCAAGCCAGCATGACTAAATCTAGAACCCATCGGCTGTAGGTAGGTAAATCTTTGCGTCGTTATACATTTTCATTCTCACGCAAGTATGCAATGTGAAAACGAACGTGAACGAAGAAAGGATACCTAGGTACAAAAATCTATGTGTAATGCTTGCACCATTGAAAGGATGGTCCATGTAAGGACAGAGATAGCATACTCTTACATCTTCTTCAATACGTAGCCCAGATATGTCCGTTCCCCAATGCGACAGCAGCTTGCTGATGAGCGTTGCTTTATCAGCAGATGGTGATGCGGAAACTTTCTCATTTACAAGGTGACGGAAGAGGTACTCTTTCTTCACTCTCCTTCTTCTGAGAAGCTCGAGCGCGCTCTCCGAGTGTAGAATAATTGCATCAATGGCCTCTGCATGCAAAACAAACAAACGGTTGAGTCAACACATTGAAAAGTGAATTAAATGTGAACGCATGCTGCATCCTGACGCCACAAGTGGAGTGTCATGGCCTAGCGGTTAAGAGCACCGAACTCATGTTCTGGTGTTTCAGAGGCAACAGTGACGTGGGTTTGAGCCCGCCGGCGAACACTTGTGCCCTTAAGCAAGGCACTTAACCATTCTTGTTTCGTCCTTCGGATGGGACGTAAAGCCGTAGGTCCTGTGTGTTGTGTAATGCACGTTTAAGAACCCAGTAACACTTATCGCTAAGAGAAGGGGTTCGCCCCGGTGTCCTGGCAGTGGCCGCAGCACCTTATAAACCAATAAAAGGTGCTACATAATGGGTCTCATATTTCTCATGTACTTCATTCATCTAATAATAGACATAACTCCCAGTGCCTTGAGTACCTATACTCCGTTGCGATAATGCCTGAATAGGTTTCTGCAACGTAACCATACAGATACCGACTGACTAATTTTTCCTTTCATTGACCTTCATTGAAGAATTTAGTTACTGAGAAAACACTTCCGAATTTCAGACCTGTCTCATAGGGTTTGTGCACAGGGTGTCAAGTGATGTCCAGGTATGGAAATCTTTCCGTATTCACAACAGGGCCCTCGACGATTAATGGTCAATTTTCACTTTTCTGTAAACCTAAAAAAGTAAACCGTTTAGTACCTCAATCTTAATCATCGATCTCTACTTGTATCCCAGGTAACGTTGTGCAAACCCGACCCAAAACCTCATAGTTAGTGCAACAGTAGTGCATCAAACAGGTGTGCGCTTCAGCCTCATGCAGCGCCGGTTGGCAAGTGTGACTGTTGAACGCGCGCTGTATAATCGCCGCGCGCTGTATAATCGCCGCGCATTGCCATTCCTTTGTACCAAGAGTGTCGCGAGGGAGGGGGGGGGGGCAAGGGGGGGGGGGCACTGAAAAGAAAAAGAGGCGCGAAGACATAGTGGTGTAAATTTAATGGGGTGGGTGGGGGGGGCAAATTGTCCCTGCCCCCCTCTAGAGCTGATAAATCGAGAATGTGTAGAGAAATACAGGCATTTAGAAAAAATCCTGGCGACGCCCATGCTTTGTACACAAATTTTGTTTGTGCACAAATCAATTGCAGCTCTGTCCGGCGACGCATACTTGATCGGCTGTCGGTTCTGCCTCCTTTTTTCACTGCAATTGCAGGCTGAATCTTCATCGTGGATCCTTATTTTCTTCATGGACCTGTGTAGTGGTTAGCCGGGCAAGGTTTGGGTGAGTCCCAGGTGGAATAAGTGCGTGACCGTGGCAAAAAATTGCACATTTTTGAATTCAATTTTCTTGTACCTTACATGTGAGAACTGTAAGGAATATGTTGACAAAGTCTTGGAAAGATTTCCATACAATATACGAAGTTCACTCAACACCCTGTGTACAAACCCTATGAGATTGGACTGAAAAATTCTGTGTTTTCTAAGAAAATGCTTGTATTTTCTCACTGCTCAAATTGACTTTGATGACATGAAATTACTATCTGGGGGCTTGTTAGTCAATACAGAGGAAAATTAGTGAACTTCTTATATGGAAATCTTTCCCAAAGTCTTTAGAGAGATTTGTAGGGGAATGTGTGGCCAACTTAGTGCATTTGTCACGCGTCGGTTGAGGGCGTCAACATGCAGTTGACAGGCACTGCAATACATCATGGGCATGGCCAGGATTTTTTCCAAGGGGGGCAAAGCACATTTTCCCCAAAAATTTCAACGTATTCTCAATTTATCATTTTCTGATCGTGGGAACAGCCGGGAACGTTGGAAAGAATGTTGCAACCTGACGCCGCTTTTTTCTTTAGATATCATGAAGGTCATTCATTGCAAGACATGAATCTGGCCTGGGACAGAGAAATATAGGCACAAATTTGGCAGAATACCCCGCCACTCGGTCTATGCCCCTCGTAGACGGCTACGGAGTCACGGTTGATTGCCCTCAATAAACCTTCTCAACGCTACATGTGTGTACTATGTGTCATGCTCCACTGCACTCCCACTCCGTATCCGCGTAGCTGGCAACAGGGTAGTTGGTTTGGACTTAGAAATTTTTCAGCAACTCCCATTCCTTTTGTGTTGCTTCGTTCTCAAGCATATTCAAGGGGACTCCCACTCCGTAGCCTCGTAACCGCCAACAGGGTGGTTGGTTTGGACTTAAAAAAATTTTCAGCAACTCCCATTCCTTTTGTGTTGCTTCGTTCTCAAATAATGGACCCCCACTCAGTATCCGCGTAGCTGGCATGGACTTGAATTGTTTCTTTTCCAGCGATTCCAACCTCGTAGCCAGAAAGTTTAGGGGTGTATTTCTGAGTGGCAGGGTATTCTGCAATTGAATTACTCCGAAATATATCAAATTTTGTGTTACTGTTAAGAAATAAAATAGGCTTAGGGGCTAGGCATAGGCCTACTTAGTACTTAACTAGACCCGTGAACGTGGCTTGTAAACTACGCCACGCTGTTGTTTTTTTTCGAACCTGGCGAGATTGTCCCTCTGACTCCCTCCGTTACACACACTGGACGTTACTTTGCCCATGTAATAAGTACTCACATATGAAGCTGTCTTGAAATCTGTTTGTACGTCAAAACTTGCATTTGACGAAATTTGAGGAAAATTCTGGCCCCGGTTCATGAAGTCCTGCTAGCTGCCATTTTCTCCCAACTGACGCATGCGCATTGCGTTTTATAGTACCGTCCTGTTTCGTATGATTCGACGGCTGTTTACTGTCGCAGCTAAAAGAGACATCATTTTAGACAAGTTTTAAGTCCTTTCCTCTCTCACCGCACCGCACGCGGGCGCACGTGCGCCCACGTGCGTGTGCGCACACGTACGTACACGAGATGAGCCGAGCAGCCAATCGGGTGCGGATTTTTTTTTCGGGTTGCGACATGAAACAGCCGTCAATCTGTCCAAGCGACTCGTCCGGGGTCATTTGTCAGGGTCACTTGTCGGGTTAAAATCTAATTTCTACACGTTTGTATGGATGGCAGTTTTCGTCGATATTACACAGCCTGAACAATCGGACGGGCAAATTTAGATTTCTAGGCGAGTACTCAACATCCATACGTAATTATGTATGGCGGATCGATTTCGCTAGGTTCAAAAATACACAACAGCGTGGCGTTGTATACAACGCCACGTTCACGGGTCTAGTACTTAACTTACTTTGAAAATTTGTCTTGATCGACTCTCCATTGTAAACAACTGCTGAAGTAGCGTCAGGTTGCAACATTCTTTCTGGAACATTTGCCCTCCTCCCATCAAATTATAAGTTCGCACCTCTTTTTCCTTTTTCCTCCCCCCCCCCCCTTCACGACGCCCATGCGCTACATCATGGCTCAGAGCATTCCTTCCTCCATGCTCAGAGCATGCATGATGCAGCGGGCCATTGAATCATCGATTTACGCGGAACACGCAAGTTCAATGGCAATGGCCAATGCACTACTCAATGATCTGAATCATAACAAACTTTAGCACTTATTTCGTAATAGTTTTGTGGTCAGTATAAATCGTTGATTTACCTTGCTTGTTCTGGACGGCAACCATGCGATTGGTGACCGTTTCCACGAGTGACAGAAGTTCATGTTTTTGGAAATCTTGCAAAAATTTCGCCGAACCTTCTCGCTCCTTTTCGCTCAACATCGTTTCGTTTCAGAAGTTTCATCGTTGCGGAAATGCTAAAATAAAACTGAACATCTGCTGTCACAAGAGGGCGGCATTACATTACACAGTTTGGATATAATCGGAAGGGGGCGGGCCGGGAGGCGGGCCAGGAGGCGGGCCAGGGAATGTGGGTGGGCTGGGGGCGTGGCATTAGCCGGTTAGTGTGCGGGCCGCAGGGTAATGCGTGCAGTGTACTTAAAAAGCATGGAGAGGAAGTTCGTGTTCCTTTTTCCATGCTGTGTTCCTTTTTCCATGCTGTGTTCCTTCCTCCATGATTAAAGGGATATGCATTTGCAAACATCAAAATAAAAAAAACCCAACCAACTTATTATGAAAGCATTGAACAACGTTCGCCTCAGGATTGCGGGCATCTCCTAGTACATGTACATGTATTGCGGTGATGTGCAACGTGTTTTTTTCTACCAGGGACACACACATTGCAGGAATAGTTAGGGAAATATTGTATTGAACCTAACCCCTTGGGTATATTTACTAGAAATTATCCTGAATCCGCCAAAATCCACCAATTGTGCCATGCAAAAAGTGATGGTGGCCAGTGAGTCCGATCCACCAGTTAGGCGCTAGGCGGGAGTAAATCTGTTGAGATCCTGAATCCATCAAAGTCCCCCAACTGCTCAATATGCACGGGGGCATCCCGAATCCATCAAAATCCTGCAGTACCGCTAGGCTCACTGTCCTGAATCCATCAAAATCCCCCAACTTTTTCAATATCCATGGAAATATCCTAAATCCGCCGAAATCCCCCGAAACAGGGGTGTGGATTTTGATGGATTCAGGTAGGTACGCTCTAAAGGTTAATATTTATTTTAAAGGAAAAGATGTTGCCACCTGACGCCACTTTTTTGTTCCTATCATCTCAATTTCATTGCAAAAATGTTGTGGACATTGTGACCCGATCGTAACCGATCTGGACACAAGGAAATATGTAGGCGTAAGCGAAATTTCAGCTTCCTCCATCAGGTAAAAATATGTAAAAAAATATGTTATAATTTTGTTCGCTATGGCACTGGCAGGAGAGATTCTACTTCTTCTAGAATTAGAAGGCTTCTCTCCGTCAGCGATTCATACCCTGGATCGACTCCCGTTGTCCTGGGCTAAACAAACGATAAGCTGTAAACACGAAAGTGTCCGTCATGTTTTTGTTGCCAATTAAGTTCAAAACATTGATTGACCTTGCTTGGTGTGAACAGCAACCATTGTGGCGATTGCTTTTACGAGTGGTGATTGTTTTTACGAGTGACACAAGTTCATCTTTTGGAAAACATTGCAAAAGTCTCGCCGAACCCTCTCAGTCACTCCCTTTCGCTCAACATCGTTGAGGAGGAAATGAAGAAATGGCTGCATATCTGCAGTTAGTCACGAGAGGGCGGTATTACAGTACGCCGTTAACTTCTCCGAGAATCGGAGGGGGCGGGGCAACTTAAGACATTTTCGGCATTTTTTCCCCGTTTTCGGTACTCTGGTATCCGATTAATTTTTGACTTTCTTCGGATTTTATCCTAAAATTGTGAATTTTTGCTCGAAACAGCTGTTGTTCATAAAAAGTTCAGTCGGGGGGGGGGGGGATATCACAAGGCAAAACCATAGCTCAGTTCAGTTCTGAAAGTGAAACCTTTTTGCGTATGGGGCGGAAAACAGTTTTCTTCTTCTTGTAAGTGCATGCTAGAAATAGTTTGCAGACAAAATATTCAGGAGAAATCGTTCTTGAAATAAATGTCTTTATTTCGTTCTCCTCTGTTGGTATTAAATCCAAATGAAATTGCAGTTTCTTTACAAAATTCTCTGAAATATTGCTTTGAGTTGGACTGTGTATACAACAAGAAATTGTTCTGAACAAAAATGTTACCTGGTAAATATCGCTTTGCAGATGGCTCTACATATATAACATTTACCTGTGTGAAAATCTGCCTTGAAAAAAATACACCTTATTTGACAACTGAATAAAATACATGAACAATTGTCTGAATTTTGGAGTTGTTTTGAGTTTCACTTTGATCGTTGACAAATTACCAGTAGATAAACAAAATTGCATCCTCTCTTTTCAAGTAGTAAAGATATTCTTATACAATATCGGCAAAACTGTAAAGATACTAAAAGTTCTCAACTTTAGTAGACAGTACAATCAGACAATAATGAGTAGCAGATAAGTAAACAATGTATGTATAAAAACAAATTCCTATTTCGTCATTGTAACACTTCGAGGCATTTTGAATGCAAACATTGTCACTAGAATACAAAATTCACTTCAAAAAAATGATTATGTACATAACAATCTTAAAAAAATCAAACATACATTTAAAATTAAATCTCTTTGAAATTAGCAAATCATTCAAATACACACCACCATCTCACCAATAAGGATATACCTTTTTATACGATTTTAAGTGAATAGTAAAATATTTTAGAAAAACTTGCAATCATATACAAATCTAACTTTTAAAATGTTATGTATGGCACCATGTTTGAAATTTTTAAAAAAGGTCAAAATTTGTACAACCATTTATTTTTTCAATTCAACAAAAATCTGATTATGATACAAAAAAGTGTCTTATACTGCTTCAATTATTCATAATTTAATCAAATGGAAGATCCATTTATGCTAACGAGTTGTAAATTAATTGATAAAATCCACAAAATCACTCATTAGTTGCGTTTAACATGAAAAATATATTCAACATTTCATGTGCACATCCAGGAAACTTGAGTTGTATGAATAAGAAATGTTTTGAAAGTTGTTCAAAAATACTACGTAGTATTAGAGTTTAGACACAGTGATCATTGTGTAGTCTTGCAAGGCACATCTTAATGAATTTCCATGACACCTTTTGAAGGTTTTATTTATATAAACAAAACTATAAGTAGTAAATTTGATCAATTAACTACATGGCGAAGAAAATACAACACAATATATGACAAACGCATTCGACATTATCATGCATGATGCATCGGGGGGATTCGAACCAGTTTCACGAGAGGTGAAACTGTACACAATGCAAATTGTTTTACTACTCAAAACCACTTTTGTCTTTCTTGTTTTACAATTTCAGAACATTCTTTTTACAATTTTACATCCTAAACCGTAATAAAGATAGTTACATGCAGCATAATGCTCGATGATAGAATATAGCATACTTGGATTATATACAGGTATAATCAATTCATATCATGGCTTTATAGCACTTGGTTTTTGGCCGGCTTGACGAGTCTTGACAAATTTTATTTTTTGTGAAAACGCCACTCCGACACAAAGTCCCCGTTGTCATCTTTCTCTTGTAGGCAAGCCCAGTTCCATTTATTTTTATATTTTTGCTTCTATGGCCTTTAACAATGTTTAAGCTGTCGGTTCGTTCAATCACTTTGAATTTTTGCATATTCCTATTATTTATTCTGCTTACCAAAATTTCCAACGTTTATTTTACACGAAACATGCACAATTCCACGACACTGTCGGTGTACATGATCCTTGCACTATGCGATGCGTGCGACGAAAACTTGGTTGGTACTCAGTGTTTTTTGTATTCACGTATATCACTGCGATCGGAAACCACCGATAACTGAAATGATAGACTTGATTTCCAGGCTGAATGCTTGTGTGCTTAGCACACAACACGCCCGCATGCGGTGCAGCACGCGAGGCGCCGTTGTATACTGCATGCAAGTACGTTGGCCGCTTGTATCGCATGCAGGCTCGGCAACAACAAAGACTTGTTTTTAAGACTACTTCAACGAACAACGTTGTGCCGTACCTGCGCTATCCTTACAACATGTAGGCCTACAAGTACTAAACTCGAGAGCGCTAACGAGGTAAAAATCAACGCGTGTCCACAGTTTTTCTTTTCTTTTTTCCAGTTATTTTTTGACGGCCGGAAAAAAAGAACGGAGTTAAAAACACAAATGGAATTCCGGCTAAAACCGGAAAAAGTGCCATCTCTGTGAAAAACTGACTGACGAACTGACCGAGTTCCTGAGTCTCTGATAGACAGACAGACAGACACCACGACTGAACCACTGACTAACAGACTGGTTGACTGAGACACTGACTGACGAGCGTAAATACTGAACTAGGAATTTGGTCCAATTCATCTAGGCAAGGCTTATCTTGTTTGTTTCTTTCAGTTGCTCAGCTGTTCAGCTCCATTCAACATTGTGTGGATGTGATCAAACTTTCCTACGTCCTCGGATCCCCAAGCTTGCCAGACAAGAAGCTGATAATGATGAAGCTTATCCTCCCTGGTATCTGAGACTAAAGATCCTGGCGATGATAACTTCAGTTCCTGCCAAGCCACGACGTGTTCCTCCCCAGCTCTCATGAGCTGTTTGATCGGCTGTTTCTTATCGTCCTTTTCTAGGAAGAGTCCCATGACAGCCAGCACTTCACCAAACTTGAACCCCTGTCGGTTGTTGGGATCTACACACATGATGATGATGTCGCCGTGTGTTGTGCCGATCCACAGTGTATCCTTGACAGTAAGGATGGCCTGGACTTCGGGAATCGATACACTGCATCGCCGACGATCGGATCCTTCGCTGAATGGTCGATGCAAGCCAGCGTCATCTCTGGAGTTGCCGGGATGTTTGCAAGATGCAGTGATGGTGCGTTTGGGTGGAGCCGGTAACGTGGACGATGGTTGCATCTGCTGCTCAGGAGTACTGTAGTACGAGTCTCGGAAAGACATTTCTTTATCTTCACTGCTGTCTGAACTTGGAGATGACTTGCTGTCCTCTTCAACCTCCTCAACTTCTCCAACCTCCTCCTCCTCATCGGCTATCAAAGAAACCCCTTTCTCCAACTCAAACCTGCCGCACTGTAGGATCTGCACCAGTTGCCTCGTGGCCATGCTGTACTGCAAGACTCGTGAGGAGCGGTCAATGATGCAGAAGAGGTTGTCATGGTGATGAGCCAGACCCAAGATGGTGTGTTCTGCTCGAGACGTCACGGTGATCGCTGCATCCAGCAACATGATCTAGAAACAGGGGATGAACAGTAAAAAAGCCTTTGTCATAATGCACAATTCATGAACAGCTGGTATTTTCGGATGACTGGTGAGCAGTTCTGAGGACTTGTGATGACTTGTGATGACTTGTGATTGATTTGTGATGACTTATGATGACTAATGGTGTCTTGTGATGACTTGTGATGACTAACGATGACTTGTGATGACCTGTGATGACTTGTGATGACTTGTGATTGACTTGTGATGACTTGTGATGACTTGTGATGACTTGTGATTGATTTGTGATGACTTATGATGACTAATGATGACTTGTGATGACTTGTGATGACTTGTGATTGACTTGTGATGGACTTGTGATGACTTGTGATTGATTTGTGATGACTTGTGATGACTTGTGATGACTAGTGATGACTTGTGATGACTTGTGATGACTTGTGATGACTTGTGATGACTTGTGATGACTTGTGATGGACTTGTGATGATTTGTGATGACTTGTGATGACTTGTGATGGACTTGTGATGACTTGTGAAGACTTGTTATGACTTGTGATGACTGGAGGAGCTTGTAAGGCCAAAAAAAGTCTCCGGTTTGTGGTATGCTCGCGCATCGCCGTAGCCACGTGCGTCGGCAAAATTAATTATTTTTTTTAATGTAAGATGATGTCTCAAAACCGCCAAACTCACTGGTTTGACTGGAATCCTGCTGCTGCACAATTTTAACGTGTTTTTAGAGGGGGTTACAATCGAGTATAAGCTTTATGTGGCCTCTCTGGGCTCCCATATATTTGGCAATAAATTTAGTCGGGCACCATTTGCAGACGGTATTGTTATTTTGTTATTGTGCGTCTGGAAGCCAGACTGAGGGAGCGATGGTCGTGTATCTGGAACCTGTAAACGCTTTTTAATTAGCGCAATATGTAAGGGAGCAGACTAATGACCAGCCTGGCAGCTTATGCACGATGTCGATGTCGCTGTATGGTCTGACGTTACCGTTTTCCCTGATTTTTGTCTTGACTAACAAAATTTCCCGAAGAACATTCGTGTCGGTTGAGATCCTAACGTAAGTCGCCACAGACTTCTCAAGCCTTAGGCCTTACTGAGGTCACTTCAAGCTCCACCCTGAAGGATATTTTTGAGAGTTTTAAGGGGATCGAAGCGTCATCTGCAACATCAGCCGACATTTGAAGAAAAAAAAAGTAGGGTTTAAAAAAAAAAAAACGCTTCGCCGCACCACTTTTGGGGCAAGCTCCATACCAGAAACCAGAGACTGTTTTTTGACCTAATGACTTGACAACAACATTGCTGAGAACTGGAGGGGCTACATTTGAAAGGAAAACGTTTGTGGGTTCGTGAATTCACCTCCGTGCTGAGAACCCGCAACTTGGTCCCGCAAGCAATCCACAGTTCCTCCCTCTCAACAACCAACTCCAGATGGCTACAACGTTTATTCTCAAACGTTAACGTCTTAGTCTTGAACCAGCAGGGCTCGTGGGTGCTGCTTCTGCTGCCGACGCTGGTTCTGTTGGTCTCTGGGGCGGCGTGATTGAAGATGACCAAATGACCATCGGCCAAACCCGCAAACAAGTGGCCTTGTATGGTCTGGGTAGAAAGATTAAAAAGGAGCAAATTGTGACAAACTCAACGCAGATATTGACAAGTTAGACTGTCAAAGCAAAGCACACACATACTGAAATTTGTATCCTTGTGGAGACATTTATTTGTTCTTGTGTACTAAAGTTTTTGAGTTTGAAAGTACAGTTTCAAAATGCTCTTATTTTAACCCGAATTAATTTCCTTGGCTGAAATTCGGACTTATTATCCCTTTTCTAAAACTCTATCATTTGCGACAGATCAACATACCTTGGAAATTCCTAGTTTTTAAGTAAAATCCATTTCGTGAAAACCCTGTGGAGACGTATTCATCTATAGAAATTGCCCTGTGGAGACGTATACAATCTTTTGTTCCCTATTGTGTGCATGTCTCCAGAGGGCACGGTGTATCAGATCAAACCATCATAGGCAATACACATTGCATAGCATTTTGGTTGGTTACCCATTTTTGCTAAGTCAACATTTTCTACGCTTAGCTAATTTCGGTGCTTTAGTGAGCTCCATAATATTGACCCCAGGTGATTTCAATGACACTTATCTTACCTTGTCTTTGATTGGTTGATAGCAGAGACAGACAACCTCAGCGTCCAATTGGAAATCGTGTTGATGGACGATATGTTGTGGGCCGACGTCAGGCGGACCAAACAGCTGAATGGAATTGTCCTAATACATGTAAAATACAACATTTCATTTGTCGTTATTACTCAAACAGCTTCACGTTGTCTAGTGATGATTATGAAACAACTAGCATCACAATTTTGTGAAGAAAAATGATATAAAAAAAAAGGCAAAATCTATTTTCAGTATGAACATTTATTGGGTATAGAAGTGCTCTACTGTAGGTTAACATCTGAAATACAAGATTTTCCATGACATGCATGTCAAGCTAACAGACAGCATTTGTTGACATTCAGCTAAATACTTGATTTAATAAAATATGTCAGTGATGTCTGTGATTTCTGTGATTTCAGTTATTTCAGTGATTTCAATGATTTCAGTGATTTCTATGATTTCGATAGTTTCGATGATTTCAATAGTTTCGATGGTTTCAATGATTTCAATGATTCCAGTGATTTCAATGGTTTTAATGATTTTGATGGTTTTGATTGTTTATGATGGTTTCAATGATTTCAATGATTTCGATGATTTCGATAATTTTCGATGATTTCAATGGTTTCAATGGTTTCAATGATTTCAATGACTGTAATGATTTCAATGATTTCAATGATTCCAATGATTTCAATGGTTTTAATGGTTTTAATGATTTTGATGGTTTATGATGGTTTCAATGATTTCAATGATTTCGATAATTTTTGATGATTTCAATGATTTCAAAAATTTCAATGATTCCAATGATTTCAATGGTTTCAATGGTTTTAATGATTACAATGATTCCATTGATTTCAATGATTTCAATGATTTCAATGATTACAATGATATTTCAATTTACCTTTGTGCCTACGAGCTCCCAGAGTCCAACCTGAACCAAACAGTTGGCTCGAGATCCGACAATGGATTTGGGGTAAAGTTCTCCCTCGTTGAAAAACCTGATATGAATCTTGGTACACCGACGACTACCCCCCTCGCCTGTCCACAGCCAGAGCCGCTCGCAGTTCTGAACAAAAATCATTAAAAATTGTATTATGTGGTTGACTTTATAACAATTCCGTTACTTGTTGAGTTGAATTGTCCACATTTTTGTGAAAAAGGCAAATGCCCAAAAGCAGTTGTTGAGACTCGTGACTCATTTTGTTGGGTCTTGCCATTGGTCATTTGGAATAAGGACAGACTCAAACCAAATATACCAATGCATGGAGAATCTTTTTAGAAGAAATATGAAACCAAAATCGCCTGATTCGGTCCAGTAGTTTTCATTCTAGAGCCTTTTTTGTGAAGCAAGGTGGGGTCATTTTTGGCCCGATGAATTACTAAACCGCGCCCGGGAATTTGACTTGCATTGTAATTGATAGAGGGATTGTTATCTCATAATACCCACATGAAAGAAATGAGCTTCACAAAATAGGCTCTGCAGCAAAACCTACTGGACCGAATTGAGATATTTTGGTATCATAATTCTTCTAAAAGGATTCTCCATCCATTGGTACAGGGGGTTTGAGTCTCAAGGTAGTGGAAGTATGCCGCTCCGTTTTTTTTTTTTGACCACCGTGTATAAATACCACTTCTGTTTTACCCGGTTGAATTGCTTGCGAACTCTCGGAGAATGACACCGCTTTTGTTTCTCGTCTTCCCCTGCTTTGAGATGGTCTTCCAAGTTTGTGTCCGTATCCTTGGCAACCAATTCCATCTCATCATCAACCTGATGGACAACGGTCACATGCAACACAAATTATTCATGTAACATTTGAGATATTGTATGCAGGGCCGTAACAGAAATCAGTGTTTAATACTTTTTATCATGGGCCACTCTTGTCGACAAGAAAACTGTCGGGCATGTTTTCAGAAAAGTGAGGGTAGTATTTAAAATCGTGTCTAATGTATTGCTGAGTAGAATAATTGGTCTTCCAAATGCTTTTTAGTTGGTTTCATTAAGATGTTTTGTTCAAAAGATACAGCAATCACAATACGGGACTTGAAAAACCACTTGGGTCACTTTTTTATTCATCAAGTTTACAGCTCAAAGCCGGTAGAACAAGTCACACGTTACTCTTGAACAAAGGAAATAAATCCTTTGCGTGTTTCTCTAACTGCGCTTTCTCACTTTCAAGGAAAGTGGCTCAAGACGATTTTCAACCCTTGAGTTCGATGAAGCATAGCGTTTGTTCGAATGCACCGATTTGAATGAAATAAAGTTTGTATGGTCGATATGACTTTCAGAGGTAATTTGAAAATATTCCAAAACCCACATGCATTAATTGGTTTTCGACTGTAAGGTTTTTTGTGGGACAACCTTAAATAATGCAAACAAAATACAACGGAATGCTAGACGTAGAATGACTAACCAACATAGATAATATAGGTATGGTTTGAAAGATACGCCTTTCCACTTTAAAATGAGACATCAAACGTCCAAATCTGATAATTCTGGACAGAGTTATGAGTAATTTTCCAAGAGAGGTCAAATTGACCATGGAACCAAGTTTCCAATTTTACGCATTGGGACAAAGGTAGCCTAATTGCCTCTGTGTGGATATTTGCCTTGCCTACAAAAATGTGTTTTGCGCGTAAACACAATTCTAAACACTTTCTTGCTATCACCTCATGCTAAAAAAGTTTAGCATGTAACCATGTTTATAAACTGATAGTAAGAAAGTGTTTAGAATTGTGTTTACTCGCTTAACACATTTTTGTAGACCTGCAGGCAATTATCCACACAGAAGCAATTAGGCTACCTTTGTCCCTATGCCGAAAATTGAAAACTTGCTCCCATGGTCAATTTGTCCTCTCTTGGAAAATTACTCATAATTCTGGCAAAAATTATCAGATTTGGACGTTTGATGTCTCATTTTAAAGTGAAAAGGCATATCTTTCAAACCATACCTATATTATCTATGTTGGTTACTCATTCTATGTCTGACATTCCGTTGTATTTTGTTTGCATTTTTTTTGATACACACTGTATATGGCCTTGATTTTTACATTATATAAAAGAGTAGAGTTCAGGGAAAACACGCTGTGATTTCCGCATGACTGAGCAAACAATTTGGTTCTGGGGAGATCAAGTCAATAAACAATGTGGTTTGGAAAGGATCAACTATTTGGGAATACGCTAGGCAGATAAATGTAATGAGTAAATAACTATACATCAGTTCTGTGACTTACATATGAAATCTCTGACGCGCCAGGGTGAATACACGTAATCTCCTCCATATCAAATCGAAGGACGTTTCTCAAACATGTGAAGCTTGCGTCCTGCATCATCCCGGCAATATCCTCCCCGTTGGGTCTCTTCAAAGGGTTGTCTTGCCAACACTTCATCATCAATCTCTCAAGGTTTGGGAACAACGAGACGATTGTGTAGTCACGGAACTGAAAACCGGGCTTGATGCCCATGTTGACGGCGTTACGAACCTCGACCGCAGATTTGAGGTTATCGTAAGGCCATGCTCCAGACATTAGATGATAGATAAGCATGCCGTAGGAGAACCAATCAACCTAGAAAAAAGGGGTTGTTATCTTTCATCAAACTTCATCAACAAAGTAAAATGATTCAAGAAGATTTAGAAAGCAGTTTAAATGACAAGAGTGCTTCGCAGACTGTGCTAAGATGCAACGTGCAATTCACACACACAAATGTGCCCAGTGGTTACCGGGTTTGACTCATGTATGATGGTGCGTGGGTTCGAACCCTGCCAGGAACATGGTGTTTGTGCCCTTGGGCAAGACACTTAACTACAATTGCCTCTCTCCACCTAGGTGTATAAAAGGGTACCTGTGAGGGTAGAGACCGAATGTGCGCTGATATTCACTGCCGCATGGTCTCGTGGCCCGAAGAACGGGGGACTAATTGTAAAGCGCTTTTAGATTGTTGAAACGATGGAAAGCGCTATATAAGCATTACAATTTATTTCAATATTATGTTTTGCCCTTCACCAACGTACAAACACTGTATACTCAGTGTGTTACCTCCCGAGTGAAAGTTGGAAAAAAATCACTCGGGTGGGACTCAAACCCACGACCTCCTGCTTTCTAGTGCAGACGTCTTACCACTCGACCAGCGAGCTTGCGGGATCGGTTAATTAAACTATTCATAAGATGGAATTTTGCATCAGGGGTGATGTTCGAGTCCCACCCGAGTGATTTTTCCTAACTTTCACTCGGGAGGTAAAACACTGAGTGTACAGTGTTTATACGTCGGTAAAGGACAAAACCTAGTATTGATTTACATCACCCAAACGCAAAATTCCATCTTATGAAGGGTACAATTTATTTATTTATTATTTTATACAAAAATGCTTTGGCAGTGAAGATATCAGTGAATTCATTACAGATGACCAAAGTTGTGCAGGAAAAATTGTAGTGCGAATAGTTTTGCTGCTGCTAAAATTTCAATCTTAAATTTCTGTACTACCTTCTCAGTGAAAGTTCTCCCTCGTTGTATCTCTGGTGCACAGAAGCCTGTGGGACCGGCTTGCCCCCTGGCGCCCTGCAGATCCATGGACCGAGCTATCCCATAATCCGTCAGTTTGATGTTAACTGGTGCCTCCACGTCCATGGAATACAACAAGACATTGTCAGTCTTCAGATCCGAATAGATGACCCTTTGCTTGTGGAGGTAGGAGACTCCACGGGCGATCTGCATGGCAATCTTAAAAGTCAGGACGCGGTCGAGAATGGTCCGATAAATCTTGCTGTTGATCGTGAAGAATCCCCGTTGAGCTTCCATTTCGCGTTTGAGGAGACTGGCAAGGTCGCCGAGCGGCGCGAGCTCCATGGCAAAGCAGAGATGCTGGATTGAGATCCCGATCAGGTGAATAATACACGGATGTCGGAGTTTCGACATAGTGGCAACTTCCCCACGGAGGTTGGAGAACCCTTCCATGACAAAGATGGCATTGACGTCAGCATTGTTTTCGTCGTACGACTTGGGCGATACAGACTGTTTGCCGCTATCGGATCGATCGCTGCCCGCACTCGACTTTTTACTATCCTCATCTGCGGAGGAATGCAAACCGGAATCCGTCCGACTGTTGAAAAACGTTGACTTGATCAACATCTTGACAGCGACATCCTCACGTCTGAACTGGGCCTTGAAAACCTCACCGTAGCCCCCACTGCCAAGGGACGGACTTACTCTAGGATCAAAATCAAAGTCCTTCTTATTCAGCATCCCGACAGGTAGATCTATCAAGTAAAGATCGGGGATGAGTTTCCGTAACTTCAAACCTTCCTGATGTCTAGGGCACTCCGCGTGCTCCATACCCTTCATCGTCGCTGACAAAGCAAGTTTACTGACGGAGAAATGATGACAAACTTCATCACTCTCAAGATTGTGAGTCATAGCCAAGGGACGTTCAGTCTGGACGCTCAGTTTTCGGCAGACTGGGCAGGGGACGAGGCGCTCAATCAACGGTTTCCCAGTGAATTCGTCCACTCCCAACAGGCCTAGTACAAACCAAATACAGTTCCAAAAAGACTGCTTTAAGTAAAAGTTGTTTTTACACCAGCACTTCATTGTCGCAATGTAAAAGACTTTTTTGGGGGGCCTAATACAATGCAGTACAATGTAATACAATGTAATACAATGTAATACAATGTAATACAATGTAACACAATGTAGTACAATGTAATACAATGTAATACAGATGCTTACCTGGGTACCATTCCTTGATGAGGTTCTCAATTTGATCCACCATGAACCCCATGGTAATACAATGTAATACAATGTAATAAAATGTTATACAATGTAATAAAATGTAATACAATGTAATACAATGTAACACAATGCAATACAATAAATACAATGTAATACAATGTAACACAATGTAATTAACATGAAAAAAAGTAAGACTGCTGCAAACTGCTTACTGACTGGATGGACCTGAAATATATAAATCTAAAAATTAATGTGGCCTGACGTTGCGAACTTAGCAAGTTCTTCTTCAGAGGCTTTTCTGTTTTAGCCTCTGAAGATGAACTTGCTAAGTTCGCAACGTCAGGCCACATTAATTTTTAGAACAATGTAATAAAATGTTATACAATGTAATACAATGTAATAAAATGTAATACAATGTAATACAATGTAATACAGATGCTTACCTGGGTACCATTCCTTGATGAGGTTCTCAATTTGATCCACCATGAACCCCATGGGTTGAAACTCGCCAATATGACAGCTAATCCTGACACAGATGCCGGGCTTGTCGCCTAGGAAGGTGATGGGTTTCAATAAGATCTGACCCGTGTTGTGCTGTACTGATACGCCTTGTTGCCAGTACATGATGTTGGTCCGTGACAACTTCAGTCCTACTCGCATACTTTGCCTCAATCTGGGCAATAATAAAGAAGTCACTGTTAAGTCAGGTTATAAATTTCTAAAGCGCATTGATTGACTTGTGATTGACTTGTGATGACTTGTGATGACTTGTGATGACTTGTGATGAGTTGTGATTGACTTGTGATGGACTTGTGATGACTTTTGATGACTTGTGATTGACTTGTGATGAGTTGTGAATGACTTGTGATCGACTCGTGATTGACTTGTGATAAACTTGTGAGGACCTGTGATTGACTTGTGATGGACTTGTGATGACTTGTGACTGACTTGTGATGAACTTGTGATGACTTGTGATGAGTTGTGATTGACTTGTGATTGACTCATGATTGACTTGTGATGATTTGTGATGGACTTGAGATGGACTTGTGATGGACTTGTGATTGACTTGTGATGAGTTGTGATTGACTTGTGATGGACTTGAGATAGACTTGTGATGGACTTGTGATGGACTTGTGATGAGTTGTGATTGACTTGTGATAAACTTGTGAGGACCTGTGATTGACTTGTGATGGACTTGTGATGACTTGTGACTGACTTGTGATGAACTTGTGATGACTTGTGATGAGTTGTGATTGACTTGTGATTGACTCATGATTGACTTGTGATGATTTGTGATGGACTTGAGATGGACTTGTGATGGACTTGTGATTGACTTGTGATGAGTTGTGATTGACTTGTGATGGACTTGAGATAGACTTGTGATGGACTTGTGATGGACTTGTGATGAGTTGTGATTGACTTGTGATTGACTCATGATTGACTTGTGATGATTTGTGATGGACTTGAGATGGACTTGTGATGGACTTGTGATGGACTTGTGATGAGTTGTGATTGACTTGTGATGGACTTATGATGGACTTGTGATGACTTGTGATGGACTTGTGATGGACTTATGATGGACTTGTAAGGACTCAACTAAAACACTGATAAGTTACAAGTTTGCACAAACCTTGATGATCTCTTAATCTGGACCCCTCTCCTCAAATCTCTTTTGGCAATCGCCTTGACCTTTCGTCCTCCATTTTCGCCCAAAAACTTGAGAAAGACATAGACTCTAGACACCAGTCTACTCCAGAATCCTGGCGGGGTGTAAGGCAGCTTGTAGAGACGTTCTAGAACCTGGAAGGTATTGCCGCCATCTTCTAGGACCGGGGAAAAATCCTGGCCTGGTTTCTCCTTGGGAAGTCGACTTGGAATCAGGTATCTAAAGGAAAACAGGATAACAACTTTATAATGTCTAGCCCCACGCGTCAGAGGAGTGTGGCCTAGTGGTTAGGGTTTGTGACTCATGATCAGAGGGTCAGGGGTTCAAATCCAGCTGCTGGTCATATGTTGTGTCCTTGGGCAAGCCACTTTACCCCACTTGCCTCTCTCCACCCAGGAGTATAAATGGGTACCAGCATTAGCTGGGGAATAACCTGTGATGGACTAGCATCCCATCCAGGGGGAGTAGAAATATGCTCGGTCTGCTGGCCATATGTTGTGTCCTTGGGCAAGCCACTTTACCCCACTTGCCTCTCTCCACCCAGGAGTATAAATGGGTACCGGTATAAATGGGTACCGGCATTAGCTGGGGAGTAACCTGCGATGGACTAGCATCCCATCCAGGGGGAGTAGAAATATTCTCAGCCTGCTGGCTATATGTTGTGTCCTTGGGCAAGCCACTTCACCCCCACTTGCCTCTCTCCACCCAGGAGAATAAATGGGTAACGGCATTAGCTGGGGAGTAACCTGCGATGGACTGGCATCACATACAAACATTTCTTACTCGATTCTGCTGATTGGAAGCACTATCTCCAATCGCTGCAGAAGTTGTTGATACTCCTCAAAACGACCTTCTCCGAAACCACTCTTCTTAAACTGTTCCTCCAAGCTGGATCTGTGTATGCGCCCCTCCTTGACGTAGGAGGAGTTGATGTTGGCAACATTGCTGAGGATGTCGTACAGCCAGACGGGGTCAAGGAAATACAGGCTCGTCAGGCCTTGCAGATGATCGCTGAAATGAACGAGGGTTCCACTGATGCTCAAAAACTCGGCCGCTGTTCGGAGAAGGTCAGAAAATAAAAGGCAATAAAGTTCCATTCTGATTTGCAAGGAAAACTAAAGAAAAAAAAATCCATTCATGTAAGGACCTGTCAGTGTTGCTGTACAGCGCGTCCCAAAATACCCGCAACAATTTTATGATGATCTAGTGTTGCGGCAGAAACACGTGCCGCCATTATTTTTATATCATTTTAAAGATTGGAATCTTAACTTTATCCCTGGTAAGTATTGGTTTGATTTTCAAAAGGGTTTTGAAATGATTTGTGTTCAAATAAAGGCATGTCAAAACAAACTCAACCGATTTCAAGAAAAATCAATCATGCACATTTTTTTTACTGTGGAAATGGTTCATGTTCATGAAGTGACGATCTCGTTGCCTTTTACTTTCGGTGTTTCCTTTTCTTTTCGATCTGTGCAGACTACACCTTCAATAAATTCACAATCTTGTTCTTTGTTTCAAGTTCACGTTTTATTTTTTGTTATTTCAACAGCTTGTTGCCTGGAGTTTGCATCTGATGTACCGCATCATCGATTTTCCTTGAAATCAATTGCCTTCATTTTCGACATGCCTTTATTTGAACACCAATAATTTCAAAACTCTTTTAAATATCAAACCAATATTCGCAAGGGATAAAGTTCAGATTCCAAGCTTTGGAATGGTATAAAAATAATGGTGGTAAGTGTTTCCGCGCCGACGCTACACCCTCTCAAAAAAAAATTGCAGGTATTTTGGGACGCGCTGTACTCATACTTGACAGCCCTACTCGTTAGTTACTTGAGTGGGATTCGAACCAGGGTCGCCAGACTGCCAACTAAACCTTACCCTCCTCAATATCCTGTCCGGTTTCGATCTTGTTGTCGGGAATCTTCTTGATATGACTCGTCAGTTCAGCATCTTTCATGATTGGCGGCAGTGGAGGAATGCTTCGCTTACAACGATCTGCCCCACTTGCAATGATCTCTTGAAGAATGGTGAACGTACGTGGTATCTAGGACAAACCAACAAAATATGATTTTCTTGGAAAATTGGTAGATTGTTTTACTGTGATCATTATATTTAATTAATAAATACCTTGGAGTTGATAAGTTCTGATTGGTCGAGACTCGATCACATGGGGGTGTTTTAACATGTGATATAAAGACCGGCTTCAAAAACAAGTGAATAAATGGCCCCTGAACCAGCATTGATCCAGCATCATGTACGCCAATGATTGGCCAAATATACAACAGTCCTACGGTAGCTTGTAACATTACAGCAAAACACATGCGCTCAACTACCATTGTGTGAAGATTTACACGCAAGAATGCACTTGTGTGGAATAATTCTTCACACGACATGTTTGTACTCAGGATGTTTACGAAGCAAGAGTGGATCTGCGATTTATTTTCTGTAAATACGTCGCCCACGGACATTTAGTTTTTCTAAACCGAGCATCTTTGTAATTCTGGACACAAGGAATATGTAAGCGAAATTCCAGCTTCCTCCGTCAGGTAAAAATATGAAAAAAACTTGTTGCAATTTGTTTCGCCATGGCAGCAAAAGTTCATACCCTGGATGTCAGTCGTAATGCAATGAAGCTAGCTAGACGAATAACTCAATGAAGAGACAGGCTAGCATATCGCAGGCATAAGCTAAAATATGGCCCCTCAACATGACCACAAACTGTTTGGAAATATCGCCGAAAGAAAAGTCACAAATTGGGGGATTGGGGGATGGCCGCTGTTGATGGTAGTTTGGCTTAGAAGTATCTGCACAACTAAACATTTTCAAAATTGACCTCATGGTTTTGTAGTTTTTGGGACATACCGTATATTACCTTTAACCAGAATTCTCAAACAAATACAGGGTCAGTCAAAAAAACTGAAACCCAAATGTCGGGACTATTGTTTAATTGAAGTTCTTCATGTAGCACTTTCAAAATCTAGGATATGAAAGCCCAATTCAAAAGCTTTCTTTTAGTACAAGAATCATTCAAATCACTTATGTACTTTTCAAGTTAGAGAATTTTAAACATAACCACCGTTTTAAAGTTCTGTCCACGGATAACCAAAAAAGGGGTGCGTTCTTTCAGCAAAACGAAAACAATTCACACACATCCCTATATGATTTGTTTTCGTTTTGATGAAAGAACACTGAACTTCTTTGCGATCCGTGGACAGAACCTTAAAATGGTGGTTGTGTTTAAAATTCCGTAACTTGAAAAGTACATGAGTGATTTGAATGATTCTTGTACTAAAAGAAAGCTTATGAATTGGGCTTTCATATCCTCGATTATGAAAGTGCTACATGTGGAACTTCACTAAAACAATAGTCCCGACATTTGGGTTTCATTTTTTTTACTCACCCTGTAGGTTCACAGAATTCAAAGAAACTTGTGGATCTCACCATTTGACCAATCAGAGATGTGCTAGTCACTGCTCCAGAACCCCATCTTTTCTTAATCCTCATTCCCAGGGCCGTCTTGTAGATGGCGTGTCGAAGCTCCTTAATCCCTTCACCTTCAGGAGTCGTCCCCGTCACTTCGACAATCTCCGCGATGTCTGGAAATCCGTCTCGGCAACTGTACTTTGATCTGATTTCTTCTCTGATTGAATCCAGGCTCTGACTCTTTCGTCCTTTGTCAAGGTGGGTCGAAACAATGATGATAGCACTTTCTGGAGCCCTGGACTGCAAAATAAACAAACAAAAAAGACAACTTATCATTATTTTGTAAAATGCAATTTGAGTCACAGAGGTTTTGGGTTTAAAAGTAATATACATAGTGGTCCAATAAACATTTTTCAGATGCAGATTTCTTGGCATTGGGGAGACATGTTAAAATTGTTTTCAGATATTCCTACAGCATCTTTGTGGTATATGGTGAAAACGGCGCTGAAAATAAGTCTTAATTAAGAAATAACGATGGTTTAAAGGGAATCTACATCATTGGCTTTCACTGTAATTTTCGGAAATGAACTAGTTGAGGGGTTAGTATAATAGATCAAAATATTGTTACACTGACATGTTTGAAGGTTTGTGTCCGAAAATGCTGGAAAAACCAAGAAAAACAAAAAATTTTAAGTACGGTAGGTTGGTTCCCTGACTCCACTAAAGATGGAATGGATCAATTTATAGATGCTGGAAAATTGTAAGGTAAGGGAACCAGTCTACCTGGCCTGCACCCGTTCATGAACGTGTATCCAATAGCAAACACAATGTGGACTGAAACAAATGTTGAATATGGAGCAGTAGTTGAAAAATAGTTAGGTTTTTCCAACAGTGGTCAGCCGACCACCGTTGGAAATGTATACAAAAATAACATTTTCTTGGACATGACTTCACACCAGGTGCCATAATTTTACAGAATGCTTTAGACTGTCATTTACCAATATCCTAGTAAGGTATTTCGTAAAAACTTGGTAGTTTTCCCTTTAAAGAAGGATGGTCAAAAAAACCAGTTTGTCCACTTGCAAGTCTATGAGATATGGTCAACACAATAGCACTGCGCGCACAAATAATTACAATAATTGTAAAATTATCTACATGACTGCCGTAGACATGGACAAACTCATTCTTGACTATTCTTCTGTAAAAGCCCGCTACTTTTAAACTTGAGCTTTATTTTCAGCGCCATTTTTACCATATACCACCAAGATCTTGTAGTTAAGGAACATCTAAAAAAAATTTCAACATGCCACTTCAATTTTGAAAAATCTGCCTCTGAAAAAGTGTAAATTTTTTTTGACCACCCTTTTGCTGTAATTTTCAGAAATGGATGGATTTCGGGGTTAGAATTGTATAGCACATATTGTTACACTGACTTGTTTAAAGTTTAGTGTTCATAGATGCTGGAAAAAAACCAAGAAAAAAAATGCTGTTCTTGTAGTCTGGTTCCCAGACCCTACTTCAGACAAAACGGAGCAAGTTATAGAAGTGTGGGAATTGTCAGGTCAGGGAACCAGACTAGCTGGCTTGCATCCATTCACGGATGTGTAACCCATTTCAAACAAAATGTGGACTAACTAAATTGGGTAAATTGCGGGCTGTATTTGAAAAATACAAGTTTATTTCCAACGATGGTCGGCTGACCATCGTTGGAAATTCAAACAAAATTTCACTTTTCTTGAAAACGACAGCACACCAGGTGCCATGATTTCACAGGATGTCTGAGACTGTCATTCACCTACAGTCAAGTAAAGTATTTCATAATAATTTGGGAGTTTCGTTTTTTGATGTTTGCAAATGTTGTATATTACCTTTAAAGCTAGAGTCCATCATTTGCAGCTATCCAAAAAGTAACTGACATAATTATTGTTGAAATTCATACTTGGTTGAAGGATAGTAAAGGGACTAAACTCCCTGTGAAATTATTCTTTCTGGCAAGCTGTCATTTTGAAGAAATCAACGAAAGAAGGCCTTTCCAAAGGTGCTTCTTAAGACGCACCATAGGAAATTCAAATTAGAAGCTCGTGTTACTTTGTGGTGAAGCGCACGCAAGCATTGGCACGATGCACACGCATGCACGGTTGCTATAATTCGTCGGATCAGTGCGCGACATCACGTAGCTGCAATCGGCTCAGTGAGAACGTGTCTCGGACGCTGAATTCAGGCCCAATTCAAAACATGATTCAGCAACTTTTGATTTGAAATTGAGATCCTAGAATGCTGTTTTTTCTTGGAATATACAGTTGAAGCTTAGCTGAAACTTCATCAGGTTAGTTGTTCAGTACCCTTCGTTAGATTTTGAGCGCTTTTGTTGCTTCAAACAAACAAAATGCACAAATTACAAATGATGGACTATAGCTTTAAATGCAATGTTGGGTTTTTAGCCTACACCGACATAATTACTTACGCACTTTAAACTCAGCGCCATCCACAAGCTTGCATGAAAACTTCGCAAGCTGACTCTAGTGGGATTCGAACCCACCAACTTGAACCATCAGACAGTGCCTACCTGAATGTTCAGCAGCCACGGTCTCAGTTTCTCGACTCCGTCCAGACGATCCCGGAGATCCCAGACTAAGAGGTAGAGCGCCCTCGCTGTGAAGAAACTCTGATGGATGATGCTGTTCATTTCACCGCCCTTCAGATCCCAGGCTGAGAAGTGGACGTCATTCTGACCAGACGTACTCTGTTGTCATGGCAATCAACAACAAAAATGATGTTTAAGGGTGGTTCAAGTTTAAAGCATATTCAGAACAACTCAAGCTTAATAAACCAAGTATAACTTGCTTTCAGACACGCGAACTTTACGTAATAATTTTTGCATTGATTGTACACTAGAATTGTTTGAAACAATGCAATGGTTGATCTTCCTTGTAAAGTTGCTCCTAAATTTTTAAGTCACTTAAAGGGAATATACATCATTTGCTTTTGCTGTAATTTTCAGAAATGGATGGAATTGGGGGGTTGGAAATATATAGCAAATATAGTTACACTGACTTTTTTGAGGTTTTGGGTTCGAAAATGCTATAAAAACCAAGAAAAACAATCCTTTTCCTGTAGTCTGGTTCCCTGACTCCATATAAGAAGAAACAGAGCAGTTTACATACATTGGGGAATTGTAAGGTCAGGGAACCAGTCTAGCTGGCTTGTACCCGTTCATAGGTGTGTAATCGATTGCAAACAAGTGCGATGGTCAATTGGGGCCAGTATTTAAAAAAAAAGCCATTTTTTTCCAACGCTGGTCGGCCGACCAGCGTTGGAAATTGATACAAAAATACCACTTTTCTTGAAAATGACAGTATACCTGGTGCCATGATTTTACAGGATGCTTTACACTGTCATTCACTAACAGTCCAGCGAGGTATTTCAAAATGATTTGGTAGTTTTATTTTTTGATGTTTGCAAATGTTGTATTTTACCCTTTAAAGATATACTAACGTGCTTTTTGGGTGTGGCATCCCGAAGTATAGATTTACAAATTGAATTGACAATTTTCTAGCATTACATTAGTTATGAGCTTTGCAATGAGACATCGAATGAATAAAAAATCGGCCCACGATAAGTTATCAATTAATTAATTTCAACTTTTGAATTAAGAGCAGGACACTCCTAATTCAGTTCTGAAGCTAGGCGGAACCGTGCGTGCACATGGGCTTTTGCGACTGCAGTTTATGAATAATATTCTCAACACCACAGCACGGACCGGCCACGATCATCACGTAGCTAGGATCACAACGCGTGAATTACGACCTGCAAATAACCTAAATTAAGATATTAGTTGGTCAACATCACTGCCTAAGAATAGTTATAGCATTTCACTCCAACGTTCTGAACTGGAGCGCACCAATAGCGCAATGTTAAACACCACTTTTTAAAACTGTACAAAGGCCTGCAAATGCAAACAAGCAAATTTATTCGTTTCAGAACATTATATTCCTTTAACACTCGTTCGGAAAAGAAAATTGAAATAATAAAAAAGTGTGTCTAAATCGATGGTAATTTATTAATCTTTCGAATAATTTAGTTCAACGCGATTCTTAAATGCCAATCGCAAACAGGTGTTACTCTCAGATTTTCGGAGCAGAGTTTAAGCGAATGTTGTCACCAAATTCCATTCCAAATCGAATGTTCCTACCTGGTCAGGCTTGGGATGAAACAGCTTCTTCTTCAATGACGGCTTGACAACAAGACGAGCAGGGTCCTGAAGAGTCCAGGAGCAAATATTGACGCCAAGGTCATCATCGGGTTCTCTCTTAGTCAAGCACGACAACACGGACGTCTTGCCGCATTTCTAAGGACATGAGAAAGTTATCAAGAGGAAGGATATGATACATCCATTCATGAAATAAAAATTTAATGTGTTGTGCATTATTATTACCCCCGCTCATCGTGCCACTGGGAACATCCCAAAGACCATCTCAGCTCCCTGGGATATACATCTTGAAGCTGCCTTAGCACGACCAGCTACATCAAACACAGAACTACATCTGCTTTCACAGGTACCCGTTTACTCCTGGGCCGGAGAAGGACAATTAGTGAAAAGTGGCTTGCCCAAGGACACACAGACTACAAGCAGGCATTGCGCAGTGTTGAAAATGTTCTAAACACGAGCGCTTGTTGTTCGAAATGTGTTCGACATACGACGCAGCCGATGCTGTTGACGCTCAAAATGCCGATGCACGTTACTGGTCTGTCAAAACTGACGTCATTTGAGAGAGACTTATTGGCCAACATTTTCTTCGTATCAAGGGCAATTAGTGTAAAGTGGCCTGCCCAAGGACAGACCGACCACAACCCCAGGCTGGACTCGAACCCACAACCTGCAGAATTATTGAGCAGACCTGAGGTTCGATTGGCCGAGATTTTCTTCATATCAAGGGCAATTAGTGTAAAGTGTCTAGCCCAAGGACACACGGACCAAAACCCCAGGCTGGACTCGAACCACAACCTGCAGAATTACCCACCAGATCTTACGTTCAAATGGCCAAGATTTTCTTCGTATCAAGGGCAATTAGTGTAAAGTGTCTTGCCCAAGAACACACAAACCACAACCCCAGGCTGGGCTCCAACCACAACCTGCAGAATTACCCGCAAGATCTTCGCTTCAATTGGCCAAGATTTTCCTCGTTTCAACCTTGCCTACCTCTGGTCCGACCAGCATGAGTTTCATCCCTCTGTAGGGACTGCACTTCAAGAAGCGCTCGTTGAGTTTCTCCAGGATTTTCCTTGTCTTATGTTCTTTCTCCTGCATGATGGACACAACGCTAGCAGGCTCCTTAATCTTCAGCCCGCTGAGGTTTAGGGAGTACAAATTCTTCAACTTGGCCATAGTGTCAGGAAGCTTCTCAATACCTGTATTACTGCGAGACACACAGAAAGAACCCGAAAAGTGTTTTTCATGGCGTTTAGAGAATACAAGTCATATCACTGCAACGTAATGCGGGGCAAGTCAAAAAGAAAGTGACCCGGAACAATGATTTTTTTTTCTGAAAAAGCAGTCAACTTTGACACATAAATGAAGTATGTCTTAAAAGAGCGTGTTATTCAACTCATTTGTAAAAAGAATTACTGAAATTGATCGATGCTATCAGTAGTTATTCATATTTTACTAAAAGAACCTATTTTTATAGCTGTCCATGGAATGCCATTGGAAGCTATTGAGCAGAGTGAGAATTACAGATTACACACAGGCATTCAAATACAAATGAGATTTCAATCATTTTACTGTCAGATTTTGTTTTGAATATGAGGAACAAGTCCACTCTTTTTATTCTGAGATATTGATGGCGATTTTTGTCTGTTTTCCTTTGCAAGTTTTTGTTCATTCATGGAGGTGGGAAAACGTCCATGTTTCATGGTATTTAATGGTTATTCATCAGTTCGTTAGAACAGTAAATGATCAGTGGTGGACAGCTGAAGTTTGTGATCTTATTATTAAAATAGACATAACTTGGGAATAGAGTATGCAAATTACGTGAAATTTTCAAAATACTAATCAATAACATGTATATTAGGCCAAAAAAAAAAAAGTCTCCGGTTTCTGGTATGCGCGTGCGTCGCCGTGGCCATGCGTGTCGGCAAAATGAAAAAGTTTTTTTTTAATAAAAGGTGATGTCTCAAAACTGCCAAACTCACTGGTTTGACTGGAATCCTGCTGCTACACAATTTTAACGTGTTTTGAGATGGGGTTATGGTCGAGAATAAGCTTTATGTGGCCTCTCTGGACTCCCATATATTTGCACGAAGTTTAGTCGGGCACCATTTGCAGTCATCAGCCGACATTTGAAGCAAAAAAGACGGGGAAAAAAAAAAAAAAAGCCGCGTCGCCGCACCACTTTTTGGGCAAGCTCCATACCAGAAACCGGAGACTTTTTTTTTTGGCCTTATCCCTGTTATTTTATGAAAAGGAGTGAGCCATACATTTTTTAAAAACATTTTTTTGTAATTCGGTACATTCATCACATTTTTTCGTTTAGAAATCGTAATTTTTTGAGTTTATTCACTCACCCGCTGAGGTCTAGTTTCTGAAGGTAACTCAGATTGGAGAGGCTCGGAGGGACATCCCGTAGACGATTATTCTTGAGGTCAAGGGTCATCAGACAATCACTGAAGCATTCTGGGAAGACAATGGTAGTTGCTGAGTCGCTACCGGCACTAGAGGAATCGGAGTAGAACGTCGTCGAGGACACGCCGCTGTCTCGTTTGAAGTTCAACTTGGCAGACAGGTTGGAACTGTAAGGACGTCAAATGTAAAGTAACAAATAATCTGAAGGATTAGTCATGTTAGTATACACTTAAAGGGAATATACATAATTTGCTTTTGCTGTAATTTTCAGAAATGGATGGAATTGGGGGGTTGGAAATATATAGCAAATATAGTTACACTGACTTTTTTGAGGTTTTGGGTTCGAAAATGCTATAAAAACCAAGGAAAAACGATCCTTTTCCTGTAGTCTGGTTCCCTGACTCCATATAAGAAGAAACAGAGCAGTTTACATACATTGGGGAATTGTAATGTCAGGGAACCAGTCTAGCTGGCTCGTACCCGTTCAGAGGTGTGTAATCGATTGCAAACAAGTGCGATGGTCAATTGGGGCCAGTGTTTGAAAAAAAGCTAGTTGTTTCCAACGCTGATCGGCCGATCAGCGTTGGAAATTGATACAAAAATACCACTTTTCTTGAAAATGACAGTATACCGGGTGCCATGATTTTACAGGATGCTTTACACTGTCATTCACTAACAGTCCAGCAAGGTATTTCAAAATGATTTGGTAGTTTTATTTTTTGACGTTTGCAAATGTTGTATTTTCCCTTTAATGCAACATTGAAAATCGTATTAACTTCACAAATGTGAGCTGGAACTGGGCAAAGGTCATAGTGGAGAAAAATGAAAAAAAAAAAATGAACAAGGTGATTTTTTGTTTCGAATTTCAGATTTATTGATATTTGTAATGACCTCTGCCCAAGGAGGTTATGTTTTCATCAGCTTCGTTAGTTTGTTGGTTGGTTGGTTGGTTTGACTGTTAACAAGATAACTCAAAAACTTATGGACGGATTTGCATACAATTCTTTTTAGGGGTGGTCCTTGGTACAAGTACAAATCGATTAGATTTTGGAAGTGATCCGGATCTGGGTCTGGATCCAGGATTTCTTTTAAGGATTCTTCACCATTTATGCGAGTATTTCTTTTGGGTGTACTGACAATATGGCGGGGAATTGTTTAGCCTTGGCGTAGGTTTGCGCTCTCTGAGTGCTTTCTAGTCTTGATATTTCTACTACAAAAACTCTAAAAGTTGTAAAAAGTGTACAAATTGTGAAATAAAAATGTTTGTTTTTTCACGAAAAATAACTGGCATGTTTCATTTCATGTTACAAAACTCAAAACTTTTCAGGCCTTTTTCTCAGTATTTTACATTTTTGGCAAGATTCTGAGATTTAGACATTTTGGATAATTTGTAGAAAATAACGACAGCAGCAAATCCACAATGAATTTTCTCCTCAATACATTACTCAGAATGTGTGATTTTGAGTATATTTTTGGTACTCTACTAACATTTTCGTGAGTTCTCTTTTTCAAAAATTTACTGTTATTCTCTTAATTGAACTTTATTTTGAAATATTAAATAATACTTTTTTCAGAAAATCTGCTTGATTTGGGGTGGTTCTGGCTGAAAAATTGATTTATTTTTTACGCGTGAAGCAGTTTTTGACCCGATCCTGAACGGTTTAAACCTTAGAACTACGAAAAGTCGGGTATTCAAAATTAAAAGAGTTTAAATTTCAAAGAATAAAAATCGTAGTATCCCTTCAATCAAGGTAAACTATTAAACCCATTTCACTCAATTCGTGGATTGGTCGAGCCGAACGCCGACTGAATAATGTTCGCGATTCCGGAACTAGGAAAACAACTATACAAAAATTTTGTTCTTTAAATTGACCAACCTCTTCCTCTTAGGGCTAGCAGGTGCTGTATTCTCCACAAAAACAAGTCGATTGCACGACAAAATCAAGTCCCTAAGACTGTAGATGCTCCAGGATTCAGGGTCAGGCAGTTTACTGATATGATTGTTGGTCAGCTTGAGACAGTTCAGAGCCGTCAGTTGACAGATAGTCCACGGAATCTCCGGAAGCATGTTGTAACTGAAGTCCAGGTTTGTGAGAGATCGACTCCAGTATCCGTGCATGTCCGGGACGTCCGTGATAAAGTTGTGCGCCGCGTTAAAAGTTGCCTGCCGAAGCAAAGTTTTGAAAAGTTTAACAAACAGACTCTGGTATATGTTTTTAGAGCATTCACAATCTTGGTTGCAAATTTTCTGAGTGTGTTGCGTTCGTCACCCATTCGACGACGGCATTTTTGTGGCTCATCCGTGACAACTACCACAGAAACACGCTCACGGATTGCATCTATCTTGGATTCAAGGGCGGATCCTGGAGGGGGGGAACCTCCCCCAAAACAAACCCAATTTTGTTAAGTGACGTCACAATAAAGGCAGGCACTGTGTACACCACCATCTTTTCCTCAAAAAAATTGGTTAAAGTGGTCAGAAATTGCCTCAGATCGCACCACAGAGCATCTTGAATCCAAATTTTTTGGGGGGGGGGGGGACAATAAACGAGCACCGAAGCCCACGCTGTAATTTTAATCCAAAACAAGTTCCAATTTTGTACTTTTGAATTCTTACCAGTGGGCAGTCCCATGGCGCGGGAAGTTTATTCAGTCGATTGTGAGATACGTTGAGTTTCTTCAAATTCTTTGCGGCGTTGATGTACTGAGGAATGCGTAATATAGAATTGCTCGATACATTCAATGACATCAGGTTGCTACATTTCCAGACTTTTTCATCCTCCGCTGAAAAAAAAAAATGAAATATGGACGAGTTACCAGAAGTAAATCTCTGTAAAAAAATTAACTCAAAAAAATGTTGCAACCTGACGCCACTTCCGCGGTTTTGTACAAAGTCTATGGAGAGTCAAGAATTTTTTAACAATATTTCCTAACAAAATTGGAAATGTTTCTCAGTCTCAGATTGATGTCTTGTCATCATTTTTGCAATGAATGACCTTCATTGAGATGATATATGAAGAAAAAAGTGGCGTCAGGTTGCAACATTTTTTCCAATTAGCTATTAGGATTAAGGGCCATGCAATGTAATATTTGAATGCAATACTTGAAAATGAACCTTTGTATCCCATTTAACCTTATATTCACTGTGTTCTTCAGAAAAATTTGCTTCATGGGCCCTTAAAGCCTCTATGATCAAAACAAATACCAGAAATACAAGATATGTCAAATAAAAATGAACAAATATGAAATATGAAAAAAGGGGAATGCACACTAATACACGAACAGTTTAGCCAGCAGTAATAGACAGAACGGAAGAATTCCTAGGATCCGATAATTTCTTACACATTTTCTAGCGTCACTTCCAAGACACAACTGGATACGGAGACCGATTCAAACTAATGCCTAGAAACAAGAATTTTATTGGGATATCAAAAAATTTAAGAAAAACTAATTTTAGCAACAATATTTTTATAAACAATACCTGTGAACGCAACCTCGTTTCCATGGGTACGATCGTGCTGCGCCATGTTGTTTCCCATCATGGCTTGCCCGATCCTAACCCCTGAATTTGTCTCATTTAAATGTGTCAAAATATGACACATTTAAATTAGGACTGCATTCGATGTGTATAACACGCGACGCCATCTTTAAAATGTTGAAAGTTGTGTTTTTGAAGAATCAATCCTTTCAAACATAAGGTTTCGACGTCGCGTTATTTAGCAAGGATTTGTTTTTGTTGTAAATGTGTGCACCTCTTTCGTCCCTTTACAACCGAAGATACAGGTTTTTTTGGGCCAAAAAACAAGGCTGCCATATTCCATATTGTACAGGTATCGCGCAGTTTTGAAGAAAAAAGTATTCGTACGTGACGTGACGTGACGTGCAAAGCACGCGAGTGCATTATGGGCGCGCCCGGTGTGCATTCTTCGAAATGCGCGCGCAGTACGCTGTGAATAGCCAATCAGCGTCATTTACGTATATTACGGCCAGGGGTTAGTGAAGGAACACGCACGCGCCCATGGAGTCGAGGCTGCTGTGAATGTTTTCTTTTAATGTTGAGATGTCATTATTTTTTTGAGAGTATTTTGACTGACCTGGTAAGACTAATTCCGATGGGAACCGTTTGTGGTTTAGGCTGGTGATTTTGTTGTGAGACAGATCCAAGGTCTCAAGTACAGGATGCATGAAAATCTCCAGGACAGGGAACTGCAGAATGTTGTGAGAAACCTTCAGATTCGTCAATCTAGTAAACAAAAACACAAATCTAATTTCAGTGTGCTGTGGAAATCTTATGATGGTTTATGATCGGCATGTTAGTGTTTAAATTCAGTATGGTAGATGGATCACAAGTCCATTACAAGTCCATCACAAGTCATCACAAGTCAATCACAAGTCAATCATAAGTCCATCACAAGTCATCACAAGTCCATCACAAGTCAATCACAAGTCCATCACAAGTCATCACAAGTCAATCACAAGTCAATCATAAGTCCATCACAAGTCATCACAAGTCCATCACAAGTCAATCACAAGTCCATCACAAGTCATCACAAGTCATCACAAGTTATCACAAGTCCATCACAAGTCCATCATAAGTCATCACAAGTCATCACAAGTCATCACAAGTCCATCACAAGTCATCACAAGTCCGTCACAAGTCCGTCACAAGTCCATCACAAGTCCATCACAAGTCCATCACATGTCCATCACAAGTCCATCACAAATCAAACACAAGTCATCACAAGTCATCACAAGTCATCACAAGTCCATCACAAGTCCATCACAAGTCCATCACAACTCCTTCACAAGTCCATCACAAGTCCATCACAAGTCCATCACAAGTCATCACAAGTCCATCACAAGTCCATCACAAGTCCATCACAAGTCCATCACAACTCCTTCACAAGTCCATCACAAGTCCATCACAAGTCCATCACAAGTCATCACAAGTCATCACAAGTCATCACAAGTCCATCACAAGTCCATCACAAGTCCATCACAACTCCTTCACAAGTCCATCACAAGTCCATCACAAGTCCATCACAAGTCATCACAAGTCCATCACAAGTCCATCACATGTCCATCGCAAGTCATCACAAGTCAATCACAAGTCATCACAAGTCGTCACAAGTCCATCACATGTCAATCACATGTCAATCACAAGTCCATCACAAGTCCATCACAAGTCTATTCACTAGCCCAGTCTAATCACAAATTACAGTGGAACTATAAGGAATGCCTTTGTAAGAGCTTTATTTTGTCTATAAAATAACATTTAATTTTTACCTTGTTTCTTTCAGCACCTCTAACGTCTCCGGGCCTGGTAGCTCAGCCAGATTATTATGGGATACATCCAAGGATTCCAAACATGGCAGTTCCCATAGCAACACCGCTGGGATTGAACTGAGTGCATTGTGGGATAGGTTGATTCTGACTAACGTTCGTTTAAGATCAGGGTTCCTTGTCAGCCAAGCTGCGTCAAAATAATGAAGATGACGACCGCTCCATTTTGCATCGCATCTCTAAAAAAGAAAATTTAAAGATTGTCTTTAAAAGTAGAGTAGATCATTATACAAATATTGAGTGGCTCAGCGTGGAATGGGAGGAATATTATCGCGAGGTGAAATCTGGACTTATCCATTTCACGAGGCAAAGCCGAGTGAACTGGAAAAGTCCAGATTTTACCGAGAGATAATATTCCTCCCATTTCACAATTTAAAGCCACTCAATATTTGTTTTATATAACTGACATATAGATCCTTGTCATTTGATATATTTGAACCTTTTTTTTTTCAATACAAAACTGAAGGAAAATCTATTTCTCTCTTCCAAACCACCCCATCACGAAAATGTTTGAACCTAACGCTGTAGCGCTGGCTCTTTGGAACAATACGCACTATGCGCAACGCTGAACGCGCACACCAGCATGCATTTGCACACAAATACCGCGTCTTGATCCTAACTGTTGAATAGTATTTCCCATTCCCCATGGGCGGATAGTACTTTTTGAGCCGCGGCGTGAATGGGAGCAGTAACGAATGTCATGTGATGTGAGTTCCACCAATCAAATGACTAGGATCTGTATGTCAGTTATATAATTGGAGCTATCCAAAATGTAACTGACAAATTTTTTTTTGAAAGCCTTACTTGGTTTAAAGATAGTAATGGCAATAAACTCCCTGTGAAATTATTCTTTGTGGCATGCTGTCATTTTGACAAAAACAATAAAAGGCCATGTTTCAAATGAAGCGTTTTTTGACATTTCTAGTAGAATTTGCTTTATAATTCTGAAAATCCGTGAATGGGTGCACGCAAGCGTTGACACGATGCACAAGCGTGCGGTTGCTATTACTCGTTGGTTCAGTGCGTAACATCGCGTAGCTGCAATCGGCTGAATGAGAACGTGTCCCGGATGCTGATTTTGGGTGCAATTCAAAACACGACTCGCCAACTGTTGAATTAAATTGAAATCCTGGAGTATTGTTTTGTCGGAATTTACAGCCGTCACTGAGCTAAAACTTCATGTGTGACTAGGCCTTAAGCAAAACTAAAGACATGCAACAAATAGAACTTAAAAAGATGATGTTTGACGAACCTCATTTTCTTGTGTCTCATCCGTTTCCTTCTCACACCACATCTGAAGAATAGGATTAAACTTCAAACCGGTTCTTAAAGCAGTCTCTCTTGTGATAACTGTCACTTGCGTCTCAAGAAGATGAATGGCCAGGCCATAGTGCTCCCCTGTATAGAAAAGAAATCTTAATCTGTTTTGTGTTATACGAACAGGAGTCAGGTTGGCGTAGCGGTACTTTCCTCGCCTTCCACCGCTGTGACCCGGGTTCGAATCCCGCCTGGGCCAACATGTGGATTGGGTTTTCAGTCCCTACCTGATTCCGTGGGTTTTTCCCCCGAATATTCTGCTGGAGTTTTCCTCCCACCTCTAAAACTGTAATTTCTTCTCATTGTCTTCTCTCTACAGATTTCTTCAGGATTGTGAGTTAGTGCCTAGGGCGCTTTTGAGGAACCCTTGGTTTCAGTACCAGAAATGATTAATAGTAATAATAATCTCACTGAATGCTATAATAGGGCGACTTTGCCTTAGACTTGTGCACAATCCTAAAATGTCACCTAACCTAAGTTTACCTAATTGTCCTGCCTCCACGAATTTCAGTGTAGGTATGTTTTAGACCATGAGGAATCGATCTAGATGGTTTGCAACATTAAATTCCTTCTCCTAAGAGTATTATTAACAAACGAGCGACACCAATTTATCAACCCAATAAGGCCTGTCTCCCTCTTATAGCAAAAATAAGCAAAAATTTGTCGTTGGTATATAGTATTCAGTAGTTTAAATGGTATCGTTACTCCTGTTCAGCAGGCTTATAGTTCCCTTCTCAACTTCCTAGCAAGCATTTCTGTTTGCGCCAAGCCCAATGGAACACATTTTTGGGCTTGGGAGTAGGAATGACTTAGCACCCCCATCCAAAAAGTTGTGGGTGTTGCAGCACCCCAGCAACCCCCGTTACCGCGGGCTTGTTTGCGTCGTTTCGGAAAAGCCAATCCCAAACCAATGTGAATTACCTCTACAGGCAGCGATGAGCGGATCGTTGGTTCCAACAAAATCGTCCTTGCAGATTGCTTCCCCGTTCTTCATCGCTTTCAGTTTGGTCAGCCAGAACTCAGTGATGTCCTGGTGTCCAGCGAAGCACGCTATGGCCAGCAGATCCTTTACGATGTCCCTGTCTTCAATGAGCTCTGAGAAATGAGCGACAAAGGGGAGATTTTTAAACCGAGTCTTTCAAAACTGGGACAGTTCATGATGTTGAACATATTTTCGTTTTCCAAATGGCATTCTTGATCCTGCTAATAATGACGGGAATACAGAATTTTATCAAAAACACCTTTATCTTGTAAATTTCAGCACCCGATTTCATGAAACTCGTCGCAACTTACGCTGCATCGTAGCACTGCGACACGTCGTATCCCTACGATGCGTCGCAGCTGCGACACGTCCTGCGATCCATTTTACAAAACACGTCGTACGTGCAATGCATCACAGGTGTATTTATCGCACAACTCGGTGACTGTTTTATGTACAGTAAATAGTTGTCTGATATTCAACAAAGAGTCGTCACATCTCCTCTTGAAAAGTTTTAAAACGTAAAACAAAATGGCGGACATGCAATATTAAAGGAAAACAAGCTCTCAGTGGACTGTATAGCTACTTTGAAATTTCAACTGCAATATTCCAGGTTAATTCATAATTATTCAATGCATTTTCTAGTTACAACTTTACACACATTGTCTCGGTATTATAGTCTCGTTTATGTATTATTTTTGGCATAGAACTGGCTAAGAAAAGGACTCTTCTTATTTTGCGATGACCACTGGACACGTCGTAACTTGCGACGTGTTTTAAGCCGTTGTCAAGGAACTTACAATGCATTCAACACATTGCAAATTTTGTGAAATGGATCAATCAATTCCATATTCACAAAGCAAGATTCTACACGGAATCTGTCCATCTGTTTTGAATTAAAAATGAAAAAGGGTTCTCACAGCCACTGACAATATGCCTGTTTCGGACAGGGTCTTACAAGGTGCTGCGGCACATATTGCAGCCACTGCCAGAAACACCGGGGCAAACCCCTTCTCTTAGCGATAAGTGATACTGGGTTCTTTAACGTGCATTACACAGCACACAGGACCTACGGCTTTACATCCCATCCAAAGGACGAAGCAATAATGGTAAAGTGTCTTGCTCAAGAGCACAAGCACCATGTTCCCACGGTCAGGATTCGAACCCATGTACCACGGCACACGAGTCGAACACCGCAACCACTGGACCACAGCACCCCATGAAAGATTTTCGCTGTCGCGGCCACCATATTTGTCCGTTCCTTGAAATGAACAATGCATGCGAGACGTACTTCCACCACTGACTCTGCTCCATGAGGAAGGTCTGTGGTGGCTGACCCAGGTGAGCCCCGAGAACGAAGTCAGAACTAACCGAACGGCACGGGCAACCCAAGTCGACCCAGTGAGCTAATCCAATGCACCAACGACTAAATACCTACTTGGTTCCCACTCGATCAATTTCTTGATCATGTCAAGTCTGCCATGTCTGCTGGCCACTTCTAGTGCTGTTCCTTCCTGCAATTAACGACACAGAAAGTGATATATGGCTGCACCTGAATGACACGGCTATGACTAGCAGTAATACGCAGGTCTATGAGAAGCGGTCATAGCCGCTTCCATAAATGCAGCTTTGTGGCTTTTAAAGCTATAGTCCATCATTTGCAGCCATACGAAAAGTAACTGGCGTAATTATTGTTGAAAAACATACTTGGTTGAAAGATAGTAAGGGGACTAAACTCCCTGTGAAATTAATCTTTCTGGCAAGTTGTCATTTTGAAGCAATCAATGAAAGAAGGCCTTTCCAACGGTTCGTCTTAAGATGCATCGTAGGAAAATTTAGTAGTTCGTTTTGTTATTCGGCAAAGCGCGCGCAAGCATTGGCATGACGCACACGCGTGCGTGGTTGCTATAATTCGTCGGATCAGTGCCCAACATCGCGTATAGCTGCAATCGGCTCAGTGGGAACGCGTCTCGGACGCTGAATTCAGGCCCAATTCAAAAGATGATTCAGCAACTTTTGATTTAAAATTGAGATCCTAGAATGCTGTTTTTCTTGGAATATACAGCTGACATGGCTGAAGCTGAGCTGAAACTTCATCAGGTTAGTTGTTCAGTATCCTTCATTAGATTTTGAACACTTTTGTTGCTTCAAACGAACAAAATGCACAAATTATAAATGATGGACTATATCTTTAAAAAATATTCTCAAGTTATGGTCATCTGAATGATATCTGAAAGAAACTTTTAAGATTTTGAAGAAACTAACGATTTTTTCTCTAATACTTGTAGTTGTACTAATTACAATTCCCTAAAGGCAATACATGTATTTAATGTGCGTATAAACACAAGAGGGCGCCCTTTAGCCTAACAGTCAGGGTCAGGCACTATCAAACATCACTATCAGAATTCACGGACATAAAATTATGCAAATAAGCCAACTGGCGAACAGCGCCCCCTCATATTACGTGACGTCTCACTGTTTTATAGAAACCAATGCATCGATAAGGGGTTCCCTCGGTTTCCAAGCTTCTCATTGGTTAAAAACGGTCACATGACATATTACGACATCATTTTCCAATTCTCTATAATCAATACCACATATTCCTTCTGAATGCTTCGAAATTGGTTACTTCTGTACCGCGTTATCGGCATTTTGCTCGGCACATACTCAAAGGATTTTCATTCTTTTTTGCAAAATTGCCGTATTTTGGCGAGCATTATGTTCGTCTTTCTTCGACTGGTGTACTTTTTAGGAATTTATTCATAAAATGAAACATTTTGTGGGTGAAGTTGAAAGTCTCAGGTACTATCGTAAAATATAAGTGAATGAATGCACATTCACATGCACATCTGCACGGACAATGCTCATTAATAATTTTCAATAACGAATTTGCCCCAAGTAGTCGGCTGTGCCAATGCGCGTGCTCACAACGCGATCGAAGTATGATTCACCGTCATGGGCGATGTTTGTATTGTTAGGAAGGGACTGCAACTGACCTTTTCCGTGCGAAGGCTAGGGTCGGCCCCATAAGAAAGCAACATCAGTACGGCATCGATTTTCGCATACTGACAAGCAACTTGGAGGAATGGATACGGAAAGCTGTGTCGGTTCTCATTTCCCTCTGTGAACCGGAAGAGATGCCTCCTGGCATCTTCTGAGAAGGTCTGAAGGAAGCGGGCCACTTCTGAAGTTGGTTTTTGTCTGAGGTTGTCCAAAAGTGCCTCAGCTAGAACTGGAAATGCGGACAACAAGCAGTTAGGTAATATACAACATTTGCAAACATCAAAAAAGAAAACTACCCAATTATTATGAAATACCATACTGGACATCTTTTATCGTAACATGTACGGTAAAAGATATTACTGTATACTCAGTGAATTCCCTGCCCCAAAGTCGCGGCAACGACACTCAGGAGTTCAGAAGTTTTCTTTCAACTATAACTTAGGAGGCAAACTCTTCACACTGCGCTATACCTTACAGCATTATAAATGGCAGGACCAGTTTTTGAATGAAGTTTTGCCTGTAGCACTTTCAAAATCTAGGATATGAAAGCCCAATTCATAAGCTTTCTTTTAGTACAAGAATCATTCAAATCACTCATGTACTTTTTAAGTTACGGAATTTTGAACACAAACACCGTTTTAAGATTCTGCCTATGGATGACACAAACAAAGCAAGTGTTCTTTCCGCAAAACGAAAACAATTCTCATAGGGACGTGAATTGTTTACGTTTTGCTGATCCGTGGACAGAACTTTAAAACGGCGTTTGCATTCAAAGTTTCGAAACTTGAAAAGTACATTAGTGATTTGAAGGATTCGTGTACTAAAAGAAAGCTCATTGATTGACCTTTCATATCCTTTCATTTGGGTATCATTTTTTTTTTACTCACTCTGTACATCAAAGTGATGTATCACGCAATACGCATTTCCAAATATGGTCTAATTTAATACAAAAGGTCACGCGTATGCAAACTAGGCACAGAAAACTTTTAGCCAATGAAAAGTGTCCACATCGCGTGGGGACGCTGTGTTCTCTGTTGGAACCGCACGAGAGCCACTCTGTCACAGACATCCAAAGACTGCAGAGCATATTAATTTCTCTGCGATTATTTTTCAAACCGCCACCCAGTTAGCTCCACTCTCATTCATTATTTTTTCATGTTGGTATGGGTTCCGTGCGCCAACTAAAGAGGGCGCGTTTTTACCACTTTTGAAAGCACGGTGGGCAAGACTCACAGCGTGCGCGTACTGTACTGTACTGGTTCGCGCGCGAAGTACGCACAACTTCCTGAATGTACCAAAGCAATAGCCACAGCGACTTCACGTGAGTGTTAGGCCTCATCGGCGCATGAAAACATTCAAAGTTAACTTGCGATGGTCTCCCAGACTTATCTCCGCCCAAAGAACTTTGGATCATTTGAAATACGCAGTGGATGGACCGGGAACCAGTCTAGGTCTCGCCCAACTCTCCTTTTCTGGCCGTTGAAGGAATACTTGTGCACGGAGCCATGTATGTACTAGTAGGAGCCATGCAGTTTAGCAGTTTTCATTCAAGCAGCTAGCTTTCACAGCATTACCTTGGTGATGTTTCAGCAGTTTTTCAACTGTCTTGCGGTGTTGAAAAACACGTTTTGAACCTATGTTTCGGGTCTGGTGTGCCCATGTTTTGGGCCTGGTGTGCCCATGTTTCAGGTCTGGTGTGCCCATGTTTTGGGCCTGGTGTGCCCATGTTTCGGGTCCGGTGTGCCCATGTTTTGGGTCTGGTGTGCCCATGTTTCAGGTCAGGTGTGCCCATGTTTCGGGTTTGGGGTGCCCATGTTTCGGGTCAGGTGTGCCCATGTTTTGGGTCTGGTGTGCCCATGTTTCGGGTCTGGTGTGCCCATATTTCGGGTCAGGTGTGCCCATGTTTCGGGTCTGGTGTGCCCATGTTTCTGGTCAGGTGTGCCCATGTTTTGGGTCTGGTGTCCCCATGTTTCGGGTCTGGTGTGCCCATGTTTTGGGTCTGGTGTGCCCATGTTTCGGGTCTGGTGTGCCCATGTTTCGGGTCTGGTGTGCCCATATTTCGGGTCTGGTGTGCCCATGCTTTGGGTCTGGTGTGCCCATGTTTCGGGTCAGGTGTGCCCATGTTTCGGGTCTGGTGTGCCCATGTTTCGGGTCTGGTGTGCCCATGTTTCGGGTCTGGTGTGCCCATGTTTTGGCTCTGGTGTGCCCATGTTTCGGGTCAGGTGTGCCAATGTTTCAGGTCTGGTGTGCCCATGTTTCGGGTCTGGTGTACCCATGTTTCGGGTCTGGTGAGACCATGTTTCGGGTCTGGTGTGCCCATGTTTCTGGTCAGGTGTGCCCATGTTTCGGGTTTGGGGTGCCCATGTTTCGGGTCAGGTGTGCCAATGTTTCGGGTCTGGTGTGCCCATGTTTCGGGTCTGGTGCGCCCATGTTTCTGGTCAGGTGTGCCCATGTTTCGGGTTTTGGGTGCCCATGTTTCGGGTCTGGTGTGCCCATGTTTCGGGTCTGGTGTGCCCATGTGTTACATGTGTTTGGTCTGGTGTGCCCACTCATTTTGACTGTACATAATCCACGTCATTATAGTACTGAAACAGATTGCCATTACGATGTCCGGAAATAAACTGTTAATTAGCTGTGGCATACAATGTAAGTCCCAAAACAGAAAAATTAGTTTTTTGCGTGTTTCTTGTTTGAGTCCGAGTATAAAAGAATAATAGTCTCAAGCATCCTGTGAAATCATGGCACCTGGTGTGCTGTCATTTTCAAGAAAAGTGTAATTTTAGTACCAATTTCCAATGATGGTCGACCAACCATCGTTGGAAAAAACTGACTTTTTTCAAATACTGCCCCCAATTTACCAAATTGAGTTAGTCAGCATTTTGTTTGCAATTGGTTATACATCCATGAATGGGTGCAAGCCAGCTAGTCTGGTTCCCTGACCTTACAATTCCCAGACGTTCATAAATTGCTCTGTTTCATCTAAAGTAGGGTCAGGGAACCAGACTACAAGAACAGCATGTTTTTCTTGGTTTTCCAGCATACAAATCTGCACTGATCTGTTTTCCAGAATACAAAACTTTACACAGATCAGTGCAACAATGTTCACTTTAAAATACTTACCTCCAAATTCATCCATATCTAAAAAAAAAAATTGAGCAAAAGCAAAGGTTGTATAAAAGACTGAGAATTTTATTGATGTTGTTTTAAAGTTTGTTTTCAGTAAATCTATTTTTTCATTTCTTTTTCATTGTTTCAGAGTATATGTGAGGCGGTCTGGCAAAAATGAGACAGAACTGGGCAGAGATTGAAATTAGAATTGGCAGTTATTAATAATAATGATAAAGAGCATTTATGATGCGCCAAATCCATCTTGATTAGATGCTCAAGGCGCAGAGAACAAATAAAAAGGCAAAATATATTAGGAAAGAGCACGAAATGCTCTTTACAATACTGTTTGTTGCACTTCAATCGGACATTCCGTTGACAAGTTATGACCGTTTAAAAACTTCGTATTTATCGACAAGTCAAAAAAGTAAAACACTGAGAAAGAAGCCTCTAAATTTGAGTTTTATAGTCATGAAAATGAAAGATGCAATTGTTTCTCTTTAACCAGTCTGTGCCGGGATTATTTTTACCGGATTAATTTTGATTTTCGAAAAAAGGCAAAATATAGCAGCCAACTTCTGATATACAGCCAAACGCCACAAATACTGATTCGCAAGAGTCATTTCAACAGTATTTGTACGATATTTCTTGCCGAAACCTCATATTTTTCAAAACTCTGGGGTGTGCAACGGAGCGTAAATTGTACAACAATAGGCCGTGCACAACGGCCAATTCAAGATCAACACACGGTCGGCCTCCACAGACTTCACGGACTTTGTGTGTGTCTACGAAAGGCACGAGGGATTAGCCTGTTTAGACATCGCCCGGAGGCAAGTCGAGGCAATATTGACGTTTAAACCCATCAGCTGTGCCTGTGTATAAAAACAGCCAGTGCATGATAACATGGCCTCCGAAGCTAGCTGGCTAAAAATGCTTTTATTCCATGATTTTTTTACACTCTTTCTTCAAAATACATGTAGTACACATATCAAAGGTTACAAATATCAAAATGAGAATAAAAAAAATCTCCCCAATTCATTTTTTGGGGGCATTTTTTCCACTACAGCCTGTGTCCAGTCCCCTCTTTTGCCAGGCCTCACAAATTTAAGATATACAGATTTTAAATATTTCTTCAATTGCAAGTAATTTCATCAAGACTTGAAATGAGAAAAACTGACCTCGTGCTTCACCCCAACCCACTAAATAATTTTTCGGCTGTGACTTCTCATGCTGACTACCCTTTCCATGCATAGCCATTGTTGTCTGTATAATTGTTAGGTACCTTCAGTCATGTCTGTGCTAAATCCATCGTCTGTAGCCATTACTACTGGTGGCACACAGCATACGGCATCTCAAGAACTCAGCATATATCTCAGCCTCGTCACCACAGCAGACATGACTGAATCATCACTGCACTGCTATCAAACACTCTCCGTTCTGTGTTGACTCCAGGGGTCGAAGCTGACGAACAAAGGAAGTAGATTGTTAGGAAGAACTCAATTAATTAGGCCACAAAGGAAGAGATAGCACATCGGGTTTTTGTTTAAAGGCAGAGTAGACCATTTGCAGCATTCCAAAAAGGAACTGATATTATTGTTGAAAAGCTTACTTGGTTTAAAGATAGTAATGGCACTAACTCCCTGTAAAATTATTCCTTCTGGCATGCTGTTATTTTGAAGAAAAAAAAAAAGTAAAAGAAGGCCATTTCCAAAGATGCGTCAAGCGTGGCCTAGTGGTTAGTGTTTGGGACTCATGATCAGAGGCTCATCTGCTGGCCATATGTTGTGTCCTTGGGCTAGCCACTTTATCCCACTTGCCTCTCTCCACCCAGGAGTATAAATGGTTCCAGCATTAGCTGGGGAGTAACCTGCGATGGACTAGCATCCCATCCAGGGAGAATACAAATTTTCTCAGTCATTTCATGCTACTGAAACCGGAGATAAACGCCGGCCTGATGGGCCACATTGGCTTGTGACAGACTTCATTTTATAATTGGCTGACTGAGAACATGTCCCGGATGCTGATTGGGCGCAATTCAAAACATGACTCAGCAACTTTTGAATTGAAAATCGAGACCCTAAAAAAATTTTTTTCTTAGAATATACAATGATATACAGCATTCAACTTCATCAGGTTAGCTGTTAAGCAACCTTCTTTAAATTTTGAGCACTTTTGTAGCTTAAAACGAAAAAAATGCCATGACAAAACGATCTACCCTTCTTTTAAGGTAAATATGATTGCCAAGCATTATTTTCTGCACCATCATTGAATACAATAGAGGCCATTCTGCAGTGCGGCCTGTAAAGTCCTCAACTTTCCATATGTATCATGTATTGCGTTCAGTTTCAGTCTCAATTACGTTTTCTAGAATCAGGAAGTACTTGTAAACTACAACACGATTAAAAAAAGATAACAGCAAAACAAAGAAACAATGCAAACCACAAAACTACACCACACAATCATTAATTCACCACTATAAAAATGTGATGATTTAGTTTTGAGGAACTTAACCCAAACGGCCCTGCTTGCTACTCCCTGTACCGGTACTGCCCCAAACCAGCCTGCCTGTTACTCCCTGTACTGCCCCAAACCAGCCTGCCTGTTACTCCCTGTACTGCCCTAAACCACCCTACCTGTTACTCCCTGTACTGCCCCAAACCACCCTGCCTGTTACTCCCTGTACTGCCCCAAACCAGCCTGCCTGTTACTCCCTGTACTGCCCCAAACCACCCTACCTGTTACTCCATGTACTGCCCCAAACCACCCTGCATGTTACTCCCTGTACTGCCCTAAACCACCCTGCCTGTTACTGCCTGTACTGCCCCAAACCATTTAATAACATTTTAAATAAAGATTTAATAAAACTAGGATCTTGGTCTCTCAAATTTTGCTGTAAACACTGCAAGCTTTGAACAAATATCCTCACCTGCAAAGGATATAACTGATTTTGCATTTTAAAAAAATTGATGTTGTTTTTAAAAGTGTTACGTACATGTACCGGTATGTAACGAAGGACGGACATTTTAGATAAAGTCAGAAAGTAAGCATAACATTTGGGTTGATAATGCCAAATGAAAGTGCCCATTAGAAACTGAATTTGTCCTAAGCACCCTTTTCCTTGCAGTGTGTCTGTCCATAACACAGAAAAAAGACCTGTTCTTTTCTCAGATAAAAAAAATTATCTCTTGTATTTCCTTGTCCTCGTCACTTTCAACTTAGCAAGGTATAGAAAAAACCTAAGCACCCTTTTCCTTACAGTGTGTCTGTCCATAACACAGAAAAAGACCTGTTATTTTCTCAAACAAAAAAGATATTATCTCTTGTATTTTCTTGTCCTAGTCACTTTCAACTTAGCAAGGTATGAAAACCCAGATGTTTGAAATAGGCTAAGTAAACAATCCAAAACATGAAATCTTCGGGGATTTCAGGACGCAGTGCCCTTTAACACTCTACATTTAGAGCCTTTTGCATGGGCAGTTCACATAATTTGTTCAGTAAACCTTGGCAGTTTTGTTATATGGAAAGCGGTATCTACAACCTCAATGATGGTTGTTTTCAATGTATTTGTAAATATGTTGCAAAAACAACCAATACATTTGGGACTGAGCATAATTATCTCAATTTTTGTTAGAGAACGCTTTGGACAATTTTCAAGACCACTCAAGTTTTTACAAAAACCACCAGAGTGCCATGAGAGTACCATGCCATGACTTTGATACCTGCGGTGGGTCAGCGCTGGTGAGTGCCTGGCAATGATGGATTTAGTTCAGTAACAATGAAGGCACAAAAAGGTTCACTCAATGCATTCCGGCCAAACAAAGGCATCGTCCTTTAAAATGGCTGCTACACAAGCTGTACCAGTATTAATGGTCACCCTATCTATCAAACCGCTTCAACAGGCTTTGACAGAACTTTATACAGTTTATCATGTTTATTCCATCTAGGGTTCTGGTAGTTGCTGACCAGCCTGTACAAAAGCTATGGGAGAGCAAGTCAATATATTTTGTGATGATTTGTGACAGTTCTAGATCAGAAGCAGGGTTAACGTTTTAAAAAAATAGGAAAAATTTACTTTTTACCATCCCGAGCAATGCGCATTTAATAAGGGAAAAACAGTGTGAGGATCCGGTCTTCACTGCGTGATAATGACCGAAGTCGAGGTAACAGCGGTATTTAACAGTGGTAACGCCCAACCCAGTCATTATCATGCAGTGAAGAGCAGATTCTCACACTGTTATTCCCATTCGTAAATGCCGGTACCTTTTTAACAAAATAAACAGTTAAAATGCTCAAATTTTGTAACTTTTCTTTCGGCGATATTTCCAGACTGTTTTGTGTTCATGTTCAGTGGCCACTGGCCTTGCGGGCCCAGGCTGCGCTGGACGTCTTCATTGCATTATGACTGACGTCAAGAGTACGCACTTCTGCTGCCGTACCGAAACAAATACGACAATTTTTTTTCATATTTTTATCTGATGGAGGAAGCTGAAATTTCATTTAAACATATTCCTTGTGTCCAGAATTGCAAAGATTCTCGGTTTAGAAAAAGTAAATATGTCCGTGGGCGAAGTGTTTACAGAAAATAAATCGCAGATCCATCGACGGCTTTTTCCACGCTTCCGTCGTAAACATCCTCACACTGCAGTGCAAGCATATCATTTTAAAACTTCCTTACGCGCGTGCAACCGAACACACTGTGTTGTGTACATGCGCGTAAGTCAAGCACGATGATTCTTGAGCACATGTGTACTGCTGTTTTGTTACAAGCTACCGTAGAATTGTTGTAAATTTGGCCAATCATTTGGCTTACATGATGCTTGATCAATGCTGGTTCAGGGGCCATTTTATTTGCCAAGCCAGTCTTTATCACCATTAATACACCCCCACGTGATCCAGTCTCGACCAATCAGAAGCCATCAACTCTCCAAGGTATTTATTAATACACTACAAAAGAGTCACAAATTTTGAACTAAATCAATTTAAATACACTTTTATACTGGCAGCCCAACCATGTATCGGTACCATAACCAAAAAAGTGAATCAAATGTCTTGAGAGAGTACGAAAGGGTGAAGTTGGAGCCAATTTAATGTAGATTACATCTACATGTATCTCTTGTCATTTGTACATATTTTCGTTTGAAGTGCAGTGCTCAAAATCTAAAGACGGGTGCTTTATAACTACCCTGATGAACTTTTACACAAATGTAGCTCAGTGAATGCTGTATATTACGAGAAAACAATATTCAAGGATATCAATTTCAATTCAAAAGTTGCCAGTCATATTTTGAATTGCGCCCGAAATCAGCATCTGGGGCACTCTTTTAGCCGACTGATGATACGCGATGTCACGCACTGAACCGACTAATAACAGCATACGCGAGCGAGTGCGTCGTGTAAACGCTTGCGCACACCCATTCGCGGGTTCGCACAATTACAAACCAATGGAAATTTCCAAAAATGTGCCACTTGACACATCTTTAGGAAATAACCTTTTTTATTTTGTTTTCTTCAAAATGACTGCATGCCAGAAGGAATAATTTCACAGGGAGTTTAGTACCATTACTATCTTTAAACCAAGTAAGCTTTTCAATAATAATTTGGACAGTTACTTTTTTGATAGCTGCAAATGATCTACTCTTAACCTTAGTGATGGTCAGTCATTGCAAACGGTCTGAATTTTTTTATGTATGCATGACGTTTCTACATGCATGATCTCTTGTGGAAAAAACTTCCTGGCTGGGTCGAACCGTCAGTCCATCTAAATTTTTAAATTGAAAATGAATTTTGTTTGAAATGCTTAAAAATTATTCTTAAGTCATGATCTCATAGACTTTGCACACATTTTTTTTCTCAAAATAGGCCAATGAAGATAAAAAAATCAAGTTTAACCTCGAAAGTCATGATTTAAATTCAACATGTTCCAATAATCGGCAATGGATATTTAGCTGCAATGGGCTGAATGAGAACATGTTCTGGAGGCTGATTTCGGGCGCAACTCAAAATATGACTCCGCAACTTTTGAATTGAAATCGAGATCCTAAAATATTGCTTTTCTCGGAATATACAGCATTCACTGAGCTAAAACTTCATCAGGTTAGTTGTTAAGCACCCTTCTTTAGATTTTGGGCACTTTTGTTGCTTCAAACGAAAAACAAACTCACAAATAAAAGGAAAGATTCCCATATCTGGCCATCACTAATTTTTCTGTTTAGTGACCTAGTATCAGCCATCAGAAAGTGATAATAATGTCCTAAAATGTCAAAATTAGCAGGGAAAATTTTGAATTATTTACCGAGAAAACACTTAGAGATTTTCAGACCAGTCTCATAGGGTTTGTGCATAGGGTGACAAGTGATGGCCAGATATGGGAATCTTTCCAAATAAAATAACCTAGGCCTATGAAATTTTAGCCCCATAAATGTGGCCAATTTACTGGACACCTCCGTAAACATATAGGCCACACATCCACATACTTATGTACAAAAACGTGTCGCACTTTGCCAAATTTTGATTTTCACATTTAGGCTTAGTTTGTAGGGTTTTTTTGCTTTAGAAATTAGAAGCATACTCACCCTCTTTATAGGCTAATCAGAAAGTGCTGCCTTTTTCAGATGTCTAATTTTTGTGAAATTTCATGTTGAAACTTTGATACGCAAACGTGTGCAAATGAATCTGGAAATTTCACGAAAATAGACATCTGAAAAAGGCAGCACTTTCTGATTAGCCTATAAAGAGGGTGAGTATGCTTCTAAAGCAAAAAAAACCTACAAACTAAGCCTAAATGTGAAAATCAAAATTTGGCAAAGTGCGACATGTTTTTGTACATGTGGATGTGTGGCCTATGTTTACGGAGGCAGTCCAGTAAATAGGCCACATTTATGGGGCTAATGAAATTTAAACTCTTTGAATACTTTCATCATGCCCCACAATCTCGGTGTGAAAACCTGACCAAGTATAGTTTGGACACTGTAGTAATACTGCTTGATAAATATGGGGCTTAGTTTACCAAGTAATCAAAATGGGTTTTGGGGAAAATGATATCCAACAAACTTTGAGCTTTGTCAACATGTTCAATGTTGACAAGTTCACGAACCATGTCAATGTGAACCGACACATGACTGACAATGACTGAGCTGGTCGGGGCTAACTAAATGAGGTGTAACTTACCACTTAAACTGTAGTTGATACGGCCAATTGTTGATATTCACATCCCAGATCACCTAATCCCTTATCTTAGAAGTTTGACGATTATTTAAAACTCGCAAACATGACTTTCGGGGAACTTTTCGGGATGGGAGGGGAACTTCGCTTCGTAAAATCGTCGTCTTTACTTTTACTAGTTTACATTCCTAGCGTCAAGAGAGGGCGCTTCTCAGAAAAACCGGAAGCTTGAACTTTAGAGAGCGTCAAGAGAGGGCGCTTCTCAGAAAACCCGGAAGCTTGAACTTCAATATAGAGGGCGCTGTCACGCCCCAACTATCGCATCGGTCCCAACTATAGTTGGGACTGTCCCAACTATAGTGCGGCAGTTGGGTCGGCCCAACTATAGTTAGGACTGGAGTTGTGCCGGATGCTTCATGCTTGGCAGATCTTGTTGGATTAAATGTTCCGCGGCGCTGGCACCGTGTATTCGTCGTGCATGCATGCCGCAAGGCTGGCCGGTCACGTGGTACTGCCTAGTTGGACGAGTTGTCCAGCTGCTGGGTTTTATTATCCAGCAACATTTTGCAAAATTCAAAGATTGCCATGGCCGGCCAACTATAGATGGGCCCCACCCATAGCTAATGTCAAAGGTCCCAAGTCGGACATGTAAGCAGAGCTGTAGGGAATGTTTTATAATCGTACATCAATGTAAACTATAGTTGGGACACCGCAAAATAAAAAGATCGGAGTGGCCCAACTATAGATGGGCCAGCCCAACAATGGAACTTACAGTTGGGACCGTCCCAACTATAGTTGGGACAGGCCCAACTATAGTTGGGCCAGCCCAACTATGGAACTACAGTTGGGACAGGCCCAACTATAGTTGGGACAGGCCCAACTATAGTTGGGACCGATGCGATAGTTGGGGCGTGACAGCGCTATGATGTAAACACGTGCCACAATCTGCGTCCATCGTGATGAACCGGTTGAGCAACTTAACTTGTGGCGTTTTACACACGCATCAACATGAGCATGACTGCACGATGAAACTGAAAGGCAGTAGGTTTATTTGTAAGTGAATAGTGACTTCTTTATCACATTTACAAATAAAGGTTATCACGATGTGTTTTACCTCAGTTTTAAGATTGATTAAGGCCTGTAGTATGATTTGATGAACTGAAAATGATTGAACCAGAGCTGAGGGACAGATTTTTGTTCATAATGTATACATGGTATATTGCTTGAGTAAAGAGCGCCCTCACAATGGATTTTTTTTTATTTATAATCGATCACTGACAATAAAATTACAAACTACAAAGGGTCTACTCGTACGTATCACAGACCTGTCTATTTTGACGGTGCTTTGCTTTTGTCATGTTTGTTGTGCATGTTTGTTTGTTTTTTTTATTTGCTAATCCATTGTCGTGACTACGAATCACTGTGTTTACTGCCCCGACTGTTGTTGCTCCATCCAGCCATTCCTCTACGATCCACCATCATGACCATACTAGTCTGATCATCCTAACAATAGTTTCTCATCTCCATTGGTTAAGTCTGCAAAATATCCTATCGGATACAGCAACACTAACTCCTCTAATTTGTTTGGCCATACGGTTGGGCATAAAACAATAGCCAAACTGAACATGTCGTTGAGACTACCCAACTATGGATGAGCAACATTTGAAACAGATGCCACAATTCGGGTGTAATACCTGTACACATTTCTTAAGAAGGTTAGTTAAAATTCAGTATATTTTACAGCTATTGTCTTTTTTTAAATATATTTTCAGACAGGACAACCATATTGCAGTGCCCCAGATTCACCATCGAAGGATTTTCCAGATTTACTTCAAGAGAAGCTTGAATACGCCTGTCGTTAATGTAGATGACTTGGTTGTAAAGAGTAAACTGCACAATGACGCGCTACGCCCGAGGAAATAAAGGGAACAGGAAAAGGCCTCATGAAGCTTCATCTTGGAGCGATCTTAAAACTGAAGATGCAAATCATCAACAGCAGAAGACTAAAGATAACGGAGACGACACACCCAAAGGGAAAGATCAAACATCCGTTAAGACTTCAAAGAGAAGGAAGCAGAAGTCGAAGCTGAGAGACAAAGGGATTTCTTTGGACGAACACAAGAGCATCTTAAAGAAACCTCAAAAAAGCAAGGGTGATGAACTTCAACAGGAAGGAACTGGTAGTCTCCATTCAAGCTTGAGTGAGAGACTAACCTCTTGGAGTGACGCCAAATCTGCTGAGGAAACTGAGCGAAAACTTGAAACGGACAAAAAGAAAGATAAACGAAGAGAAGAACGGCGATTGAAACGGATCAAGAAAAAATCCAATAAGATGGTAATTTATTCATAGTCAAACTTTTCTTCCGATGAAGCAATGTTTTCAAATATTTTCAAATGAATTTATGAACCTATGCTGCTGAATTAATACTTGTTTATTGTTTATCATCAATACCTGATTATTGCTGATTATTATTCTTATCAATTGATAGGTGTGTTATCATTGTCGTGAGGCTGGCCATGGCGTTGCTGATTGCCCCAAGATGTTACTTGATGAAGAGCAAGGCACAGGAATTTGTTTCCGATGCGGTTCCACTGAGCACGAAGCTAGCAAATGTACAGCCAAAGTGGATCCCTCCAAGGGTAAGTCAAAAGACTCAACTTGCTGTAATATCTTGTGATGGACATGTGACGGACATGTGATGACTTGTGATGGACATGTGATGACTTGTGATGGATATGTGAGGACTTGTGATGGACATGTGATGACTTGTGATGGACATGTGATGACTTGTGATGGACATGTGATGGACATGTGAGGACATGTGAGTGACATGTGAGTGACATGTGAGTGACATGTGAGTGACATGTGAGTGACATGTGAGTGACATGTGATGGATCACATGTGATGCATCACATGTGCATCACATGTGATGCACATGTGATGCACATGTGATGCACATGTGATGCACATGTGATGCACATGTGACGCACATGTGACGCACATGTGATGCACATGATGCACATGTGATGCACATGAGTATTATAAACAATAAAAGTAATACATTTCTTTTCGGCAGGTGATTTTCCGTTCGCAAAGTGCTTCATCTGCCAAGAGACGGGTCATTTATCCAACAGCTGCCCTGATAACCCACGCGGCCTCTACCCGCTAGGAGGAAGTTGCAAGCATTGTGGGTCCGTAGAGCATCGGAATCAACACTGCCCTCACGGTCTTGATGCGCAGAAACGTAAGACATAGCATGTAAGGTTGTGTCCGAATTAACTATGTTTCATGTACATGACATGACACGCCATTTTAGGAGATACAACCTTGTTGTGCAAACACAACGAAATACTACTTTTATTGACCGACTGACGTACTTCATTTGTTATTTTATCCCAACTTCAGAGACATCAGATACCACCTTGCCTACGCTCAGTAGCACACTCAGCTGGAGTGCAGACGCCGAGATTGACGAAATCAAACCAAGACCAACGACTGCCAGACAGCCGATCCAGAAAACTCCCAAAATAGTCAAATTTTAAAACTTGACACATGTGACGAGGAAATAAGTGCCAGTTTGTTTTGAAAAGTTAAAGTGGTGGTGAAGTCTGTCACAAGCCAATGTGGCCCATCAGGTCAGCGTTTATCTCCGGTCTCCTAGGCATGAAACGACCGAGGATATGTCTATCCCCCCTGGATGGGATGCTAGTCCATCACAGGTTACTCCCCAGCTAATGCCGGTACCCATTTACACTCCTGGGTGGAGAGGGGCAAGTGGGGTGAAGTGGCTTGCCCAAGGACACAACATATGACCAGCAGGCTGAGAATATTTCTATCCCCCTGGATCGGATGCCAGTCCATTGCAGGTTACTCCCCAGCTAATGCCAGTACCCATTTATACTCCTGGGTGGAGAGAGGCAAGTGGGGTAAAGTGGCTTGCCGAAGGACACAACATATGACCAGCAGCTGGATTCGAATCCCTGACCCTCGGATCATGAGTCACAAACCCTAACCACTAGGCCACACCCCCCCCCCAAAAAAAAGTGAAAAAAAAAACATATTGGAAAAGACACTCTTATGTACATCTTGAATGAATAAGGAAGGGGTGTGGCCAGGCAAAGTTCTACAGAGGGGGACCCCTCCCCTGTGCATTTGTGTAAACTAGTGTTTCCCAAGATTAAATTTTAACAAAGTGAAACAAATTATTCTTAGTTTGGTCTGAAATTGTCCAAAATGTTGTAAAGCCTAATTTCTTATTTTAATAAAGACGCTTTCTGAAAATCAGGTTTCAAACAATTTTTATCCCTGTAACGTTTATCCATAGCACCATACCAAGGTATGAATCTATATTCTACCTAAAGATAGATAGCTCCCCTGTTGAAATGAAAATGTTTGCATTAAATTCCAAATCACATATTCATCAACTTGGCTACTTTAATATGACATTGTCTTGTTCGTCAAATTGGCTACTTCAAAGGGAAGATACAACATTTGCAAACACGACAAAATGAAATGATCAAATTATCACGAAATACCTTACTGGATTGTTGGGGAATGACAGTCCGAAGCATCCTGTAAAATCGTGGCTCCTGGTGTGCTGACATTTTCAAGAAAAACGGTACTTTTCCAACGCTGGTCAGCTGACCAGTGTTGGAGAAAACTGGCTTTTTTTTATAATTAGTTATTCCGCATTTTCTTTGCAATTGATCACACACCTGTGAAGGGGTTCAAGCCTGCTGGACTGATTCTCTGCCCTTAAAAATTCCCAAAGTCTATAAATTGCTGTGGGTCGGGAACCAGACTACAAAAACATGATTGGTTTTCCTGGTTTTTCCAGCATCTACAAGCCCAAAACGTGAAACAAGTCATGTTAATAATATTTGCTATAACATACTAAGGCCAAAAAAAAAAGTCTCCGGTTTCTGGTATGCGCGTGCGTCGCCGTAGCCATGTGCGTCGGCAAAATGAAAAAGGTTTTTTTTTCAATAAAAGATGTCTCAAAATCGCCAAACTTACTGGTTTGACTGGAATCCTGCTGCTACATAGTTTTAACGTGTTTTTAGATGGGGTTATGATCGAGAATAAGCTTCATGTGGCCTCTCTGCCAGACTCACTTTAGTTGGGCACCATTTGCAGTCATCAGCCGACATTTGAAGCAAAAAAAAGCAGGTAAAAATATTTTAAAAAGCCGCGTCGCCGCACCTCTTTTTGGGCAAGCTCCATACCAGAAACCGGAGACTTTTTTTTTGGCCTAATCCTCCAAATGCAATTATTTCTGAAAATTGCAGCAAAAGCAAATGTTGTACATTCCGTTTAATATCATACCATTGTCTTTAGTTATGTAAAACAAAATAAATAGGTACATGTACTTACATTTTGAACAAATCTGCTTGTCGGTCCAGTCTTTCCAGCACATCAGTTCCCAAGGAAATATATCATTCTTTGAGTTTCACAACAAAATCTTTCAAGTCACGCAAACATTCAGGGCCCCTGCCCTCTGCTTAGTGAACCTTGGACAAGTAAATATTCACATGTGTAGAGTTGACAGTGTAAAAATAAACATCAGATCATTGAACACTGTTTTGTTGTCTGTCCTTGAACAAAAAAATAACACTTTTTGAGTTCTGCATATTTTTATTGACGCATGAGTGCAGAATTGACAATAAAATCAGAAGATGCAGGAACAAAAGCATTTGTTTTATTGTCATGTGATCGCACTCGAGGCTGAACCAGTTTCCTGGAAGTCTAGAAATAAAATCTGGACTTTCCCCTAAAGTTTATTGGACATGAAATTTACCCCGTGGGATTTAGTGTAGCACAATCAAACAAGCTGCACATATCCTGGGTAGCCATGGTTTTTTTTTTTTTATTCAAGTGCACTATAAACATTTAGATATGTTATATGATTGTCGAGGGTTCGGCACTGCTTGGGTTTGAATGTCAACCAGATAAAGACTAGGATTACAACCTGAATGCTGACAACTTCATTTTGTTAAAAGTTTAAGAGCCATAAAATTATAAACACTATATTGAGTCTGTGTCAGTCCCAGTACTTTTTGGTTTTTATTGGACACATAGATCCAAATTTGCTTACAAGTTACAGAAATGGACAGATTCCTTGTTCAATTTCTTGCAAGCCTGTCCTTTCAAAACAGGCATTTTTAGTCAAATCTTGAACGGTTAAGACATCGGTCCAAGAGTACTATATAGTGATGGCTGTTTTTGTACTAAATTTGCAATTTTTAAGCTATAACAGTAGCTTCCACATGTCACTTGGTGGTTGGTCAGTCTGTCTGTCTGTCTGTCCACGAAAATTGACCAAAAATATTTGACCAAAAATCGATCAAATGCCATGCCATGGTCATATAAATGCACTCTTGCCGAAAGTTTTCAGAAGACCGACTTTGTTTCGATCGATGCGCATGCGCGTCTATTTTTGCATATGAAGTGAGACATTGCAGAACCGTGCCAGCGTTTATTGTGCACTCGCGCTTGTTTACTTTCCATTTGGTTAAATGAGTCCGTTTCCACGGTAACAACTAAAAATACAGACGTCCTTCGCTGTATTGAAATATTTACACGTTTTATTCAAATCGGTTTTCATCAGTATAAAAGAACTATCCTTGCTGTACCATGAACACATTAAAATACTTATTCACTTATTTTACATCAACCTCATATAAAAAGGAAAAAAATGTCACTTCACAGACAATCTGTACAATTCAGACAATTAAATGATGAAAACTTAATCAAACCATTGAGGAAAACACCATGTTATAAAGAGAATAGCTTTTGAAAGATTTGAAAAGTTTCTGAAAATCTATTTTCTGGCAAGTCAAAAATAAACCATTCATTCAAGTAGGTGTTGTATTATTTTTGTGTCAGTTGTCCACAACTTCTTGTAAATGGCAAGTTAAAACTAAAAATAAAAAAGTCCAATACATTTGGTTGTAAAACCTTAATGCTTTAGTTTTGAAAAATATGAATTTTAATAATTAACCAATAGGGACAAAAAAATCAAGGAAACTAAATTATGTGATTGAACAAAATAATACATGTTTTTCGTGGAAAAAAAATAATATACAAGTGATGATCTGAAAACACTATAGACAACTGAGTTTATATATTTGAATAAATTTAAATAATTACAAAGTGATCAACCGACACAACCAGAATTAATCTACAAACGATTCACACATTTTACAAAAAATTCTACAGCGTATGCAAAATATATAAGCCACCAATTTCTACAATGTCCTTTATAAGCTATGTTTTTTTTTGCATAGTAGTTAGTAGAATAGATCTTGAAACATAATTTAAGAAGTCTGTTTTCTTACAGGAAAAAAAATCTTAATTTTTGGCAGAAAAGTCATAGATTGCTTCAGTACAACCATTAATCCTAACCACCCCAACTCCATCAAAATCCATCCCACCCATTTTGGTGGATTTTGTGGGACTTGGTCCTGCAGGCCTGGCGTGACTATATACAGGAGTTTGATGGACTTGGGCCTAATGGCCTGAAGCAGTACTAGGGGTATCCGTTTGATTTTGCCTAGCTTCCTGTACTGCTATTGTGATAAAAGCCATGTGTAGCAAGTCCATGAATGTCAACCAGTGCGTCAGTGGTGGATTCCATTATGTCATGTACAGTTTTGTATTGGAAGCACAGTGATTGATGGATTTTGATAGACTTGGTCCAGTTCCTAGTAAAAGACGCTAGGGAGTTAAGGTTAAAAGAAATCCAGTTTCAGAACAAAAATAATCAAATTGAAATTTAAACCCAATTATAATTTTAGAAGTCACATGATGTATTTAAGTCCAAAATCAGTATTTTTATCAGATTTGAAGAGCATCTTTTTTTTATTTGTACCAAGCCGCTACAAAAACCCAGGCCAGCGCAAGTTAGAACGTCTTCATAAAAGCCTCACTGCTACAAAATATCCTTATTTGAATAAATTTACGGAGCACCCCATAATCTATCCTTTCTAGTATTCCCCAAATCATCTTCTCCTTGTATCTCATGGGTTTTAACTCAACTCAGCAGCAAAAACAAAACAATAAGGTGTTTCACGGTAATATGCGCCATCTTGTTCACGGGGCAAAAAGAACACGCGTTGCTAGACGCGGGCGCATTTTGGAATGACCGCATGATGACTAGGAAAGCGCCAAAGTTTTCCTCTAACGATACGTGCACAGCACCGCGTATAAAATTGCCCCGTCGGCAAAATGACGCATATTTCCGTGAAACACTTTATTATGAATAGTACCAAACCTTAATATTTTAGATTGAAATTTTAATCACAATTTCTATCTACACAAATATTGGCAATTTTGTTTCATCAAATTTGAATAAGAGATGAACGACCTTAAAAAATTAGTCAAACTTTTTTTCAAACTGCTTACAAAAATACATACAAATTTACCGACTCTTGCCGTTTCATGTTTTCGTAAAATCTGACGGAAAACGTGGCAAATAGGCTGAGAGTACCTTTGAGTATTTTAAGTTTCAGACCATTGTAAATTAGTTCCCAATTACCAAAATTTTGTTCTAACAATTTTGTTAGAGTAAATTCTATAGATCCATTGATTGTCACTGTACTGTTTTTCAACTACATGTATATTTTGTTTTAGTTATTTCAAAGCAGAAAAAAATATCACTACATTCTCTTGTTTTGTCGTTCTATTTTAAATCAGCTGACAATCGTAAAATAAGCAATGTCTATTGAATTATACACATTGTTATACATATATATATGTCTACTATAAAAGAAAATATGTAATTTTCAAGGAGCAATTTGACAAAGATATTGAATAACACTGAAATATACAGACAACAAAAAATAGGCATGATTTTCAAAAGAGCTTTTTCAACAAATTTTTCAACTATTTTCTTGCGTTTAGCTTTTGTAATTTGAATGCAATTAATGTAGGAAACAATGTCATGAAACTGTTAATTACATTACAAAAATAAGTAATGCTGATTTTTAGTAATTCATGAACTAATTATAGAAGCATGATTATATTCAAAATGAGACGTGGCATTGTTTTTCAATCATATACAGGCTTTTAAGCAGATCCAGGTGAATAAGTAGAACAGCAGAATCAAAGTTTTCAACAACAAACAGGACAAAAGTAGGACTTTTGAGGACAAAATCAGGATACAAGTAGGACTTTTGCGGGCTTTCGGGAGTAACTTCGTTGATACCCATGTCCACAGCATCTAAGCCTCATTTGGCATGTTCTGTACTCACAACACTTATGGCCAAGTTCGGGCAAGGACCATTAGTCGACTAGTGGTTGATTTGTGACGTACCTTACGCCTGCGCACTGATAACAACGTGCGAACGTCTCTAGTCAAACGCTGGTCAAAATGTCTTCGCAAAACTTCTGGATCCTGGCTCTCTGCTAGTGTTATGAATGCGCGCGGCTATTGGTTACCAGCGATGCAACCAGCCCCAGTAGGTTGGTTCCAAATAGTCAGCTAGCATAGTCAACCATCGTCGACTAGACAGAGTTCGGGCTAACTTTAGTCGAACTATGGTTAATCAATGGTCAACAATAGTTCTTGCGTGAACTTGACCTAAGCTTTTGGAAGTACAGTTGCAGTACTCGGAGTTATCAGAGTTTTTGGACAAAACAGTACGAAAAAGTAGGAATTTCTAGAAAACAGTAGGAAAAATTAGGAGCCAGGTAAAAAAAAAAGCGAAAAGTAGGAATTCTTGGAAGCCTGCATTTGAATATACAGGGTGGATAAAAAAAAACGAAACTGAGATATTATTGCTAATTGGAACAGAAGTAGGGCACATGTGAATCGAAGGGAGATATCCTCTGTTAGGGTTGAATCACCTCTTTAAAATGACACCCTGATCATGTCATTACATTCACGGTTGACTGAGCAGTGACCAATTTTAATGAAAGGGTCTATTTTAATAGAGGATTGCGCCACTTTTCATGGTGAAATCTCTTTTTCCCCCACCTGCCTTGATTGGCCACCATAGCCTTTCACTCTGTGACAAATTACAACACAAAAGCACAATTGAAAAGTGCCGCAATTCTCTAAATAGACCCTTGCATAAAATCGGTCACTGCTCAGTCAACCGTGAATGTAACGACATGATCAGGGTGTCATTTTAAAGAGGAGATTCAACCCTAACAGAGGATATCTCCCTTTGATTCACATGTGCCCTACTTCTGTTCCAATTAGCAATAATATCTCGGTTTCGGTTTTTTTTTATCCACCCTGTATTGCAACAGATTATCTTGAAGATATATTTCGCAACACTGCAAACATTGAATGCAATATACAACAAGGCGTTACTTTGTGTTTTTTTGTGTAACGAGTATTTTCTTAGCGAGTACTTGACAATGCAATCATACCATATTCTGTAGGGTAAACCCAGTGCATTGTGGGACATTTTCGCAAGTCAAGAGGAAGCACAAATCAAACTGAAGCATTGTTGGCATGACATTTACAACATGTAAAATACATTGACACTTGTCCCCTATAAACTCCCTATAAAATATGGGTAGGTACACAAGACTGAAGAGCTCAACCCCTCTTAATGCAATAACCAATGTGTTTATGACTCTCCGCCAAAGTGAACGATAATGTCGCATTTAGCTTGGCGTTAAAGTGGGGACTAAGTTTTCACCTATATTATTTTTTTCTTTGGTAAGATTTTGAGTCTGATTTGTGAAGATATGTTGAAGATGTCACTGACTGTGTTCAGTGATGTAGTCAAAGGCAATCACAAGTCATCACAAGTCAATTACAAGTCATCACAAGTCATCATAAGTCAATCACAAGCCAATCAAAGGTCATCCACTCCTAGGTTACAGAGAATATACAACACTTGCTTTTTCTGTAATTTTCAGAAATGGATGGATTTGAGGGTTAGTATTTTACGGCAAATATTGTTACACTAACTTGTTTGAAGTTTTGTGTTCGTAGATGCTGGAAAAACCAAGAAAAACAATCATGTTCCTGTAGTCTGGTTCCCTGACCCCACTTAAGGTGAAACGGAGCAATTTATAGACGTCAGGGAATTGTAAGGTCAGGGAACTAGTCTAACCAATTACAAACAAAATGAGAACTGAATAAAGTTGGTAAATTGGGGGCAGTAGTTGTGGAAAAAAATCAGGTTTTTCCAACAATGGTCGGCCAACCAGCGTTGGAAATTGATACAAAAATACCAGTTTTCTTGAAAATGACAGCACACAGGTGCCATAATTTTACAGGATGCTTTAGACTGTCATTCACTCTTAGACAGTCCAGTAAGGTATTTCATAATAATTTGGTAGTTTTGTTTTTTGATGTTTGTAAAGTTGTATATTCCCTTTAACTCACATGCTATTAAAACAGTCTGTGATAAATGTATTCCTTTTTTGTTCAATCCCTGTTAATATTTGTGCCACGACTTGTGATTTGCTTGTGATTGGACTTACGACATGCTTATGATCCATCGCAAATATCCCGACTACAAAACACTGATTGTTTAGTTGTAATGCTTGCCCGCGGCTGTTGCGTTCAGGACCGGGTGTTGCAGATAGACGTGACTCCCACCGGATATGATCGGCAGATTGTTGTTGCGATGATAATTGATCAGGTGGCTGACGCTTTCAAACTCCTTGTCTTTCGTCCTGACCTGTGCGATAAAAAGTAAAGAAAATCATATTTTTCATTGCGTAAACGGGTATGTAACTGTATAGCCACAAACAGTGAGGAATTTTCAAGACTTTCTAATATCAAATAAATTTCACTGGGAATTTGATATTATTCATTTTTAATCAATAAATATAGTGGAATAGAGACATTGATTAACCTAACTCCTTAGGCATTTTTGCTAGGATGCAACCTCAATCCTGCAAAATCCTCCGACTGCCTCCGTGTAAAAATGATACAGCCTCAACCTTCCAAAATGCTCCGTTATTTCTTGAATGTGGTCCTTGGAGGGGTGACCACTGCCTCAATCCTGCAAAATCCTCCAGCAATCACTGTCAATATGTCGAGGCAGAGCCAGTGACATCCTGGAGCAGTGTGGAGGATTTCAAGTATAATCTAGGCCTAAATGTATACCCGGCTGAGCATAAATAACACAAGGTCCGGCTAAAACCTTGACACAGTGCATCCTCCAAAATCAGCACACATTTTTGTCACATAGCCTCAATCCTTTGAAATCCTTCATTTTGCACAGAGGATTTTGAAGGATTCGCTGGGGTTGGAATGCTAGTAAGAAAGATGCTAAGCATACATTGAATCGATTGTAGCTTACCTTTCCTTGTGGATCTACCAACAATAAATGCTTCGGTTGTCCGCTAAGCATTCCGCTTAACACGTACTGCCCTGGCGTCGTTGTACTTTCACGTACTAAGAAATCTCCATCCTCGTCCAGTAACGCTTCACCGATCTTACGCGTCATCGGACCGTGGAACCACTCCTCGTCATGAATGGATTTCTTGGGTTGCATGGGAGCAACGCTGACCGGCTGACCGTTGCGCGGCGGTAAGACCGCGGCAGGGGGACCGGTACGGGGCGGGGCTTCGGCGATCGGAGGGGGAGGCGGCTTGTGAGTTGGAGGCGGAGGGATCGCTGATTTAGAGTGTGACAGAGTCGGGGGCGTGGCCTGCTGGGTAGGCGGGGTTCTTGGTTGGGGGTTGGGCGGTTTGGCAAACTGAGAAGGGGGCGGTACTGTTGCTGGTTCACGGGGGAAGGACGCAGCCGGATTGAACGGTTCTGCAAGTAAATTAAACCAAAATAATCAGATTGTCAAAATTATAATAAATGCATATTCATTAAATATTCATTAATTTTAAAATTCAGGCATATCAGAAAACTGGGGCTGTCCTGAATATCAAATATTCCATAATCAACCAAACATTCGAATAACTTTTACTAGGTTAAATATTCGGGTGGGAAAAAGTACGCACATACACACACACAACAGTGACGTTCATATTTTAATGTAAAGTTGCGGCTCTTTATTGCAAGGTGCCACTTTTTTGTCAACACTAATTGTTTGTGTCGGCGGCGGTTACTTGTTCAAAGGTTCGTCCCTTTACGGTTTTAACATACAGTTTTAACACACTCAAAACGCCCCATATGGATCGCCGTACCCAATTTTAACCGGTACCCTCTTCGTGCAACTGTTTACCAGCGCGGCAGGCAGTTTTGAATATCTGAATATTCGGTCAAACTCAGTTTTGAGTAATTGAATACAAAATTATACGAATATGGACAGCACTACAGAAAACCTCAGAAAAATAATCTCACTCATATCGAAGGCATCTACGGCCGGTGAAGGCTGATTCTGACCGTTGTGGGACGCGCCAAGGTTCAGGGGTTGGTTAGGGGTAGGGATGTTGTAGACACCATCTTGGAAGTCCGTATCGGGTGGCACTAGTGGCATCTTGGGGTTGTCATAGTTGGCCGTGTCAAACCGAGGCTCGTCGTAAATTGAGTTGGCTCCTGTGCAAAAAAAAAAAATGAAAAAAAAAAAATTAAAAAAAAAGGGTCTTTAAAGGGAATATACATCATTTGCTTTTGCTGTAATTTTCAGAAATGGATGGAATTGGGGGGTTGGAAATATATAGCAAATATAGTTACACTGACTTTTTTGAGGTTTTGGGTTCGAAAATGCTATAAAAACCAAGAAAAACGATCATTTTCCTGTAGTCTGGTTCCCTGACTCCATATAAGAAGAAACAGAGCATTTTACATACATTGGGGAATTGTAAGGTCAGGGAACCAGTCTAACTGGCTCGTACCCGTTCATAGGTTTGTAATCGATTGCAAACAAGTGCGATGGTCAATTGGGACCAGTATTTGAAAAAAAAGCCAGTTGTTTCCAACGCTGATTGGCCGATCAGCGTTAGAAATTGATACAAAAATACCACTTTTCTTGCAAATGACAGTATACCAGGTGCCATGATTTTACAGGATGCTTTGACACTGTCATTCACTAACAGTCCAGCAAGGTATTTCAAAATGATTTGGTAGTTTTATTTTTTGATGTTTGCAAATGTTGTATTTTCCCTTTAACAGTTTTTCTTGTAAGACATTAAAATTCGTTATCAGTAAGCATGCTCACAATGTGTTAATTTTATGGGAAACAACCGATTTAACGAGTATTCTTGAATGTTCTACAAGTTTGTCAGGGGAAATACAAAAATATTAATCTGTTTTTTACATTAATCCTCTTATGCAAACATACGTTCTGTGCCAAGTTGTCGTTTCAGTCAAAATCAATCAAGTGACTGTTTTTAACATTTAAGAGCTCCCAGCCTACAGAAAGCAGGATTGACTGGCTGTGACTGTTTATGTAACTTGATACAGCTATGCTTTGACTGTAAGTGATTGATAAGACACTGTGCATACCAGTTGCCTGATTTTGTCTGTTGACTGAATTTGACTAGTCAGAGTGCTTGCTTCAAATATGATCTGACTGTCTGTGATTAGCCTGTGTTAAAGGCATGGCAGGGGAAGTGGATGGAATTTTTGACTGTCTGTGACCGTTTTGAAAACGTTTTAACATCAACTACAATTTTTTAAAATATGTAAAACTGGAACAATGCATGACAAATTATTTAACTTCATGCAAAACAGACATTTAAGCATACAATAAGTCAATGCACATCTTCAAATCCTGCAAATTAAAATGAAATGTAAGTTTGTTAGTGCATTTTGCTAGGGAAAAGGGATTGGGAGAAATTGTATTAAAATATTTACTTTATTCAAATAAATGTGTATGCAAATCATGCGTATGCAAATGCACTGTAATGCGGCCAATCAGGAGTAAAGAATGTATAATATTTGCATATTCTGCATTTAGGCAAATGAATTGAATAATGAAAAAGGGAAGTCCATTGGTGTGGGAGGAGTGATGTTGAATATGCATTAGCAAATCATGCATATGGAGATTAATTGATACAATGTACCAAATGGGGAGAGGAATCTGGACAATAGCATATCATGCATATGCATATGGTTTCAATGCAGCCAATCAGAACAATTGCATATCATGCATATGCAAATGAGCTCCAAAATGCAGCCAATCAGAAGAGAGAGATTGGTGACCTTGGTGGGATTTAGATTTGCTGCTCTTTCGGCTTCTGTTCCAAGGAACTCTCAAGTTGTCGTAGCCGGCTTCCAGAATGCCCCGCCAGTCCGGGCTACTGCTTTTATGCTTCAAGGCAATCTCATTGACTTTCTTATTGGGGAGATTCTGGGGAGGGTTGTCGTAAAGGAGAGGGGTGCAGCGTTTGAACTGCTTGACTTGGGACGGCTTTTTTTCCAGGACGGATTTAAAAGTGGTGATTTCTGACGTGGTGGTGGTTGTGCGGATGTCTTGCCTGTGAATCCTGCGGACTACGTCGTGGAATGTCGGGGTTTAGGGGTCGTGGGGGGGGGGGGGGACAGAGAAAGAAAAGATAAAGAAGAAATGTTTTGATGGATGCAAGCGATTAATCTACTAAACGTAAGGAGATAAGCTCAGCCAAGAGATGGCCCGTCATTGCAACTACAAATTAATAGCTGTTACAGCTTGAAAAATGACAAATAACATTATTTTTAAACAAACATGTATTAAGAAAGCAAAAATCGATTTGATTTGTGGTCGTCATTTCTAAGAACCAGATACCACAATTTCGACTGAAGGTTGCTCTGAATCAATTTTGCCAAAGATTTGAATATGAGGGACATTAGTCTAAGAATGTGCCCAATTGGCCCCAAAATGCGTTTTAAACAACATTATGTTGATTGGAAAGAGTATTTAAAAGTAGGATATAAACGTCCACACAACCATCCTTTAAAAACTGGGCGCTTTTGTGTTATTCTTGCGAGAACGAATTTCGGGGGTCAAAAATGTTGACTTTCAAAAATCGAGCTGTTGGGTGCTAGTCGTGCATCCTGCCACACGTGTTCCACCAGTGCATCGCATTCTGCGGACGTGCGAGAAACAACATTTGTGTATTGGTGCTGTGTGTATTATGTGACACACACACAACGTGTGCCGTACATTAAATAGACACGGCTTTAAATATGTATGCATATGCCACAAAATGTCCACCGCGTCCGATGTAAACAACCAGGTTTTTCCGTCTTTTCTCGGGAATGGTAAGCCATTAGGTTAGTTTTCTTTCAACCAGACCTTTGAAATAGGATACGTAAACAATCCAAAACATAACATTTTCAGGGATTTCAGGCGGTAATGCCCCTTTAACCACTTCATTTTTTTATTTTTGGCGAAAATTTCGAAATTTTCAAACGGCAAACATTTCCCAGCCAGCTTTCTGATAAACAGCCAAACTCCACAAACACTGATTGGCAAGAGTGATTACAACACTATTTCTACTATATTTCTTGCCGAAACCTCACATGTTTCAATACTCGGGGTGTGCAACGAAGCGTAAATTGTACAATAATAGGCCGTGCACAACGGCCAATTCAAGATCAACTCATGGTCGGCCTCCACAGACTTCACAGACTTTGTGTGTGTGCACAAAAGCACGAGGGATTAGCGTGTTTAGACGTCACCCAAAGCCGAGTCGAGGCAATCTTGATGTCTTAACCCATCATCCGTGCCTGTGTACAAATACAGCCAGTGCGTGTTATCACGGCCTCCGGCGCGAACTGGTTAAGTACATGAAAAGTTTGAGATTTTAGTTAGGAATGCGGAGTTTCCACTATGTATATCTGCTGCCCTCTATTGACGGTTATACCTTGACTACTGAGTGGGTTGTCCAGCGCTGGTGCTTGTGGTGTGTCGTCGATATCCAACAGTTTACCCACGGCTGGCTGGCGTTGGTTGTTGGCCATGTAGTGGTCTCGGCTCTCAAACCCACCGTCGCGATTGTCGTAGATCGGCGCGGAGGGCTTAGCTGCACCCAACGCCTGGTAAGGGTGATTATCCTATCAGACAAAAAAGTATTATCACAAGGAAGTCAATCTCACATCATCAATGAAATTAAATGAAATTTTATGAGAGAACATCAACGGAAGTGTGCAAATCTTTCCCATGTATAAATATGAGCAATTCCTAAGCTTTGAAGGCATACACATGTACAGCGTGAGTAAAAAAAAAAAAACCCAAATGTTGGGACTATTGTTTTAGGGAAGTTCTGCATGTAGCACTTTCAAAATCTAGGATATGAAAGCCCAATTCATGAGCTTTCTTTTAGTACAAGAATCATTCAAATCACTCATGTACTTTTTAAGTTACGGAATTTTTAATCATAACCACCGTTTTAAGGTTCTGTCCACGGATCGCAAAAAAGTTCAGTGTTCTTTCAACAAAACGAAAAAAATCACATAGGGAAGTGTGTGAATTGTTTTCGTTTTGTTGAAAGAGCGCACACCTTTTTGGTAATTCGGTGACAGAACCTTAAAACGGTGGTTGTGTTTAGAATTGCATAACTTGAAAAGCACATAATTGATTCGAACGATTCTTGTAGTAAAAGAAAGCTCATGAATTGGGCTTTCACATACTAGATTTTGAAAGTGCTACATGCAGAACTTCCCTAAAACAATAGTCCCAACATTTTTTTTTTTTTTTTTTACGATCATTTCCTTTCCATGCATTTTGTTCCTTTCCAATAATAACACCACTCAAAATCCAAAGAAGAACGTTTTGTTGAAGTTTCAGCTCAGTGGATATTACACTTTTTCGAGAAAACAGTGAATAATCATACGCAACCTTTTTGATCGCGAAACATGATTTTGTCAATTCCAAAAATCGGTCACTTGACTGATCGTTGAAAAATTAGTCCCATTTTTGTTGATTTCTTCTTAATGACAGCAAGCCAGACGGAATAATTGTACGGGGTGTTTAGTACCAGTAGGATCTTTAATCCAAGTAAGCGTTATTGAGAATAATTCTGTATGTTAATTTTGGGATGTATGCAAATGATGCTTTGTATATTTAACACAGTCACGGTCCATTCTTATTGGAACAGTCCATTCTTAATGGTACAGTCCTTTCCTAATGGAACAGTCCATTCCTAATGGAAAAGTCCATACTTAATGGAACAGTCCATTCTTAACCCTAACAGAACTTAACCCATCAAACCCCAACGGCATAATTGTGTTGGAATCTGTCAGGATGGGTACAGTACCCTTAAACTGACAGTCTTTTACATTGGGTTGGCACACCTCCAGAAGCAAAGTCAGAAATATGTGTGTGCAGTTTCCCATATGGTGTTGGAATTTGCCAGGATGGGTATGGTTCCTAGTAAATCATGCTAGGGAGTTACGGTTAATGGAACAGTCCATTCTTAATGGAACAGTCCATTCTTAATGGAACAGTCCATTCTTAATGGAACATTCCATTCTTAATGGAAGAGTCCGTTCCTAATGGAACAGTCCATTCTTAATGGAACATTCCACCTTTTCCATGTTTTTAGACACTCTCTAACGATTCCAAGTACACAGACATCTTCAACTCACCGGGATGTTTTGACATTTCATGTATTGCCCCGGAGGGGGCGGGGGAGGGAACGGTTCCTGTGGGGGGAGGTTAGTAAACTTGCTGATGTCGTTGTAATATTCCGGATCGTCACCCCACGCCGACTCCTCCTCCCCAAAGATTGGCTCCGCTAACCTGATCAATGACAGAAAGGAAAACAATTCAGTAAAAATAAAATAATATGTCCCAAAAATCATGTTAGGCACTTACAATCCGAAGTGTTTGTTGATGTAGACTTCAAGAGTTTGTTGGCCAATATAAATATGGGGAAATTGAGCAATCTTTCAATTACTAAAGTTTGGCCCACAAAAATGAAGTTAATTTTTTTTTTTTAATACCCTAAATCCTTTGAAAACATGGATTTGAATGAATTTAGGATTGAACAGCCTTGCTGAAATTGATTAAAAAAGAACTTGATGTCCACATTTTGTTGCAAAGAAAGAACATAAAATATGCCATTTATTTCTTGTCTTTGGTGATTCCTTGTGCACATGGCAGTAAGCCAATGACAAAACTATTCTCACAAACGTTTTCAATGAGCAAATTTTTGGATTCACAAGTTGAACGGAAAATCCCTAAACTGAACAGTGTCTTCCTGAAATGACATCACAGCAACAGCGCCCCCAGTTTTCTGGAAAAGCATGGAAGATGTTAATTCAATGTTTGAAGTTCCCTTTGCAATAAAAAGTACCAAAAAGGGATGTCAAACATTTTTCATATATTTGAGAGGAGTAGAAAATTGCTCAAAATGTGTTCCTAAGAAAAAATCAATTCATGAACTCTTTTAGAATTGCCCGTTTCCCTTAGTCAGAAATTTCTTAATTTTCAGTTTTAAATTTTTCCATCTTCCAAAGGTATTTAAGACTCAGTTTCTAGTATTTATAGTAAAGAACTGCATATGGAACTAAGATTTTACAACATCATGTTCATTACCTATCTGGTGCATTGACAGCTTGTGGGGGGTTCTTGAGGTAATCTTTGAAGCGAATCTCGAACGCCTGACCGATGGTGGTGATTGTGTCTTGGGCTAGACCCCCGAGGCATTCCAAGACGTGACATGCTGTGGATGGAACAACACAGACGTCTTAGGAGTTGGTTCAAATGTGAAGAAGAGAGGCAATTCCATGCCAAAGTGGACATGGCAGAAAAGTTATAATTATAAGTTGGGAGGCTAATCTTCCTTAGGCGCTTGTCACGATGTAGCCTCCTGATCACGATAAGACAGTGCTGAGACGCAAGACTCAACGACATCGTGAAACTCGGAACGACATCTGATTTTAATCGAAGCAAATTCTTGAGCATCATTTCGGCATCCTACAGGTCGTGCATGGTCGGCAGTGGAGCCACGATTAGTTTCAACAGTTGAAACGTATCGTGACGGTTGGTACAAATATCCAAAACGGACCAGAGTCTGGTCCCTGTCTGTACTCAAACAGTTGTGTTGTAACGAAGTGGAAATAAAATCACAATAGTTGGTACCAGATCGGCAGTGGTCATACATTGTCGGCCATTTTTTTTAAAGCCAACTTTGATCTTACGACCTTATGACGTGAAATTCGGAAGATGACGTCACTCTGTCGTTTTGGAGTTGTTTCGGCATCGGTTCTCGATCTTTTGTGTCGGTACTAAAAAAATTCAATGGAACAGATCCAAGTCGTAACGAAGTCGTAGCAAAGGCGTAATATTCAATTTGAGGTTGTTTCGGAGTCATATATGACCAAAGAGCAGCCTGAGATCAAAAGTGTTTGATTTAATCTGAGGGAGCAAAACCGGAGGGCCCAGAGAAAATTAAAATGATCGTGGCACAGGAGAAAATCAACGCACAGATCAGACATCTATAAGCTTTCCTCATTCGGACAAATTCAAACTTAAAAACTGTAACAAAAAAAAGGATCGTCAGTCACCTCTTCCATTGACGGGATCTTTCCCAACGTAAGCAACATAGTCTGCAGTTTCCTGAAAAAGCAAAAGTGAAAACTACATTATCACAACAGAAATAACACGGGCATTCAAGACAACTACCATTACACTGTGAACATTTCTTACTCAAGTCTGCCCTAATTAGTCCATGGGGGAGTGTGCCCTAGTGGTTAGGGTTAGTGACACATGATCAGAGGGTCAGGGGTTAGAATCCAGCTGCTGGTCATATGTTGTGTCCTTGGGCAAGCCACTTCACCCTACTTGCCTCTCCACCCAGGAGTATAAATGGTTCTGGCATTAGCTGGGGAGTAACCTGTGATGGACTAGCATCCCATCCAAAAGGAGTAGAAATGTTCTCAGTCTGTTGGCCATATGTTGTGTCCTTGGGCAAGCCACTTTATCCCAACTTGCCTCTCTCCACCCAGGAGTATAAATGGGTACCGGCATTAGCTGGGGAGTAACCTGCGATGGACTAGCATCTCATCCAGGGGGAGTAGAAATATTCTCAGTCGTTTCATGCTACTGAAACCGGAGATAAACGCCGGCCTGATGGGCCACATTGGCTTGGGACAGACTTTACTTCTTTTTTTGTCATTCACTAGTCCAGTCTATAAAGTCACAACAGGCAACAAACAATAACAAAGGAATGTCGTTATTCTTGTCAATAGCTAGTGAGCTGATTTGGAACTAGAGGACTTGTGACGGACTATACTACAACATCGCCTGATGTATCACATCCGTTTTCCTAAAAAAAGTCCTTAAAACGATTCATGGCAATCATGACTTCATAAATAAGCAAAATTTATCAGAAGAAACAAATACTCACAGCATCACCTCCAGAAGCAAACGAGATTCCTTGCATTTGATGACCCGCAATTACCTACAAATTCAAAACAAAACAAAATCAACCATAATTTTTTTTTCTATAATTCCCTTATAATCTGCAGTATTTCAGTAAATATTCTTCGCATGCTCAAACTTACAAATTGTGAAAGACTGGCATACTGTTTTTCTAAACTTGAACCCTGGCCAGTGTCACCTAAAAATGTTTTAAACAAAATCTCTCAAAAGGCGTGTGCACTAGCTCTAACATTTTACTGAATTTAAACTACAAATAAAATTGTATTAAAGGGAAAATACAACATTTGCAAACATCAAAAAATAAAACTACCAAATCATTTTGAAATACCTTGCTGGACTGTTAGTGAATGACAGTGTAAAGCATCCTGTAAAATCATGGCACCTGGTATACTGTCATTTTCAAGAAAAGTGGTATTTTTGTATCAATTTCCAACGCTGATCGGCCGACCAGCGTTGGAAACAACTGGCTTTTTTTCAAATACTGGCCCCAGTTGACCATCGCACTTGTTTGCAATCGATTAAACACCTATGAACGGGTACAAGCCAGCTAGAATGGTTCCCTGACCTTACAATTGCCCAATGTATGTAAACTGCTCTGTTTCTTCTTAAGTGGAGTCAGGGAACCAGACTACAGGAAAATGATTGTTTTTCTTGGTTTTTATAGCATTTTCGAACCCCAAACCTCAAAAAAGTCAGTGTAACTATATTTGCTATATATTTCCAACCCCCCAATTCCATCCATTTCTGAAAATTACAGCAAAAGCAAATGATGTATATTCCCTTTAAGGAAGGGTAAACTTGAACTCAATCTTAAATTTACAATTTCTGTAATTTTTAAAATGCAATCCTTGAAAATACACCTTTGTGTCCCATTTAACCTTATTTTAGATTTTTGTTTTGCCATTTTCAAGGGTATTTCGGTTGTTTTTATGCTAATTATGGAATTTTCTGTATTCCGTATTGTGATGTCATTTCAGGCAGAAACCTAAATGTTACAGCTATTTCAGCACAAAAAGTTGCCTGAATTTTACATATTTTTTCTGTCCTAAATTTTCTTTTCTTTGGTGATTCGTTGTTGTATCAGTACATGGCAGTAAGCCAATGAGCAAACTTTTCTCACAAATGTTTTCAGTGAGCAAATTTTTGAGTTCGCAATTTGAACAAAACACCCTAAACTGAACAGTGTCTTCCTGAAATGACATCACAGCAACAGCCCACAGTTGTCTAGAAAAACATGGACAATTTTGAATGTTTAAAGAAGTGCACTTTTTCAATAAAATTAACCAAAAAGGGATGTCATATAGTTTCATATATTTAAGAGGAGAAAGTTTCACAAAATATGTTCCTAAGTAAAATTGCAGTGCAAGGCCCCTTTAAGTATGGACACAAATATATGCGTTCCTTTAGCATTTCAAATTTCATGAGAAACATTTCAGAACAACATCATTCAATAATCTATGCTTCAAAAAATCCCAATACAAATGTCTTTGTGTTCTACCAACTCCCTGCTAGAATGATTCCAAGGTGTATTACCAATCCAGCTGTTTATTTAGATCTGTCTGATCACTCAAGCACGACCACAAATCTCTGGTTTCATATTTACGACAGGTACATGTATGGAGTCGGCCATAATGTATTATGCATCATGTATTAGCTTTGTGGTCCACCAACCATGACAAACTCGACCCCAGTAAAGATATGTCTACTACACATGTAGAAATAGTTTAAAAAAATCATCGAATAAATGTGTCTTTTAAGGGAATATACATCATTTGCTTTTGCTGTAATTTTCAGAAATGGATGGAATTGGGGGTTGAAAATATATAGCAAATATAGTTACACTGACTTTTTTGAGGTTTTGGGTTCGAAAATGCTATAAAAACCAAGAAAAACAATCATTTTCCTGTAGTCTGGTTCCCTGACTCCATATAAGAAGAAACAGAGCAGTTTACATACATTGGGGAATTGTAAGGTCAGGGAACCAGTTTAGCTGGCTTGTACCTGTTCATAGGTGTGTAATCGGTTGCAAACAAGTGCGATGGTCAACTGGGGCCAGTATTTGAAAAAAAGCCAGTTTTTTCCAACGCTGGTCGGCCGACCAGCATTGGAAATTGATACAAAAATACCACTGTTCTTGAAAATGACAGTTTACCAGGTGCCATGATTTTACAGGATGCTTTACACTGTCATTCACTAACAGTCCAGCAAGGTATTTCAAAATGATTTGGTAGTTTTATTTTTTAATGTTTGCAAATGTTGTATTTTCCCTTTAAGGAAAAATTGGCATCTTTCATTTTCACGAAAAGCGTTCGCTCAATGACTGCCATTTCTGTAGGAGAACTGCAAATAAGTATTGTTACGCAATCAAGCACGCATTCACAGTGTTGAAAATGTTACAAACACGCGCGCTTGTTGCTCGAAACGTGTTCGAAATACGACGCAGCCGTTGCGCGTTATGCAAGTTGACGCTCAAAATGCCAATGCACATGGCTGGTCTGAAAGAAATGACATCATTTGAACGAGACCTATAGAAATCTCAAAACTTCAAAGGTCGATAAATGTGAACTCTAAACATCCATAACTTATTCCGATTGAAGTGCAACAAACAGTATTGTAAGGAGAATTTTATTCTCTTTCCTAATACTTACAAACCCTCATTTCAACCTCTGCCCAGTTGTGTTTCATCATGCTAGAACACCCGACATATATGTCTGAACCGGGTGTTACATGTAGATGCAGATGTGTTAGAATGTCAGACGACAGAGTTTCTTTCTAATCCTACCTGACCGGTTTCCATGATAGTCAAAGTAATACTCGATGTTGAGATCGTCAGATTGACGTTAGCTCCTCCAAATTGGATGTTCGGTATGTCGCCCAGAATCTTATTAATGGACTTGCTGCCCTGCGGAGGCAATTAAGAAAGGCACACAACTTGTAATGAAAATTGGATTACTGTAAAAAGCTGCTATAACAAACACCCCTAAAAACTGATCATTCTGTGGGCTATATTACTGTACATGGAGAAAAAAAAAAAAGAAACCCAAATGTCAAGACTATTTTTTTAGTGAAGTTCTGCATGTAGCACTTTCAAAATCTAGGATATGAAAGCCCAATTCATAAGCTTTGTTTTAGTACAAAAATCATTCAAATCACTCATGTACTTTTCAAGTTATTGAATTTTAAACACAACCACCGTTTTAATGTTCTGTCCACGGATCACAAAAAAGGTGTGCCTTCTTTCAGCAAAACGAAAACAATTCACACACATCCCTATGTGATTTGATTTCGTTTTGCTGAAAGAACAATTTTTTAATACCCTTTTGTGATCCGTGGACAGAACTTTAAAACAGTGGTTGTGTTTAAAATTACTTGAAAATTACATGAGTGATTTGAAGGATTCCTGTCCTAAAAGAAAGCTTATGAACTGGCTTTCATATCCTAGATTTTGAAAGTGCAACATGCAGAACTCAACAATGGTCCCAACATTTGGGTTTGTGTTTTTTTTACTCACCCTGTATATTGATGGACGCCCCCTTTCAATGGCGAAAGCCCTGTGCAAGCTATTGGTCAGATAATTTCATCATGACAGGTGTTTTGTACAATAGCTAGAACAATGCTTTTGCCATTGAAGGGGGTCTCGGTGAATCTTACCTTCTTTTTTCTGCTGTATCTGAAGCCAGCGGCGTCGCAGACTCTGAAGATGGCCTCTCTGAAAATACAGACAGCAAAAAAAAAGTCAATAATAGTAATAGTAATAATAATAATTTTCTTTGGACTAATTATAGTCTCGAAAAACTGTAGTCCACTGGCTGATAAAGAAATGTTAACTAGAAATAATAATAATAAACAGCATTTATAAGTTGCACGGTATATAACTGTGAGAAATTCAAAGACGTCGGTCTGGGTGATGGAGATGAGAAAACTCAATTTTGTATTTGGGATGAAAAGACCAGTGTGATGCCATGTTCTTGTCTGAGATGATCCAGAAGTGAGTTCCATATGTGAGGAGCAATGCTAGAAAACATTCTGTCGCAGAAGCTGGCTAGTCCAGTCCGGGGAACGAGACTATTGCTTGTCGCCCTCATCAGACCCGACCTTGATTTTTTGAATGTGGTCCTTGGAGGGGTGACTACTGCCCAAATCCTGCATAATCCTCCAGCAATCACTGTCAATATGTTGAGGCAGAGCCAGTGATATCCTGGAGCAGTGCGCAGGATTTCTAGTATATAGACCTAAATGTATGCATGGATGAGCATAAACAACACAAGGTCCGGCCTAAGACCTTCATTGACACAGTGCATCCTCCAAAATCTTCCATTGCACCATTTTGCAAAGAGCATTAGGCCAAATAGAAAAAAAGGCTCCGGTTTCTGGTCTGAGCATACGTCTTCATAGCCATGCGCGTTAGCAAAATTAAAAAGTTTTTTTTTAATGTAAGATGATGTCTCAAAACCCCCAAACTCACTGGTTTGACTGGAATCCTGCTGCTGCACAATTTTAACATGTTTTTAGATGGGGTTACGATCGAGTATAAGCTTTATGTGGCCTCTCCGGGCTCCCATATATTTTTCACTAAATTTAGTCGGGCACCATTGCAGTCATCAGCCGACATTTGAAGAAAAAAAGCTATGTCGCCACACCACTTTTGGGGCAAGCTCCATACCAGAAACCGAAGACTTGGGGTTTTTTTGGCCTTAGGAGGATTTGGGAAGGTTAGAATTAATATTCTGCTGAAAACTCTCTCATTACAATTATGCTACTGTGTCAAATGATATGATTTTATTGTACATGTACAGTCAGAAACCATGTATTAAATAACCTAGCAAGAGAAACCAAAGAAAAAGATAACACAAAGAAAGCTGACAGTGTAGACAGTGTTTTTTTTCTCCAAGAAATCTCATCGACGAAGTTTATCTCTTCAATTTCCTACAAGCAAATGAGATCTCGGATTGGGAGTTAAAGGGACGAGGCTTTAATGGCCTGCAGACTTCTACATTAATCTGAGTTATTAGACCCTGACCTTTGAAGGAGGAGAGTTAATCACGTTAGCGGAGATTATTGTCAACTAAGTCTTTAGGATAGAGATGATTTATGTACACATTGTGTGCAGTGCGACATGACAGGGCTGAAATGTACATATAACACTATTTTATTAAAGTTCAATGTATTATTTACACTTTACAAATAACAAACAAGGATTTTTACAAATCCAAATGGTGATCTAGGTATGAAATACAGCTTGGTTTGTGCATAACATATCCAACTGGTGCTTACATAGTGTACTTAAAGCTACAGTCCATCATTTGTAATTTGTGCATTTTGTTCGTTTGTAGCAACAAAAGAGTTCAAAATCTAATGAAGGATACTGAGCAACTAACCCGATGAAGTTTCAGCTAAGCTTCAGATGTACATTCCGAGAAATACAGCATTCTAAGATCTCAATTTCAAATCAAAAGTTGCTGAATCATGTTTTGAATTGTTTTGAATTGCAGCTATACGCGACGTCGCGCACTGATCCGCGCGCGCGTGTGCGTCGTTCCAATACTTGTGCGCGCTGCGCTGAATAGCAAAACGAACTACTAATTTAAATTTTCCTACGGTGCTTCTTAAGAATCACCGTTGGAAATGCCTTCTTTCATTGATTACTTAAAAATGACAGCTTCCCAGAAAGAATAATTTAACAGGGAGTTTAGTTTCCTTACTATCTTTCAACCAAGTATGTTTTTCAACAATAATTACGCCAGTTACTTTTCGGATGGCTGCAAATGATGGACTATAGCTTTAAAAGTGAGGTGTTCTTGCAAAATGAGACAGAACTGGGCAGAGGATGAAACGGATTAAGAAAGAAAATAAAATTCTCCATTTAATACTGTTTGTTGCACTTCATTCGGACATTCCATTGACATTTTATGGCTGTTTAAAGTTCGTACATGTCCAAAAAGTAAAATACTGAAAAAAAAAAACTTTAAAGTTCTGAGTTTTGTATAAATTGTAAAATGAACGATGTGAATTGTTTTTTCTGTAAAAAACACATTTATTTCATGATTTTTATACCATTTCTTTAAAATACTGGTATGTGTTGCAGGCATACACATATCAAAGATAACAATATCAATAAATCTGAAAATCAAAGAAAAAAAATTACCCCATTCGCTCTTTTGCACTATTATTGTACTATTTTGTAACAATTTTGTACTATAGACAGTTCAAATGAATATAATTGGAAGCTATGTTCAATAGGTTTTGTTAAAGGGACACTGGGTCCTGGAACAGCCCAATTGGGCTACAAAACGCGCTTTGAACAAGATGATGTTAATCGGAAAGAACATTTAAAACTAGGATATAAACATCCACACAACTATCCTTTCAAAACTGGGCGTTTTTGTGTTATTCCTGTATTATGCGTGCGAGAACAAATTTCGGGGTCCACTTTTGCAACCCCATAAATTCGAGCTGTTTGGATGCTTGTTGTGATTTCATTCGTAAAGTGTTCGCCTTTTGTGGACGTTGAAGAAATCAATTTTTTTTGCATTGGTGATTGGTCACCGCTGTTCCCGAGACACACAACGTGTACATGTATATCGTACACTGAGAACGACACGAAAAGCGTATTCGTACTCCGTCATGTCCGATGTAAACAACCAAGGATTTTTCCTCTTTTCTCGGGAACGGTAAGACATTAGGTTGGTTTCCTTTCAACCAGATGTTTGAAATAGGCTAAGTAAACAATCTAAAACATGTTCGGGGATTTCTGGACTTAGTGCCCCTTTAACTTTTCAAATTTAAAAATCGCTGCACTGTTCATGTTCTGGTACACATGAATGCTTGTGTACATAAAACATGTTCATTTATCGTAAGAATTCTCCTTTTCGTAGTCGTACTTTTTCATTGTATTAAAGTCAGGGAAGCGTAACTCTTTTCTGTCGTGCAAGCTTCGGTTTCTGATTATGTTATTGAAAGTCACAAAGCATGTTTTGTACGAGTATTGTAAGTCGTAAATGAAGGTCAAATATGGTAACCAGGAAATGAAATACAAAATGGCTCGTTCAAAGGCACTTAGCTCTTTCTGTTTTGTACCGGAACAGAAATTATATGTTGTAAATTCTGTTGGAAATACTGATCTATTTATATGGGTAACTCTACAAATTTAGGGTCCAGTGTGACATTTGTTCTGTCGCTACCATAGGTGGATTTTGTTGGACTTGTACTCATGGCTTGCCTACCAAAATCCCCAAAATAGGGGATGGATTTTGATGGATTTGGGAAGGTCGGGGTTAAGAATGACCTTAAACAATTTCTTTATTTGTTAGGTACTGTAGGTAGTTTGCTATTCATAATCTTTCTCGCAGGATGACTGCATTTCAAGTTTCATCGGAATTATAAAATCACACACGTCAGATGTAACAGGGACAGGAAAAAGTGGACGCCAAATTTATAGAATGAAAATATGGAAGCCATTCTGAGAATGTCAGTGATGTTTACTTCACTTTATAGACAAAAATACAACACCAAAGCATTTTCTGGTCGTGAAAACCACAAGATTAGCATTTGACACTACATGTACGTTACTGTGGTAGATTTACATGTAATCCACAGTCAAGCATTTCAAGACTTCTATAATGGGGAACCACCAGACCAAAGCAGAGCGCCAGACTTAACCCAACACGACAGGTGTGGAATATTAAGAAACACCCTTCAACATCCCACTGCATACGGCAGCAGTCTCAATTGCGTTGCTATGGTAACCAATAAGAAAGGTCACATTTGAGGTCATGACAGAGAATCGAAAGATTTTGGTGGCCCTTGCATGTGTATGCCTTGAAGCATATTAGTGTACTCCAATGTTTTGGGCTAAAAACAGAAATCGGATTGGCTAACAAACTAGCCACAGACTGATATATTGAAATCAAATTTGGAAAAAAACCTTCCTTCTAATTCCGCCCCCACCCCCTCCAAAAAAACGTTAATCTAATTTTTTTTAAATAAATTTTCAGCACCAAACTTTTACAACTTTGACTTGATAATGAAATGGAATGTCTTTAAATATTTAAAGGGACGGAGGAAAAAAATTATCATGCAAATTTAAAATACTTACTTCGTGACTTGTCCCCTCATTTCAAACGGTAAAGTTCTCATGGACTGTTTGACCTCAATGCAGCCGACATACTACGCAAGAAAAAGCAAACAAATTAAACTACTCATTAAAGGTACGGTAGAATAAATAATTTGCAGCTATCCAAAAAGTAACTGACAGAATTATTGACAAAAAGCATACTTGGTTTAAAGATAGTAATGGGACTAAACTCCCTGTGAAATTATTCCTTCTGGCATGCTGTCATTTTGAAGAAAACAATGAAAGAATAGGCCATTTCCAAAGATGAGTCAAGTGACACATTTTTGGAAATTTCTGTTAGTAGTTGGTTTGTAATTGGGCAAATCCGTGAATGGGTGCACATAGATGTTAAAACAACACACACATGCGCGGTTGCTATCATATTCATTGGTTCGGTTCAGTGCGTGGCATCACGTAGCTGCAATCAGCTGAATGAGAACATGTTTTAGAACGCCAAATTCAAAATATGACTCCAGCAAATTTTGAACTTAATCGAGATCCCAGATTATTGTTTTCTCGGAATAAAGGCCAACAACATTCACAGAGCTAAAACTTTATCAGGTTAGTTGTACATGTATGTATACTCTTTAAATGTTGAGCACTTTTGTTGCTTCAAACTAAACAAATGCACAATGACAAATAATCTACCCTACATTTTAAGGGAATTTGCTTTTGCTGTAATTGTCAGAAATGGATGGATTTGGAGGGTTGGTAATATGGCAAAACAGCAAATATTGTCACACTGACTTTTTTGATGTTTTGGGTTCGTACAATAGATGCTATACTAAGCAAAAAAAACAATCACTTTCCTGTAGTCCGGCTCCCTGACTCCATTTAAGATGAAACGGAGCAATTTATTGACGTTGGGAAATTGTAAGGCCAGGGAACCAGTCTAGCTGGCTTGTAAGTTGTACCCGTTCATAGGTGTGTAATCGATTGCAAACAAATATATAACTAGATATGGTCAATTTGTCCAGTATTTGAAGAAAAAAAACACCATTTTTTTTCCAACGCTGGCCGACCGACCAGCGTTGGAAATTGATACAAAAATACCACTTTTCTTGAAAATGACAGTATACCAGGTGCCATGATTTTACAGGATGCTTTACACTGTCATTCACTAACAGTCCAGCAAAGTATTTCAAAATGATTTGGTAGTTTTATTTTTTTATGTTTGCAAATGTTGTATTTTCCCTTTAAAGGGAATATACAACATTTGCAAACATCGAAAAATAAAACTACCAAGCTTTTACGAAATACCTTACTAGGATGTTGGTAAATGACAGTCTTAAGCATCCTGTAAAATTATGGCACCTGGTGTGAAGTCATTTTCAAGAAAATGGTATTTTTGTATACATTTCCAACGGTGGTCGGCCGACCACCGTTGGAAAAACCTAACTATTTTGCAACTACTGCTCCAAATTTACCATTTTTTATTCAGTTCAAATTTTGTTTGCTATTGGTTACATGTTCATGAACGGGTGTAGGCCAGCTAGACTTGTTCCCTTACCTTACAATTTTCCGGCATCTGGAAATTGATCCATTTTATCTTTAGTGGAGTCAAGGAACCAGACTACTTGAACAGTTTTGTTTTTCTTGGTTTTTCCAGCATTTTCGAACACAAAACTTCAAACATGTCAGTGTAACAATATTTGATCTATTGTACTAACCCCTCAAATAGTTCATTTCTGAAAATTACGGCAAAAGCCAATGATGTACATTCCCTTTAAGGAGAATCAAACTGGTACACACATCATAAACCCTTTAATTTCCGTAGCCATGTTGGGGTAATTTCAGGCCATGACTTCCTTGGCTACGGCTATAGGTATGTATGACGCGTGTGTTCTGGCAGCCACAGGCACGTCATTGGACCAAGCCTCACTAAGGACATGACTTCTTTGAACTCCATGGGACGTATACACTGTGATTTCCGTAGCATGAGTTCCTAGCATTCCAAGACACTTACTATCTCTACATACATGTACCCCTGTGTAGTCTGGTGTGTAATCCCTTGGTGTCATATCCTAGGGGGATATAGTCTAGTGTCTGGACTCTGTGACACAGTGTAGGGCAAGGTCAAGGACAACTAAAATGATTACAGGCTAATCAAGGTTTAACCACCCCTTTTTTCTTGAGCAAAGTAAAAGCATAAAATGTTTTTAATTTTAACCTAGTTTTTTTTTGTAATTTCCGGACTTTATACAGAAGCCTACAAGGATATTGCCAGACAACATTTGCTTTTGCTGTAATTTTCAGAAATGCTTGGACGTGGGGGGTTCGTATTTTATAGCAAATATTGCTACACTGACCTGTTTAAAGTTTTGTGTTAATAGATGCTGGAAAAACGATGAAATATACATGTAGTGCTGTTCTTGTAGCCTGGTTCCCTTGCCCTACAAGTACTTCGGACAAAACGGAGCAATTTACAGATATCAGGGAATTGTCTGGTCAGGGAACCAGACTAGCTGGCTTGTCCCCATTCACGGATGTGTAACCGATTGCAAACAATTACATCTAAATTTGGTGAATTGGAGGCACTTTTCGAAAAAAAGTGAGGTTTTTTTCCCAACGATGGTCGGCCGACCATCGTTAGAAATTGATAAAAAAAAAATCCTTTTCTTCAAAATGACAGCATAGGCCTACCAGGTTTATTATTCATTATTCACTAGTCAAATACGTATTTCATGATAATTTGGTAGTTTTGTTTTTGATGTTTGCGTAAGAACATGCCTTTCGGTTCATGTGCTATATGTTTTGATATATTTCCCCATTTCATTACTATATAGTTTACACAATTAGTTGCTTTCGTGAAAGAATTTCAAATCAATATCTTATCATCCAAGACCAAAGACAGAGTAAAAACCGGAGCAAAAAATCCAAACATATATACAGAACATATACTAACTCAATGTGCAGACATAAACTGTGCATTAATAATGCTGTAAATTCAAAGCCATAACAAAGATGACTTTCTAAACATACAGTTGGCATTGCATGATCCTCTAACCATATAAACTGCATGTTCGTCATAAACCTGACATCTTACACTTACAGCAGAGATTCTGTTTACATGCTTTCACACCAAGGACGTGAAATATGGATGGATTGTTGACTGAACGTGCTCCGGCAGATTCTATTTTGAGAACTTAATGGGTTTTCATGCAGTCCTGGCATCTTCTAATATTTTTTTTATTAAAAGCAACGACGTACATGTACGTGTAAAAATGCCTGTCTTATTTCAATATAATTTTTATATAAGTACAGATGAATTTTCTTACAACATTTTAAAGGTACCGTAGAGTACATCATTTGCAGCTCTATCCAAAAAGTAACCGACAAAATTATTGTTGAAAAGCTGACTTGGTTTAAAGATAGTAATGACACTAAACTCCCTGTGAAATTATCCTTTCTCGCATGCTGTCATTTTGAAGAAAACAATAAAAGAAGGACATTTCCAAAGATGAGTCAAGTGACTCATTTTTGGAAATTTCTGTTAGTAGACTAGTCTGTTTGTAATCCGGCGAATCCGTGGATGGGTGCACGCAAACGTTAATCAATCATATTTTATGGTTGAGAAGTTACTGTGTAAATCAATATTTGTTTTTAATTTCTCTTTGTTCTCAACCAAAGACAAACATATGTACCACACCCACACCCCCCCCCCAAAAAAAAATATCTGTATGTGGAAAGGTCTATGAATGATTTTATAATTTACACTTCGTTTTAAATGTCCTCCCAGTATTTTAAAACACTTCTTGATATCTGCTGGTTAGTTTCTTTCCTAATTTTTTTATTTAGCGTGACTGTTGTGCAAATAAAATTATATGGAAGGACTTTGTGCTCTTGTTATTTTATGGTTTTTATGGTACCTGTGTACGTGTACACGTACCGGTACATGTAACCTTTTAAAGGGCCCATGCAATTTGTTTTTTTCCTTTGGAATGTACCTTTGTGCCCTGCATGTATTTAAAGATATAGTCCATCATTTGTAATTTGTGTATTTTGTTCGTTTGAAGCAAAAGTGCTCAAAAACTAAAGAAGGGTACTGCACAACTAACCTGATGAACTTTCAACTCGGCTTCAGCTGTATATTCCGAGAAAAACAGCATTCTAGGATCTCAATTTCAAATCAAAAGTTGCTGAATCATGTTTTGAATTGCGCCTGAATTCAGCGTCCAAGACACATTCTCACTGAGCCAATTGCAGCTACGCGATGTCCCGCACTGCTGATCCGACGAATTATAGAAAACCGCACGCCGTGCCAATGCTTGGGCGCGCTTCGTCGAATAACAAAACGAACTACTAATTTAAATTTTCCTACGGTGCGTCTTAAGACGCACCGTTGGAAATGCCTTCTTCATTGATTACTTCAAAATGACAGCTTGCCAGAAAGAATAATTTCACAGGGAGTTTAGTCCCCTTACTATCTTTCAACCAAGTATGTTTGTCAACAATAATTACACCAGCAACTTTTCGGATAGCTGCAAATGATGGACTCTGGCTTTAATCTTATTTTCAATGTTTGTTTTGTCATTTTGAAGGATATTTTGGTGCCTTTTTGCTTTTTACGTTAATGCCAATTTCCATATTCATGAGCAAATCTGTGATGTCATTATGGGCACAAACCTCACTGTTACAGCTATTTCAGCACAAAAAACTTCCAGAATTTTGTACGTTTGCTGTCTTAAATTTTCTTTTCTTTGGTGTTTCGTTGTTGTGTAAGTAGGCCTACAGTACATGGCAATAAGCCAATGAGCAACCCTTTCTCGTATGTTTTCAACGAGCAAATTTTTGGGTTTGCAATTTGAACAGAAAACCCCTAAACTGAACAGTGTCCTCCTGAAATGACATCATAGCAACAGCGCCCTCAGTGGTCCAGAAAAATATAGAAAAGTTTAAAGTCTAAAGAAGTGCACTTTTAAATAAAATTAACCAAAAAGGGATGTCAAATAGTTTTCATACATTAAAGAGGATTAGGAAGTTGCATAAAATGTGTTCCCAAGAAAAATTTATCGTGTGGCCCCTTTAAAATAATGGCATTTCGAACTTTCAAGTCAAATGCTTGAACCACATAGTAGAAATCTTACCCTGTAGATGTAACATTAACACTTCCTGGCTTTCAATCTCAATTGTACTAAAAGCAAAACATGAACTGTATATCCGGTAGATTTAAATTCAATACTCACTTACTTGTCAACAAATACAGGGTTTCCTGTTCGACAAATTGGTCATTGCTATTTTTCAGTACAGAAGTGACTTGACACCATTTGCTTAGAGGTTGGGCAGATATTCTAAACATATGCAATCAGCTTTCAACATCAGGCACGCAGCATTAAATTTTCAAGAACGTTGGCATTACAAAATCAGCCACATCAAGCCAAAATGTTTGTATTAAAATTTTCTATTAAAGGTAAATATAATACATTTGCAAACATCAAAAACAAAACTACCAAACTATTATAAAATACCTCACTTGACTGTAAGTGAATAATAGTCTCAAGCATCCTGTAAAATCGTGGCACCTGGTGTGCTGTCATTTTCAAGAACAGTGGAATTTTGGTATCAATTCCCAACGATGGTCGGCCAACCATCGTTGGATAAAAACGGACGTTTTTCAAATATTGCCCCCAATTTACCTAATTAAGTCAGTCCACATTTTGTTAGCAATCGGTTACATATCCGTGAACGGGTGCAAGCCAGCTAGTCTGGTTCCCTGACCTGACAATTATGATGTCTATAAAGTGCTCTTTTTTGTCTGAAGTAGGGTCAGGGAACCAGACTACAAGAACAGCATTTTTTTTTCTTGGTTTTTCCAGCATCTATGAACACAAAACTTGAAACAGGTCTGTGTAACAATATTTGCTATAACATACTAACCCCCAATCCATCCATTTCTGAAAATTACAGCAAAAGCAAATGTTGTATAAATACCTTTAAGAGGACATTTTGAAATTCAAAACAAATTCTTCAACTGTTAAGACACTTACCGTGACACCGTAGCAAACTCCGCCTTGTTTGACCTTTTCCTCCGAGTGCAACCATCCTTTCTGTGGTTTATTCACAAAAGTTCCTGTCCGTGTCCATAATTCTTCGTTGGATCTCTGTCCCACCGTGTTAGGGCCTTTGTTCTTCTTAAAGTGATTCATGACCGCGACAACGACACGTCACAATGACACCAGCGTAATGTTGTGACTGTCAGTCGCCGGTAAGCTGAAGAGCTCTTTATCTGAAGAATCGAAAACAGAAATAAATACATGAAGTTGCACTTTTTTTCAAAGGCTAAGTTTTCCTAAAAGCTGTGCATACTCGTAGCACACGTATAAAGTACAATGACCTTATACATACATACATGATAAACACAAACCGAAAGTTTATTTTTACAGAAATCACAAAGGAAGTTATTTAAAACTCAACCACTTTCAATCTGTGACATTTACGTCATAAAGATAATTCCAGAGTTGATTCAGAAAAAAAAAATCACTTGTCAGAGGTTTTCCCTAAAAAGTTAGATGTACAGTTAAACATGCAGAAATTAATTTGAGCTTTCCAATTTTAACTTGTTTTTTCGTTTAGCAAACTTGCTATAAGAAAAAAAAAATTGCTCCCAATTTGACCTCACTTCTTTGAAATAAATATTTATCCAACAAGTCTTGCCAGTATGTGGATGACTACAATTTGTTCAAAACTAGTTTCTCTTAATGCAAACACTGTTCATCAATTCTGAGAAAGTTTTACAAATATTAAGCCAATCACAAATCCATTTTACAAGATATAAATAGATGCCACATCACAACCCAAAAAAACGAATCACCTTCAAATATGGCACTTGCATTTCCAAATAAGGCAACCACCACACAAAACCAGTGGGTGTCAATACATACTTGAACCATGCCAAATTTTGACCTTGAACTGAAATATTTTTGTGGTTACTGGTTTTCGTACATCCACCTGTTTCTAGCTATCAATTGATTGTGTGCATGGTCTGTAACAACTGAAGTCACTGGATGACTGCGTTTAATAGAATGCGCCCATATTGTGTGACCTCCATGACGTCAAAACTACCCTGCACAATTGGTACAATCAAGTTCCAGGGAATTTTTGCACATGCGATGTAGCAAAAACCAAAATATGATGTGCGTAGTTCTGGACCAGTTTAGTTCAGGGGGAGTGGTTAACAAAAAATTGGGTGGGGCGCATGGTTGTGAGGAAATATTCCATATCTGGCCATCATTCGTACCCTGTGCACAAACCCTAGGAGACTGGTCTGAAAAAAAGTGTTTTCTTAGTAAATACTTCAATATTTTCCCAGCTAAATTTGAATTTTTTGGGGCATATTATCACTTTCTGATGGCTGATAGGTCACTTAAGGGAAAAATTAGTGATGGCCAGATATGGGAATCTTTCCGGTTGTGAGAATAGACTTTTGGTTAAAAAACTTACATCACGGTAAAATCAACTGAAGTGACACGAAATAAGGGAATGATATGTGTGTTTGGGAGGTATTAAAAACTCTGTTTAAGACAAGGCAAAGCCGAGGGCAATTATCGGCACTCCAGACTCCCACCAGTCTTAAACAGAGTGTTTAAAACCAACCAAGCACATAATCCCATTCATAAATAACTTTTCGGTCAAAAAAAAATCTTTTCGGTCCAAAAATCAAAACAAGTCAAAAACTAGACGTTGCTAACCATTTTTTTTTTCAACAATTTTTTTTCATGTTTTATGAAACACATGCAAACAGGTCGCTGGAGGGCTGATGAATTTAAACTCTGATTGGATAGATTTTGCGTGACCTGTGACCTGCAAGTCATCACACGGCCGCGACCCTGCAAGGTTTTCAATGGTCGTTAAGACTGAGTCACTACTCTATTATTCCCATTCATAATTTTATGCTGGTTTTTTTTTCATAGAAAAGCATAATAATGTAGGGAAATCTGTGAAGCTTATCTGTGTTGTAAATTTTCAATTCCCGTTATTTGCTCCATTTCTGATTCACGAAGGTCTTGTGACACTCAAAATTTGTCCGCATGGTCCACAATGAAAAAGAAATCACATATGGTATGGAGTGTTTGCATTTCTACGAGAAAGTTTTCGGATAGCATTTGCTCGCATTGGCTAACCGCGGTCTTAAACAGCTGCAGCCAGATGTCTTTGACTTGATATTGTCAGACCCCCTAAGCTACGTCAGTACGTGGTCCTTTTTCTATGCACTCAACTTCAATTTGCGTGTGACAACGCGTGCGTTGCAAGCGTTCCTGCGAAGATTATGGAGGGTCGAGGGCATAGATCATAATAAGTTACCCAGAATGCCATCCCCATTTCCTGCACAAGATTCTATGAAGCTCATCAGCCCGTCCCAACGTCGTATTTGTAGGACAGGGCTTGGCACCCATCTTCCAAATGGGAGCGCTCTCCAAAATTGAACAAATAATATGCATACCGGTACTTGAAAATAGAATTTGAAGGCCTTTTTGGTTGCCTTTTTTTTTTTGGTTCATTGTCACAACTCTGTAACCATTTATGGGAACAGTTACTGAAAAAAATATCTTTCACAAAAAATCCGCCAGGGGGAAGGGCACCCCCCCCCCCCCCCCCGATATACGCGCCAGTGGCACGCATTAGTGTATGAACTATGATCATCATTTGTGCGTGTGTCTATGGCTATGCAGTCAACAAAAATATCCAATTTAATACCGATAAAATCGAGCACATTTTACACATTAATCAGTAAATTCTACCGACTACATTAAGTTCAACCTTATGTTTATTACTTACCCTTTAATGCCGAAGTAGAATTTTGACGAGACAACAGTGAAAATTGAGGAATTTTAGCAGTTAATTAACTCATCGCAGACACGTTTATGTGCAATCGTCATGCGTCAAGACGGCATTGAAAAAAACAGGAAGTGATTCGAGAGTTAAACGTGATCCCGAACGTGTAGTTGGTGTCAGCGGTGACAGAAATCAGGCATAGATTGAAGACACGCCCACGCAAAGTTTAGACAAAGGTCATTGGCCGGAAGGGTTAGGAGGGGGCGGGGCCCCAGGAGAATAAAGATAATTCATTACTTCTCCTTTATAGGCCTCCCATTTAGGCCTCCCATTCGAGATGTAAACACAGTTATTGAAAATTGGCAGGAACCGCCAAAGAATGAATGTAATATATTGAAAGAAATTGACGTGTAAGGGTGCTGTACACCTGTAAATAGGCCTAAACCCATCCGCCGAGCTCATGAATAAAAGTTATAAAATATTCAACATTAGAGAAACGTGAGATCCATAAAATTGGGGAATTGAGAAAAAAAATGTGGCAATGAACCTCTGGCCCAGACTTCGGACTTCCAATTCTGAGCATTTTGGATGCAATTGACCTCAAAAGTGGCGCTATTTTTTTCATGTTGTGGAGGGGTCGTTTTTTTGGCTACTTTTCCGCTTTGGGAAAATAGGGGTCGTCTTCTTTGGGTGAGAATTTCTCAAAAAGTCAATGGTCAACCCACCAAAAATTGAAAATAAAATAAAAGATGACATATTGATCGCCATTTCTCTGTGCAGCTTAAATACATGTGAGAGTTCTGAGTATTTTTAAAAAGAATTTAGAAGTATGGGCATTTAGCACTAGTGTCTATGGAAATTTTAATACACTGTTGCACCCGGCCGTAAGGACACTCCGTATTTTCTCGTCATGTCAACACTTTTGTGAAATTGGGAACTCAAAATAAACACATTGCATTGCAATGAAATTTTCTGTAATATTTTGTCATGGTATTTGACACGAAAATCTAGAAACTTGACAGGAACCGCCGAAGAATGAATGTAATATAATTTAAGGAAATTGCAGCATAAAGCCTAAAGGACACTCCGTATTTTATCGTCATGCAACAAATTCTTATCAAAGAGGGCGCGCTACACAAACACCGTGACTGCTCACCGCGCGCCGACGTCTGGCCGTTCGAGATGTAAACACAGTTTTTGTGAAATTGGGAATTCAAGATAAACACATTGTATTGCAATGAAATTTTCTGTCATATTTTGTCATGGTATTTGACACGAAAATCTAGAAACTTGACAGGAACCGCCGAAGAATGAATGTAATATAATTTAAGGAATTTGCAGTAAGCATGGGCGTCGCCAGGATTTTTTTCTAGAGGGGGGCAAAACAAATTTTTGCCAAAAAATGCTTGTATTTCTCAACACATTCTCGATTTATCAGTACATGTACGTGCATCTGTATGGGTCGCAAAAACATCAATTCATATTTTTGGAGCATCCCACCTACGGAAAAAAAATTCGCCAGCGGGACGATGGCAAAGAGACGTGTATCTTATATAGCGCCCTCTCTTGATAGTCCCGATCCCATGGTATATGGGTGCACTGAACCAATTCAAGCCCCATGGAAAACAGTGTCAATTTAACAAAGTTCAGGGCAAATACCATGCAAGCCGACATCACTGGGGTTTCTCAAACAAAAATTAAATTATTGTCGTGTCCTTCATCTTTTTATTTCTTTTCCATTTTGGGTAGACTAGCCAATCAAATTTGTAAATATTCACACCAAAACAAAATCACCTCCCGAAAAGTGATAGTTCCCAAGCCTGCATGTAGCCGTTTACAAGTTGCATCCTTCCACTATCTCAGGCAAATAGGACCCATTTTTCATCCGTGATTTTATCAAGCCTGCCCTCAGATGGAAGCCCCAAAACCAGGGAGTTGATCCTTGGGTATATTCACACAATTCCACCGTTTTTCAAGCCAAACCGTCTCCGTTTTCAAAAGAATGGGGGGGGGGGACCTTTTATGCTGAGCTCGCGTAGAAATTCTCACTTGAATTAGTTCACTGCACCCATATGCAGCGCAGATGGAAATACAATGCCTGACAAGATGCATCAAAGCAGCTGGCTACTGAATTTATTCAACACAATCTTCTTTTTACAATTGGATATTGATCTAAGTTTTTATACTTTGATAAAAATCTATCATAAAGTAACCAATAAACAATTTATATTGAAATCGAATTTAAATAAAGAAATGCATTTGAAAGATGCAATTAGTTGGCAATAAAATTTGGTTCATGATTTAACAATAAAAATGAAGACAATTGCTATCCATGACCAAAAAAAAGCACAGCTGCAAACCCATCCAGAGACGGAAGTTTGTTAAAATAACAAATATTTTTTTAAATCAGATTCTTTACAGTTTAACACCTTGATCAGTTGATACCCCAATCATTTGTTACATTTAGATGAAGCTGCTATGGTAGATTAAAGGGAATGTACATTATTGGCTTTCGCTGTTATTTTCAGACATGAACTATTTGAGGGGGTTAGTATAATAGATCAAATATTGTTACACTGACATGTTTGAAGTTTTGTGTTTGAAAATGCTGGAAAACCAAGAAAAACAAAAATGTTCAAGTAGTCTGGTTCCCTGACTCCACTAAAGATGAAATGGATAAAAAATGCCAGAAAATTGTAAGGTAAGGGAACCAGTCTAGCTGGCCTGCACCCGTTCATGAACATGCAACCAATAGCAAACAAAATTTGGACTGAAAAAAAAACCGGTAAATTTGAATCAGAAGTTGAAAAACAGTTAGGTTTTTCCAACAGTGGTCAGCCGACCACCGTTGGAAACGTATACACAAGTACCATTTTTCTTCAAAATGACTTCACACCAGGTGCCCTAATTTTACAGGATGCTTTATACTGTCATTTACCAACATCCTAGTAAGGTTTATCGTAACAACTTTGTAGTTTTATTTTCCAATGTTTGCAAATGTTGTATTTTCCCTTGAAATACGAAGTGTTCATTTCCAAAATGTGATCTACGCCATTTTGTTCCCTTTTGGAATCATGCTCCCTCTTGGTTGCCCAAAAAATAATTTGGACGGCTGTTATATACTTGAACACAAATTGAAAATATAATCAAGTGAAATATGAAATGTCGCTGTTTGGAATTGAACTCTTCATCTGGAAATTAAAAGATCGCCAAACAGCCCTAAAAGTTAGTTGTGTTTAGGAGTGAACATTACTTGGACAAAGATACATTTCAATAATTGAAATTTTTGAAATTCATTAACCCTAACTCCCTAGGCATTTTTGCTAGGATGCAACCTCAATCCTGCAAAATCCTCCAACTACCTCCATGTAAAAACTGAATACTGCCTCAATCCTGCAAAATCCTCCAGCAATCACTGTCAATATGTTGAGGTAGAGCCAGTGACATCCTGGAGCAGTGCGGAGGATTTTAAGTAAAATCTAGGCCTAAATTTATGCACGGCTGAGCATAAACAACACAAGATCCGGCCCAAGACCTTGACACAGTGCATCCTCAAAATCAGCCACACAGTTTTACCATATAGCCTCAATCCTACAAATTCCTCCATTTGCAAAGAGGATTTTGGAGTGTTAGGGTTAATCCAACAATATAATACCACCAACAAAATCACTCTTATTACTTGATATTGAGACCTGATTTGATCAGAAAATAAATGAGACAAAAGATGAAGTATAAAGCTTTTCCTGGTTTCAATACTTAGCAATCATTTGGTCTGACGCCGTGGGCACCAGATCAAGTATTCTGTACCACGCAATCTTCTTAACTTCACCAATCCCATGCTGGAGCTCAACATCAACAGTATTATTTATCCTAGCCTTCAAGCCAGCTATGATCGCCTCTTTTTTGTTCTCCCGGGCGCAGATCACGAACGGGAATTGGAACTTGGATTTGTAGGAGATGTTCAGTTCAGTGATGATGGCAGCTTCTTCTTTCGTCAGGTTCAGAAGTCCGGCGCCTCGCTGCTCTTTCTTGGACTCGGTGGTGAGACGGTCAGCGCGGGCCAAAGCCCCTGCGAGGTCTGGATGACAGCGTAGGATGGATTCTTTTCCTAGACCAAAAAAAAAAAAAAAAATATCATCATGGGTTTAGTAACATCTTTTTCCAGACTGACACCTGGAGTGCTCTGAAACGGGCAAAACTAAATCGGGCCAACTTACTCTTTAGCTAGCAAATTTCTCCAAAATTTTCGTTGCGCAAAGAAAAGGTCCTCAGTATTTCACCGACCAAGTTTGCAGACTCACTTCAATTTTTAAAGGAGACATTTCTTCAATATTTTGCACATGAGAGGGATGTCAAGTGATTTCAAAATGACTGATTTCACAAACTCATGAATATGCATAAACAGTCTGTGACGTACGACCTCGTGTTTTTGGACGTGCGTGCGGCGGGGCCGTACGTCCAAAAACACGAGGTCATACGTCACCGACTGTTTATGCATATTCATGAGTTTGCGCGGGCGCGCCTGCATATTGCAAACATTACAGCGCGGCCGCCATTTTGAAATCGCATGAGGGATCGCATGGGGGACGATATTTGTGGAATCTGATGACTGAAATTGGTCTTGTGGCCAGATGGATGAAAATATTGAGACCAAACAACGTTTTTTCGAAAAGGTATGAGTTGCTCTCGGTCATACTAAACAGCGTCAACACAGCGTCAACACACTCCAAAGCGTCAACACAGCGTCAACACAGCGTCAACACATCCAAAATGCATTTAAATTTACAAAAGCAGTATGTAACCCATACAGTATGGACAGAAACAAGATTTGTGCTTAAAATCAATAGGTTAAACGTCTGAAAATCGCGATTTTTAGTTCAAGAAAATTGGCTCTCCGTGCCGCTCCGAAATCGGCTGCCGAACACCCGCCATGTTGCCTCAGTGGCAGCGCGGACCATACCATTATTCTAAAGGGTGATAGCGTTGTACAATAAACCAACAGAGAGGGACGCGGCCGGGGTCGCCAGTGTTAAAAATATCTGCAAAGACCAAAACATAAACACAACTCACAAAATAATGATCTACCACTCCTCCGATCCTTAGTCCTCACACAGATCTGGTATCCCTCTGTCTAGTCTGCAGCAAGGCGCCCTCTGTTGTTTATGACAAGATAATGTCATTACCTACACACCCCTACTTGAAATGATGTAGTCCAAGCTTTGTGCGAAGTCAAGATGGCGGACAACGGCCGTGCAAGTTAAGGTCATTTTTTTCGCGTGAAAATACGATATTTTTAACAACGAAATGGAAACTCAATCCAATGGAAATTCTCTTTTATTGTATGTTTCACAATTATATGTCCTTTTTGTCAATTCAGAATGTGTTTTGGATGTGTTGACGGTGTGTTGACGCTTCTGTCATGTGTTGACGCTGTGTTGACGCTGTGTTGACGCTGTTTAGTGCGACCCGTTGCTCTACGACTACAAACCTTAACTTTGGAAATTTGTGTCCTGGATGAAAAGATAATTGTGATCGAAAGATGTAGCAAAATCGCTACATCGGCGGCCCAAAAAATTCAGTCTTTTTGGAAGCATTCAGCATCTGGCCGTACTACAGAGCTTGCGATAGTACTGTACGGCCTAGCCCCACTAGTGTGGCCGTCGGTATGCTGCGCTGAACCTCTGGCCACACACCATGGTACCGCGCGAGTACTGAGGACGAAGTTTCATAAAATCTGCGGTCCGTTTCTTACATTCTCAGTTTCTTACTTTCTTATGGTTGTATTCTATGATGTCTCACCTATCACTTCTGGGATGCTTAGGTCTAATGATGTTCCATTTTCCGAGATATTCTTCAATCTTTCTGGAGCCCATATGCACTCGTGAAACGTCTGGTGATGGCAGCCATTTTGAATGTGACAAGAGATGACCTCAAGCTGTGACGTCGCGCTTATGCAAATTGCTTGTCGAGCGCGCGAGGGCACGAGTTGCAAATGCGACGGCTGTTTCCTGTGCCGTAGATCCTGAATAGAGATCGGTGCACGTGGCCCCCTGACGATAAATGCATGGTACAGGAAACAGCCGTCGCATTTGCAACTCCGCCCTTGCGCGCTCGACAAGCAATTTGCATAAACGCGACGTCACAGCTTGAGGTCATCTCTTGTCACATTCAAAATGGCTGCCATCACCAGACGTTTCACGAGATCATATGGGCTCCAGAAAGATTGAAGAATATCTCGGAAAATGGAACATTATTACATCTAAGCATCCTAGAAGTGATAGGTGAGACATCATAGAATACAACCATAAGAAAGTAAGAAACTGAGAATGTAAGAAACGGACCGCAGATTTTATGAAAACGTCCTCAGTAGTGCGCGCACCACGGTGTGTGGCCTTTGGTTCAGCGCAGCATACCGACGGCCACACTAGTGGGGCTATGTACGGCCAGACGCAGTCGGGCTAATACTAGCCATACCATAGCCCTAGCTTGAGTGACTCCAGCTGACATGCTCATCATATTCATTCACATGTAGCGCTGGAGGAAGGCCTGTGCGTTTCCATGTGGTAGCAAGAGACCCTAAAAAAATGGCCTCTCCAAAAATTGTTCATTTTCACCTCTAATATCCCACCCCAGAGTTCACCCACATACCTCATAATTTCAGCAGTCATTTACGAAGCCTAATGATCGATTTGAAACAAGACCAACAAAAAAAAAGTGAAAAATCTTGACGATTTCGGTGGCTTGTCCGTAAAAATACGCCTGTTCCAACGGCTGTCTTCCATTTTGTTTTGCTAATTATATTAATGTATGCATCACGTGATGACATAAAAAAAATCGGCGCGCACGATGTATTTGGGTACCACACCGCTTTCAGGCGCCGCAAGTGAGTTCAATTTTCGTCTGGTGCGTTGCCGTGGAGAGCATTCTCGTTGTCTTGCTTTCCGCGACAACGCACCAGACGAAAATTGAACTCACTTGCGGCGCCTGAAAGCGGTGTGGTACCCACATACATCGCGCGCGCCGATTTTTTGATGTCATCATCACGTGATGCATATATTAATATAATTAGCAAAACAAAATGGAATACAGCCGTTGGAACAGGCGTATTTTTACGGACAAGCCACCGAAATCGTCAAGATTTTTCACTTTTTTTTTGTTGGTCTTGTTTCAAATCGATCATTAGGCTTCGTAAATGACTGCTGAAATTATGAGGTATGTGGGTGAACTCTGGGGTGGGATATTAGAGGTGAAAATGAACAATTTTTGGAGAGGCCATTTTTTTAGGGTCTCTTGCTACCACATGGAAACGAACACAGGCCTTCCTCCAGCGCTACATGTGAATGAATATGATGAGCATGTCAGCTGGAGTCACTCAAGCTACCATAGCCCCATAAATGTGGCCTATTTACTGGACTGCCTCCGTAAACATAGGCCACACATCCACATGTACAAAAATCGTGTCGACGGAGCCAAATTTTGATTTTTACATTTAGGCTTAGTTTGTAGGTTTTTTTTGCTTTAGAAGCATACTCACCCTCTTTACAGGCTAATCAGAAAGTGCTGCCTTTTTCAGATGTCTAATTTTTGTGAAATTTCATGTTGAAATTTTGATACGCAAACGTGTAAAAATGAATCTGGAAATTTCACGAAAAATATAAATCTGAAAAAGGCAGCACTTTCTGATTAGCCTATAAAGAGGGTGAGTATGCTTCTAAAGCAAAAAAAACCTACAAACTAAGCCTAAATGTGAAAATCAAAATTTGGCTCCGTCGACACGATTTTTGTACATGTGGATGTGTGGCCTATGTTTACGGAGGCAGTCCAGTAAATAGGCCACATTTATGGGGCTAGCCATACCAATGACTGACTGAAATTGAGATAATATATTATATGATCATAATTGATGATGGAAAAAAGTGGCGACAGTTAGGGTGCAAAATTATCTTCTAATTTTACATGATATAAATATTGTTTAGCTATACCGTACCTGTTGAAGGCAATGTATCCAGAAATCCACACACGGCTCTGTGCAGCTCCCGTGCATCAGAAAACGGCCGCTGTGTCCATATCGCACCAGCTACGATCGGTCCGTGTTCGATGACGTTACCAAAACGCTGGATGAAAGCCTCCCAGGAAAGACTGTTAACTTCATCCATGACCACGGACAAAAATGGCAGTCATTAATTTAAAGAAATTGGAGAAAAGATGGTAAAAACTAAAGATACGACTTACGATGTGCTTAGTTCTGGTTTATTTTCACTGTAAAGTATACGTACACCGCAGGGTGACCGTAAGGTCAGGGTAAAATTCTGCTAAATGCACATCAAAAATCTGTCAGATTTATCAAAAATCTGCCAAATTCTCCAGAATTAATCGAAATACACTATAAACACTTAAAATCCAGGCAGATTGGTACTATTGCCTTAATTAAGATTCAATAACATAATAAACAATCTAGTCACATAAAGATGTTGTGAAATTATTGGTAAATTTCAGGCAAAATGCGGATCTGCGGCCACAACAAAGTCCGTTTCCAGTGCACCTCAGCACCTATAGACCAGCCAACCTGTCCCATATTATGCAAGGGTGTGTTTGGAAGGATTGAAGCTTTTTTAAAACGAATGTACACTTTTTTGTTTAAATTTGCTGTTTTTTATGTCAAATAACCGTTTTTGCAGAATTCTGCCAGAAATCTGCCAAAAAAATCCATTCTGTCAAATTTTCTGTCAAACTCGTTTTTTTAACAGAAATTCCGTCAAAGTTAGCCGAAAATCGGCTAAAACGGTCACCCTGATATCACGTATGAAGTCTGGATACCAGATTCATCTCTACAGACTCTTACTAGACTGGAAACCTGTGTCATTAGAAAAGCAAAACTCAGCTAAAAGTAACATTGGCCCAAATAGTTATAATTGATTAGTCATAATCACAACTAATTAGCCCAAGTTCGATTCCTGCCCGGACTACATGTGGGGTACCTGATTCCCTTGGTTTTTCCCAGAATCTTCTGCTCCTCCCACCTCTAAACCTGTTCTCTCTACTATATTAGGCCAAAAAAAAAAGTCTCCAGTTTCTGGTATGGAGCTTGTCCGAAAAGTGGTGCGGCGACGCGGCTTTTTTTTTTTTTTTACCTGTTTTTTTTTGCTTCAAATGTCGGCTGATGACTGCAAATGGTGCCCGACTAAACTTAGTGCAAATATATGGGAGTCCAGAGAGGCCACATAAAGCTTATTCTCGATCACAACCCCATCTAAAAACACGTTAAAATTGTGCAGCAGCAGCATTCCAGTCAAACCAGTGAGTTTGGCGGTTTTGAGACATCATCTTTCATTGAAAAAAAACTTTTTCATTTTGCCGACGCGCATGGCTACGGCGACGCGCGCGCACACCAGAAACCGGAGACTTTTTTTTTGGCCTTAGATGTGCTTGTTTTGTCCCAAAACTGTCATGAAAATTAATTATCACCAGAGTATATTTTTTATAACGATGCATGTGCAAAATAGTGAATGGTTTTCCCAAATCTTCCACAGCGGCTTTTACCCATCTACATGTATATGCTGGCCTTGTCCTGAGTCCTGACAACCCACATCATTATGACTCGGTTATAACTCCCAGCCGGTTGCGCGAGGTCAATCAAAGACACGACCCACAGCACTCGTTGTTTGAGCAATAACCCAAGCTCACCAGGTCAAGCTATATTTAGTTGTAAGTTCAGCAAGTGATCGGTCTTCATGTCTGAAAAAGGAGATTAAATTTCGTGAGAAACCGTCAAACACTAAAAAATAAAATCTTTCGAGAAAGGGCGCGCTGAATAAAACTAGTGGTCTCGCACCGCCAAGACATACCTCCGCACGCCGTAGAATATTTTAAGTTTCGTTCAATAGAGGGCGCGCCACATAAATAGTGGTCTCAACAACGCATCAACACGGATGCTGCAAAATTGGACAAAAAGAACAAACTCGTTTCCGATGAACTACTCAAGAAATACGAAATGGGTTCAATTGAAATTTCGTGCAATTAGTTTTCACGATGTGTAGCAGAAGTAGTTTGAATGACGTGAGAAACCGTGGAGCTATAAATATAATATATCGTAACAATCTATAGTGTTTGAAATGCTAGAAATCCCTCGGACTTCCATTAGGATTGTATTTGTCGCGATTAAACCCTGTATTGTTACGGTCATAATAGCTTGATTGTTTGACCTTTTCTTATGAAATTAAATCTGTTCATGTTAAACATCATGACAAATGAGTGCACGAAAATTCATTTAAATGTAACGTGTATTTCTTGAGTTGTTGCCTCCAAAACGAGTTTGTTCTGTATTTCAAAATTGAATATTCAGTGATTTGTCATGATGACTGTGTTACATTATAAGACTTAATTTCATGAGAAACCATCAAACAATGAGAAAGAGCATACCCAAAAGAAATATAGTGTTTTAAACGTGAAAAATACAAACCAAATGAAAAATGAAAAGTCAACGTCCATGGAAAAATAATAATACACTCGTTGTTTGAGCAATAACCCAAGCTCACCAGGTCAAGCTATATTTAGTTGTAAGTTCAGCAAGTGATCGGTCTTGATGTCTTAAATGAGGAGATTAAATTTTGTGAAAAACCGTCAAACAACTCAAAAAAATCTTTCGAGAAAGGGCGCGCAGAATAAAACTAGTGGTCTCGCACCGCCGAGACATACCTCCGCACGCCGTAGAATATTTTAAGTTTCGTTCAATAGAGGGCGCGCCACATAAATAGTGGTCTCAACAACGCATCAACACGGATGCTGCAAAATTGGACAAAAAGAACAAACTCGTTTCCGATGAACTACTCAAGAAATACGAAATGGATTCAATTGAAATTTCGTGCAATTAGTTTTCACGTTGTGTAGCAGAAGTAGTTTGAATCGCGTGAGAAACTGTGGAGCTATAAATATAATATGATCGTAACAATCTAGTGTTTGAAACGCTAGAAATCCACTTTGACTTCCATTAGGATTGTATTTGTCGCGATTAAAAGCCTGTATTGTTACGGTCATAATAGCTTGATTAATTGACTTTTTCTTATGAAATTAAAGCTGTTCATGTTAAACATCATGAGAAATGAGTGCACAAAAATTCATTTAAATGTAACGTGTATTTCTTGAGTGGTTGCCTCCAAAACGAGTTTGTTCTGTATTTCAAAATTGAATATTCAGTGATTTGTCATGATGACTGTGTAACATTATGAGATTTAATTTCATGAGAAACCATCAAACAGTGAGAAAGAGCATACCCAAAAGAAATAGTGTTTTAAACGTGAAAAATACAAACCAAATGAAAAATGAAAAGTCAAAGTCCATGGAAAAATAATAATACACTCGTTGTTTGAGCAATAACCCAAGCTCACCAGGTCAAGCTATATTTAGTTGTAAGTTCAGCAAGTGATCGGTCTTAATGTCTGAAATGAGGAGATTAAGTTTCGTGAGAAACCGTCAAACAATTTAAAAAAATCTTTCGAGAAAGGGCGCGCTGAATAAAACTAGTGGTCTCGCACCGCCAAGACATACGTACCTCCGCACGCCGTAGAATATTTTAAGTTTCGTTCAATAGAGGGCGCGCCACATAAATAGTGGTCTCAACAACGCATCAACACGGATGCTGCAAAATTGGACAAAAAGAACAAACTCGTTTCCGATGAACTACTCAAGAAACACGAAATGGATTCAATTGAAATTTCGTGCAATTAGTTTTCACGTTGTGTAGCAGAAGTAGTTTGAATGGCGTGAGAAACTGTGGAGCTATAAATATAATATGATCGTAACAATCTAGTGTTTGAAACGCTAGAAATCCACTTTGACTTCCATTAGGATTGTATTTCTCGCAATTAAAACCCTATATTGTTACGGTCATAATAGCTTGATTGTTTGACCTTTTCTTATGAAATTAAATCTGTTCATGTTAAACATCATGACGAATGAGTGCACGAAAATTCATTGAAATGTAACGTGTATTTCTTGCGTTGTTGCCTCCAAAACGAGTTTGTTCTGTATTTCAAAATTGAATATTCAGTGATTTGTCATGATGACTGTGTTACATTATGAGATTTAATTTCATGAGAAACCATCAAACAATGAGAAAGAGCATACCCAAAAGAAATATAGTGTTTAACGTGAAAAATACAAACCAAATGAAAAATGAAAAGTCAATGCCATGGAAAAACAATAATACACTCGTTGCAATTTATTCTGAAATGGTTCCCGTCGATTTTCAAACCATTTGTGTCCCATATCCCAAACAATAATTGAATGAAATTTCAATTCAGTGCACTCTGTTTTTCTTGAGTTATCGTCTCCACAAAAAGTGCTTTATTTTTGTTCCATTAAAAGTGACTCGAATTCGAATTAAATTTTTCGCGATAGTGCACTGCATTTCCTTAAATCATATTATATTTATTCTTCAATGGTTCCCGTCGATTTTCAAACCATTTGTGTCATATATGTCAAACAATTATTGAACGAAATTTCATTCAGTGCACTGTGTTGTTCTTGAGTTATCGTCTTCACAAAGTCCATTACTTGTGCCAACTTCTTTTGGGCAGATCGTATCCACGTTGACAGAAGTCTCGCGGTATGGTGACCAGTATTTGTGCAGCGCGCCCTCTGTTGATCCAGTAAGCACCGCCCCATGGTGTTCTGACCAATCACAGCCGCATTGGAGAGGAGCACGTGTTAATTTGCCCACCGTGTGCACTGGGCGGAGCTTACTGGATCGGTCCATTCCCTAGCCAGACAGGATTGAGGTGCAGTTCCCTTTTTATACTTGCAGCAAATATTCTGGAGGACAGGAGGAGCCACGTGCAATGATTATCCACTGGAATAAATGGTTTTCTCCTTCCAACTGCCAACCATGGCTAACTGGACTGAGAGACACATTGCAGAACCTGTTGAGACGAGAAAGAGAAAGTTGAACTATTCTGTAATTAATTGGAGGACTGGATTTTGGACAAAACCATGTACTTTTTGGAAAACGAAGAAAAACATATTCTGTTCAATTTGTTTCCCTTTGTCCCTGTAATAGGTGTTTAAAAAAAAGGAAACCCAGATGTAAATGAAAATTATAAAAAAAATTAATCAATATTTTCAAATAAGTTAAAGATCATGTGAAACACCAATGTGTCCTCTTTCCAATGATATCTTGATTGTGTGTCTGTGGCCAAGGATGACTGAGCATTTGTTGTCAGTTCAGAAGTGATTTAACCACTCTCATTGTTGAAGTTCACCCCTCATGGCCCAATGCCTTCAACGTGGCCACCACCTCTTTCCACACAAAGCTCTGCACGAAGTCTAGTCCATTTCAACCTTTGCATAACAAACCAGCCAGCAATCTCAGCCAGGTAAAACTTAGCCCATGCAGTGCAGGTTTTGACCCTTGACAGAATAACAATGAATGCTCAGTAATCCTGACCACAGGCGCACAGAAAATCATTGGAAAGAGGACACAATGGCGTTTTCACATGATTTTTAACTTAACTGAAAGTGTTTATTACATTTTTTTATAAGTTACATTATAACATCTGGGTTCCTCATTATTATACACCCTGTATAACATTCTCCTACAGACTAAGCACATAAACGCACAGTCGAGGACCTTTGATGAACTTGACGATCAAGGCATGGGCGTTGCCAAGATTTTTTTCCATGGGGGCCAAAGCAAATTTGTTCCCAAAATTCCTTACCTATTTCATTATATTCTCAATTTATCATTTTCCGAGCGTGAGCAGGGGAGCATTTTCCCTGCCCCCCCCCCCTCAAATCAACAGCAACATGGTTCCGCATCTCTTTTTCCTTTTTTCCCCTCTTTTTTATTTTTTCGTTTTCCAGGGATGGGGGGCCCCTTCCCCCCCCCCCCCCTCCTCGCCACGCCCATGAACCGAGGTCAACAAAACAAAGAATTTCTTTTTGTCTCTTTGAATTCGTCTTTCTGGGCTGTACGCACCCTCCGCAGGCCCCGAAAAAAAGGTACCGAAAAAATGCTCTATTGAAATTCCATTGAGTTGGCCATTGCAATCATGCTTGACCACGGAGCCATAATTTAAAAAGGTCCCATGGCTTTGACGCACACGGGGATTTTGTTGAATAAGTTGCGTCCATTGCAAATTTGCTGTCGCGGAAATTCAAGTGTGCCAAGTGTTGTAAACCCAGTACGATATGTGATCAGGATACTTCTACAAAAAAAAATGGGTTCTGCCGGCATTGTCCGGCTTATAGCACGTTGTCCTACAAATTGGTACGTTGATATCCCGTCTTAACTCTTTCTTTAAAATGGGGCTTGCGGTCGCTGCCGAAATGAATTGACCGTGATGGGGAGTAACCGTCTGATATTTTCTACACAAAGCCCCGGGGTAGTGGGTTTTTGCATAGAATTTTTTAGATATCAAATTTGACGACAATCAACGTTGAGTGAGGTCATGCAAAGCCTTGACCATGGCAATATGCAATAGCTTGTTCCCGCTACCGGTATACCGCGAAAGCTGATAGCCTTGGTCATGCAATGCGCTGTGATACACATCAATGATTCCAATGAAATATCTCTACAAACGTAGAAAGTAAGTGAGTGAGTTTTCAGGCAGCATCGATCACGCTCAAACTTAATTGGTAAATTCATCCATATCATCATATGTTGTTGACATTGTCAGAACTGTGTCTAGTGTAGGCCAACTAACTCTTGCGTTAACTCGGACAATCTGACTCAACACTAAAGTCCGCCTTCGTAGTGGTTGAGACTATGGAGTATATTAATCGTCTGTCGTTTGACGATTTCATCGAGCTTTTCGGCAATGTGATTGAGCATGGAAAGTTAGTAGCTGGTGCGATATGGGCGCGGAGACCGTTTTATGATGCTGGCAACATCTGGGAAGCTGTGTGTGAATTCCTAGACGCATTGCCGTTGCAAGGTACGTTGACTCATTTTTTGCTAGTCCACAGAGGGCCATGTTGTGTCCTCTTTAGTATCTCACTGACTGATTGAATGGTCGTGACTTGTTAGCCGGGCAGTGCTGTCATATAGGATTACGCCGTCACGTCATTGAATACACTGTAAAGCGGTGCTTAGCTTTTAAACACTTTTCTGTGCACTGTTTTTTCACATGTTAAGTCTGAGGCATAGTACGATTTTGCACAGTATGAAGGCCTGATGGTGGCATTAATAATAACTTTAAAAAGAAAAGTCAAATAGCCCATTTTATAACACCTCACCCACAGATTCTGTGTCTTGATTAGCCGAGAGCGAGTCACATGTTACTTTCTAATTTTGCTATCGTTCTGTGCACGGCCAAAAGTACTATGCAAATAGCAACCAAAGTATATACCATTAGCAACCAAAGTACTATTTCCACGGCGTGGTATTTGTGTGCAAATGCATGCTGGTGTGCGCGTTGCGCGTTGTGCGTAGCGCGTATTATTCCAAAGAGAGCGCGCCGCAGACTTGGGTTCAAACATTTCGTGAAGTGGTAGTTTTTAAGAGAGAAATACATTTTCCACCAATTTTGTATTGAAATTGAAGTTTATTTCAACTATGTTCAGATTTAAATAATTAAAAATATTAAAATCAAGCAGAATCTGTGGGTGAAGTGTTATAAAACAAATATTGAATGCTTTATCTAGTGGTAAAGTAAAACTAGCCTCCCTCGGTGATCCATGGACCATTCTATTTTCCCTCGGCTTCGCCTCGGGAAAATAGAATGGTCCATGGATCACCTCGGGAGGCTAGTTTTACTACACCACTCGAAGCATTCAATATTTGTATAATATTTTAATTTTCGTTTTTTCGTAGACAGATTATTTCCACGCGCTTGTAAATTACAAATTATACTTTTCACGAAGTCCAAAATATTTCATTGTTTTAAAATGAGTTCTTTAACGTCATCATACAATTTTCGTAAAGACTTTATTTGAGAAACGATGTAAAACCCTGAAAAAAAAATAAACACCCCTGAAGATATACATGGATCCGTCCATAAAAAGTCTTTTTTTTAACGAAGAATGGCGCGATTTGTCTGGGTTTGACATTACTACGCGTTGCTGAAAATACAAATCTGATAAGTTTGGTACTTAAAAAGGATCTGTTTGTTCTTAGGACAAAAAATCAGCAGTTATAGCCAAGAGGCAAGTTTTAGCACCCGAGACATGCTCTGGCAATTTAGACGGAACGCGGTGTGTTGCTTTTTCAAGTGCAAGCGAGGAACTTTGTTATCGGAGTTCCCAGGTGGCGGCCGCGGGCCGGCGCCCGTCCGTGCCGGGTCGGGATATGTATTCACCAATTCCCGATGTCTATTTCTCAATGTCATCATCTACAATTATTCACTGTATTTTTTTACCTAACAAAATGACAGAAACCCCTTCACAATGTATCATACCATGTGTGAATTGCAATCATGGCGCCGAAAGGCCCGATGACTATTTTCTGTATAGACGAGTAGCATGTACATGTATATACGAACTACGATGAGTTTATACAATATGTCTTGCTGCGCCGCCGATCTCCCGATGTCATGTACATGTACGTGTACATGTATAAACTATAGGCCCTATTCTTGAAATTGAAACTGGACTGAATTAAAACCAAGAACAGTTCTGTAAAATGTTTGGGCAATTACATTATGCAGGCATGCATGAGATAAGTCATGAGATAAAACTGAGCTATGAAGTTACAATGTGCATGGAGGCCTATTTGCTCCTCTGTTTTAGTTTGATTAAATTACACTAATTTTAAACTTGAATTCAATTTACATGTTCAAGCGGTTTGTTCTCATTGATCAACTAAAAATTTCAACTTGAAACAAAACATTACAAAGCATCCTTGCAACAGTTCACAAACTAAGTCTATACAATTCCTTTTTGAAAATATAATGCACGAAAATATGCAGACGAAAATACGTGGTTGTCAAGTGAAGAACAGAAGAATCTTAAAGAGGTTTGTAATAGTAAGAGTATATTTTAAATCAATAACAAATCCATATAATCTTAAAACATTTTTCTCAAATAAGTCGGGGTAAAAGGGGCCAGGAATCGCCTCAGATTGCACCACAGAGCATCTAGAATCCCAAATTTCCCGGGGCCCTTAAGGCAAAAAAAGTCTCCGGTTTCTGGTATGGAGCTTGCCCAAAAAGTGGACATGAACCCAATCTAAAAACACGTTAAAATTGTGCAGCAGCAGGATTCCAGTCAATCCAGTGAGTTTGGCGGTTTTGAGACATCATCTTTCATTGAAAAAAAAACTTTTTCATTTTGCCGACGCGCATGGCTACGGCGACGCGCGCGCATACCAGAAACCGGAGATTTTTTTTTTGGCCTAAGCGGGCCCCGGACCCCACGCCGAAAGACATTTGTGCTCCCCGCTCGCATTACTCCTCCGAGCAAATTAATGCCCCAACGCATCGTTGCAACAGTTTATGACAAACTCAGTCAATAAAATTCCTTTTCAAAAATAAAATGCAACAGAACATGCATGAAGACGAAAACACATGGCTTTCAACTTTGAAGTATACACAGTAACTCAACGCTTGTAAAAGCAAGAGTTTATTTTTTTTTAATCCTTATATTTTAATCTTAAAAATTTTGCTCAAATAATTAGGGGGGAAAGGGGCCAGGAATCGCCTCAGATTGCACCACAGAGCATCTAGAATCCAAAATTTCCCGGGGCCCTTAAGCGGGCCTCGGACCCCACGCCGTAAGGGCTCCGCGCTCCGCGCTCCGCGCTCGCATTAATTCTCGAAACATGCTCTTAAGGTGTGCCCCCCGTCTAAAGAAATCCTGGATCCGCGCATGCAGATCATAATGAAAGTGTGATAAAAGTGTGCATTACGCCTGTCATTGACTTCAACCCGATAACTTATTTTTATTTACTTTACAATAAAGTCATGGTCTCTTACATTTGAGCAGATTTGCTGATTAATAATATGCAAGACACCTGCATCTTGACCTCTAGATTTTGACCCGGCAATCAGCGGGCGCTTTCTATATCGCGTCTTCGGTCATTCACCCGTGTTACGCGCTCTGTATCATGTTGCGCGATATGCGCCCGATTGTTGTCGTTTCACAAAACACTCCATTCGAATGGACCAATCAAACCAATAGTCCTGATTTGGGAATGGAATGACGTCACGATTTGGTACTCCGATTGGCTGACGCGCGGCTTGCTTTATATCTGCATGTTTAGACATAATCACGGCTCCATGGATAACGGGTGACTAGCATGTGTACTGATCGTTGCAGGAGTTAAAAAGTTCGAGCGGAAGAATATAGTGCGTTCCCGGATAGAAATGAAGAAGTTGGGGGGGGGGGGTGAACGCCAGCGGCCTTTTACAATTCTTAGAATGTTATTTCTGAGTTTAGAATCTTTTTTTTTCCTTGTTTGGTTGTCAGGTAAAGTGGCAACACTTCGTTTGTACCCGGACCTTGCGGGGAAGCTAGCCAAATCAAATCGTCTGAGTGAAGAGTCCCATCAGGAACACCGTACTGCCGGCTTACTGGCACTCACGGCCGACGAGACGAGACTTCTAACCGCGATGAACAAGAAGTACCGAGAAAGGTTCCTGTTTCCTTTCATCATATGCGCCAGACAAAACCAGAAGGATGCGATCCTGTCAGAAATGAAGGCTAGGATGCAGAATACAAGGGAAATCGAACTTGAGAAAAGTCTGGAGGAAGTCAAGAAAATAGCCTGGCATCGGATTGTTGATTTGATTCGAAATCAGCCTGAAGTACTGACTTCGAAGTACTGAGTGGGCTAAGTGGTGAAGGAGGCAAAACTTATACTAACTTTGGGGTTTGTGTCTCTGTTAATGTCACTCTTTTTAATTTATCGCGTGACGATATTGGTGTGGAAGATCTAAAATGTATCATGGGGGTTGTAGGCCCCTATCTTTTCTTAGTTTTTTTTAAATTATTTTTTCCCTATTAGTATTAGTATTAAATAAAAGGAGCAAATTCAACGTGCTTGTCTGGTTTTAACCGAGTCCTTTCAAATACCGGCTATCGGCCTGGACGCGGATAATGGACCGAGCCGAATGTCAGTGTGTCCGCAATCAGGCCCCATAGCCGGTTTAATTAAAGGTACTTGTTAATGCCGGCCAAGCACATAATTTTATTTAGTCACTTTCATAATTACCTTACGGTCAAAAAAGTCATGGGGTGCATTCATTCAACAGTTTGGCAATGTCGTTGAGCATGGAGGAATGGTTGTCGGCAGCATTCGACCGTGGGCCCAAAATCCTATCTCGCCTAGAAAGTCCGTTCAAAATTTCTGGTGGTAACAAAAAAATGCTTGTACTTTGTCAATTCGAGGGTGCTGAATTCAGTTCTTTCTGTTGCCAAGCTCTCAGTTGGCACGTTTAAGCACAATCTTCGTCCGAATTGTTATCTCAAAGAAAAATGGGGGGGGGGGGGGGAGGGGCCTGACAACCGATGGCGCAATGCATCCCCTTAAGGATCTCAGGAATAGCCCCTCCGATTTAAATGCCGATTGTCACCCACTTGGAATAAATAATGATAAATAACTGTAAACGATTGTAGGCTCATAGCTAAAGAGATTCCACAATAACGGTAATAATGCATAAACAATGCTTAGACTGTATACTTATGCACCTGCAATGTTTTTATTACGTCTACCACCTGGGTTTTTTTAGGCATGACTGATTTTAATCCATAAGGCACAACAGACATTTTCCATGATGTAAGTGAATGAATTACATGTCATTATAAACAGTCTTTGATGACAAAAAAAATCATAGCTAAAGTTTGTTATTGTTTTGTTAATTAAATAGGAAACTATGCAGCAAATAACGCTTTATCATATTCAGCGTTGCATGCTAACACAGTATTTTTCCAGAATATCACTGAAATTTTCCGTAATGCTGAAAGATTACTGAATTATGTCGTTTATCCAAATTAAACAAAGTGTCTAAATCTTGAATAAATGGAATAAATGTGTGCTCCGGAGGTTTTTATCACTCTGTTTAAGACCACTTGGGGTCTGGGTGCTGATAATTACCCGAGCCGGTAAAAAAAAATCATATAATTCGTTCAATACATCCCGATTTTGTTCAACAAATTCACTTTATGCTTTTTGAAACATACCTCTTGCAAAATAATGGAGTGTTTAGCTGGCGAGTAAGATGTAAACAACCCTTTTATGGAGATTGACGCGCGCGTAGCATGTTCTGCGCGATGTCGCGCAGAACGCACCTGGCGCGTTGCGTTTTGAATTCAGAACTATAAAATTCTGACTCCCTGGTAGTGTTGCGCATGCCTACGTGAGGATTGTGAACGTTCAACCAATGAAACGATAAGAGGCACTGGATTTTTAGGAGTCCACATTTTATTGTGACACTGGAAAAGTGTTTAAGACTAGCCATGTCGTTATCATCCGTTTAAGACCGGCCACGTGACGGGCTCTCGACCAATAGGAATGCGTAAACTTTCTTAGGTATTTATGAATTCCAAATATTGTATAATTATGGGAAATACTTACAAATGTATGTGATAATACAACATTTTTGTCAAGGCATTATTATTCTCAAATGCAGAACTCAAAGAGCTCTTCGTACATGACCGAATTACGTCCTTAACCTAACGTGAAGTATTTTAATGCCAAAAGTTTCAAAATTGTAAGGGTTTCATGGTATATAAAGTATGAATTTATGCAAAACTTAACGCTTTGGCCATATTATGCCTTGTTTATACATGTATGCGGACAAATTGGTTTTTTAAGGCATCACTGAATTTCCTATCAATTCCACAAATCTGAAGCTGAAAGACTATTGCAGATTTCTGAATTATGTCTGTCACCCAAAATGAACCCAAAGATTTCATAATTATGGTAATTAATTATGCAGCGAAATGCTTTATCAAGAATTTTTTCTCTTACATTCGGAGCTGGACAAACTGTGTATAGATGATTGGATTGCCATTGGCCTGAAATAAACTCTTTAAAACTGGAACTTGGCCATCAAATACAAATCGAAGAAATATCCTTCATGAAAGTCATAATTACAGTTCACATTTTTACCATCTTGACCATGCTGATAAAAAAGATTGTACGTGTTACATGATATAGTTACAGGTGGTGTGAGTCAACTTATTGAAAAAATATGGCGGATCAATCACGACAAATTCTTGTACATGCATACTTTTGATACATGCTTGTAGAGAGGGGCATAAGTCACCGAGTCTATACAAATCAATGTAACTTTCATCACTATCGCTGGACAGGCATTCGGTGTCTGAGAAGTGTTGTTCAGGCAATCAGTTCAAGGCAAGGCAATGGACCGATCCAGTAAGCACCGCCCCATGGTGTTCTGACCAATCACAGCCGTGATTTATGTCCGACGTGCGTGCACTAAAGTCCGACATGCGTGCACGCGCGCGCGTATAATGCGCGCGGAAGGAAAATGCAGCGTGGCATTGAGGAGCACGTGTTAATTTGCCCACCGTGTGCACTGGGCGGAGCTTACTGGATCGGTCCATTCCCTAGCCAGACAGGATTGAGGTGCAGTCCCTTTTTATACTTGCAGCAAATATTCTGGAGGACAGGAGGAGCCACGTGCAATGATTATCCACTGGAATAAATGGTTTTCTCCTTCCAACTGCCAACCATGGCTAACTGGACTGAGAGACACATTGCAGAACCTGTTGAGACGAGAAAGAGAAAGTTGAACTATTCTGTAATTAATTGGTGGACTGGATTTTGGACAAAACCATGTACTTTTTTGGAAAACGAAGAAAAAATAATAGTCTGTTGATTGTAGGACTTAATGGCTGCAGTTCATTCTGGCGTGCCACAGGGTGCTGTTCTTGCACCTATTCTTTTCAATATCTTTGCTTTTGATTTACCTTTTTGCATTCAATCTAATCTCCGTCAGTATGCAGATGACACTGTCTTGTACAGAGTCATTAAAAATCAAGAGGATAAAGTGGCACTCCAGGATGACCTGCAGCACATAAACACTTGGTGTAATCTAAACTGTATGACTTTAAACCCAAATAAGTGTAAATTAATGACTGTGACCAGGTCTAGAAACCCTGCTAAACCACTGTATAAAATTTCTGAAAACACTTTGGAAAATGTGGATAGTTACAAATACTTGGGTGTTATTATCTCCAGGGACTTAAGCTGGAAAACACATGTTAATAAAGTCACTTCCAAAGCCACTAGACTCAACGGTTTTATTGGTAGAGTAGTTAAAACTAGAAACCCTAACATTCTGACTTCACTTTATCGCTCAATTAGCAGACCCATACTTGAATACGCAGCTCCAGTCTGGTGCCCTGTTCTTTCGACTCAGCAAAAAACGCTAGAGAAGGTACAGAGGCGATTCACCCGTTTTTGTTTGGGTCTGCCGAGAAGGGTTTTAATTGATTCTGTAAATGAAATTGAATATTCAGACAGGTGTGTCAAGCTGGGTCTGCCTCTTTTAATCAACAGGGTTCATTTCCTTTCAATTACGTTTGTTATTAAATGTTTATATAATAAATTTGATGTTGACACTGACACTCTAATTCCCATTAATTGTAGACATATCGAATCTGTTAAATTTGTCCATCATCGGGCTCGTTCCAATGCTGCCCATCATTCTCTTTTTCACAGATTCCCTAGATTATGGGATGAACTACCGGCTTGCATTAAAGATACAATTATCCATAGTTTATCCTCCTTTACAAATTCTCTCAGAAATCATTTATTAGTCCCTGGCCAGGAGCTAGGTCCCCTTGACCAAAACAGTTTAACTTTCTAGTTGCCTTGCCCATTCAAATACCTTGCTGCTTGTTTTTTTTTTCTCAATTTTATAGTGCCTTTTGCATTATAATTCACTCGAATCTCTCTTTTACCGAATTTGTATTTTTTAATGCCCATTTGTGCTTTTAAAGTTTTAACTGCTTGCATGTATAGTTCTATATTCTTATACTGTAAGCCATGTTTTAATAATGTCCATTTGTAATGTCCTTTTGTATTGTCTCTTCTTAAATTGTGGCATCAGGAGATTATAACTCGATAGTAATTTAGTTTACTTTTTTAAATTCCATCAGGGGTGCTACTTTTTTTTTCTTCTTGTTCTCTCTCCTAACTGTATGTGCATGTTTTTGTTTTCTTTACTGTTCTTATTGTCTGTACTTGAATTTTTACCTGTGAAATTAATAAATGAAATGAAATGAAATGAAATGTGTGTACATGTACATACATGTATTTTCATGTACATGTGTACATGTATTTGTACATGTACTGTACATGTACGTCGGTTACAGCGCTGTGCGGTTATAACGCTCGGTTCAGTTCGGTCCCTTTGAGAGCGCTATAACGGGATCTACTGTAGTATAACGGTCGCCGACTCGCCGTCCAGTTGATGTGAATTAGCCATGGTCACCAAGCAAGTTATTTTCACTACAGCATTTCTTAGAAGGTAGGAATGACATTTTCTGTATCTTGGCTTCATTCTTGTGTCGAACACATTGTCTAAAAATCTGAAGAAATTGGATCAAAATAAAGTAAAACAACTTTTCGAACAAAGTCGCTGTAAAAAAATGAAGATTTTCCTATGCCTATCATCTTGTTTTCTCAATAAATGTTGAAAATGTTCTTCAGACTCGATCAGAATAAATGTAGATTAATTAAGAGTGAAAATATGTGCCTCAATTGAGATTGGAGGCTCGATCGTCAATGCGAACAGTTTTGGAGGATCATACACTGAAAGAAACGTTCAAGTCATCTGGTTTTCAATTTGATAATAAAATCTTGGTAATATTCCAAGGAAATAATATACATGTGGATCAGATTTACTTGAATTCATGTGAGACATGATTGTTAGACCTTTTTAACAACATTTTAGGTTGGAAAGTTATTTGTTCGATAGTTATAATTTTAGATAAAACAGATATTGTTTTAGCAAATGGCAAAATGTTGGAAGTGTATACATTATATCGAGAAGACTTTTGATTTGTGTACTATAGTATAGGCTTATGTTTGTATTTTTTTCTTCAAATTGATGAATTAATCAAACTGTAACAATATTGTATTGAGATACCCATGATACCCAAGCCAACAACCGTGAAATTGTTACCTGGGGTATCTCTTAATTTATAGATCTGATTTGATTTTCTCTCAACTAAAACTAGCGCAAATTTAAGCATAAACAGTCCGTTATAAAATATTCCCGCTCAAAGACACAGTGTACGGTTGTAATACTAATAGCAAGGCGCATTAGCATTTCAGTCCCAAGGGTCAGGCCTTAAGTTCACGTACCAGGACTGTACACGTATAAACGGTCATCTGGCTTTCGTTGGCTTCAGTTGTACATAACAAGTGTATACAGTTTCAGTCCGGGTTTCAGTTTCAGTGTATGGAGTAGGGTTCAGGGCCAGGTCAGCACTGTTACAAGATCAATGAAAAATACGCGAACTATAAAAGCCTTTTCTAAAACTAGGGTCATTTGTAGACTAGTTTTTGTGTGTGAAAAATAAGACATTATGTGGGTTGAAGAGCACGGGGACATCATATTTATACTGTGTTCAAACTTTATTAGTTTTACATATTACTCAACCTTAACAAACATCGTTACTTTCTCCAGGTAGGCAGTACACAGGTTTGCTATACGTGAGTGCACTGGCTGCTGGATGTGGCATGTTTTAACTTTAAACTTCAGCAGTCTTCGAGGGAAGAAGTTTCTAATTATTTTGAAGACCAACCCATACATCTCTTCAAGGTTGTTGCTGTAAGTAATTCAACATTCATGACCTTTTTATACATGTATCTCTGTAAGATGGTGAAATTAACTTTTAATGTGTTGAAAATACACCTGGGTCGAAATAGACGAATTGCTGTTTCCTTTTAAAATGTCGGTAGTTTCTCGTGTACATTTTGATATAGCATTAAATTCATGGTTTCTATCATTTATTAGGGGCCTGCATGACAACTCGTCGAGTAGCAGAGGCCAAGGCGAGGGGAGGACATAGCTTCATTCTGGAAGTTTGCCCCACTAACAAGCCCGGAGGGACAAGATTCAGGGTAATATTAATTACACCAAATTGCTGTGAACAGTATTTAAGTTGCCTGTAAAATATTAACAAGTAGGCCTGGGCCTACAGAGTAAGAAAACAACTCTTTTATATAAGGCAAAGTTATCTTAATGTCGACTTCACACTAATGGCTGAAGACAACAGTGTAATATCTATCCAAGATATACAAACTTGTACACTGGAAGTTGTTTGCAGATAGTGTACTCTTTACCAGAATTGCCTTTGAAGCATTAATCGCAGTACGCTTGCGGAACACAAAAATGAAATGTCAGTACATTTTGTTAACCTTCTCATGCACAATAATGATCCAAAAAGAAGTGACAGATAATCCAAAAATAAGTCGGTTGGTCATCATCGGCTGTCCACCATCTGGAAAAATCTTTACATTTATTTTTTTCTATTTTGTGTGTGTGTGCAGAATCCTGCCAACCCTGCCAACGCTGTTCAGCCCGCCGACCCTGTCGACACTGCAAACCCTGCAGATGATGAATAACGACACTGCATCTTTTGCGTGAAAATAAGTGCATCGTTCGTGCTCTTCAAAATTTGTTTTCTTGTAGGCCTATTAGGGCTTCCCTATTTATCTCCGTGGTTCTCATAATTATTTTTATTTGCCCTTATATGAAGCCTAGTCGGTCTGTCAAAAAGCAATAACAATCTGAACTAAAGTTGCACTCGTAAAGATGGTAAACTAAATGATGCAATAAGTTTATCATGATTTGATATCACTGAATACAATTTAAAAAAACAAACCATTTTGGCCAATTATAGACGACTTACAGTAATGTCTGGACGAAGCATCTCCTTAACAATTTAGTTGTAGTGGCAGCAATATTATAATGAGAGGCAAAATTCTCTCATCTGTCTTTCTTCCTCTGATTTCCGTAAGCCGTAATTTTCAAGTCGAGAAAAAAAAATATGATATTCAATTTAAATAACATTTCAGAATAACACAGAGCTAGTTGCTCGAATGCAATATACTTTGTTTTTTAATTTGGGAAAAAATCGTCTGTGAATGGGGTTTTGGAAATTGTCGGCGGAAAAACATATCCCAAAATAGGGTCGATTAAAAAATGAGAACCAAAGAAATATAAGGTGAAGCCCCAATGACTAATTAATGGTAATGAAGAAAGTATTATTAGTTCTTTTTTTTGAGAGGGAGCATTGTATATTGGGGAAAAATAGGAGGTTTTATCATTTTAGGCCGCGCAGATCCACTATGCAAGTAGACTGGTTCATGATGTCCCTTTTCATTGTATAATCGATTCTAAACGGATATGGGATTGACTCGAATGAGAACGCAAACAGTTAAATAATATAAACTTACTTGCCAATAGTAAAATCGTCCTGATATTTTTGTTGACAAAGTTCGTTCAAATTGTGTAACTTTTGAATTACTAAGATAGCAATGTTTAAAAACCAATTGTGTTTTCGGGATGAAACTCAAAAATTACAGAAAACATAAAATATGTTGGCAGAAAACTCAGTCCCACATTGCCTGAAGAATAATATTTTATGTTAAAGTTACTTATAGCATAACTGGTAGTCACCCGGAGATGTACGCCTGCCCAGCTTAGCAATTTCAGGACATTTAAATCCTTGCTAAAGGTTAATATATGCATATAAATAGACTTGTGCCCATCCTTACTGAAGATGAATACATGTATAATTATATGAACAAAATCTGACACTCTATCGTTTTGAAGGGAAACTGACAAAATAATGCCGTTGGCGGGCAATCTGTTTTACTGTTCCTGCTTCCCAGCAAAAACACACACAAAACTAGATCATTGGTTTTCTAACTGAATCAAGAGGCTTTAATCTGTTATTTTTTAAATAGGCGAACTGAAAGCGACATTGTACTGTTATATCAGATTTATACTTGCTTTGTAATAATAATGATTGACGAAGGTTTGCTTCCATGCATTCACCGGATACATTCTTTGTAATAAATGTAGAAACAGTAAGTCTGATGGTTAATTTGTTTTTCTTTATTGTTTGCAGACAGGTATATCGTCGTTGCACGATTAGTTTCGTTAATTAACCGTGCCAGGAACAATGTTGCTAAAAGGTCCCCACAAAGTTGCAGTGATGTATCCAATAAGTTGCGTGAACGTTTTTGAAAAGTTGTGAGGTGCCCAAAAAGTTACCGGAACGTGAATTAGTTGCAGTAACGTCTGTAATGAGTCATTGACGTGCTAACAATTAAGGTTGTAGAAACGTCCCCACATCGTGCCCATGAAGTTGCAATAATGTGTCCTACAAGTTGCATTAACGTGGCCAAAAAGTTGCACTGACGTGCCCATAAGGTTGTAGGAACGTCCACATAAAGGTTGCAGAAACGTGCCTATCAGGTTGTAGTTATGTCCAACAAGTTGCATTAACGTGGCCAAAGAGTTGTCGTGACGTGCCTATAAGGTTGCAGGAACGTCCCAATAAAAGTTGCAGTAACGTGCCAATCATGGTGTAATCATGTCCCCACAAGGTTGTATAAATGTTTATTTTAAGTGGTCATTAAGTTGCAGTAACGTTCCGTCATGGTGGTAATCATGTCGTAATCATGTCGCATTTACGTGCCAAGACGTTGTATAAAGGTGACAATTACGTTGCTGGAGGGTTGCAGGATCGTGTACTGAAAACGTTGTAATAAATGTTTCATTGACGTTTTTATAACGTCATTTAAACATTGTGTAATAGCGTTGTGGCAACGTGCACGCGAGTCGACATTTTTACGTTGCCGCAACGTAATTTTCTGAACGTTGCCGCCACGAAAACGTGACCTTTTTGCAACGTTGTTACAACGTAAATGTGTTAGCTGGGTTGTACTCGGGTCAGTGGAAATGGAGGCCAGCATTTTCCCTTGGAGCTATACTCATTTGCTAGGTTTAAAACATTAACTGATAATCTTGACAAAGGCACACATGCATATACGTTTGGGGGTGTTTCATAAAAAAATGTTAAACAATAAATCTTATATTTCAACCGTAAGTCGGAATCAATCTTACAGAACAAATAATTCTCAAATTGTGTTTCATAAAATCAATCTTTAAGATTGATTACTCTTAACTTAAGATTGATATTAATAACTTTAATATTATTGACAGAGGCTAAAGCACAACCTTTGACCTAGAGCAACTTTTTTGGCTGCCAAAACTTTTTTCAAGTCAGCCATCTTGTTTTTTAGTGTGAGTGGTGAGTACAAAATGCATTAAATTTTCTCTTGAGACGAAAACTACCCATGGTCTGGCATACTGCACCTGACGAGTCCTTGCCATTTTTGGAAAACATGTTTCTTTTTTCTTTTTTGCAATGGAAATATGAAATAAGACCGTTAAGAACTTTTATCAGCCGGCTTCCATATAACTTTTAACATTCTCCATAAGCCTTTAACATCATCTAACAATTTAATAATTATCAAGGGTTTACGTCCTTCTCAAGCGCAGCGTTTCTGAATCCTTTACAATGAATACTAAATCCCTTGTATCCCCTATAGTACTTTTGTTCCTTCAAGTATAAATTATAATATTACTAAAAACTCAATTTAGTACCTTTGTTTCTTCAAGACAACCGGAATTCCCTTAGCTGAATAATTTTAAAATCGTATCGAAATGTAATAAATTATAACCACAGAACTGTGAGTATATCGCGTGCATTTTGAGTTCTTATTGTTTCCTCTCTGTGTGCTCTCTGTGTCTTTGAACTACCTATCCCCTCGTGCCGGGTTTGACATTACTGGATCTTTAACCGGTCGTCAAGTCCACCAACGGGCACATTCCTGAACGGTTTTAAATCCCACTTTCTTCCACGGCGACTATCTGAACGTCTGGCGTATCGTGAGGTACGTTAGGGACTGTAGTGGACTTTAGGTTCACTCAAACAATCAAACACTAAAAAAAAAATCTTTCGAGAAAGGGCGCGCTGAATAAAACTAGTGGTCTCGCACCGCCAAGACAGTATACATGTACATCCGCACGGTAGCATAAAATGGCACGACAGTAGAGCGCGTGATGAATATGCATGACTATGACGTCACTAGAAGCTCATGAGTAATATATCACGCACGGTACTGATAGATATACATGTAGATGCACACTGTATGTGCTGCATCCCACCGATGATATCACATTTAACAAGTCCTCTTTCTACTGTCGCGCCGCCACCCTCTAGTGTCGTCCCACTTACCAATGATATCACATTTAACAAGCCCTCTTTCTACTGTCGCGCCGCCACCCTCTAGTATCGTCCCACTTACCGATGATATCACATTTAACAAGTCCTCTTTCTACTGTCGCGCCGCCTCCCTCTAGTGTCGTCCCACTTGATGATCATCGGTAAGTGGGGCAACAGTAGAGAGTGGCGGCGCGACAGTAGAAAGAGGACTTGTTAGATGTGATATCATCGGTGGGATGCAGCACATACAGTGTGCATCTACATGTACATGTATATCTATCAGTACCGTGCGTGATATATTACTCATGAGCTTCTAGTGACGTCCTAGTCATGCATATTCATCACGCGCTCTACTGTCGTGCCATTTTATGCTACCCATCCGCACGCCGTAGCATATTTTAAGTTTCGTTCAATAGAGGGCGCGCCACATAAATAGTGGTCTCAACAACGCATCAACACGGATGCTGCAAAATTGGACAAAAAGAACAAACTCGTTTCCGATGAACTACTCAAGAAATACGAAATGGATTCAATTGAAATTTTGTGCATTTAGTCTTCACGTTGTGAAGCAGAAGTAGTTTGAAAGGCGTGAGAAACTGTGGAGCTATAAATATAATATGATCGTAACAAGCTAGTGTTTGAAACGCTAGAAATCCCTCGGACTTCCATTAGGATTGTATTTGTCGCGATTAAAACCCTGTATTGTTACGGTCATAATAGCTTGATTGATTGACCTTTTCTTATGAAATTAAATCTGTTCATGTTAAACATCATGACAAATGAGTGCACGAAAATTCATTTAAATGTAACGTGCATTTCTTGAGTTGCTGCCTCCAAAACGAGTTTGTTCTGTATTTATAAATTGAATATTCAGTGATTTGTCATGATGACTGTGTTACATTATGAGATTTAATTTCATGAGAAACCATCAAACAATGAGAAAGAGCATACCCAAAAGAAATATAGTGTTTTAAACGTGACAAATACAAACCAAATGAAAAATGAAAAGTCAACGTCCATGGAAAAATAATAATACACTCGTTGTTTGAGCAATAACCCAAGCTCACCAGGTCAAGCTATATTTAGTTGTAAGTTCAGCAAGTGATCGGTCTTGATGTCTTACATGAGGAGATTAAATTTCGTGAGAAACCGTCAAACAACTAAAAAAAATCTTTCGAGAAAGGGCGCGCTGAATAAAACTAGTGGTCTCGCACCGCCAAGACATACTTCCGCACGCCGTAGAGTATTTTAAGTTTCGTTCAATAGAGGGCGCGCCACATAAATAGTAGTCTCAACAACGCATCAACACGGATGCTGCAAAATTGGACAAAAAGAACAAACTCGTTTCCAATGAACTACTCAAGAAATACGAAATGGATTCAATTGAAATTTCGTGCAATTAGTCTTCACGTTATGTAGCAGAAGTAGTTTGAATGGCGTGAGAAACTGTGGAGCTATCAATATAATATGATCGTAATTAAACAATCTAGTGTTTGAAACGCTAGAAATCCACTTTGACTTCCGTTAGGATTGTATTTGTCGCGATTAAAACCCTGTATTGTTACGGTCATAATAGCTTGATTGTTTGACCTTTTCTTATGAAATTAAATCTGTTCATGTTAATCATCATGACAAATGAGTGCACGAAAATTAATTTCAATGTTACGTGTATTTCTTGAGTTGTTGCCTCCAAAACGAGTTTGTTCTGTATTTCAAAATTGAATATTCAGTGATTTGTCATGATGACTGTTTTACATTGTGAGATTTAATTTCATGAGAAACCATCAAACATTGAGAAAGAGCATACCCAAAAGAAATATAGTGTATTAAACGTGAAAAATACAAACCAAATGAAAAATGAAAAGTCAACGTCCATGAAAAAATAATAATACACTCGTTGTTATGTTTGAGCAATAACCCAAGCTCACCTGGTCAAGCTATATTTAGTTGTAAGTTCAGCAAGTGATCGGTCTTGATGTCTTACATGAGGAGATTAAATTTCGTGAGAAACCGTCAAACAACTAAGAAAAAAATCTTTCGAGAAAGGGCGCGCTGAATAAACTCGCACCGCCAAGACATACCTCCGCACGCCGTAGAAAATTTTAAGTTTCGTTCAATAGAGGGCGCGCCACATAAATAGTGGTCTCAACAACGCATCAACACGGATGCTGCAAAATTGGACAAAAAGAACAAACTCGTTTCCGATGAACTACTCAAGAAATACGAAATGGATTCAATTGAAATTTCGTGCAATTAGTTTGCACGTTGTGTAGCAGAAGTAGTTTGAATGGCGTGAGAAACTGTGGAGCTATAAATATAATATGATCGTAACAATCTAGTGTTTGAAACGCTAGAAATCCACTTTGACTTCTGTTAGGATTGTATTTCTCGCAATTAAAACCCTATATTGTTACGGTCATAATAGCTTGATTGTTTGACCTTTTCTTATGAAATTAAATCTGTTCATGTTATAACATCATGACAAATGAGTGCACGAAAATTCATTTAAATGTAACGTGTATTTCTTGAGTTTTGCCTCCAAAACGAGTTTGTTCTGTATTTCAAAATTGAATATTCAGTGATTTGTCATGATGACTGTGTTACATTATGAGATTTAATTTCATGAGAAACCATCAAACAATGAGAGAGCATACCCAAAAGAAATATAGTGTTTTAAACGTGAAAAATACAAACCAAATGAAAAATGAAAAGTCAACGTCCATGGAAAAATAATAATACACTCGTTGCAATTTATTCTGAAATGGTTCCCGTCGATTTTCGAACCATTTGTGTCCCATATCCCAAACAATAATTGAATGAAATTTCAATTCAGTGCACTCTGTTTTTCTTGAGTTATCGTCTCCACAAAAAGTGCTTTATTTTTGTTCCATTAAAAGTGACTCGAATTCGAATTAAATTTTTCGCGATTAGTGCACTGCATTTCCTTAAATCATAATATATTTATTCTTCAATGGTTCCCGTCGATTTTCAAACCATTTGTGTCATATATGTCAAACAATTATTGAACGAAATTCCATTCAGTGCACTGTGTTGTTCTTGAGTTATCGTCTCCACAAAGTCCATTACTTGTGCCAACTTCTTTTGGGCAGATCCTATCCACGTTGACAGAAGTCTCGCGGTGTGGTGACCAGTATTTGTGCAGCGCGCCCTCTGTTGGAAACATTTGATGTTGGTGAAATGTAAGGGAGTGCGCTTACACTTTGTCGTTTTTGTTTTTGTTGTATTATTTTTTGTCTTCAACGGTTTCTGTCGAATTTCAAATATATTGTCACGTGTATCACAGTCAATTATGGGACGCAATTTCAAATCAGTGCACTGTGTTGTTCTTGAGTTATCGTCTCCACAAAGAGTGCTTTTTTTGTTCCATTAAAAGTGACTCGAGTTCGAATTGAATTTTTCGCGATTAGTACGGTGTATTTCCTTAAATCATATTAAATTTATTCTTTAATGGTTTCCGTCGATATTCAAATTTTTCGTTTTCTATATCTCAAACAATTATTGAACGAAATTTCAATTCAGTGCACTGTGTGTCGTTCTTGAGTTATCGTCTCCACAGAGTCCATCACTTGATGCCAACTTCCCCCGTCTTTTTAGATAAAGGAACATTAGTCTACCCTGCATATATTTGACTATATTACAACAACATATAAACCTCCTCATATCCATTATGACATAGAAAATTGAATGCATTTTGTACTCACCACTCACACTAAAAAACAAGATGGCTGACTTGAAAAAAGTTTTGGCAGCCAAAAAAGTTGCTCTAGGTCAAAGGTTGTGCTTTAGCCTCTGTCAATAATATTAAAGTTATTAATATCAATCTTAAGTTAAGAGTAATCAATCTTAAAGATTGATTTTATGAAACACAATTTGAGAATTAATTGTTCTGTAAGATTGATTCCGACTTACGGTTGAAATATAAGATTTATTGTTTAACATTTTTTTATGAAACACCCCCATGCAAACGTATATGCATGTGTGCCTTTGTCAAGATTATCAATTAATGTTTTAAACCTAGCGAATGAGTATAGCTCCAAGGGAAAATGCTGGCCTCCATTTCCACTGACCCGAGTACAAGTCCTACAATCAACAGAATATTGTTTTCTTCGTTTTCCAAAAAAGTACATGGTTTTGTCCAAAATCCAGTCCTCCAATTAATTACAGAATAGTTCAACTTTCTCTTTCTCGTCTCAACAGGTTCTGCAATGTGTCTCTCAGTCCAGTTAGCCATGGTTGGCAGTTGGAAGGAGAAAACCATTTATTCCAGTGGATAATTATTGCACGTGGCTCCTCCTGTCCTCCAGAATATTTGCTGCAAGTATAAAAAGGGAACTGCACCTCAATCCTGTCTGGCTAGGGAATGGACCGATCCAGTAAGCTCCGCCCAGTGCACACGGTGGGCAAATTAACACGTGCTCCTCAATGCCACGCTGCATTTTCCTTCCGCGCGCATTATACGCGCGCGCGTGCACGCATGTCGGACTTTAGTGCACGCACGTCGGACATAAATCACGGCTGTGATTGGTCAGAACACCATGGGGCGGTGCTTACTGGATCGGTCCATTGCCTTGCCTTGAACTGATTGCCTGAACAACACTTCTCAGACACTGAATGCCTGTCCAGCGATGGTGATGAAAGTTACATTGATTTGTATAGACTCAGTGACTTATGCCCCTCTCTACAAGCATGTATCAAAAGTATGCATGTACAAGAATTTTTCGTGATTGATCAGCCATATTTTTCAATTAGTTGACTCACACCACCTGTAACTATATCATATAACACGTACGATCTTTTTTTAGCATGGTCAAGATGGTACAAATGTGAACTGTAATTATGACTTTCATGAAGGATATTTCTTCGATTTGTATTTGATGGCCAAGTTCCAGTTTTAAAGAGTTTATTTCAGGCCAATGGCAATCCAATCATCTATACAAATTGTTTGCCCAGTTCCAAATGTAAGAGAACAAATTCTTGATAAAGCATTGATCCCTGCATAATTAATTACCATAATTATGAAATCTTTGGGTTCATTTTGGGTGACTGACATAATTCAGAAATCTGCAATAGTCTTTCAGCTTCAGATTTGTGGAATTGATAGGAAATTCAGTGATGCCTTGAAAAACCAATTTGTCCGCATACATGTATAAACAAGGCATAATGTGGCCAAAGCGTTAAGTTTTGCATAAATTCATACTTTATATACCATGAAACCCTTACAATGTTGAAACTTTTGGCATCAAAATACTTCACGTTAGGTTAAGGGCGTAATTTGGTCATCTACAAAGAGCTCTTTGAGTTCTGCATTTGAGAATAATAATGCCTTGACAAAACTGGTGTATTATCACATACATTTGTAATTATTTCCCATAATTATACAATATTTGGAATTCAAGTTTTAGACAGTTTGTTTAATTTGGATCAACGACATAATTCAGTAATCTTTCAGCATTACGGAAAATTTCAGTGATATTCTGGAAAAATACTGTGTTAACATGCAACACTGAATACGATAAAGCGTTATTTGCTGCATAGTTTCCTATTTAATTAACAAAACAATAACAAATTTTAGCTATGATTTTTCATCAAAGACTGTTTATAATGACATGTAATTCAGTCATTTACATTTCTGGAAAATGTCTGTTGTACATTGATTTAAATCAGTTTTGCCTAAAAAAAAAAACAGGTGGTAGACGTAATAAAAACATTGCAGGTGCATAAGTATACAGTCTAAGCATTGTTTATGCATTATTACCGTTATTATGGAATCTCTTTAGCTATGAGCCTACAATCGTTTACAGTTATTTATCATTATTTATTCCAAGTGGGTGACAATCTGCATTGAAATCGGAGGGGCTATTCCTGAGATCCTTAAGGGAATGCATTGCACCATCGGTTGTCAGAGGCCCCCAAAATTGAGATAACAATTCGGACGAAGATTGTGCTTAAACGTGCCAACTGAGAGCTTGGCAACAGAAAGAATTGAATTCAGCACCCTCGAATTGACAAAGAACAAGCAATTTTTTTTGTTACCACCAGAAATTTTTATCGGACTTTCTAGGCGAGATAGGATTTTGGGCCCACGGTCGAATGCTGCCGACAACCATTCCTCCATGCTCAACGACATTGCCAAACTGTTGAATGAATGCACCCCATGACTTTTTTGACCGTAAGGTATTTATGAATGTGACTAAATAAAATTATGTGCTTGGCCGGCGTTAACAAGTACCTTTAATTAAACCGGCTATGGGTCCTGATTGCGGACACACTGACATTCGGCTCGGTCCATTATCCGCGTCAAGGCCGATAGCCGGTTTTTGAAAGGACTCGGTTAAAACCAGACAAGCACGTTGAATTTGCTCCCTTTTATTTAATACTAATACTAATAGGGAAAAAAATAATTAAAAAAAACTATGAAAAGATAGGGGCCTACAACCCCCATGATACGTTCTAGATCTTCCACACCAATATCGTCACGCGATAAATTAAAAAGAGTGACATTAACTGAGACACAAACCCCAAAGTTAGTATAAGTTTTGCCTCCTTCACCACTTAGCCCCACTCAGTACTTCGAAGTCAGTACTTCAGACTGATTTCGAATCAAATCAACAATCCGATGCCAGGCTATTTTCTTGACTTCCTCCAGACTGTTCTCAAGTTCGATTTCCCTCGTATTCTGCATCCTAGCCTTCATTTCTGACAGGATCGCATTTTGTCTGGCGGATATGATGAAAGGAAACAGGAACTTTTCTCGGTACTTCGTGTTCATCGCGGTTAGGAGTCTCGTCTCGTCGGCCGTGGGTGGTGCCAGTAAGCCGGCAGTACGGTGTTCCTGATGGGACTCATCACCCAGACGATTTGATTGGGCTAGCTTCCCCGCAAGGTCCGGGTACAAGCGAAGTGTTGCCACTTTACCTGACAACCAAAAAAAGGAAAAACTGATACTGAACTCAGAAATAAAGTTCTATGAGAATGGTGAAAGGCCGCTGGCGTTCACCCCCCCCCCACTCCTTCATTTCTATCCGTGCACGTATTATATTCCTCCGCTCGAACTTTTTTTAAAACTTCTGCAACGATCACTACGCATGCTAGTCACCCGTTATCCACGGAGCCAAGTCTCCTGTATAACGTCTGATTATGTCTTAACATGCAGATATAATGCAAGCCGCGCACCAGCCAATCGAGTCGACTTTACCAAATCGTGACGTCATTCCATTCCTAAATTAGGACTATTGGTTTGATTGGTCAATTCGAATGAAGTGTTTTGTAAAACGACAACAATCGGGCGCATATCGAGCAACATGATACAGAGCGTGTAACACAGGTTTTTTTTACCCACGTGTATAGTATGACTATTACGCGACGACGGTTGAATGACCGAAGACGCGATATAGAAAGCGCCCGCTGATTGGTCAAAATCTAGAGGTCAAGATGCAGGTGTCATGCATATTATTAATCAGCAAATCTGCTCAAATGTAAGAGACCATGACTTTATTGTTAAAGTAAATAAAAATAAGTTATCGGGTTGAAGTCAATGACAGGCTTAATGAACACTTTTATCACTCTTTCATTATGATCTGTCTACGAAAAAAACGAAAATTGAAATATAATAGGCTATTTGACTTTTAAAAAAAGTTATTATTAATGCCACTATCAGGCCTTCATACTGTGCAAAATCCTACTATGCCTCAGACTTAACATGTGAAAAAGCAGTGCACAGAAAAGTGTTTAAAAGCTAAGCACCGCTAAATTTACAGTGTATTCAATGACGTGACGGCGTAATCCTATATGACAGCACTGCCCGGCTAACAAGTCACGACCATTCAATCAGTCAGTGAGATACTAAAGAGGACACAACATGGCCCTCTGTGGACTAGCAAAAAATGAGTCAGCGTACCTTGCAACGGCAATGCGTCTAGGAATTCACACACGGCCTCCCAGATGTTGCCAGCATCATAAAACGGTCTCCGCGCCCATATCGCACCCGCTACTATCTTTCCACGCTCAATCACATTGCCGAAAAGCTCGATGAAATCGTCAAACGGCAGACGATTAATATACTCCATAGTCTCAACCACTATGAAGGCGGACTTTAGTGTTGAGTCAGATTGTCCGAGTTAACGCAAGAGTTAGTTGGCCTACACTAGTAACAATTTTGACAATTTCAACAACATATGGATGAATTTACCAATTAAGTTTGAGCGTGATCGATGCTGCCTGAAAACTCACTCACGTATTTTCTACGTTTGTAGAGATATTTCATTGGAATCATTGATGTGTATCACAGCGCATTGCATGACCTAGCCTATATAGCCGTCAAGGCTTCCGCGGTATACCGGTAGCGGGAACAAGCTATAATAGCCTATTGCCTTGGTCAGGGCTTTGCATGACCTCACTCAACGTTGATTGTCGTCAAATTTGATATCTAAAAAATTCTATGTAAAAACCCACTACACCGGGGTTTGTGTAGAAAATATCAGACGGTTACTCCCCATCACGGTCAATTCATTTCGGCAGCGACCGCAAGCCCCATTTTAAAGAAAGAGTTAAGACGGGATATCAACGTACCAATTTTTAAGACAGAACAAATTTTTTTTTTGGAGAAGTACCCTCATATTTATATTTTTATATTTATTTATTCTCATCATGTAAAAACATGAAACTTGTCTCCTCGTTCTGCACACAAATATGATGTATAAAACACTTAAAAACTTCACAAAACAAAAACATATTACATAAATGTACAAATAGACGTAACAATATAAGAACACTGACAAGAGTACACGTAAACAGAAATAGAACAACAAATTGAGCCTAATTAAATAAATAAATAAAATATCTGGATTGATAGAGCTATTATGTATAAAGACGAAAAATGGGAAGGACACAATGGCAAGCCGGGGGGGGGGGGATTAGAAAGCCAGGGGGATATGAGCGGGGGAAAAGGAAACAGGGAAAGGGTTGAAACTTACATGTACGAGGGGTATAAACACACACATTTACATCACGATTTAAAAAGCATAATATCTACTATAAGTCTGATTAAAAACACGAGATTGCCCGGGTAAAAATAAGGGGAAAAAATGTGTCGTGTTAACGAGATTTCAATTTACTAATTTAACCTGACACAAATGAGTAGATGTGTGAGGAGGGGTGGATAAGAATATTATGAGATAAGACAGAATAAGGGCTAATCTGATTGCACTAAAAACACACTACAGCACGATTATAAAAACAGCATTATCTAGTATAATTCTTGTTAAAATGTGAAACTGCACTGGGTAAAAATGAAAGGTTGTGTCGTGTTGTACGAGAATTCAATTGACGGATTCGACCTGACCTGTTTTGTACTATGAACGAATGGAGTGGGTGAGTATCGTCTTGCATAATGGTTCTCAGTTTGGATTCAAGAGCATTGTGGTACATTGATTGAATGTCCAGAACATCAACACCAATGACCCTGCTGGCAATTTTAGTGATCCTTTTCAACTTGTTCGAATTCACAACAGTCAAACCATTAAACCAGGCGATACAACAAAAAGACATGACGGACTGTATGACACTCTGATAAAAAAGCAACATAATATCACGATTAACATGAAATAATTTCACATATCGTACTGGGTTTACAACACTTGGCACACATGAATTTCCGCGACAGCAAATTTGCATCGAAAAGCGAAAACTCACTTATTTGGAACGCTATGGAGATTGAGAGTTCAATGGACACAACTTATTCAACAAAATCCCCGTGTGCGTCAAAGCCATGGGACCTTTTTAAATGCAATGGCAATTGCAATGGCCAACTCAATGGAATTTCAACAATAGAGCATTTTTTTGGTACCTTTTTTAGGGGCCTGCGGAGGGTGCGTATACAGCCCAGACAGACGAGTTCAAAGGGACAAAAAGAAATTCTTTGCTTTGTTGACCTCGGTTCATGGGCATCGCGAGGGGGCCCCCAACCTGGAAAACGAAAAAATAAAAAAGAGGGAAAAAAAGGGAAAAGAGATGCGAAACCATGTTGCTGTTAATTTGATGGGGGGGGGGGGGGGGTAGGGGGGGTAGGGCAAATGTCCCCTGCTCACGCTCGGAAAATGATAAATTGCGAATATAATGAAAAAGGTAAGGAATTTTGGGGAAAAATTTGCTTTGGCCCCCCATGGAAAAAAATCCTGGCAACGCCCATGCCTTGATCGTCAAGTTCATCAAAGGTCCTCGACTGTGCGTTTATGTGCTTAGTCTGTAGGAGAATGTTATACAGGGTGTATAATAATGAGGAACCCAGATGTTATATAATGTAACTTATAAAAAAATGTAATAAACACTTTCAGTTAAGTTAAAAATCATGTGAAAACGCCATTGTGTCCTCTGTCCAATGATACCCTGTGCGCCTGTGGCCAGGATTACTGAGCATTCATTGTTATTCTGTCAAGGGTCAAAACCTGCACTGCATGGGCCAAGTTTTACCTGGCTAAGATTGCTGGCTGGTTTGTTATGCAAAGGTTGAAATGGACTAGACTTCGTGCAGAGCTTTGTGTGGAAAGAGGTGGTGGCCACGTTGAAGGCATTGGGCCATGAGGGGTGAACTTCAACAATGAGAGTGGTTAAATCACTCTGTCAAAATTGAATAAATTGTTTTAAAGAAAAGGATGTCTTCTTTACTTAAACCAAGCTGTTCCACATGCCCAGAATACCAGTTACAATTTTGCACAAACTTCAATGGCCCAGTGCAGGATTTGACCCTTGACAGAATAACAATGAATGCTCAGTCATCCGTGGCCACAGACGCACAATCAAGATATCATTGGAAAGAGGACACATTGGTGTTTCACATGATCTTTAACTTATATGAAAATATTTATTAATTTTTTTTATAATTTTCATTTACATCTGGGTTCCTTTTTTTTTTTAAACAACACCCTGTATTACAGGGACAAAGGGAAACAAATTGCATCATGAGCAAATAATTTCACACAATTTTCTTTATTCAATCTATAAAGATTCATTCAACCATTTTGATTACCATTTATTTATCATAAAAACACCAGACTATATTTCTTTTTGGCAAGGGATGAACAAGACATAAACTGCTGAAAAATTTCAATTACAGGGTGATTAAAAAACCAAATGTAACCCTAAACATTTGCCTTTAAAAAAAGTGATCAGTGGATTTTTATGTTTTGGGTATCAGATTAAAGCTTTTTTTCATGATTTTTTTCAGTATTTGAAAAAAAAAACTCTCAGCTATAATCTGATACCCCAAAAATAAAAATCCATCGATCTTTTTTGAAGGCAAATGTTTTAGGGTTGCATTTTTTTGAGTCACCCTGTAGATCCAACTCAGGTAGGTGTGACGGTTCGGACTCGTTCCAGAATCCGATACCAGGCGATTTTCTTCACTTCCTGCAATGCTCTGAGTATCTCAGCGTCTCGTGAGTTCTGAGTTCTGGCATGGAGATCAGCCAACACCTCCTCCTGAGTCGTTTCTCGTCCGCAGACGATGTAAGAAAAGTGGAAATTGTCTCGATACTTGGTGTTTAACTGCACAAGTAAGGCACTTTCTTCGGGACTGTAAATATCTAGTTTGGTGAGTTGGAATTCACTGGAGGAGTTGTTTGAGAGGGTTTGATGGGCCGAAGAGGCAATTTGAAGATTTGGGTAGCATCGAAAAATGGCTTCTTTACCTGTTGATAACAAAATAAAACATGAGAATGCAGTAATAATTTTAATAATTTATAATAATTTGGGGGCTAATCATTCTTACTTGCAGCTGAGAAGCTGAAGGACGAGGCTACAACATGGTCGAGCAGCTGGCATGTAAAGACGCCTTAGGCAACGCCATACGACCAATGTCTGACCACGGAGCACAGCCAGAGATCGAAAGTATTGATTTAATCGGAGGGAAAATGGAAGTCCCAGAGGAAAACCCTCGTGGCACAGGAGAGAACCAACGCACAACTCTACTCACATATGGTCCAAGCCGGGAATCGAACCCGGGCCACAGTGGTGAGAGGCAAGCGCTTTACGCGCTAGCCACCCATGCCACCTGCTTGTGTTACCCTTAGGTGTTTCATCTGTATGGATTGTTCTCCATAGAAATATACCACATGAGTAGCGAATCTAAGATTTTTGAGGTAGTAGCTTTGGTGTTGAAGTTTTAAGAGTTCTTAAAGGGGGAAGGTGTAGGGGGGTGGGGGGGGGTGTGATGAGGCATAGAAGTCAATGCATAAAAAGACAATAGGCTTGAAGCATTGATTTAAGATTTGCCATATTGAGTGATTATGGTATTTAGGGAACTTCAGGAAATTTCAGATGTTTTTCATTATGTGAAATAAACAAATACATTATGCTGGTCAGTTGGAAAAGGGGCGTGGCAGCGGGGGGGGGGGGGGGGGGCCTAGCCACCTCAACTATACCCCTCACCTAAAACTAGTAAACTAACCTGACTGAGACAGAGAATCCATAAATTCACAGAATGCAGCATGTAGGGCTTTGATATTCGCAAACGGGCGCTTGGACCATGCTGCTGATGCTACAACCGCCCCTCGCTCAACGACATTGCCGAACCGTTGAATGAACGCATCCCATGATAACGTGTTCAATTCCTTCACTGCTTGTTTTCCAGATAAACAAGGCTTTACCTACATAAAGAATAAAAGAGGAACGTTAACTCAATTATGTTTTTCAAGCATTATTGAAGCTTTATAATACAGAAACTGGAATCAGTTTTAATTATGCATAGCATAAAAAGGAAGATTACGATACCTGTATCAAATCTAGAGAAAATGTATCGCTTAATTTTGTCATGTTTACATTTAATCTCCTTTGTACTTTTAATCAAATAAATCAAGCGAACGCATACTAAAACAAGGAAATAAATGTGTGCTTGGCCAGTTTTAAGCACTATATTGAAGACCAGTTCGGAGTCTGGATGCTGATAAATACCCAAGCCGAAATACCTTTTCTTTAAAACAAAATAAAACTTTTCGGTCCGAAAGTCAAAACAAGTCACAAATTATAAATTATCAATGACTTTGTTCAACAATTTTACTTATGTTTTTCGATTCACCCTCTTGCTATAATGTTATGGTATGTCCCTCTTGCAAGTAGTTGTAAACAACTCCTTATATGGAGATTGGCGTGCGCAATACGCGTACTGCATGATGTGGCGCAGAACGCAGCTGTGCCGGTGTAGTGTGAATTTAGGACTATGAAATACTGACTCCCTGGTAGTGTTGCGCATGCCAACATGAGGAAAATTGTGAACGTTCAACCAATAAATCGGTAAAAGGCACCGAATTTCATAGAAGTCCAAATTTCATGTGACACTGGAAAAGTCTTTAAGACCAGCCACCTGGTGTCTCATCAACTGTTTAAGACTGGCTACGTGGCGGGCTATCGACCAATAGGAATCGGTTAACTGTCTGAGGTATTTATGAATGACAATTAAAAACTAGTAGAAAAAAAAACAAATTACAAACCTCTTTAACCGCCTCTCCAAGTGAATGTCCAGTATGGTCAGACAGACACGGCAACTTGATATAGATCCTTTTTTCACCCTTTGCGTCTCCATTCTTGAGCGCGTCACGAAGTTCTTTGGATAATCGAACCTTGTCCTTCCTGGAATTCGAATCAAGTGGAACCTGTGAAAAATGAAACAAATAAATCCTCAGCAACGCAGCATCCAGACTTCCAACAGAACTTCCCTTGATGTCCGATAAAGGGCGCCCTCTATAGTTCTACATGGAACCCATCGGACTTATCATGGTTTGTGTTCCTGAGCAAGGTACTTTTCCTTGATTTTTTAATAAAAAACAACAATATTACCGACACTTTTACCTTAAAGTCGGGATATTTCAAGATTTCCTTCATCCGAATCTGGGCTCGGCATTGGATTTTCTTTGTTCGTTCTTGAGCCAGTGGTCGCCTCTGTCTCGAAACATCCTTTAGCTGCAATAAAAAACAAAATTACTTGCTTAATATTTAATAATAATATAATAAGTATTTATATAGCACACGTATCCAGCAGTATTGGTGTTCAAGGCACTACATCATTATTACCCTGCTCATTGGGCCAATGAAACATTCCAAAGACAATCTCAGCTCCCTGGGGAGGATACAGCTCCATGCTGCCATTTCGGTGCAAAACCAATCACAATAACCATCTCTGCCCTCACAGGTACCCATTTACTCCTGGGTGGGGAGAAGCAATGAGTGACAAAGTGCCTTGCCTAAGGGCACACGCACCACAACCCCAGGCTGGACTCGAACCCACAACCTGCAGTACACCTGCAGACCATGAATTCAATGCTCCAGACCATGAGGCCATAGGCATTTACAAATTTCTCTTTTTGTACATCATATTTCACTTACTTGGCGTTCCATGTATTTTTTCTTGGCTGCTCGGCATCTATCCATCCCATACTGACAATCCATAACTTTCTTGCCGATATTGATAAACGGAATGCCATCATAAGGAATCCCTAAACCAGAAAGATCTGTCGACCTCTCTTCAAAGTAGATCTTGTGGGGTCTGTCGGGCTGATAAACTGTAAAAAAAAAAAAATACGAAAAGAATATCAAATTTGACGAAAACACGGTTATGAGACGAAAAGATGTGCAGTTTTTTTTAAAATGCAGTGACTATTGTTACGGCAGTCGACTGTCTGGTCCCTGACCTAATGCATTCAACATCAGGATCTTTGGCTCTTGGAACCAGACTATCAACCGAATGGTTCTCGGACTTTATTTCGCTACAAAATCAAATCCTCCACAGCTAGCCACGGATTACGAAGAATAAAATGAAATGTAGGATTTAATTAAAAACATAAAAGTGAAGAAAACTATTAAAATAAAAAAAAATTGCGCAAGACAGATTCGAACCCGGAACCTTGGCAAGTCAAACGTAAATTTAACGAATTGAGCAACCGAACTGCGCTCTGGTTGGATGTGTAGTTATAAATGCGATATAGATTAGCAATGGTGTTTTTTCAATGCTGTAACGACAGCAGATGAAAATTGCGGTACGGCTGGCGTAACCATAGCCACTACGAATACATTTTTGCTTGTCGGAAATGTGATATTCGCTATTTACCAGTATTTCCAAATCCTGCAGTGCTTTTATAAGCACTATACTTGGTTCCAGTTTGTTTTTCAAAATTACGAAGAGCGTCATTTGCGTCATGGAGTGTCTCAACATAGAAAACGGCTGGAACTTCTTCTAATGCACTGTTTTCCATCACCCCTGTCTGAGAATGACCTCCCATCGTTTGAGTTTCTGGAGAAGACACGATATCAGGAGTTTGTTGCCGACAATCTTGTTGATCTTCCTGTAAACTTTCACCCAAAGAGTGTGGTGCAGGGCCTTCGATCACAAACACCTGTGAGATGTTCGAGGTACCAGAGGCATCGTCTTGGTTGCCATGGCAACTGTTACTATGGAGATCCCTCGCCTCCTGTAAACCAGGAGGAGGAATTTGACTAAAGTGTCCCTGATTCAACTCTACAGTGCAAGGGGCCTGGAAGAATGTTTTGGAGTTGCAACCGATGATGTCTTGGAGCGCATGCATTGCAGGAGCTGTGTAATCTCCAACAAGTTGAATGACGTCCGGCTTTTGGTTGTCTTGAACTTGAAGTTGGAGAATTTCAGCTTGAGCTGCCGACGATTCCTTCAAATATTCAGCTGTTGATGAGTGTGATTTCATCTCGATCAACTCATGCGCAATGTGTGCTGCAACTTGCTGCATGTTGTTGTCAGATGTTGACGACATCATCTCAAATTAATCTTTACAAACAAGTCATTATCTTTAATTAATTAATGTCTTTGAAGTTGGAATTCTGAACCAGCATGAGCAGACACTAAAACATTACACTGTACGCAAGCACCATGCATGCACGTCATGCACATTACATGCACGTTGGAAAAATATTTACTGGGTCATAGGTTACAGATTCGTCCAATTTTTTAATAGGGTAAGCAGTCCCATCACTTTATTTCAAACTCACAAATATGGTCGTTAAAAATATCTTTTTTAATCATCACAAACGTTTTGTATCAAGTATAAATTTCTTTTAATATGGTTTTCATTGATTATTAAGCAAATAAAGTTTTGAAAAAATTCGTATATTTTTACAATTAACCCCTACAAAATAGTGTATCAGCTATGCATGACATCACCATGTCATAAAATAAACGTACGTGTACTTGCCGCGAAAATCGTGTGCGGAAAAAGCAGACGAAAACATGGCGTCCAAAGTCAAGAAGCGGGGCCCGAATTTGCAGCAGATTTCTGGACAAAATGCTGATCACCACAACAATACAACAATGGTGAACGGTATCTCCAGTAAAACGTCGAAGTCACAGTCGTCAATGAAGGGTTTCGTCGAGGGAGCTATCGTGCGCATTTTGATGGAAAACTTTGTGTAGGACCTAAATCAATGCTTTTCCAAAGATTTGCTCTTACTGAGTCTTAGAATTTAAAGTTTGAGACTTTGACAGAGTTTGACCATGGTTTGACAGTTCGGGTGGTCTTTACAATATCCGCATAGCACAGTTGAAAAAAAAAACGGGGGGGGGGGGTTATTTACTGTACTTCATATTCAGGATACTTTTTAGCTGAAAAATGCAGTACAGAACCACTTTCTCACCACCTTTCATAAAGATAGTGGATATTTTGCCGGAGGTAATGACGGCAAACTAACGATTACTAAAGGTTTGCCGGAGGCAATCCATATCAGCAGAGGGCACTGTACTCTTTAAAATAGGGCTGAATTATAAGATGTATTAAATTCCCTCTAAAAGTTGTGTAGCACGTTTGGTGTTATGGTTAAGCTAAAGCTCTATTAGCGGGATGACTCGCGTTCGAGTCCGACCGCAGTACATTTTTAAGTTTTTTTTTCTCATCCCCAAATAAATAAGAATATTCTTCTTTTATTATTTTAACATGTCTCAAACATTTTTTGCAGAGTATTACATTTTCTTTTTCAGATTTGTGGCTCTGGAGGTTTTTTTTTAAAAGGGAAATAAAGTCCGAAATTATAAAATGGTCTGAATCCCATCTTGTGAAAACGAAGTTACAACGATAATGTTGGCAATGGCATTAAGCTAGCTTGAGTAACTCCAGCTGACATGCTCATATTCATTCACATGACATGCTCATATTCATTCACATGTAGCTACATGTGAATGAATATGAGCATGTCAGCTGGAGTTACTCAAGCTAGCATTACGCCAGACAAAAATTTGTCACCGGAAAATGTCTAAGTAAAAAAAAAACAGTAACTGCGCATGTTCAGTGCATATCCGGCAAGCTAACGTTTACTAAAGATTTGCCGTCTCCGGCTAAGTATCCACTGCCTGTTAACTACTCGTTCAACGAGCGATCTTCGGTAGGTCATAAAATACTTTTGACAGAAAGAATGCAGTCCCCAGACGCCACTTCAGCGCTTGTGTACAAACTCTATGGAGAGTGAAGAAAATTTTCAAAGTATTTCCTAATTATATTGGAAATGTTTCTCAGTCCCAGATTCATGTCTTTTCAACAGTTGTGCAATGACTGACCTTCATTGAGATAATGTATGATGAAAAAAAAAAGTGGCGTCAGGATGCATTATTCTTTCAGATGTGTCATGTTTAAAGGGAAAATACAACATTTGCAAACATCAAAAAATAAAACTACAAAATCATTTTGAAATACCTTGCTGGACTGTTAGTGAATGACAGTGTAAAGCATCCTGTAAAATCATGGCACCTGGTATACTGTCATTTTCAAGAAAAGTGGTATTTTTGTATCAATTTCCAACGCTGATCGGCCGATCAGCGTTGGAAACAACTGGCTTTTTTTTCACATACTGGCCCCAACTGACCATCGCACTTGTTTGCAATCGATTACAAACCTATGAACGGGTACGAGCCAGCTAGACTGGTTCCCTGACCTTACAATTCCCCAATGTATGTAAACTGCTCTGTTTCTTCTTATATGGAGTCAGGGAACCAGACTACAGGAAAATGATCGTTTTTCTTGGTTTTTATAGCATTTTCGAACCCAAAACCTAAAAAAAGTCAGTGTAACTATATTTGCTATATATTTCCAACCCCCCAATTCCATCCATTTCTGAAAATTACAGCAAAAGCAAATGATGTATATTCCCTTTAATAACAGCCAACAAAACAGAGCCATCAGGGTAGCCTAAAAATATATGATTTTAATGTTATTTGCGTTGACCCATGATTTTCTTGATTATTTGCAGGACCTATGACAAATGCGAAGTCCGTCCGGGGCCTCATCTCAATGTCATCATGGGCCCCAATGGTACGGGGAAATCCACCATCGTATGTGCCATGTGCTTGGGGCTGGCTGGAAGTACCAGTTTGCTTGGTCGAGCAAAAGAGGTCAGTTGAACAACAAGTGCGAGCGCTCAATAAGCTCTGGCCATCTTGCATGAAAGTCTTGCATGAAATCTTTAAAAAGAAAAGCGACGCCCAAAAATGCGATGGCACAAATGTAACACCGTACTCTAGATTTATACATGTATCTAGATTTATAGCGATTTGTGATAAATATCACGTTATTATAACATTTCTGCTCATATTTTCTTTCATTTACAAACTTTCATAATCATCTTTCCGAATTTTTGCAAACAATTTTGTTAAGTATTGAATTGATTTTGTTATATTATATGGAAACTCGGGGGGCTTATTTGGTAAATTTTTCGGGAGACAGACTGACTGACCACCAAGTGACATGTAGAAGCTCTTGCCAGAGCTTAAAGGGAAAATACAACATTTGCAAACATCAAAAAATAAAACTACCAAATCATTTTGAAAAACCTTGCTGGACTGTTGGTGAATGACAGTGTAAAGCATCCTGTAAAATCATGGCACCTGGTATACTGTCATTTTCAAGAAAAGTGGTATTTTTGCATCAATTCCCAACGCTGGTCGGCCGATCAGCGTTGGAAAAAACTGGCTTTTTTCAAATACTGGCCCCAATTGACCATCGGACTTGTTTGCAATCGATTACACACCTATGAACGGGTACAAGCCAGCTAGACTGGTTCCCTGACCTTACAATTCCCCAATGTACATAAACTGCTGTTTCTTCTTATATGGAGTCAGGGAACCAGACTACAGGAAAATGATTGTTTTTCTTGGTTTTTATAGCATTTTTGAACCCAAAACCTCAAAAAAGTCTGTGTAACTATATTTGCTATATATTTCCAACCCCCAATTCCATCCATTTCTGAAAAATACAGCAAAAGCAAATGATGTATATTCCCTTTAAAAATATGAAATTTATAAAATATATAGTCTAATAAATCGACTTCCATTCCCAAAAAATGCAGAAAATCAGTCTTTGACTTGATTAAAAGGTCCGTGAAAATTCAAAATGTGAAGCGGGGTTTATTAAATCAAAGTGATTTTGAAAAATGAAATCTAGTTTGATGGTAAGTTATTCAATTTATACGTCTGGCCCGGCCCCCCCCCCCCCCCCCCATTTTTTTTAATGTTTATATTGTATGTCCCTGTGCTTCAAACGTAACCTTGAATTTGAGTCAAAATTGCAGAATATGATGTTTTCGTTCTCACATAGTCACACGTACATTAAAGGGAATGTACAACATTTGCTTTTGCTGCAATTTTCAGAAATAAATGGATTTGGAGGATTAGTATGTTATAGCAAATATTGTTACACTGACTTGTTTCAAGTTTTGGGCTCGTAGATGCTGGAAAAACCAAGAAAACCAATCATATTCTTGTAGTCTGGTTCCCTGACCCCACTTAAGATGAAATTTATAGACTTTGGGGAATTGCAAGGTCAGAGAATTAGTCTAGCAGTCTTGTTGTCTCCACAGGTGTGTAATCAATTGCAAAGAAAATGCAGACGAACTAAATATAAAAATATAGTAGCACTTTTTGAAAAAAGCCAGTTTTCTCCAACGCTGGTCGGCCGACCAGCGTTGGAAAAATACAGTTTTTCGTGAAAATGTCAGCACACCAGGAGCCACGATTTTACAGGATGCTTTAGACTGTCATTCCTAACAATCCAGTGAGATATTTCGTGATAATTTGATCATGCCGTTTCTTGATGTTTGCAAATGTTGTATCTTCCCTTTAAAGTGGAGCTCCAATACTGATCAGTATTGTTTTAAATGAAAAAATATGAAAAAAGATCTATAATAAAATCTTCAACAATTGAATCAGGTTGGAGAGTTTGTCAAGCATGGTAGCAACGAGGCAACGATCGTGCTGGAGTTATTCAAACAGCCAGACAACGTCGTCATAAGACGAGTGATCACCAAGCAAGGCAACAGAACAGCGTGGTACCTAAACGACAGTCGTTGTCACAAGAGCGACGTCATAGACAAAGTCAAGAGTCTGAACATTCAGATTAATAATCTCTGCCAGTTTCTGCCGCAGGTGAGTTCTTGAAATGGTCCAAAAAACAGGGATCCGATTAACCTTAACCTTCCCAAATCCTCCAAAATCCTCTTTGCAAAATGGAGGATTCTGTAGGATTGAGGCTATATGGCAAATTGTGTGGCTGATTTTGGAGGATGCACTGTGTCGAGGTCTTAGGCCGGACCTTGTGATGTTTACTATGTTTTTGCTCAGCCGTGCATAAATTTAGGCCTATATTATACTTGAAATCCTCTGCACTGCTCCAGGATGTCACTGGCTCTGCCTCGACATATTAACAGTGATTGCTGGAGGATTTTGCAGGATTGAGGCAGTGGTCACCCCTCCAAGGACCACATTCAAGAAATAATGGAGGATTTTGGAAGATTGAGGCTGTATGCAATTTTTACATGGAGGCAGTTGGAGGAATTTGCAGGATTGAGGTTGCATCCCGACAAAAATGTCTAGGAAGTTAGGGTTAAGAAATAAGTTTACAAATGGAAATATTCATTTTGTACCTTTTCTCTTACCAGGACAAAGTGGTGGAGTTTGCAAACATGTCCAATATAGAACTGTTGGAGAACACTGAAAAAGCGGTCAGTATTGCTCTTATTTCTATTCATTGCAATGAAAATGTGACATATTCCAACAGCTGTCAAGTTTAAAGGCAATGTACAACATTTGCAAACATCAAAAATAAAACGACCAAATTATTATGAAATACCTTACTGGACTGTTAGCGAACAACAGTCTAAAGCATCCTGTAAAATCATGGCACCTGGTGTGCTGACATGTTCAAGAAGAGTGGAATTTTGTATCAATTTCCAACGATGGTCGGCTGACCACTGTTGGAAAAAACTGACTTTTTTTCAGATACTCCCCCGATTTACCAAATTTTTATTAGTCCACATTTTGTTTGCAATCGGTTAGACATTTGTGCACGGGTGCAAGCCAGCTAGTCTGGTTCCCTGACCTGACAATTCCCCGACGTCTATAAATTACTCCGTTTCAGCTGAAGTGGGATCAGGGAACCAGAATATGATTTTTTGTTCCTGGTTGTTCCAGCATCTACGAACACAAAACTTTAAACAGGTCAAAGTAACAATATTTGCTAAAAATACTAACCCCAAATCCATCCATTTCTGAAAAAAACAGCAAAAGCAAATGTTATATATATTACCTTAAACGCAGCCAGTTAAAGAGGTTGTGGAATGCTCGAAGACATTTCCGTCATTTTTTGGGTATATGTAGCCTAAGGTATGATGAAATAAAATTGACTATTGTTTCTGTCATAAAATGAGTACAAAAGGTATTTTTGAGAGCTGTTTTTTTCAAGTCCTGTCATGCCTGTTTCGACCCGAACGTGCAATTTGTGTAAAAGTCGTCGTTGCGGGCTGCAAACAAAACACAGTAAATCGTGACGTAATAAACAGGACTCCCGATGCAGAGTAGCATAAACGAGTCCTGTTTATTACGTCACGATTTACTGTGTTTTGTTTGCTGCCCGCAACGATGACTTATTCACAAATTGCACGTTCGGGTCGAAACAGGACCTGAAAAATAGCTCTCAAAAGTACCCTTTGTACTCATTTCATGACAGAAACAATAGTCGTTTTTATTTCATCACACCTTAGGCTACATATACCCAAAAAATGACGGAAATGTCTTCAAGCATTCCACAACCTCTTTAAAGTTTAAGACGCACAGTTCTGGTCACAATTGTGAACATTCGTTCTCATCTTTATAAACTTTAAATTCTTCTATCAGGTTGGTTCTCCTGAGTTGTACGTCAATCACTGCCGACTTAAAAACTTCCGTAGTGACCAGAAAGAAATGCTCTTGAAACACAAGGAGACGTCAGATCACTTGGAGAAGTTAACGGTCAAGAACAGTCGTCTGGAGGCCGACGTGAAGCGTTACCAAGAAAGGCAACATCACTTAGAAGTCATTGAGACGCTGGAAAAGAAAAAGGCTTGGGTGGTAAGTCAGATTTATCTTTAAAGATCTGTGAGTGACTTCAAGGATTTTTATTGTATCCCCTTTAAAGGGAATGTACATCATTGGCTTTTGCTGTAATTTTCAAAAATGAACTATTTTAGGGGTTAGTATAATAGATCAAATATTGTTACACTAACATGTTTGAAGTTTTGTGTTTGAAAATGCTGGAAAAACCAAGAAAAACAAAAATGTTCAAGCAGTCTGGTTCCCCGACTCCACTAATGATGAAATAGATCAATATTTATAGATGCCGGAAAATTGTAAGGTAAGGGAACCAGTCTAGCCTGCCTGCACCCGTTCATGAACATGTAACCAATAGCAAACAAAATTTGGACTAAAAAATTGTAAATTTGGATCAGTAGTTGAAAAATAGTTAGGTTTTTCCAACGGTGGTCGGCCGACCACCGTTGGAAATGTATACAAAAATACTATTTTCTTGAAAATGACTTCACACCAAGTGCCATAATTTTACAGGATGCTTTATACTGTCATTTACCAACATCCTAGTAAAGTACTTCTTAAAACTTGGCAGTTTTATTTTTCGATGTTTGCGAATGTTGTATATTCCCTTTAACCGAAATTCTTCAAAATGCAGCACAGTGCAACAGATGCTGCATTGGGCCATGAAAGGTACAGTCCATCATTTGCAGCTATCCAAAAAGTAACTGATGTTATTATTGTTTAAAAGCATACTTGGTTTTAAGACAGCAATGACACTTAACTCCCTGTGAATTTATTCTTTCTGGCATGCTGTCATTTTGAAGAAATCAATGAAAGAATGATGTGTCTAAAGATGCATTGTTGGAAATTTCCGTAAATAGTTTGTTTTTTTATTCAGCGAGGCGCGTGCAAGTGTTGACACGACGCGCGCGCGGTTGCCGTAATTCGTTGGTTCAGTGCGTGACATCACGTGGCTGTAATCGGCTCAGTGAGAACGTGTCTCCTACGCTGAATTCAGGCCCAATTCAAAACATGACTAGCAACCTTGATTTGAAATCAAGATCCTAGAATATTTTCTCGGAATATACAGCATTCACAGAGCTGAAACTTCATCAGGTTATAGTGGTTCAGAGCACCCTTCTTTAGAATTTGAGCACAGCTGTGACGACAACTTGCCTGCTTTGTCTGTTGACCCAGTTTGAGTAGTCACAGTGCTTGCGTGACGTGATCTGACTGCTGGTGACTAGCCTAGGTTGTTAAAAAAAAAGGCGAAAGTGAATTTTGACTGTCTGTGACTGTTTAAATAGCAGGAGGGTTGATGGCCAATTCTGAGACAATAAGAGCTAATCTCATTGAACAATGCCACAGAAAATTTGACATGATATATCTTGTTGCATTAGGCAGTCGTCTCACTTTAACAAGTGCTGTATGTTGTAGAGTTCAGCAGATGTATGGACTTTTTCCTTTTCATTTCCAGGAATATGATATCAAGCGTAAGCTGTACGTGGAGTTAAAGAAACGACAAGATGCTTTAAAGAAAGAGCTACGAGAGGCCCACGCCAGCAACGCTCCAATCCAACAAAAACTGGACACACTCACAGCAAGGTTATCAGAGGTCGACTCAATCATCAAGGAAAAGGTTACTGGAATAATCATCCTTAAGCTGTTCATGTGTCCTTATGCAAGGGACTTTACCTCAATTCATCCATATTAGTTGTGTCCTTATGCAAGGGACTTTACCTCAATTCATCCATATTAGCTGTGTCCTTATGCAAGGGACTTTACCTCAATTCATCCTTATTAGCTGTGTCCTTATGCAAGGGACTTTACCTCAATTCATCCTTATTAGCTGTGTCCTTATGCAAGGGACTTTACCTCAATTCATCCTTATTAGCTGTGTCCTTATGCAAGGGACTTTACCTCAATTCATCCTTATTAGCTGTGTCCTTATGCAAGGGACTTTACCTCAATTCATCCTTATTAGCTGTGTCCTTATGCAAGGTACTTTACCTTAATTCATCCTGATATGGCTGTGTCCTTATGCAAGGGACTTTACCTCAACTCATCCTTTTATGGATGTGTCCTTATGCAAAGGACTTTACCTCAATTTTCTAATTGATCCTTACATTTAAATCAACTTATAGACCTGTATTTGTTACCCATTCTCATGCCTGATTTGTAAGGCTTCTTTTTTTGTAAAAAAAATCACCAAATTCAAGATTTTGAATCGATTGTTTGTCTTTCAGACAAACGAGTCTCGGCAGTTCGCCAATGCTGCCAACAAGAAACACGAGAAGATTGACGAGTTCTCCAACGAGTTGACCGAGATACAAGACGAGCTGAAATCCAAGCAACAAGAAGAAGAGAAGAGAGAGGCAAAGTAAGTCAGATCAGCATTACCTGTAGCCTTGGGCAAGGCGCTTGTCATTATCCGTCCGTACAGTATTCAATGGCATATCCTCGCCGAGCTGACTGCTGATTGCTATGCAGTGCATGTAAAAATACAGCGCGGACAGTGACCTCAATCGTCAATTTTTGGGGTGGTGCTCATTTTGCTAATAGCCTAAGCTGACCTTAAAAGACGTTTTCTTATTGGTCGATCAAGGCGTGAGAAAGGTCATTGTACCATTGACTATTGTGACTTTAAAACTAACATGTTGCAATTTTCTTGTATCTTTCTGGTATTTAAGACTTACACTACAGCATGGATATGATTTTCATTTTACATCTTTTGTAGTGCACATAATTTATTACAATTTCCCAATTTGCATCCAGTGAAATTTGTTTTAATTAACCATTAACCGTGCAGGATACGAGCTCATCAAACTTTGGTTGAAGGCTGGCAGAGAGAGCTGGAGCAAATTCCTGCTGCCGATGAAATTAAGGTAATTATCCGTTTATCCTGAGTCCATCACAAGTCCATCACAAGTCCATCACAAGTCCATCACAAGTCCATCACAAGTCCATCACAAGTCCACCACAAGTCCATCACAAGTCCATCTCAAGTCATCACAAGTCCATCTCAAGTCATCACAAGTCCATCACAAGCACATCACAAGTCCACCACAAGTCCATCAAAAGTCCATCACAAATCCATCACAAGTCATTACAAGTCCACCACAAGTCCATCACAAGTCCATCTCAAGTCATCACAAGTCCATCACAAGTCCATCACAAGTCCATCACAAGTCCACCACAAGTCCAGCACAAGTCCAGCACAAGTCCAGCACATGTCATCCAAGTTGTGAGGCCTGTTCTAGATGCCGAGCTACTGCCATGCTGAACTCAATTAATTTGAATTTTTGAATTAGGCACGGCATTTAGAACCATTTGGCTCGGCGAATTGAGTTCGGCACGGCACCATCGTCATTCGCTTTGGCAGTGGCATGGCACTGTTCTAAACGTCGTGCCATTGCCGTGCCGAACTCAATTCAATTCGAAGTTGGGGAAAACATTTTAGGAATGCCCATGTTCACAATACCTATTGTACATATCATTTGTAATTTGTGCGTCTTGTTCGTTTGAAACAACAAAAGTGTTCAAAATCTAATGAAGGATACTGAACAACTAACCTGATGAAGTTTCAGCTCAGCTTCAGCCGTTATTCCGAGAAAAACAGCATTCTAGGATCTCAATTTCAAATCAAAAGTTGCTGAATCATGTTTTGAATTGTTTTGAATTGCAGCTATACGCGATGACGCACACTGATCTGACTAATTATAGCAACCGCGCGTGTGTGTGCGTCGTGCCAATGCTTGCACGCGCTTCGCCGAATAACAAAACGAACTACTAATTTAAATTTTCCTACGGTGCGTCTTGCGTCTTAAGACGCAACGCACCGTTGGAAAGGCCTTCTTTCGTTGATTACTTCAAAATGACAGCTTGCCAGAAAGAATAATTTTACAGGGAGTTGAGTCCCCTTACTATCTTTCAACTAAGTATGTTTTTCAACAATAATTACGGCAGTTACTTCTCAGATGGCTGCAAATGATGGACTATAGCTTTAACCTGGCCCATTACTCCAGATGCATTAAGGTTTGACTATTACGTTCGGTGTTAAGAGTAACTGCAGTTCTGTCGTCAAGCTACTGCTACACTCGTTCCAGTTAAGTTCGCTGCGGAAGAAGCATGACATCTAGAACGGGCCTGAGTTACTCAAAAAAACTGACAAAAACATTCCTTTGTTATTGTTCATTCCTTGTTACTTGTGACTGGAGTTGTCACGGGCTGGACTACAGGGTTTCAATAACCGAACGTGCATTGAAAAACATTATCTGTTGTAATTGCAGCCCCAGCTTGACCAGAATGCTGCCGCACTACGAGCTGTGGTCCGGGAAGTCAGCGGTATCGATACGGAGTATAATGGCATCAAGACGGAACGGGAATCCTTCCAGCGAGAAAGGAGAGGTAAGCATTAAAAACTCTCACATTTTTGTCGTTTTTTTGATGCTATGGACTCAGAAGTCGTATTACTTCCCCCGCGCTTACTCTTGCAAGCATTACTGTGTTCGATTGAACTCTCAAATAACTTGTCGGGCTTACTCAAGCCTGGCCTTAGTAACCAACTCGCCGAGCCAGTCACTTGGGTAAGTAACCCACAATACAATGCGACAACATGGCGGCTAAGTCTAACGCTGTTCAGAGTGTTCATATTCATAAAGGCGAGTCTGTTGTGTTTTCCCATGTTGCCTGGTTTTCATTTTGAAAATTCCCCACAAATGACATTCAAAACCTTTCTTTTTTCATTGTCTGAGAAGTTACTAAGTGATTTGTAAAGTTGGTTACTGGTACCCGATCCTGGAACCGGTTCCTGACATCAGCGGTCGGTTACTCAGGAACCCGGTTCCGATGCACAGCCCTAACCCTAACCCACCTCACTCCTCCAAAATCCTCCTGGTGGTTTTGGAGGATTCTAGAGGATTGAGGATGAATGGTGATTGAATCAAATGAGGATTTTGGAGGATTGAGGATGAATGGTGATTGAAGCACATGAGGATTTTGGAGGATTGAGGATGAATGGTGATTGAAGCACAAGAGGATTTTGGAGGATTGAGGATGAATGGTGATTGAAGCACATGAAGATTTTGGAGGATTGAGGATGAATGGTGATTGAAGCACAAGAGGATTTTGGAGGATTGAGGATGAATGGTGATTGAAGCACATGAGGATTTTGGAGGATTGAGGATGAATGGTGATTGAAGCAAATGAAGATTTTGGAGGATTGAGGATGAATGCATTTTGTGGCAGGACTGTCTGATGATTTTGAAGGATTTGGCGTTGGTTATCCTTCATTTAAACACGAGTGCAAAGTTTTGGGATGAGGAGGATTTTGGAGGATTGAGGATGAATGCAAATTTGAGGCAGGACTGTCTGACAATTTTGAAAAATTTAGGCGGAGTTGCAAAATTTTGTAGGATTTTGTAGGATTTTGGAGGATTGAGGATGGTTGTAAGCAACAAGGGCCTAGGGGGTTAGGGCTAATGCATTGTAAACCAAGATACCTATATTGACATTAATGCCATGTTCTCACCGCTTAGCGATACCGGAGTACAATTTGAAACATTGCTACTTCAATCGTTTTCTATGTCTTAGATTTGGAGACACGTCTAAGACGTCTGAACGACCAAAAAGACATGCGCTTGCGAGAACTGCAGAAATATTACCGCGATACCTACAACGCTGTCGAGTGGCTACGTTCAAACCAAGATATGTTCAAACACAAAATACATGAACCAGTAGCATTAGTGGTAAGTGACAAGTTTTTTTCCTTCAAATTTTAATAACCTGAAAAGAGTTTCTTGGTTTTTCATTATTCAACAATCTACCCTGCTTGAACCATCAGAATAAATTGTTACGGAATGTTTCTAATGGTTAATCATCTGTAAGTGTTGTGTATTACTTTACAGACGTAAAGTGAGAATTATTGTATTTTAATTTAAGAAGATAAAGTTTTCATTCAAACGTTGCAATGTTTCAGATCAACGTTCGGAACAAGGAGCACGCCAAGTACATCGAGCAAGCCATTCCCACCAATGACATGCTGGCGTTTGTCTGTGAGGACGCTGAGGATATGGAACTGTTCGTCAGCTTGGTAAGTCACAACGAAAGAGGATTGTATAAGACTTGTGATGAACATGTGACTATCATGTGATTGACCTGTGATTGACATGTGATTCACATGTAATGGACTTGTGATGGACTTGTGATGGACTAGTGATGGATTTGTGATGGATTTGTGATGGACTTGTGATGGACTTGTGATGGACTTGTGATGGACCTGTGATGGACTTGTGATGGACTTGTGATGGACTAGTGATGGATTTGTGATGGATTTGTGATGGACTTGTGTTGGACTTGTGATGGACTTGTGATGGACTTGTGATGGACTTGTGATGGACTTGTGAAGACTTGTGATGGACTTGTGATGGACTTGTGATTGACATGTAATGGACTTGTGATTGACATGTGATTGACATGTGGTTGACGTGTGATTGACATGTGATTGACATGTGATTGACTTGTGATGGACTTGTGATGGACTTGTGATGACATGTGATTGACTTGTGATGGACTTGTGATGGACTTGTGATGGACATATGATGGACATGTGATTGACATGTGATTGACATGTGATTGACATGTGATTAACAACAAGTCCGACAGTTATTTTGTTTGTTTTTCTTGTTTCAGGTGCGAGAGAAGCAGAATTTAAGAATCAATGCAGTCAAGAGCCCCAACGTGCCACTAGCCAGCTTCCAACCTAATCGACCCATCGCAGATATCAAGTAAGTGTCCAAATCATATTATGAAAACCATAACTTTTTACAATTATTGATTATCTTTTTGCATGTCGAAATTCATTGATTCTGTAATTCCCCAAAAACTTACGCAGCATTTCACGTTTTGTCATTTACCTCATCTAGTAAATATGTACTGAAGTATCGTTTGTTATAAACGGTTTTATTTGTAAAATGTAAATTGAAAAACGTTCCGAAGCTGTGTTCATTATTACAATTATGGTGTTTGGAAATAAATCAAATCAACAAGACAAGGGAATATTGTCTATTACCTGTATTTGTTCCTCGTAAAACTCAATAAATCCTTATTTTATCCTGTTATCACAGCTTGCTATCCTTAGTTCATTTTGCTCCGTTGTTTTTCTTCATAGACGTTGGGGATTCAACCATTACTTGAAAGACTTGATCGACGCTCCCGAAGCAGTCATGGTGTACCTGTGTAAGATGCACAGACTGTACAACGTCCCCCTAGGTAGCAGAGTGACTCAAGATAGCATCGATAAAGTGAGTAGCTCGTTTTGTGAAGTTGAACCTTGAACCTGCAACCTCCGGTTTGCCGTTCCGGTGCTCTACCAACTGAGCTATCCAGCCCTATGTTGGCAGTTCCCCAAGTTGTCAATGTCTATGTTAACCCTAACTCCTTAGGCTGTTTTGCTAGGATGTAGCCTCAATCCTGCAAAATCCTCCAATTGGCTCCATGGGAAAATAGCATATAGCCTCAATCCTGCAAATTCCTCCATTATTTCTTGAATATGGTCCGTGGTGGGGTGACCACTGCCTGAATCCTGCAAAATCCTGCAGCAGTGACTGTCAATATGTTGAGGCTTGGCCAGTGACATCCTGGAGCAGTACGGAGGATTTCAAGCATAATCCAGGCCTATATTTATGCATGGCTGAGCAAAAACAACACAAGGTCCGGCCCAAGACCTCGACAAAGTGCATCCTACGAAATCAGTAACACACTTTTGCCATGTAACCTCAATCCTCCAAATTCCTCCACTTTCGCAAAGATGATTTTGAAGGATTCAGGGCGGTTAGGGTTAAAGTTGAACAAGGAAATTGACTGGAGTGGGGTTCGAACCTGTGACCTCCAGTTTGCCGTTCCGGTGCTCTACCAACTGAGCTATCCAGCCCTATGTTGGCGGTTCCCCAATTTGTCAATGTCTTTGTTTAAGTGAGCACATCGTTTGAATTGTGGAGTCCGATTTGATTGGCTTGAAAATAATCACATGATGACACCCTGCATTCTGATTGGTGGAATGTTTTGATTGATTTCAAAACAGGTTGTGAAGGAATCCGGTGTGACGAGGTTTTACACCCCCGACTATCAATACAGCGTCAAGCGATCACGCTACGGTAATCATAAACAGTCCACAGATAGCAGCTTTGTTCCCGACGCAAGATTGCTCAACATTTCCGTCGACATGAGTGCCAAGCGAGAGTTTGAACAGAACATACAGGTAAAGTTGAAAAGACCATAAGAAAAATCTTAGAAAATTATAAAATTCATTGTTCAAATTCTCTGTGTTAGTGTATGCAACAATTTTCATGCAGCTAAGCTTTTCAAAGTGTTGAAAATATTAAACATTAAGTTTTTAAAATTGATAAAATCAGGTTTAAAATTTATTGAAAAAAAAAAAAAATGCTGGACAGCAGGGCCACTTCATAAAATTTACTAGACCGGAAACATTTTACAAGACTAACACAATAACAACGAAAGGGAAGTTTCAAAAGATACCACCGCATGATCGCCAAACATGATGGTAAGTGCTTCACACATATCCGAAGAGACTCCAAAGTCTGAAGCACGCTTGGTACGAGGCTGGATATATGAGTGTGGTGCCCGAGGGTGATGGCTTCAACCCGCCTGGCTTGAGGACGAGTGAAAAATCATTCCGTGCCTCGTTCCGTTCTTGTCAAAATAATCCCATGGGGAACGAAGAGACTCGAAAGTTTGGAGCACGCTTGGGACTACGTATGATAATAGGACTGCGGTCGTGTAATGTTCATGTACTGGGCATGTCCACGTACAAGTACTTCTGTCGTGCCGAAGAAATTCAGATATCGTTTTTGTTTTATTATTTCTTGAAGGAAATCGAGCACCAGCTTGGAATAGGACAGCAGAGATACAAGGAGCTACAGCAACGCAGACAGGTCTTGATGACACAAGACAATGAACTCAAGGAGCAAAAGAAGGAGTTGATACGCAAACGAGATCGACATAAGACCATCATGCAGAACATCGCTGCTAAGAAAGAGGCGTAAGATCTTGAAGACATTGCTTTATATGTATAAGATGCAACCTCAATCCTCCAAAATCATCTGTTATTTCTTGAATGTGGTCCTTGGAGGGGTGACCACTGCCTCAATCCTGCAAAATCCTCCAGCAATCACTGTCAATATGTTGAGGCAGAGCCAGTGACATCCTGGAGCAGTGCGGAGGATTTCAAGTACAATGTAGGCCTAAATGTATGCATGGCTGATCATGAACAACACAAGGTCCGGCCCAAGACCTCGACACAGTGCATCCACCAAAATCAGCTACACAATTTGCCATATAGCCTCAATCCTGCAAAATCCTGCATTTTGCAAACAGGATTTTGGAGGATTTGGGAAGGTTAGGGTTCAATTTTGCCAGCTCAGTTTCGAGTGGCAAGACATCTGCACTAGTAAGCAAGAGGTCGTGGGTTCGAGTCCCACTCGAGTACGCTTGTGAATCTTTTTCTTGCAAGCTCTCAGAGAGCACTGAATATTCACCACACACAAAATTATGTTGCTGAAAAGCGAAACCCAATATTTTTACAATTTTTCATAAATATATTTTTTTATAATTTATAATTTGTTCCTTATTTGTTGACAGGATTCGCAAGTGTGAGGCGTCGGCCATAGATCTGGAGGCAGAAACGGCCAAGACGCAGAAGAAGATCAAAACGATCAACGAGAAGAAGATCAAACTCGTCAAGGAATTCAGTCAGCTCATCAAGGTATGTATGAGGAAAAATTGTACTTATAAACCATGCCATGTACCCCAAACCCACCAGCCATGTACCCAAATCCACCGGCCATGTACCCAAATCCATCGGCCAGCACCCCAAATCCACTGGCCATGCACCCCAAATACACTGGCCATGTACCCGAAATCCAGTGGCCATATACCCAAAATCCACTGGCCGTGTACCCCAAATCCACCGGTCATGTACCCCAAATTCACTGACCATGAACCACAAATCCACCGGCCATGTACCCCAAATACACTGGCCATGTACCCGAAATGCAGTGGCCATTTACTCAAAATCCACTGGCCATGTACCCACATGCACTGGCCGTGTTCCCCTTAATCCACTGGCTATGTACCCCAAATCCACCGGCCATGTACCCCAAATTCACTGACCATGAACCACAAATCCACCGGCCATGTACCCCAAACTCACTGACCATGAACCACAAATCCACTGGCCATGTACACCAAATGCACTGGCAATGTACTCCAAATCCACCGGCCATGCACCTCTAATGCACTGGACATGTACCCAACATGCACTAGCTGTGTACCCCACATCCACTGGCCAAGCACCCCAAATTCACTGGCCATGTGCCCGAAATCCAGTGGCCATTTACCCCAAATCCACTTGCCATGTACCCCAAATCCACTGGCCATGTACCCCAAATCCACCGGCCATGTTCCCCAAATTCACTGACCATGAACCACAAATCCACCGGCCATGTACCCCAAATCCACTGGCCATGTACCCCAAATCCACTGGCCATGTACCCCAAATCCACTGGCCATGTACCCCCAATCCACTGGCCATGTACCCCCAAATCCACTGGCCATGCAGATGATTTAACCCTGTATTGGTATGATGCAAGTTCAATGAATTCGTCTTGATGTTTATATCTAGGACTGTATTGCGAGGACTAAAGAGAAAGTTGAGCTGGGCATGGGATACGCCATCGTCTTCAGTCAGAAGAACTACATTGAGGCAACACAGAGAGAAGCTAACGCCAATCTAATACGCTTAGAGGTACGTACAAGCCAAGATATATCATCTATACCCAAGGACCAGTACCTCAGCTCCCCCACCGTAGTCAGCCTAGGGTCCTTCGATACCCTTGACAATCTACTCCCAGCTAATGCCGGTACCCATTTATGCTCCTGGGTGGAAAGAGGCAAGTTGGGGTAAAGTGGCTTGCCCAAGGACACAACATATAGCCAGCAGTCTGAATATTTCTATTCCCCATGGATGGGATGCCAGTCCATCGCAGGTTACTCCCAGCTAACGCTGGTACCCATTTATACTCCTGGGTGGAGAGAGGCAAGTGGGGTAAAGTGGCTTGCCCAAAGACACAACATATGGCCAGCAGACTAAAAATTTCTATTCCCCCTGGATGGGATGCCAGTCCATCACAGGTTACTCCCAGCTAATGCCGGTACCCATTTATGCTCCTGGGTGGAGAGAGGCAAGTGGGGTAAGGTAGCTTGCCTGAGGACACAACATATGACCAGCAGCTGGATTTGAACCCCTGACCCTCTGATCATGAGTCACAAACCCTGACCATTTGACCACATTGCCCCCTTGGTCTCACACTTCCGCATTGAATTTTTTCATAATTTTTGATTTTTCACTTTTATAGAATGAGAAGGTTGAACTGCTGAATCGAGTGAGAAACACGAAGGATATCGCCAGGCAGCTGATCAAACGAGCCCAGGACTTGACTGGATCAGAGGAGCCGTCTAAAGAACTCAGAGAGGTGAGAAGAATCAAATGAATTATTGAGAAGTGTTGAAATCAAGTCCATGACAAGTCCTTGTAAATCAATCACAAGTCATCTCAAGTCAATCACAAGTCATCACAAGTCAATCACAAGTTAATCACAAGTCATCACAAGTCAATCACACGTCAATCACAAGTCATCACAAGTCATAACAAGTCCATCACAAGTCAATCACAAGTCATAACAAGTCAATCACAAGTCCATCACAAGTCCATCACAAGTCATCACAAGTCATCACAAGTCTTCCAGTCTTTAAAAGGGGCACTAGGTCCTGAAATCCCCCAAAATTTCATGTTTTGAATTGTTTACTTAGCCTATTTCAAACATCTGGTTGAAAGGAAACAACCTAATGTCTTACCGTTCCCGAGAAAAGACAAAAAAAACCTGCTTGTTTAGGCCAAAAAAAAAATAAGTCGGTCTCTGGTCAGCGCGCGCGTCGATTTTAATCATGCGCGTCGATCTTTTTTTTTCTTCAAAATGCTCCGCGGTAGCTCCAACAGCTCCCTCTATATCTGCACCTCCTCAATTTTTTTTACCAAAGAGCACCAAGGAATGGGAAATTGCACCAAGGCAAATGATCGAAAGCACCAAGGCAAATTGTGAAGGACACTAATGTGCATGAGGACAGCAAAAAAGCAAAATAGTACCCACCTTGTCTGTACAATCCAAGCTTGGAAAAAAAAAAAAAGCCAAAAAAAACACACAAAAAACGCGTTGCTGCGTCAATTCCGGAACTTTGGTCTGACCAGAGACCGAATATTTTTTTTTTGGCCTTACATCGGACATGACGGAGTACGAATACGTTTTTCGTGTCGTTCTCAGTGTACGATATACACGTTGTGTGTCTCGGGAACAGCGGTGACCAATCACCAATGCCAAAAAAAAGAGAGCGATTTCTTCAACGTCCGCAAAGGGGAACACTTTACGAATGAAATCACAACTAGCATCCAAACAGCTCGAATTTATGGGGTCGCAAAAGTGGACCCCGAAATTTGTTCTCGCACGCATAATACAGGAATAACACAAAAACGCCCAGTTTTGAAAGGATAGTTGTGTGGATGTTTATATCCTACTTTTAAATGTTATATCCGATTAACATCATCTCGGTGTTAATCGTCGGTGAAGGGCAAAACCTAATTTCAATTAACATCATCTCGTTCAAAGCGCGTTTTGTAGCCCAATTGGGCTGCTCCAGGACCCAGTGTCCCTTTAAGTGAATTTTGCCTTACGTTTGGGCAACGTCCATTACAGAAAATCACGTATTACTTTTTGTCTTTGTTTACCAACAGGCATTCAGCACTTGTCCAGACGATCTAGATGAGATTGATCAGAAAATTCACTATGTCCGAGCCCAAGCCGACTGTCTGTTTGAAACTGACCAGAGAGTGGTGCAGGAGTTTGAACAGCGTAAAGTGGAGATACAACGTCTAACTGAAGGGGTGCGTATTACACTGTACTATGGCTGAATCAAGGGATATATAGACGGCGCTATTCATGAGGTTTTATAGAGGGCGCTATTCAGAAGTATCAGGTCACATATTGAAACTGACCATAGAGTGGTGCAGGAGTTTGAACAGCGTAAAGTGGAGATACAACGTCTAACAGAAGGGGTGCGTATTACACTGTACAATGGCTGAATCGAGGGATATATAGAGGGCGCTATTCATGGGTTTATATAGAGGGCGCTATTCGCAAGTATCAGGTCGCATCTTGAAACTGATCAGAGAGTCGTAAAGTGGAGATACAACGTCTAACTGAAGGAGTGCGTATTACACAGTGTCTGAATCAAGGGATACATAGAGGGCGCTATTCGCAAGGTTATATAGAGGGCGCTATTCGCAAGTATCAGGTCGCATCTTGAAACTGATCAGATAGTGGTGCAGGAGTTTGAACAGCGTAAAGTGGAGATACAACGTCTAACTGAAGGAGTGCGTATTACACAGTGTCTGAATCAAGGGATACATAGAGGGCGCTATTCGCAAGGTTATATAGAGGGCGCTATTCGCAAGTATCAGGTCGCATCTTGAAACTGATCAGAGAGTCGTAACGTGGAGATACAACGTCTAACTGAAGGAGTGCGTATTACACAGTGTCTGAATCAAGGGATACATAGAGGGCGCTATTCGCAAGGTTATATAGAGGGCGCTATTCGCAAGTATCAGGTCGTATCTTGATACTGATCGGAGAGTGTTGCGGGAGTTTGAACAGCGTAAAGTGGAGATACAACGTCTAACTGAAGGAGTGCGTATTACACAGTGTCTGAATCAAGGGATACATAGAGGGCGCTATTCGCAAGGTTATATAGAGGGCGCTATTCGCAAGTATCAGGTCGCATCTTGATACTGATCGGAGAGTGTTGCGGGAGTTTGAACAGCGTAAAGTGGAGATACAACGTCTAACTGAAGGAGCGCGTATTACACTGTACAGTGTCTGAATTGAGGGATATTTAGAGGGCGCTATTCACAAGATTAAAGTAAGGTCACATCTTGAGTGGTTTCCAATGGGAATAAATGAAATTGAAATTTGTTTGAAAATTCTGTGGGAAAAGATTCCCAGTAGAGTGCGCCACCAAGAGTTTGCCATGGAGAGTCCATATTTCAAGTTTACGGTCGGCAAAACCATGGCCGACTTGCCGCGATTTAAACAATTGGCAGTAGACAACTTCAGGGAATCGTTGATAGATCAGGCAAAGCATTCTTCCGCGTCACAAAAAAACTCTGTTTTGACAAAAAAGAAAAGAAAAAAAAAGATACTTGGATCATGCGCTTACGAAACCACTGACTGGACAAAGTAACAATTTTAAGGTAGCAGACCAGTAAATAAACTTCCATAGACCCCAATGGTAAATGCTCCCACTTCAAAAAATCGGGAAAAATACTCACAACTCTCCAAGGTGTTCGAGACACACATCAAATTAAAGCTTATTTCATCATCTTTCATTTTCTTTTCAATTTTCGGGGGGTCAACTGATGACTTTTAGGAGAAATTTCCATAGATGAAGATGATCACCCCTGAAAATAGTCCTGAAGCCCATCGCCATTTTGAAAAACGATGCCTACACTCCATTGCAAAGTAGAGCGCTTTTAGGGTCCAAATTACATCAAAATTACACAGAACTGCAAGCTCCCAGTCCTGTGCACGGTTTCCACCCATATTTTTTACAAACCCTCAAGTTCATGGCCCACAGCATGCTCAAATACCGAAGATTTTGAGGGCATGCAAATCGTGATTTGGCCGGCGCAGGCAATTTCGGACCGATTTACTGGTCTGCACCCTTAAGTGTCACGCACGATGGCGAATATGACGACCATCTCCCACAATGCACTGCAAAGAATTTACTCTCCTTGGAAATTCATGGTGGCGCACTGTATTGGGAATCGCCTGTATTGAATTTGCGTCAAACTGTAGCAAATGACAATTCGCTGAAGGGTGCGTGCATTTTGTGGCGAACGTACAGAAAACGCCTCGATCCAAGGATATTGTTGATATTTTTACATAAGGGAGAAGAAACGTCAGTTTTTTTGTTCTTGTTTTGTGGACAGGTTGAACGTAGCCAAGAACGGATTGACAGAAAGTTAGCCGAAATCAATGACATCAAGCAATCCTGGAGAGATGAACTCAACGGTTTGATTACCGACGTCAACCAACAATTCTCCAACTTCTTCGAGGCCATGGGTTGTGCAGGAGAGGTCAAACTACAGTTTGAAAATGAAGTATGTCCATAGAAAAACTTGCTTTTGAAATAATAAAGTTCTAACATGGAGTTGTTATTGTTTTGTTTATCTTTAAAGGAAGAGTAGATCATTTGCAGCTATTCAAAAAGTAAAATGAAATTATTGTTGAAAAGCTACTTGGTGTAAAGATAGTAATGGCACTAAACTCCCTGTGAAATTATTCCTTCTGGCATGCTGTCATTTTGAAGAAAACAACAAAAGAAGACCATTTCCAATGATGTGTCAAACGACATACTTTTGAAATTTCTGTTTTGAAATTCAGTGAATCTGCCATTTGTGTATTTGTTTTCCTTTGGAGTAGCTTAGCCTGATGAAGTTTTAGCTCTGTGAATGCTGTATATTCCGAGAAAACAATATTCTAGGATATCAATTTCAATTCAAAAGTTGCTGAGTCATGTTTTGAATTGCTTCCAAAATCAGCATCTGGGACACGTTCTCATTCAGCCGATTGCAGCTACGCGATGTCACGCACTGAACCGACGAATAATAGCAAACGTGTAGTGTCAACGCTTGCGCACGCCCATTCACGGATTCGTCGATATTACAAACAGAAATTTCCAAAAATGTGTCACTTGACGCATCTTTGGAAATGACCTTCTTTTGTTGCTTTCTTCAAAATGACAGCATGCCAGTAAGAACAATTTCGCAGGGAGTTTAGTGCCATCCCCATCTTTAAATAAAGTACGCTTTTCAACAATAATTTTGTCAGTTACTTTTTGGATAACTGCAAATGATCTACTCCACTTTTAATTTTACATCACTGTTTAACTTAACGGACTTGTGGAACTATTTTCTCCATCTTTATAGGATGATTACGACAAGTACGGAATATGCATCCAGGTCAAGTTCCGTAAAGCGGAGCAGATGAGAGAGCTCACCTCTCACTACCAGAGCGGTGGGGAGCGCAGTGTCTCGACAATCCTATATCTGATGGCTCTACAAGAACTCAACAAGTGCCCGTTCAGAGTCGTAGATGAGATAAATCAGGTACGTTAGCTCTCCTTGGTATTCTAAACCCGTTAACACTGGACTTTTTCCCCTATCGAGAACTCCTTATTGTTATAAATTGTTAAAATTTGTATGGACAAAGTCTATAAATGAGCCGTGCACAAGTACCCCTTCAACAGCCAGAAAAGGAGAGTTAGGGGAGACCTTGACTGGCTACCAGTCCATCATCAGCGTTCTCCAACCTGTAAATATAACCTGGTGCCCCGGCAAGCTTTCTGAGGCACCCGCCAAGCTTCAAAAGCTGCCGCCAACCTTAAAAAGTTGCCCGCCATGCTTAAAAAAAAAGGAAAAATAATAAAAAAGAAAAACAAGTGGGACTACCCTTACCCTCCAGGGTACATTTTGGCCAGAAACTCTGCCAGAAGCAGTAACATGGAACATTTGTCAAACTGACAAGCCTTGCCTTTGTAGCAATCAATCAGGTCAAAAGTCTCAAGGCCGAACTGCCTCAGAGTCCCTGGTCACTGATGTGTTAAAAAAGATAATGCTGAGCCAGTATTGTACTTAATTGTTAGTGTTACTGTGTTAGAAATGGCCTAAAAGCTGTTATCCGTACATAATGTACATGTTCATCTGCAAATAGCGCCTCCTTGCATAAAGAAATGTATTTCATCAAACTAACACGATAGGAACAATGAATTGCCGTTGTCAAAAAAATTACCACCGACATTGAGGATTAAAATAACGTAACAGTTGTGTGGGTGCATTTGGTTTTTTCTTTGAATATTCAAACAAGCAAAGAGCTATTTGAATATTTGTTCACTGACCGAATATTTGAATATTCAGTATGTTTGGGACAGCTGTATGAGCCTATAGGGTGCCATACAATTTGATGAAAGATCACCGTGTCATTTTTAAGTAAAGTTTCAACTTTTTTTTGCACAGTCAAACTCTTGCCTAGACCTTTTAAGCCCATAACGAGATTCAAGTTTCCCATAAAATTGTCATTTCAAATCTAGCAGCAAAACTTTTAACCTATTCTTTCTACATTAGCTATCGGTTTTTTTGAAGTTTGCAAATGTTCATACAGAGAATCAGTTTTCCCAAGAAAATGGTAATTTGAATTTCAACAGAATTATTTTAACGAGTTCTTTTTTCAATTAAAAAAAAAATGTATTTCTTTATTTATTTTGTCCTTTTAGGGAATGGATCCCAACAACGAGCGTCGAGTCTTTGAGCTTGTCGTCCAGACAGCTTGCCGAGAAAACACATCTCAGTATTTCCTGATCACGCCAAAGGTAAGACTGCTTTGCAACTCTCACTTGCATTCACGTGAAGCTTAAAAGGTAAAGGTAAAGGGGACGAACCTGTGTTCACAGGAACAGAGTGCCCATCTCTCCTTCGAAGCGATTGGGCCAGACTCATATGCTGCTGTGGGGGATCGCCACACCTCCTCCACAGCGAGTCTGTTACCTTCCAAGCTTTGAATAATGCCAGTACGCATTTAACACCTGGGTTGAGAGGAGTAATTGAGGTAAAGCGCCTTACTCAAGGGCACAACACACATAGCCACGGCAGGGCTCTTTGCAATTGATTACACATCTGCAGAGGGGTATAAGCCTGCTAGACTGATTTTCTTACCTACAATTCCCCAAAGTCTATAAACTGCAACGTCTCATCTTAAGTGGGGTCAGTGAACCAGACTATAAGAACATGGTTGTTTCTCTTGGATTTTCCAGCATCTCCGAACTCAAAACGTGAAACAAGCCAGTTTGACAATATTTTCTATAGCACACTAATCCTCCAAATCCATTTATTTATGAAAATTGCAGCCAAAGCAAATGTTGTTTATTCCCTTTAAGATACATTTCTCTAAGTTTTTTTGTCGAAATCATCTCTTGAAACCTACGGGAAGAATTTCAGCTGTTGTATTTATTTAGTTCGTACATCTACCAATTCCACAGTTACTTCTGAATCTGACTTACGGCCCCAAGATGACGATCATCTGTGTGTACAACGGTCATTGGATGATGCCCTACAACCAGTGGAACCTAGATGCGTACTGTAGAAGACGTCGACGATTACTCGTCCAGTGAAGAATGCCGACACCGTCATTCGTAGGTTATTAACACCACCAGAAATGGACTGTCGTCTGTTAATTTCGTTATTACGTGCTACAGTGTTCCCATCTCGAAAGATTTTTTTTACACGCATGCTTACCAGATATTGACAAATCTTTGCCAAGTTAATGGTTAAAACACATTCCAATATCCCAAGAGAGGCATTCTAAATGAAGAAAATATTAGTTTTAAGACCTCTGTAACCAAAGCAGAATAGAACCTTCATCCACCCTCCCCCCAAAAAGAAAATTTCAATAAACCTAGGCAAGTCATGAGCTTTTTGGTTCAAAGAATCGTTGTACCTTAACCACTTTGCACCGGGATTATTTTGACATTGAGCGGACCCAGGCGTGGGATTGTTTTTCATGAACCTCGATGCCAGACGGGTTCAGGCCGTCATCTGCGGGTAGCACACCCTGATATTTCCGGCCTTGCTCGCTGCAAGTGGGTCACAGACAGATATAACCGGCCTTGCTCGTTGCGTGTTTATTCGTCATCTGTTCCAAATACAGCAAAAACTTTGCGCGTATATACGTCATCCGATGTGAACTGATAAGCTACTTTAAGTTTGTTTGTACATCCCAAAAGTTCACAATTCTTCTGTCAACAATCGAGTACTTTTCAATTAAGTGGTGATTTTTTTTTACACGCATGTTATTTGTAAGTAAACATTCATGTTCTTTATTATATCATTTATATCTATACTTTTAATATGTTTACAAAATATTAAAAATATTAACTGCATGGGCGTAAGAGTTACTTGAGCTTGTTCGTATCGTTGGGCAAACAAGTCAACTTTTTTTTCATTACTTTTTTTTGTTTCCTAACATTTGCATGTTCTTGGATGATTTGCCAAAACCATTGTGCAGAAAGTTATAATTTTTCAGTTTGTTATTTTGCTGCACGAGAGTTCATAATTTGGTCATTGTTCAGTATAGGGTAGGCCAATGTTTTTTCGTTTCAGAAGTGCAAATTCCGTTTCAAAAATCCTAAATTCCGTTTTAGGCTGAAAAATTCCGTTTTCACATTTATTCAAAAATCGTGACATTAACACTGCTCATTTGTTACATGGCTCGTCTGTTCAATCAATCATCAACAGTTCATTTTGGACTCAATAAATTTAACGAAAATACGTTTTTTTATCAATAAAACTGCAGAGGTTATTTTCTTCAGATTCAAATTCCGTTTTCTGTTTCGAGGAGCAGATTCCGCGAATTCTGTCCATTTTCTGCGATAGCGGAAAACCATTGCCCGGTGGGTTGTACAACACACGCATGAAGATAGACACATTTATTGTATGTTTCCTTGAATCATAATGTCAACTTTTTAATGTAATCATTTTGAGTACAAATCATTATTACAGCACAGACATATCAAGCACACTCGTATTGTCTTTGTACATTGTGATAAAACAAGGATTCTCACCATTTAACCAAGAATTATATGGGAGAGGCATTGAATAATTGTCGATTTACGGTGCGAAATGAAAATCCTATAGAGTCGTTTTTAGAGGAAAACCCACCAGTAATCAGGAATGTACTGATAAGACTAATCCATATGGTGTACTAGGTTGGATGCGAACTTGGGTCAACCGAAACGGAAGACATGAAATTTAGAACTGTATTTCATGACCTTTTCTTAAAAGTGCTAAATTTGGAATAAAACTTCTCAACTTGTATCTTAATTGCAACTAGGTGTTGTGGTAAAGTACTGTCAAAATCAATTTTTACCAATTTTTTTTTTTTTATCGAATCTGAAAATTCTGATTAATATGAGGAATCTAGATTAACAAATAGCATAAATCTTTCTCAAAACATTTTCTCAAACAGTCAGAACAAGCATAGTTTCTTCAGTTGTGTGATTTATCAAATTCCTGTTTTACAATCCACACTGATTATTGCATTTTACTGGTGCATGAACATTCTTTGTTGCCTTACAATTGAATCAATAAAAAAGTTATATTTTGTTACCTATTCTAATACCTTTTTATTCTGTGTGTTTTTTTTTTCAAGCTTTTGATCACATTTGTTCCTTTTCTCTATTCAATATTCGCTGCATATGAAATCAAAATAAATGACATACACATTATATCAAGCTCATATTTTAAGATGTGTGGAATAATAATATAGAATTATGAACCAATATTGACTGATTGAAGTCATATTTACATATATGTTTACATCCTGCCGTGTCATTGACGGTGAAAACAACTTAAAAGGCAAAAATCTTAAAGAAATTATTGAAATGTAAATTCACTGTGGTTTAAAATGAAATACACATTGTATTCACAATGGTATTATGAAACGGCATAACACTCAAACACAAACTTTAAACAAACATAGTCATTAATAAATTTGTTAGTATATTTCAGAATTTAACTTATCAGGAAGGCACTAATTCGTTATTGTAACTTTATGCACAAAAGATCGGTCGTTTTATCCTTTAAAAGTCATATCAGAAGATTTTAATACCAAGCCATTGCATGCCATTGAGAACATGATTCAAATCCCAACTACATAAAAAAATCCCTTTGAAGCATTTATTGAAATGGCACCACGCGTATCGCACAGGTGGTACGCGCGCGCTCAATTCTCCTTTGTCCAATAGGATTACATTCGCGTATAAATTGTACGCGCACACTCAATACTCCTTTGACCAGTAGGAAAACGTTTTCACGCGCGCGACGCAAATTAAGAACGCGCGCGTGAGCGTGGCGTTACCTTATTTGGTAAGATTTTACTGGCAAGGCATAGTCGTCGTCTGCCGGGTCTTGTCGGCATCGAGTAGATATCCAACATCGTGCCGTGCGTCTTGCAGTATCTCATGCACCAACAAGCTGTCCTTATGACTGACAGTGGGACATTCTTTCAGACCTATGGACGACACAAAAGCATCGAAAAATTCACACTCTAAATACTAGGTAAGTTGTCGTATTGTTGTCAACTAATAAAAATCGAATAGGAGACTCCTCTTAACTATGCCTTCGAGTCCGGCTACATTTTTAAGTTTCCCAACTCAAGTCCGAAAAAAATGGACCATATTTTTTGTATAGAGACAATCCCTTAAAACAATCTGTTTGACTTTTGAGAGTTTGTATAAACGTACATGCAAAACTTTCAAACACTGTTTTGCCCTTGGTATAATTTATCGTGTTTCAAATCTCTTATAAACATATTTTGAAAAAAAGTAAAACTGCTGCAAACATAAACATATTTTGTTATCAAAAGTCGAAACACTGCTTTTTCTTCACAATTAACCGTCTTTTCCTGATATCTTAAAAAAAACCCGTAATTTGCCACGAATGTAAAACGTCCAAGCACGCTTTTGGTATAATTTTCCTTTTTGTTACAATTATCCAGCTCACCTTTCATAATGCACTGACGCACTGCCTCAGCTTCGTACTGAAACCCAGCACTGTTTGGGTAATTAAATCCTTCTTTGTCACTCGCAAGTGGGAATTCCATTACCTCGTGTTTTTCCTCAATATCCAAGACATTATCACTTCTCTGAATGAAGGTGGTCACTTCCATCTTCAATGGACACCAAAACATGGGCGGAATCTGAGAGAAAGTTTAAGTAAAGACGAGATTTTTATGTCGTAATCATTGCGTTCTATTTTGTGATGTCAAATAACTTAAGTTTAAACCACGCCCACTGCACAATAAGTAGCATTGGAACCAGAAGAGTCCAAAGTGGCGTGTTTCTTATAGCCAATGGGCGCTAGTAATCTGTGGCGCCTGCGCGGGTGTGACCAAGTCACGAACCGGATACTGCAACTGCATACAGCTCGTGACAAGTTGCTCTGTGATTGGTCAAAAGCGTCACGGGGCGGGGCTACGGTATAAGCCACCTCGTACCTTGATATATCCCTTAGTGCCTCGGATTTCGAACTCATTTGGAAGATGCACCCCTACGCTACACGACAGCGTTGCTATGGCGTTGTTCGGGAACAGAATGGTTGTAACTGTAGTCTCATCCACGCCTACGGAAACAAACCAAACGCACCTAGAATCTGAGTATTCCTTTGATGTATGCTTTCTATATTACGATGTTCACTTTAGCTTTAGTGAAGCTCCAAAATGTCGCGAAGATAGTGTTTATAACAAAATCAATTCCAGAAACGTCAGCTTAAAAATTACGTCAGCCTAAAATGTTTGTAACAAATACTTACGAACGTTCCATAAGCACGTCTGGACAGTTTCGTTTTTGGACACGAAAACCCTTTGAATTACCTGATGGTGCAAGGAATCCTTTGGTGGACCAAGATAGCGGCGTCTGGTTAAATATCATCAGCGTCACGTGAACAAGATACACTCCAAGATCCAACAGTCCGCCTCCTCCGTACTCTGTGAAAAATCAGAAATCAAACTATTGCGAGACGTCAGCCAACCACTTGTGATTCTTACAACTTGTGATATATGCAGCCAACACCTTGATCGTGCCAAGTTGTCGTCAATCGTAATAACTATGATACAATCACCAGAGGTTAGTGAAGGTTAGTTCCCCAACACTCCTACCTTTAAGTCTTATTCTTTCATCTCTCATGATCGGTATCCCAAACGAACCACTGACTGACTTGACGTCGCCAATGCCTCCACCAACCAACAGTTCTCGCAATTTCACACACGCCGGTAAAAATCTCGTCCACACGCCCTATAGGAGGTCAATATTTAAACCTTCATTAATTGTCGTATTATCGTACCTTTGTTTTCGATTCTTTCATCCTTGTATTTGGGGATACCAAAAGATCCCAAAACTGTCTTGATTTCGCCAATATGACCTGCGGCAAGAAGCTCACGGAGTTTTACGTTCATGGGGAAAAATCGATTCCACCAGCCCTATATACAGAAAAAAGGTCACATCGTCGTTTTTACTCATTTAAACTGTCATGGTGTAAAAAGAACGTCAATAATTGGTTTTGTACATGTTTAGAAACCATTAGTTTGCTACACATTAGACCAATGAATGGAAATGCAAGTCTGACTGGCTCCAATTGTCCAGCAATTATTTACCTCCATGAAGAAGAGATTTTTCTCCTTGGCAAAGTCCACAATCTCCTGGACTTCCTTCTTGTTCAGCGCCAAGGGTTTCTCACAGAGGACATTCTTATCGTGGCCAAGGAAAAGCTTGCACAAAGGAAGATGGACGTGGATCCATGAGCCAATGTACACGATATCTACAAGACAATATGAAACTAGACTAACTAGAAACTACAATTTGCTTACTGTAACATCGGAAGTAAAGGTCAAATGTCTTGCCGGGGAATAAAAAAAATATTGCCTGAGTGAGACCATGATTTGTGTCTACAATTCACAGAAAAAGAACGGTACAATATTCATTTGACATTATTAATTTTAAAATTCAACCCTAAATGACGTCACATTTTCCCCACATTGTTGGACCATAGTTCAAGTTAATACAAGGTTTATCGTCATCATCCCTTTTAATCGTTTGGAAGAAAGTTTGGTTTTAATTTGATCATCGAGGCTTCTGTTTGCATTTTGAATTCTCCGATAACTTGACCTTCCGGTAACCTCGGAAGGATGTCACGCGACTTCACGTACACCTCGTAAATATTTATCAAAGTATGGTCTATCAGATTGCAAAGATGACTGATCATTTTGTTCAAGAGTTATAAATGAAAGAGGTTTGTCACTTTTTGAAATAAAATCGCTTGTAATTTGATACATGACGACGTCATCATGACTACAGAACGATCCACAATCGAATAGGCATACACGTCGATCATTGTCAATTTACATTTGGAGGGCATTCGGTATCACCTACCAACATTGGAATCCTTTGCCAGAGCCTCATATCCGCCATAAGCCGTGGCAATCTTGTGTTTCTCAGCAAACTTCTTAGCATTGGCTTCAGACCGAGCAGCTACGGCAACCACCTCGTGGTCTTCAGCAGGGAGAAGGCTGAGCGCCAACACGAAGTCATTGCTGATTAGACCGGTCGTGCAAATACCCCAACGTAGCTTCATCGTGGATTTCAGTCTAAATTACCCTAATAATAATGATAGTGTTTGAGGTTGTTTATGTGTAATTGCGCTAGCAACTGAATCGCTAAATTCTAATTCAACGAAGCACAATAGATACGATTCTAGAATACTGGTTTATTGCAGCTCTGCATGTGTATGTACAGTGGGAGGGTCCGTCATTCAATGCCGTGGACAAAATGCATCGGAATTTGTACTACATGTACCGCTCTTTTGCTTTGATATGCTTATTATGGTGAACTTTGACCGACAGCACGGCGCCGAACCGTTTGTTATAACGTTGACCTTGGCCTGACCTCGCGCCTGGAGGCGGAGCCAAATGAGCTCAGCTGATCACCACAGAAATGTGTTAAACACAGAATATGTGTGTTTAGCAAACACATATACAGGTACATGTAGATCGCCAATCAAAATGTCATGTAGCGCCCTCGTCTTGTTGGTGAGGCTGTTACTGGTTCGCAGTTATTTTGTGCCTGGCACAACGGCGGATGGGGGGGGGGGGGGGGCGCCAAGTAAATAAAAAACTAACTCGATTCACGTCGCAAAAACGGCAGCCACTGCGGACACCACTATCTTTTGCTTAACAAATTGGTTAAAGTGCTCAGAAATTGCCTCAGATCACACCAGCATCTAGACCCGTGAACGCACGGCTTGTAACAACGCCACGTTCACGGGTCTAACCAGGCAGCATCTAGAATCCAAAAAATGTACATTTATATATTTCCGGGGCCCTTAAGCGGGCCCCGAACCCCACGCCTCAACTTTTTTGGGTGAACAAACACTTTTTTGCCCCCCCCCCCCAAAAAAATATATAATAATTGTGTTCTGGATACGTTGAGGAGGTCGGATCGGGCATTTTTTTTCTGGGCACAATTAATTCCGTAAGATGTCCTGCATTGAATTTTGTTTACTATTAGTAGTATGAGAATCTAACTTTAATGTTATTTTTAGGTATGGAATACGATCAGTGGGTCTACTTCCCGAATTCCAGAGGCTACAGGGCAGGAAGTATTAAATAGGTCCGAATGTTTACGTCTGTAGACTGTTTGTACAACAAAGTCTTTCAACTTGTATGAGTTATCTTGACGAATTAACTTCTATTTTCAATTTTCACCTCTGCCAAACACTGAAAGTTTTTCATATAGAAATGTTGGTGTTTTTTTGCACCTTTAACGCGCGCACACACACAAGATACTTATTTTAATTCGTTCAGTGTCTCGTTCGAAGTTTGTTGGCCTTTGTTGTGGGAAAAGAGTTTTTGAGAGTGAAACTATTATTCTATAAGTGTATTAAGTGCACAACTTGAAATAAAGACGCAGTGAGGTTTTTTTTTTTGGCTGTCAACATAGGTTTTGTTTCCACTTTTATTCAGTTGTTATATAATCACAATGTCAGTATTTGTAGTCTTAAAAGTTGCCTGTTCATCTCAAGATAGCTAGAAAGTTATTAAATGCTCATTCGAGGCGATGTACAATGTTTATCATTTCAACTTGGTCACGAACAACAAGTGCTTGAAGACCTTCTCTTCTCCACAAATTGAACATATACTTCAGGACATCACTTGAATATTTGAATAAATGCTACATTTTAATTCTACATATTACTATGTACAAATATCATTAATGTTAAGCTGGCCTTTTATACCTCTTTTCACCTATCAATGTCTAAAAACATGTAAACCATTTTTTTTATCTCAAGATGAAACACTTCGGTTGTAAGTTCAAATATCACATAACATTTTGGATTATTTGCTGCAGTACGCCATTTAATGAATGAAATTAATGATAGATGAACTTGCGAGTTTTTTATCTCTGTATAAAGAAAATTGATGCACTGTTTTTTAAATGGTATGCTGTAGGTCTGGGCGAGTATTGGATTTTCCTACTCGAGTACTTGCTTCTCGCAGAGAAATTACTCGCGAGTACTTGAGCACTCATGAGTAGTTTACTAAATTTCCATCAAAACAGAAAAATGGCATAACATTACTGAGGACGCAACTACGAATAATTAAACAGCGTGCAAGAAATGCCACATTCTTCAGCACTGAGATATCCTTACTCTGCAAAATGTTGGCGTATTTTACTTGATAATTTATTTGTTGGAAGTGCTAGTGGAATCCCAAGGAAACAGATGGAGGTAGTGATTCCTTTATTGCGGGGGACGTATTAAGACAAAAGACAAGTTTGGTGCAGAAACCGATTAGTGGTTACTTTTTTCTAAGTCAGCACTTGTAAAAAACAATTGCTACTCGTGAGTAGCTAATTCAACTCACGCCAGGAAGAGTACTTGAGTAGATGAAAAACCACGAGTAGCAAACACTACTCATGAGTACTCAAGACACTTACCCTGCACTAGTATTTTCCACATGATCTTTGGTACATTATGGTTTACAAAGAAAGAGGATAACATATGTAAAATCTTTGTATAAATATCGTGCAAGAAAAAATGAAAAGAAACTCAAAAAGTACATAAAAATAAACTTCCTGTGTATCTTAATGTAACTCCGAATCATCTATTATATGACAGCAATTTTTTTCCCAGAGAAAAACACGAAAGTAGCTTTTTTCTTGTATTTAATTACTGTTATACATGTATAGTGTTTAAGTCAAGAAATATTTTGTTTTAGTTATGTATTTTATTTCCTAATTTATTGATCATGAAAACTCTTTTACCAAATTTCCATCAATTTTGTTTTTACACAAATCTGCCTTAACAAAATGTACAGTTAAATAAAATAAAGTATGCAAACATGTAAGGCTAGTCTATATGTAACAACATCTTTCTAAAACAAATTCTAACTAAACTAAGCAAATACTTCATACAACATCCCTGGTTATGCATAACACTCAGCAGAAATGAAATATAAACACTCATAACAAATTTGAGTTTTGCAAAAAAAAAAAAAAAAAAAAAAAAACCAAAAATCTACTCAATAACTAGTCCGTCTTGGGCAACAAATATACCTAAAAAAAAAGATGGCCGAAAAAAAAAAGGGAATTATTTTGTAAAATAGTGATCAATTGCCATTAAATAAAACCATGATTTCTCATTTGATATTAAATGAGCTTGAAAAATTTGTCTTGGATGTCCATGAAACTTGTGCAATCGACTAAACACACTTTGTCTTTTACAACAAACCACATTTCAAGTGAATTTTCTCCACTGTTTGCGCACTGTATATCCGGAAAGTCAGATTACTGAGAACGACAAGCTACAAGTTTGATTTTTCTGATAACTCTCAGGAAGATTTGAACTTGTAAAACTAAACCTTTTCCCAGACATATTGGCTTTCATTTTTTCTTGGGATAAAATCGCCAATAAATGGGCCTTTGAAGAAATTAATTTCACGATTCATTTTTTTTTTCACAACAGACAAATTTTTTTGGGTAATTTACTAACTGAACATCAGTAAATAAATTACATTTCAGCAAATTATTAGTTTATTTCAATCACTTCCATTTCTTCCACCTTTTTTTGTACCATTTCTTTTCCAACATCAATGCAACTTTGAGTCTTCTCTTTGTCATCAGCAACTACTGGATGAACTGCATCATTGCTTTCTGATGCATCCTTCATTTCTTCCGGACCTTTCTTCATCTTAGACTCGCTGAAGGAATTGGAGGTTTCAGTTTGGTCCAGTTGTGATTTAGGGACGGGTTTAACGTTGAAGAAACTCTTCAAGGTTTTGACGCCGGGTTTCTGTGCCGGAGGTACGGCTGATACCTCTTGGGTGTGGCCAGGGGACAGTGCGGGTGCTGCCTCCGATACTGCGGTTGAAGATTTGGAATCAGACTTGACATTTGTAGGACTAGCTGTCGGTTTAGCTGCTTGGCTAGACAGCATAGCTTTGATATCATTAGGGCTTGTACGTGGGACTTTAACAGCATAACTCGTTGCGGCTTTGTTTATCTGGGACGCTGTGATTCTGACCGTCTGCGGACTTGGAACCACTGTGGGTTTAGGTAGCATGTTCAAATAATGCATCTGGCCTGGCGTGATGGGGTTGAACACGTGGGCAGGGTTGGCAGAGAGCGTGGGAGGAGACTGATTCTGCTGGATGGGAACCGTCGCCGATAACCTCTGCATGATTTCGGATGCGGACATGCCGTTAGCGACTTGAAGCTGAAAGGGTAGGGCTACACTGCTAGGCTGAAGCACGGAGGCATGAGGGTTCAGCACAGCAAGGGGGTTTAGACCGGACGCCGTAGTACGTGGCGGGATCGTATTACCTTGATTTGTTCCTGACGGTTGCGGTAAATGCATCGAAGAGTTTGATACATAAATTGCAGGCTGGTGCCCACTGCCAACTAGCATTGGATTCTGCTGTATCATCACCGCTGTGTAACCACCTTGCGTTGGCACAGGTGTCTGGGTACCATACGCTGGCAAGGAATGACCAACGAGGGGGCTCTCCGCGCGCAGCGTCTTCTGCGGTTTGGTGATGTTCTGCCACTGGCACGGAATCGGCAGATTCTGCTGGTTGTACTTTTCCAACACGCGCTGGTGGACGTACCAGCAGGTGCGGGGGAACTGCGGACGTTTCTCGCGCACTGCGATGTCGTTGATGGTGATCATCAGCTGACGCTTGGAGATCGAGCACTCGATGGAGTCACCGGTTGGGTTAGCTGGTGACGATTGACCAGCATGTGTTACCTCGGGTGTACCGCCATCGCTAACAGGGGTAGCTTCTCTGCCTTGTGTTTGCACGCTGGGGGATTTCATACCAGGGTTGAGCTCGTTAAGAACAGGTGTCTTAACTTCACCACCTGTGGGTCCAGGGAGTGGCGACTCGGTCCCAACAATCCGTGGTTCTTCCGACGAAGTCTGCACTGATTGGCTAGCTTCAGCTGTCGTGGGTGTCTCTGGCCTGGGAGTGGTTTGCCCAGATTTCTTGCTCAGGTCCTTCAGACGCCAGTACTCGCGGAATTCTCGTTGTAGCGTCTTGATCCCCGCTGTGTTGCCGTGAACAAGGCGAATCAGATCCGGCATGGCTATAACAAAGTTTTAAACAAAATTCATAAATACCTCAGACAGTTTAGCTATTCCTATTGGTCGAGAGCCCGTCACGTGGCCGGTCTTAAACGGATGATAAAGACATGGCTAGCTGGTTTTAAACACTTTTCCAGTGTCACAATAAAATGTGGACTCCTAAAAATCCAGTGCCTCTTATCGTTTCATTGGTTGAACGTTCACAATACTCACATAGGCATGCGCAACACTACCAGGGAGTCAGAATTTTATAGTTCTAAATTCAAAACACAACGCGCCAGGTGCGTTCTGCGCGACATCGCACAGAACATGATACGCGCGCGTCAATCTCCATAAAAGGGTTGTTTACATCTTACTCGCCAGCTGAACACTCCATTATTTTGCAAGAGGGATGTTTCAAAAAGCATAAAGTTAATGTGTTGAACAAAATCGGGATGTTTTGAACGAATTATATGATTTTTTTTTACCGAAAAGGTATTTATGAATGGGAATAAATATGTGCTCCGTCGGTATTTAAGACCGCTTAGAGTCTGGGTGCTGATAATTACCCTCGCCTCCGGTTCGGGTAATTATCAGCACCCAGACTCTAAGTGGTCTTAAACAGAGTGATAAAAACCTCCGCAGCACACATTTATTCCCTTAGTAAAATATTTTAGAATTAAACACAAGAAAATGTTTAAGTTGGAACAAGAGACTCTTTCTTTTGCAATTCTACAGATCGATGTATTTCAACAAATTAATTCTTGCTTGATTTGTTATGCCAGCAAGCATCAGCTGAGCATGGCAATAGTTAGAATAAGAGATTGGGTTATCAGTTCAACTTTTCTTAGTTCAGGGACGTGTCAAACAAGTCTAGTCTGAATTTAAATTTGACGTTTGAAACAATTAGAAGTGACTACAAGCAAAAGATCCCTGTTGCGGTCCTTTGAAGTGACTCAAAAGAAAGTGAGTTGAGTTGATCGGGACATGTTTTAGTCTGAAGCATGGTATAGTGGAATTTGGCGACCAGAATTAGAAGATGTTACTGCGGTGATGCCACGCTCACGTGCATGCTGCTCGCGTTCTTAAAGACGAGGCGCATGCATGTTGGTATTCCTATTGGCCGAAGGATCCCAGAGTGCATGTGTCCTACCTGAGCCCGACTCACGCAAGCCAGGTGCAATCGCAGAAAATAGCGGCCGCCGAATGTCTATAAGAACTTAGAAAATTATAAAAATACCTTCTGCTGGGACGGGTCGTTTCAGTGAAGCTCCTATATCACTCCACGGTCCCTTCGGATGCACCGACGTCTTCGATGACTCCTCGGCCGAGTGCGTCACATTGGCTGCTGCTACCTGCTTCTTCGATCTCGTATCTATAGGAACGGTCGTCAAGGCAACAGCCTTGTAAGCATCTAGCATCTTACTGGTCGATTGTTGAGCGCCGGTTGCCCAGATACAGCCAATCAGGACTGCTTTCAGGACTCCCTGTTGTCGTTTCAGCTCGACCTCCCAGGATTTAGCCTTGGCTGCTCGTCGCTCTTTCCAGTTCTCGGCTTCCTCCTGAAAAAAAAAAAAAAATCAAAATTGAAAATCTTTGACAAAAAATGCTCACTGACTTAAAAACGGCAGACTAAATCAAGTGTGAACAGTTTTGAAAATTTAGTCTGACAAATCTTGTGAGGAAAACTGTCGTTGGTACTTACTTCATCTTCGCATCCTTCGCTCTCCGAGAGGTAGCCATGAGGAACAAAGAATCCATCGTCGGAATCCCCCCCATCGTCAACCTCCTCACCGTCATCTTCCCCCTGGAAGCACAGACAACAAAAATAACATCATTAATTGATCTTATGAAAGGCACATTATCCTGGTGTTTCCTATTACCATGATGACATTGCAAATACCTTGTTGACATTGCAGCATTTGATTTCAATGTCTAAGGCCAAACAGTCGAAACACAGATGTAGCCTATACAGTGAACTCTCCTTAAAACTCAAACTCGGATAACACGAAACTTCATTATTCAAAGTAATACTCTATTCCCGTCAAGAGATTAGGATATTATATACATGATAAACCCCGGAAATACCCGCACCGGTATCTTTGTTCAACTCGAACTTTTGTTCAGCCAGTCCACAGAAAACGCTGCCAAAACAGTCACCAAGCCACCCATGTACATGTAGATGACATGACTATAGAAAAATCGGCAACCTTGCTTAACTCAAACTGCGTATACCTCAAATTTTTAGCTGTTTCGGTGACACACCGAAACAGCTCTTGTTTTCGTTAAGATTTTTTTTTTTCTTTTTTTTTCTTCTCCTTTTTCAGACTTTTTCTCCATAGGTTTAACACACGTTTCTTCTGGCAGTCCACTTTGCCACTTTTTTAAATCCGATTGATTTCAGACTTGGTACATACTTAGACCACCACCCACAGATGGTCCTAGAAGAAATTTGTGATCGTGACGTCATCAGGTGTCAGGTTACGTCACATTAAAGATGCATTTTTCCCCATATGTTTTGTACACGTTTTAAAACACTCCAGTTTGGCATCTTCGTAAATCTGATCGACTTTAAACTTAATTCATACTTAGACAACCACCCACAGATGGGTCCTAGATGAAATTCGTGATCGTGACGTCATCAAGAGTCAGGTTACGTCACATTAAAGATGCATTTTTCCCCATAGGGTTTGTACACGTTTTAAAATGCTCCATTTCGGCACTTTCGTAAATCTGATGGATGTTACACTTGGTACACACTTAGACCATCACCCACAAATGGTCCTTGAAGAAATTCATGATCGTGACGTCATCAGGTGTCACGTTACTTTACATTAAAGATGTACATTTTCCTCATAGGTTTTGTACACGTTTTAAAACGCTCCACTTTGGCACTTTCGTAAATTTGATCGACTTTATACTTGGTACACACTTAGACCACTAGCCATCGATGGTCCAAGAAGAAAATCGTCATCGTGGCGTCATGAGGTGTCAGGTTACATCACATTAAAGATGCATTATTTCCCTATTGGTTTTGTACACGTTTTTCTTCAAACTGAACTTCGGAAGTACAAGTCTGATTGGGTTAAAACTTGGTATGCATATTCACATGGATGTGTTATAGATGGAAATTGAAGTGACATCATCATCAAATGTCATGTGAAGTTCCTTAAAGGGGCATTTTATTCTTTTATAGGTCTATATCTACAGAACTAAAATGTTCGATTTGGTTGTAACTCGACATGTACATATTATAATGTGCTGTTTAGATGACATTTATAGTGACGTCACTGATTGTTCATCCCGTGCTCAGAGTATTTCGAATATCCGAAACAGCTTGTGTTTGTCCACAAACACATTTCTAGTTTTTATCCATTCCGTTCAATGACCGCCATCTCTGTAGGAGAACTGCAACTGCGTATTTTACGCAATCAAGCACGCATTGCGCAGTGTTGAAAATGTTCCAAAATCGTGCGCTTGTTGCTCGAAATGTGTTCTAAATACGACGCAGCTGCAAGTTGACGCTCAAAACGCCGATGCACGTGGATGGTCTGTAGGGAATGACGTCATTTAAACGAGACCTACAGAGCACAGTAATTATTACAAGCATTTGGTTGCGCCAAACTTTCTATTTTGCAACTGATTTTTAGAATTCGTGATTCTCACCTCCGAGTGTGACAGACTCTCACCAGGCTCCTCCCATTCATCATCGCTGTCCACTTCATAATCCAACAAATCCTAAAAAAGTAGAAATAAGGAACAAATAAATTATGTATAATTTCAAAACAAAAAGTCAATATCAGAAATGATGATGTAACAAAAAGGGCAAACCAGATATGGAATTTATATGATTCTTACTTCATCTTTCTTGAGATAGTTGCGAGGGTTAATCATTGGACTCTTCCGTCTCCAGGTGCCGTAGTAAGCAGGCCGATAGTTCTCATGAAACTGGAGCAGTTTGCATTTCATCCTGACGAGCTTCTTGGCTGGCTTAGCTGGTGTCTCAGATACCAGCTGAACATCTTGAGAATCACTGAAATTGAGTCAAAAATGGAAGTGTTAAAAGGTACAGCAGATTAGTTGCGGCTTTCCAAAAAATGACCAACCAAAAACATTACTTGGTTTTGAAGATAGAAATGGCACTAAACTCCCTATGAAATTATTCCTTCTGGCAAGCTGTCATTTGAAAGAAAACAGTAAAAGAAGTTCATTTCCAAAGATATGTCAAGTGACACATTTTTGGAAATATCTGCTTGTAGTTGGATTGAGCGAATCCATGAATGGGTGCACGCAATCGTTGACACAGTGCCCATGTGTACGGGGTTGCAAGTATTTGTCGGTACAGTGTGTGACATCACGTAGCTTCAATCGGCTGAATGAGAACATGTCCCGGACGCTGATTTCGGGTGCAATTCAAAACATGACTAGCAACTTTTGAATTGAAATCAAAATCCTACAAAAATTGTTTTCTCAGAATAAACAGCATTCACTGAGCTATTAACTTCATCAGGTTAGTTAAGCATCTTTCTTAAGATTTTGAGGACTTTTGTTGCTTCAAATGATCAAACGCGAAAAATGCACAAATTACAAATGATCTTCCCTACCTATAAATGAATAACTTTTTTCTCAATACGATCTTGCCAAGACTTTCCCAAGACCATACTCACCCGTCTGGCTGCATCTTCTCCACCGACGGTGTGCCTATCCGACTGCTAGACTCCTGTGCCTCACTTTCACCTTGAGGTGTTCGACCTGCCTTCCCGACGACGTAAGTCTTGCTCTTCAGTCCATCCAAGTATAGTGAACTCAAATTCTGTTAATAGAACCAAAAAAAAGTGCATGATGAGAAAACAAAACCACACTCTTAATTCTGGAGGAATTAAGTCTCTCCCTTTAAACACAAATTTGGAAAACTTGCCAAAATTATATTTTTACAATTTCAAATTGTAAATTGTCTGAACGCTGTTTTATCTTTTCAACAGAGACATTTTTTACGGCCCAGATCGGGAATTTTCAGTGTTCTTTTTCAGTTTTGTAGTGAAGTAAGGCGTGCCACTATAAACTTTGACTTCTGAAGATCATGCCGCCCTAATTGTTCCGGGTAACATTCAATGTTTTGCTTTTAATGTAAATAAATGTTCTTAAATGAAAGAAATGAAACTTCGGTACAATGGCGATGCACATAAAATATGATCCACAAATTCCAAAATGAACTTTTTTTAGAGCGACTTTTTGGAAACAAAATTTTAAGTAAATAAGATACCTGGTTTTCAAATGCAGTGTCAAATTCTTCCAAAACCTCAGGAAGTTTCTGGCACCGGCGGACAGGAGCCAAGACCATGTCGTCCTTGACTTGGAACGGAGCAAACCATCCACAAGATTTCTCCTGTGGCTTCTTGACTGGTACGACCGCCTCCTTGAAGAAACTCTTGAAGAAGTTCTTCTGTCTCGCCTCTTTCTCACGCTGTAAGAATAATTAGTAAATGAAATTTTTAGTTTTGAAAACTGTTTCTCATATGCTTGACTGGTCTGATCAGGACATGTAGGACATTATTCATACAAAATCAGTTGGTCAGTCGGTCGGTAAGTCAGTCAGTCTTTGACTCAAACAGTCAAATGACAATATCAACTAGCCCACTAGTTCCCGCAAATTAAAGTTTTAGACATTTGAACCTCTGTGCGCTATTTTTGTGTAGGGGTGTCCATCTGAACGCGGTACCCAAGTACCCGATCGTTGATTTCAGGAACCGGTTCCAGATTATGGGATCGGGTACCCGTAACCAACTTTACAAATTACTTAGTAACTTCTCGGGCAATGAAAAAGAAATGTTTCGAATGCTATTTGTGGGGAATTTCAAAACGAAAACCGGGCTATATCGAAAACCAAAACAGATTTCACGTTTGTGTGCAGTGTACAGTCACGTAACTTTAACTGGGAATTTAGAAAAAACGAAGGAATTCCCAACCACACAATACTTTGCACAGTGTTTTGCAATTTGTAATGGCATTCATGAGAAGTGAAAAATGAGGGAATCAGCAGATCCGAGGAAAAGCTGCATGCCTGATTGTAACGCAGGACATATGATGCTCACGAAAAAATTGCAGTTCATGCCGCAAATCTAGCCCTTCCGACAACTTCTGGGATTTGAATTTTTGGGTCGGGTTTCTTTTACGGGTAGCCGTGTTTCACTTCAATAGAGTACCCTGCACCTGTACTACCAGTGAATGCACTCCACCACTTCCGTCATGTAAAATAATTCTCAAAGATGTTGTATTTTTTAAAAAGTATTCACAGCTGACCTTTTCATCTTCCTGTTTTTGCTTTTCTTCTTCTTGTCGTTGGCGTTCCTCGTTCTTCTTGCGTTTCTCCTCCATCTTGGCACTAGAGTAAAAAGGAAACAATAATGCTGTTGGATCCTGGAATATCTAAAAATGAATTGTCGGAGAGCGGAACGCTGTACCATTCAATGTTGTTGATTAACCCTAACTCCCTAGGCATTTTTGCTAGGAGGTAGCCTCAATCCTGCAAAATCTTCCAACTGCCTCCATGGAAAAATAGCATAACCTCAATCCTGCTAAATTCTCCATTTTTTCTTGAATAATGTCCGTGGTGGGGTGCCCACTGCCTGAATCCTGCAACATCCTGCGGCAGTGACTGTCAATATGTTGAGGCTTGGCCAGTGACATCCTGGAGCAGTACGGAGGATGTTAAGCATAATCCAGGCCTATATTTATGCATGGCTGAGCAAAAACACCACAAGGTCCGGCCCATGACCTCGACAAAGTAATTCCTACGAAAACAGTAACGCACTTTTGCCGTGTAACCTCAATCCTCCAAATTCCTCCACTTTGGCAAAGAGGATTTTGAAGGATTCAGGGCAATTAGGGTTAATGAGAGTAAACTGTACTTTGTACATTTCCACGTTGAACTCACTCCATATTTTCTTGTTTCTTCTTGCGTTCCTCTTCCTTAGCCATCCTCCTCTGCTCCTTTTCTTTCTCATCTTCTTCTTTCTTCTGTTGTCGTTCTTTCCTCTTGACGTCTTTCTCCATCTCCTTCTGTTTCCTCGCCTCATCTCGTTCTTGCTCCTTCTCCTTCTTCAGGTTCATCTTCTGTCGTTTCCGTTCCGCCTCCTCTTCTTGAAGTTTGCGTTTTTTCTCCATGCGTGATTTTATCTATAAAGCCAACAGAAAAAAACATTACTAAACCATCTCTGGTAACTTGCCTAAGAAACACTCCTGTTCTTCTTGGAAAATTATGTTTTGAAAACAGTGCATTCACGGTGGAAAAAAGACGTTTCTTAACCATATGCCAGTATTTAAGGAGTTCTAATCCATCTGGTGTCATTTTAGATACTCAGGTTGATAAGAGTCGGACTCAATTAAAAACTTAAGACTTGGCCTGACACTCAACTCAAGTGGTTTGACTATATCACAGGCGCATTCTCACAGATTGTTCCTGAGTTGGCATGCACATGCATACAACTCTTCAATACAAAAGTTACCCCCCAAAATTTTTTTTAAAAAAAATATGAATTCCTTACCTTTTCTTCTCTCAACTGTTCCTTTTCTTCCAGTTTCTTCAGAGCTTTGGCAGAAAGTGGAGTCTGAAAAGAAAACAGTCCAAACAACAATTACTTTTTTATAAACATTAATTAAATGTATAAACGTTTATCCTAATGCTAGCATTTTGCCAGATGAACCCTACAGAATCTCACCAATGCTAAAGGTAGCTGTATAAAGCAAATTCCAACATCGTGGACAAAAACTTGGACGATTCAGAAGATTTATGGCAAAACCGCAAGAGAGTTAGAAGATGAAGGAATTAAACAAAACTCAAACCTTCTTGACAGGTTTTCCAACTCCTTTTGGCGTAGCAGGCCCAGCGTTGGTTGTCGAACCACCAGTGGAGCTCTCGGCCTCGCTCGACCCCTCAGATGACTTGACGGTTCTTGCCTCCTCATCATCGTTACCATCTTCAGAATCCGCATCATAGCTGAGTTTACTCGCTGTTGCAGAATCATCGAGACACGTCATACTAACATCCATCTCAGACAAGGGTGCTTCCTTCTTGAGCTTAGACTCTTTGTCATCAGATGTTTTCTCTGTCTCGGAAGCAGTACTCCTTGATGACTTCTGACTAGGAGTAGCCGCCTGGCTACTTTGACGAGAAGACTCAACATCCGCGACCATAGTTTCTGTTGCCGAGAGACCGTCATGGTTCTCCTTGCTTGACAGCTCCTCCTCGATGATAACCAAAATGTCGTCATCTGAGAGATCAAAGACATCATCGGACGTCGATACCTGAGGTTGCTGAGTGGTCTGAAGAAAGCTATCCAAGGATTTCGGTTTGGAGGCGAGGGATCTCTTCGGAGTCGCCGAAGACGAGGTAGGCTTGTTCGATTCCTGATCTTCACAACTCGAGCTCACCTCCGGATCCAAATCGATTGTTTCAATCCGTGGATTCTTAGGGGGAACGGGGGAGGACAAAACTTTCTTGACGAAGAACTTCTTGGCGGGATTGTCAGCTGGTTTCTTGGCGCTCAACTTGGCATCAGTGCTCTTGACTTTGGTCGGGTGGTTAGGAGTTTGAGATCTATCAGTGCCGGACAACTTCCGTTTCTTGGATGGGAGGGGGCTGGCAGTCACTGAAGGCTTGTCGCATTGGTTCGGAGAAGGGGATGAAATGACTTTGAAGGGAAGTCGAGCTGAAACAAAGAAAAAAACGCAAGAATATACACCACATTGTATGATAAACATGACATAATATTTTGTTGGCCGGGCTAAAAGACTACTCAGATAAACAGCTAAGTCCATTCGTCTCTTGTAGCACTCACAAATTATCTATGCTTGTCCTTTCGTATGTTACGTCTGTCATAATCTTGATTTTTTTACCAACACAGAATAGCCTTCTGATCTGTAACGCAGCAGTACTGCTTATGGTAGAAAGGGCAATAGGTCGCCCAACGTGCCATTATATCATACCACCAACAAAAACATTTGTTAAGTTAACTAAAAAGCAAAAAACTGTTTAAAAATCTGCAAAAAGGATAACAGCACAGAAATGAGAGTACACAGCTGTAAAACTGATCAAATAGGTCAAAAGCTGTGATACAATGATGGGCTTCCCAGCTGTCAATTTGGGTTGTCAGATTTCCCCAACACAACACCACCTGTGTAACAAACTTGCATGCTGATTAAAGTGAAGAGCACAACTGCAAGAAAGTGCGTGTAGTACAACAGTTTAAAGCCCCTACTCACTACAAACCGTTGATAATTTAAGAGGAAACAAACAATATCCTGAGGAGTTTAGACTGTGCTTTGTCTCTTCACTCATTGTAACTGAGAACCTCTCACACAAAATTTTCTTAAGGATGGAGAAATGCATGACTGTCATCGTAGCGGGAATAACTCTCAAGAAGTTTGTGGGGAAACGTCTCGTGAGAATGAAGCAGGTAAGTGGTTAGAATTTACTTCCTTGTGTGTTTATTTTGTTGATTTCAAGACTTTTTTATTATGTGTACTCAAGTGAAACAAAACTAAAGATATTTTGCTGTCGTAAATTTCCTTTTCTTTGGTGATTCGTTGTTGTGTCAGTATTAGCAGTAAGCCAATGAGCAAACTTTTCTCACAGATGTTTTCAATGAGCAAATTCTAGGGTTCAAAATATGAACAGAAAACCCCTAAACTGAACAGTGTCTTCCTGAAATGACATCACAACTGTTAAAACAGCGCCCTCAGTTGTCAGGAACGACACTTTTTATGTTAAAGAAGTGCACTTTTCAATAAAAAACAAACAAAAAGGAAATAGTTTTTATACTTTAAGAGTAGAAAGTTGCACAAAATATGTTCCTAAGAAAAACTCATTCTAAACCCTAGCCTTCAATGCTTTTGTTTAATTAAACATACTGAACGTAAAAGGATTTTGTATCAACAAGTCAGATGTTTTGAGCTTACAATTTGACCTTCAGGTGCTGACAAAAGAGGTCTGTGACAGTACCCACCCAAAATGGCAATAAACCTTGCAATGAGTCATTCCTTTGTTAGATAAACCAACAGGAAACAAAGGATAATCTACTAATTAGAAACCTCAATCTTATCTCATCGTACAATTTTCTCAGTTTCTCTCAAGGTTTGACGATTCGAAAATATACTTCTAAATGTCTTTTACAATTGTCTACTTGTTGTCAACTAACAAGGATCACAAGGCAGAGGTTTTCCCCATCAGAGACCCGAACTTTTAAATGTGTGACCTATTTGACACTTTGACCTTGTACCAAAATTTTTGAATGTCAAAGAAGTACGTTTAAAGGTATAGTCCATCATTTGCAGCCTTGCGAAAAGTAACTGGCATAATTATTGTTGAAAAACAAACTTGGTTGAAAGATAGTAAGGGAACTAAACTTCCTGTGAAATTATTCTTTCTGGGAAGCTGTCATTTTGAAGTAATCAACGAAAGAAGGCATATTTCCAACGGTGATTCTTAAGAAGCACCGTAGGAAAATTTAAATTAGTAGTTCGTTTTGTTATTCAGCGCAGCGCAGCGCGCACAAGTATTGGAACGACGCACACGCGCACGCGGTTGTTATAATTCGTCGGATCAGTGCGCGACATCGCGTATAGCTGCAATTCAAAACAATTCAAAACATGATTCAGTAACTTTGGATTTGAAATTGAGATCTTAGAATGCTGTTTTTCTCGGAATGTACAGCTGAAGCTTAGCTGAAACTTCATCGGGTTAGTTGCTCAGTATCCTTCATTAGATTTTGAACTCTTTTGTTGCTTCAAACGAACAAAATGCACAAATTACAAATGATGGACTGTAGCTTTAAGATGTAGAAAGTACAACAGTATCAAATTACTTCAAAGAAAAGGTTGTACCAGAATTTATGAATTGCATGTTAACATATTTATGGTATTTGGGGCAAAAGGTATGAGGAAATGACACATAAAAATGTTAGAGCCATCAACAGCAAAAAAACCACGGTGTTCATCCTCTTTCTTGACAGGGACAAACAATGCTTCTTAAAGTTTGAACTTGGGGATGAACATCTATTACGCTAAGAATCCAAATTAGGAACCAATTTCATGTTGAAATGAAAATATCCAAATAAGTCTGTCATCAGGCTAAGGCGCTAAGCATAATTTTTGTTTTTGAACTTTAACTACCCTCCTGCAATCTGAACAGTCACAGACAGTCAAAAAAAATTCAATCCTCTTCCCTGCCATGCCTTTTACACAAGCTAGTCACCAACAGTCAGATCATATTTAAAGCAAGCACTAGACTAGTCAAATTCAGTCAACAGACAAAAGTAAGTAACTGGTAGGCACAGCTGGCTATCAATCACCTGCAGTCAAAACATAGCTGTATAAGTTTAACAGTCACAGCCAGTCAATCCTGTTTTATGTAGGCTGGGAGCTCTTAACTGTTAAAAACAGTCACTTGATTGATTTTGACTGTTAGGATAGCTGTTTGGAATTTAACAGCCAGAGAGGGAAGGTTTGAAACATTTGAAAAAAAAGGACTTTTGCAGGCTCTTGATATCATTGTTTTAGTTTATCTGATTTTCTTCCTTTTTTTCTTTATTGAAGCAACACACTATTTATGTAGCTCACCTTGTTTCAACTTCTTCGTTGGGGGACTCATTATGGGACCTTCAGACGTCGCAACGTTGCCTAGAATTAGATAAGACAAATACAGGAATAGTTTTAATCAATGCTAACAAGTATTTATAGTGGGGCAAACCTTAGTAAATGAACATGGTTTAAATTTGAAATTTCAAAGTGGCAATAAATGCAAGTATGCGATACATGTAAAAAAAAAATTAACAGAAATATGGATACAAATTTGTTTCCATTCAGTGTCTGGATCGCAAGTGTGATAGGCCTACCAAATTTTCCACAACGTGCGTGGTCACAAGACTACTTTTCGTGATCCATTTTCCCTTTTCGGCTTGATGTTGTTGCATGTGGGGTATTTCGTATATAATCTTTGCACCCATGGACAGCTCAATGTCCTATTGATCAGTTTTTAAACTCCTTCCCCCAAATTGTGTTTTCACTGAAAAAAACAAGAGATTTTTTTTCAGAACAGGTCTGACCGCCCCATGCCGTGTACATTACTGATTTTCAGTCTGGGTCATGTGTGCCCCCATTGCGCAATCATGATTTCAAGCAAGATGGCAGTATCCCCCGAAACGACTTTTAATCGATGAACAAGATTGTGTCAGGATGCAACATTCTTTGGAAAAATGTTGCAACCTGACACCACTTTTTTCTTCATATAGGCCTATCATGTCAATGAAGGTCATTCATTGCAAAAATGATGAGAAACATTTCCAATGTTGTTAGGAAATTGGAAGTTGGAAAATTGTCTTGAATCTCCATAAGGTATGCAGGCCTATACAATCGCGGAAGTGGCGTCAGGTTGCAACATTTTTTTCCCATTCGACATTCCTTCCATAAATTGTTGCACACTCAATGTGATAGGATACCTGCCAAAAAAACTGCATTCTGATTTGCACATCAACACAAACATCATGAACATGACCCAAAAAAATGAAGACTGTCACTAAGAAACTAGGGTAGTTTAACCATGGAGCCTTTTTATAGCTCCATGGTTTAATTTTAACTAACAAGACTAAGAGTAGACTGAAGACTAAGCTGCTATGGCTAAGTTGCAAAACTTGCAAGTTGCATTTTCTGGCAACTTGACTGACGCTGCTTTTGTCTTCATGGGAAAATGTCCATACTCGATCGTCAATTTACCTGCCGCCAAACATATCAATTTTCACCTCACCTTGTGCTTTCAACCAAGAGGAATCCAGAAAGCTGTGTTAATGCGAAAAAACAATTAGGAAAAATGTGTTTTTAGAGCACATTTTGGATGCACATGTCGTGCAGAACTAAAGTTGAAGCAGCCGGTCAAAACTGATTGAAGTGGCTGAAAGACAGCGGTACGTTATACTTATACGCATGACACCGACAACCATGACGTTGCATGAGCCAGCCAATGATAGTGCAATACGTCATTATGAATATTCATTTTCTCATGAATATTTAGTTTATTTCAATGGCTGCTTCAAATACGTCCGAAGATTGATCATTGCAACAGCGATCGTGCGCGGCCTAGCGGTTAAGAGTCTCGTGTTTCAAGCAAGAATCCGAGGTTCGAATCTCGATGAAGTAAGTGACTGATTAATAAATAGAAATAAAGGAAAGGAGAGGGTGAGAGTAGAGGAGGGAAAGTGGAGGGAATAACCATAAACAATGAAGGATGCAACTTTGGGCGCTTGAAAATTAATTGAAAAAAGGGGTGATTTTTCTGTGAAGTAGTGTCAGGTACTAGATTGCAACATTCATCATGTCACATGCATGTTCATGACATTCTTTCCCATTTTCTTTCAAATTTGGGCCAAACAAATGAACATGATTACAAATTAAGTACATTAAACATGTTAAATAATACTATTGGATAATACATGATGAGGTTGCAAAATCATTTATGTATTAAAAACACCTTTCAAACTAAAATAAAGAAGGGTCTTAACTGCATGTGCGTACTGGCACTGCAGTGGCAGCCGGCTATACACGACGGCCTAGGCCGGCCATGTAGGCCTGCAGTATGCGAACATGGCGACCGGCATTACCAAAAAATAGTCAATAAAAAAATGCTTACCAGGGGAAGTAAGAGACCTCTTTTTTGATCCTACTCCACTGTCAGGGGCATATTCACCAATCATAGTAAAAGCTGAAGAAATCTTCAAAAAAAGGGCTGAAAACAAGCACAAATTGTGACAAGACAAAACTAGCTTAACCCCAATCCCCGTTCCCTGGTTAAACTTGGCGGGAAATGCTTGGTACACAGCTATTCCGGCTACTCCTGACAAACTTGATATGATTGGTTCATACTGGTAGCGTAGCACGCGTACACCAATCACCTTCACTGATACGCACAGCGCTTACTGGAAGTAAAACCCTTTCAATTTGCTGTTTTCCCCAAAAAGGATTCAGCTAACCAATCAACGATACTCTTAGATGGAATCATAATTCCCAGAAAATACTCCGCCTTAGTAGTTCGAGAAAAAGCGTGAATTCGCGTTATCATCGATAGTTGCCGAGAACTACGTAAACGCCTTCCGCGAGCCATACAAAACGGCCGAAATATTTGCGTTTCCTTGTGTTTTTCATCATAACATTTGCTATTGGCGGGTTCGAAGTCAAGCCACAAACCTGATTTTCCAGAGGGACACAATCAGAGATCAACATGTCGTTCGCAGGACTGAAAAAGCAGTTCAATAAGGCCAACCAGGTAGGAGTTTACACATGACAACCATTAACCAGTTGCGCTATTTCGAGTGTGCACGTGATATGTTTAGCCATTGACATTGTTGAATAACTTTAGTTACATTTTATTTTTAAATATTTTCTTTCCAATTTGTTTTAAGGGTCGACTTCAAACGTGTTTGTAACAATGGGGCCTATTCATTTTCATGTTGGTGATGCTATTATCATGATTATAAGGCACTGTCACTGGATACTCCTTTATTTGACCGTACACCCCAATTTTTTTCAGTATAAACAGTAGACTCTATGCCACGGCGTCACCGAACATGCGCAGTGACTGTTTTTTCCCCTTTAAAAAAAATCTTCCAGAACCACAAATCAGAAAAAGAAGATGAAATGAAATACAATTAAATGTATTCATGCCATGGTATTGTCATGATTGTAGAATTCGAAAAGAAAAGAAAAGAAAAAAATACAATCGTTCCTTTTTGGGACCCAAAAATAAGTTGTAAAAACATCGGTCACGCTGCAACTCGAACTCTAGTGGCATTGCTTGCAAGGCGGGTGTGCTATCCACTAGGCCACGCAATCGCTTGACGAGAAATGGTAATTTAACAGTAGCCTACTCGAATACGTAGCACCTTGTCACTTCCAAATTAGTCAAATAATTATTAACTTGGCCTATTTTCAATTGTTTAAAAATAATTCAGAAAGGAGTAATTTTGGAAATTGAAACTCAGATGATATCCTTACTTTCTGCTGTTTGATGTTAACAGTTATAGGCCATCAGCCTCGGTCCAAAATTTTGGCCACCAGTATCAAATGAGGGGAATAATTGTTGTAGCGATTTTTGGCAAGGTATGTACACCTCCAGAGTTGGAAAATATGTGATAGCATTGCAACGGTGGCAGCTTTTTGGGTGTTATCACCTTTTTTTCAAAATGTCCATCAAAACGCTTGTTACCACTCTAGGGGCGGTATACCTTGCGCATGCGCACTACAATCATTTATGCCCTGATTTGATACTGATACCTTATACTGATACTTTGATACTTGACCAATGACAAGAAAAATCACATACATGTACGTACTACTAGTACTAGTCTAGTATGGGAAATTCTGACTGCGACTAAATGTGTCAGGAAAAACAATGCTTAGGCCAAACAAAAAAAGAAGTTCTGCTTCTGATTACATGCCTATCAAAAATAGGGTGGCGGTCGGAATTTTTTTTTTTTTTGCCATTTTTTTTATGCAGATTTAATGGGGTATTCAATTATATGCGAAGTTTTTAGCCTGAACTATTCCCATTGCACTACGAAAGCTATACACGAAATGGCAACAAAGAGTGAATAAAAACTACCTTTAATTATTGTAATTTGTAAATATATTTACGTTCGATAATTTCAAAAAATAATGGAAAATTCAGGTCGTTCGCACCATATGCACAACGCTAGTCGAGACGCGGGGAGCTGGCCAAAACTCTGAGGTGTGTGATGCGTGCATGTGTGGCGAGCGGCCCACCATGGGCCGACAGACCTGTTTTTACGGTCAAAAATTTTGGGAAACACACAGCATGTATCACTCCAAATACGAGTAGTGCGATCTCAAAATGAACTCTTGAACACAGAAAATACATACACAGACAAGCTAGATCAATTCTGTAAATTAACTTGCAAAAATGTTCTTTCTCCATCAGTGTTTTCTTGGCATTTTTACGATGTTGAATCCGACCAGTTGACAGTGGCCTGCACTGCTAGCGTGCTATCGGTCGCATAGCTATGGACTGGTTACCGCATTTTCATCATGTCTTCGAAATTGGCCCCTGCGCGGCGTGGCGGGAACCAGTCGTCGCCACGTGACTATAGTCGCCGTGACATCGCATTGCGAAGTAGCTATATCGCGAAGCGAATTTGTAAAAATAACGGAGGTTTCCTTTGAAAAAAAGTGAATGTAAGTAAGAAAACAAATAAATACAAGCATTTTTTTATGCAAAAGGGTTGTTGAGAGGTATTTTGTGAAGACAGAAAAGACAACAAAATTGTATTTTATTTATTCAATCTTTCTTTTTTTTTTTTTTTTTTTAATTGCCAATAACATTTTTAGGGTCGCAGCCTAAAAATAGGGTCGGTTGGGTAACCGGAAGCAGAACTATTTTTTTTTTTGGCCTTAGTTCAAATAAACAAAGAAATGCTGACTTCAAACACTTTCGCTTTTATGCAGAAGCAATATCATTTGAGTTAGTCTGAAAATTTGGGACTCTAAATACTGTGTATGAGAGTCCCAAAACCTAAAGTATACAACAAAATAGACTGGCAGCTGAAACAACCAGTCCAACAACCCTTCAGTACTGCATCAATCAACTGTGCCAAAAAAAACATCTGGTACTAGTCCCTATTTCTACACATTTTTCAATAGTCAGCCACCAGACTAATGTCAATAAATGAAGAGGCCAGTCTTTTTAAACAGTTGATCATGGTTGGACGCGAACCAGTCTAGTCTTTAGCCTCATTTTGAAATCACTTGACTTCCCTCTCAGGTGCAAAATATTGAAGAATAGTCTCCTTTAAAAATTGAATTGAGTCTTCAAACTTGGTTGGTGAAATACTGAGGACCTTTGGTTTGCCCAATGAATATTTTGGAGAATTTTGTCTAAAGAGTGAGTATAGTTGGCCTGATTTCGTTTTGCATGTTTTTCAGCACTCAAAGCCCCAGTCTGCATTTGGCAAAGGCTTCAAGAGCATTCAACAATTCATAGAGTTTGGGTCAGTTTTGTACTTTTGGTGAACGCAAACCAGTAGACACCACCAAAATGTAAACATTGCAGTCCAATAAAATTCCAAAATGCAAAAACTCATGTTGTAAAAAGATGACATTTATGATACAACAAAGATAATCTATGCTGGTACAAAAATAAAAAACAACCAAAAAAACCCACCAAACTTGACATTTATATGATGACACTAAAGAAGCCCAAAGTTTTAATTATATGACCAAAATAGTTAGACTTTTAGATTATTTCATGTATCGGTCCAAGAGAATCTATCAGGCAAATAAAAAATTTGAGATACTGGTCCGTATTTTGAGTGAGATGTTTGTAAAATTTTCTGGAACTTTTTTCTTTCCGTTTACCTCTGACCTTGTCCTCAGTCCAACTGCATGCATGTGTTTGACATGTTTGAGCATGTGGTCTCTTTGCCTGCCTGTTTGCACGTACCGGTAATACAACTAACAAATCTGACCTTAGTGTCTTTCAAAAGGAAATCTAGAAATATGTGTCGCATAACACACGTGTAGGTTGGATGTACTGAAGTACATGTACATGCTACAGTATTATATGAATTCTATTCTGACCCATTTTTCACAGTTTTGGGTCATAAAAACGTGAAAGTACATTTGTGTATATTGTGTTCATAAGTTGGGGGGGGGAGAAAATGCTTTATACTAGTTGTCAAAATAAGTTGTACTTTATTTGTTGGATGCGTAGTGTAGTAATCTGTTTGCCTGCAAATTATGGTTAGGCGAAGTAAAAAAAAAACATGTTTAGCGTCCCCGCCCGCTTCCTTTTTAGAGGCCGCCTCCTTTTTTTTTTTTTTTTTTTTTTTTTAAAGACAAAAATTGATAAATTTTAACGATCTCCGACGAAAGAAACCCTTTTTTTTAAGACTTTTATACCGTGTATAAAGCTGTGGAAATAGTCAATGAGTCCAAGTGGCGGCCATTTTGAAAAAAGCTGGTAACCATCTTGAAAAATATCCCGGCCGCGTTGTCTTAAAAAATGTGTCGGGCGGCCATTTTGAAAAAAAAAAAGGGCCTCCTCCTTCCTTTTTGTCAAAGAGGCAGGACGCTAAACATGTTTTTTTTTTTATTTTGCCTTACAAAGGACTGTGTACTTCCACATGCATCTCCTATTAAAAACTTACATTTTGTAGTTTGGGGGTTGGGTGACGTCATCCGATAAAAACAATAGATTTATTTGTGCATCAGTTTTCATCAGTTGCTACGTGTCACCAATCAGCACTCCAGCCTGAAGAACCATTGAGTTTCAATAGCATAAGTCTGGGAGCTAGATTAACCTCTTCCTGGATGTCCTTGCCTACCTTTAATATTAAATATTAATCACTCCAGAAAAGCTACTTTTCATAAAATACTCAATTTAGCCAAAGTTCAAGTTAATACATTTTTCATTTATTCTACAATATAGTCACTTATGAGTTGAAGGGAATGTACAACATTTGCTTTTGCTGCAATTTTTCAGAAATAATGGATTTGGAGGATTAGTATGTTATAGCAAATACTGTTAAAATGACTTTTTTTCATGTTTTGGGCTTGTACCGTAGATGCTGGAAAAGCCAAGAAAACCAATCATGTATTTGCAGTCTGGTGACCCCACTTATAAGATAAAACGGAGCAATTAATAGACTTTGGGGAATTGTAAGGTCAGAGAATCAGTCTAGCAGACTTGTACCTCTTCACAGGTGTGTAATCAAAAAAACGCGGAATAACTAATTATGAAAAATTCGGAGCAATTTTTGAAAAATAGCCAGTTTTCTCCAATGATGGTCGGCCGACCAGCGTTTGAAAAATACCATTTTTCTTGAAAATGTCAGCACACCAGGAGCCATGATTTTACAGCATGCTTTAGACTGTCATTCCCCAACAATCCAGTAAGGTATTTTGCGATAATTTGATCATTTCGTTTTGTGATGTTTGCAAATGTTGTATCTTCCCTTTAAGCAAATGTTAAGTTAATGATAAACACATTTCACCTGTATGCCTTTTCTGTAAGTCTGTCTATGCTACAAGGTGTGTTTGCATTTCAGCAAAACTTTGCGTACTCAGCTCCAGTTAGTCTCATTATCAGCAGTTGTGACTTATCACTGTCAGTTATAATGTGACAACTGTGACCTATGATGACTAATTTACATACATTAATCAATATGCATATTCACGCCATACACAGTAAATGTCATCCTACTTTGCCCTTTTAACGAGACAGATCCTATGGGTTCTGTGTGAGGCTTGGCCCTCGTTATCAGGCTTGCCAGCTGCCACTTCCTCCGTCTAAAGTCCTTCGATCCTTGGGTCTATTTTGAGACTTCCACTCTCGCAACCATTCAGTTTCTGGGTGTATCGACATTCAAGTTCTCTGAAACGTTTGGCCCAATTTTTGCCTCAAAATGCCTTTCCGTGGTTTAAAGAAACAATACAGCAAAGCTAACCAGGTAAGGGAACATTATCATGTGGATTTACATGTATTTATTTATTTTGAATGAAACAAACGTTTACTCAAATGTTTGCTCATAATTTCATGAATTTCAATGAAGCTGGCACTTGGCAGGCTTTAAAAAAACTGTAAAGAAAGGACAAATAATTTTCAGTTTTGAGGAGTTCCATTGATTGATATTCTGGGGAAAAACCTGCAGAATCTGGTGTACATGTATACGCATAGTTGGACAGGGTCGGCGATTCCAACTTGGGTTAGTGATTCCAACTCGGGTTAGCAATTCCAACTTGGGTCACAGATTTGGAAGACAAGGAAAGGACCACTGCGCGCTGTATCCTTGAACACCTAAGCACATACATGTACGTGTACATGTATCATCTATGTATCTTGAATAATTAATGAAAATGAAAAATAGATTGGCAAGCTTAGAAAAACTTCCAGTTCTAAGGATTCGCTGCGATTGTACAATTGTAGCATTGAAAGTGAAACATTAACCTTAGAAGAAAAAAAAACAATGATGTTTGTTTTTGTCCAAAAAAATGAAAGCAACTGAGGATTAAAGCTTAGGCCAAAAAAAAAACTGTTCTGCTTCCGATTACATGGCATTTAAGAATAGGGAATGTAGGAAGGGAAATCATCTTTTTTGGGCAGTTTTTTGGTGTTCAATCATGGAGGTGTCTGCGTGTAGTCAAGGGTAAAAGGTAGTAATTAATTAATGATCTTTGGGGTATTTTCCTAATTTTCCCCCCAAAAAAATAGGCTAGGGGCTGTCAAAATAGGGTAGGTAGGGTAACCGGAAGCAGACGTATTATTTTCTTTGGCCTTTTAAATAGGATACACCAACTCATTTCAGAGAATACCCGGTATGTGCGATTTTGGTCAGTTTTGGGTGAACAATGGTAAACAAAATACCATTGTCTTCTCACTGTAGATTCTGTTCGATTCAGCATTTTACACCAAATACACGTACAGTACTTGTACTTGCAATGCTCAATGCAAAAACGAACACATTGTTAATTGATGGCGTCACAGCAAATATTCACACTGCAAATTTACAAAAGTTGAACTCATGTCAACTCGGCGAATTTCGCCGTGAAAATATTCAGATGTCATATTTGTCTCACATTCCCAATTTGGCATAGTTTTAAACCAGCTGTGTATCTGTAGACAAGGCAATGGCACGGAAGTAATCCCATTTTGGTGGTTTCTGAACTCAGTGTCAAGAAAAGCAGAATCGCAGACAAGTGACGAAGGTCGATTGAGAAAGCAGTAAAGCAATGAATGAATGTTGACCCGATCATAGGTCATTGATAAAGTCGTATGTCGGCCCTGGAATCACTATCACACACAATAAGAGGAAGCAGCTGTACCAGACAATGGGACCAGTCCTCGTAATGGCTTCCTTCAACATTGGTAGTTAGTTTGTATAGTGCAGTCTGTACACAGTGTATGTACGTAATACACTTTCATAAGGCAAGGCCACATTACCGACCCCCCCCCCCCCAATTTTTTTTTTTTAAATAAATTTTAAATGAACTTTCATTTTTTGTTAGATATTTTATGCACATTGTTCTAACATCTTATTTTTTAGTTCAGATATTTAGCTACTGGAAGTGTGTGTTGTCAAAAATTATAAAATTTGAAAAAAAAAAAAAAAAAAAAAAGCGTGTGCATTTCAAAAATCAGTTGGACTCTTTTCATCAAAAGTGGGTTTAAGAACTGGGCCTAGGCCCAGCATGTTTAAAACATGTACAGTTGAATTCGGACCTAGCCAAATAGTTTGTTATATCAGAATTTTGTATTAAGAGGAACATCAGTCCCATTCATTGTGCACATAAATGCACAGTCGGGACCAAGGCTTTTTGTTTGTTATAACCAGAATTTGTATTAACAGAGTTTGTACTAACGAGAGTCGACTGTACACTGTTCATATACTGATAGTTTGTTATTAAAAAGGAAAAATACACACTTGTACGATGTATGTAAAATGTGCATACTACAAGTCTATCTGTTTTACACGTAGCCAAACATTTAACTGTGTGTGCATTTGTAAGTGTGAAGCATAACAATATTGTATTGATTTCTGCGTAATAATTAACATGAACCAAATGATTGATTTTTATTTAAGCCTGCGTAGCCACAAACCAGAATGCATTCAGAAAAGTGTGGTCATAGGCTACAAAAGCATTGATTTCTCATATTTTTTGAAAAGATTGAACAGCCCACTTAAACTAAAATGAGATTTGTAAGCGCATGACAAATAATACGATTTTAGCCATGATTGTGAAAATAATATTTAAAAAAATGTGTAACTGGACACCATATTTGTTTCTTTTAACTTGAATAAAACAAAAATTCATCTTGGTTTTATTCTGGGTAACACAGACTTTGAGGAAATTACAATTATATCTTGGGGGAAAACAGTTTTCCATGGATCGCCAGTTAATGCCAGAGGATATATGTAAACACAATCTGACAAAGAACATTCACAGGGGCGGGCGAAGCGTTCAATCGTCAAGCTTTCCCTTAGTCTCCGGTGGACGTGAACACATCAGTAGTTTTGTACACACCATGTTTTGAACTTGAACTTCGCCGCTGTACGCTGCCTGTCATCGTAGCAAATATCGCTTCATGGCAGGCCTTGGAGTGTTGCTTAAAGCCCGGTTCATACTTCATGCGAATGTGAAGTGAATTTGACGTCATGAGACATTCGCTGCCAAAATTGCCCGAGTTGAAATATGTTCAACTTTTACGAATTCGCAGCGCAAATAGGCCTACTTGCCATGACGTCACAAATTCGCGTTCGCATTCGCACAGACATGACAGAGTATGAAACGGGCTTTTGGTGAGAAGTATCGTACACATATTGTGCAAATGACTTGATTTTAAAATGTGGCTGATAGGCTATAGGCCAAAAAAAAAAAGTCTCCGGTTTCTAGTATGCGCGCGCGTCGCCGTAGCCATGCGCGTCGGCAAAATGAACAAGTTTTTTTTTCAATGAAAGATGATGTATCAAAACCGCCAAACTCACTGGTTTGACTAGAATTCTGCTGCTGCGCAATTTCAACGTGTTTTTAGATGGGGTTATGATCGAGAATAAGCTTTATGTGGCCTCTCTGGACTCCCATATATTTTCACTAAGTTTAGTGGGGCACCATTTGCAGTCATCAGCCGACATTTGAAGCAAAAAAGTCGGGTAAAAAAAAAAAAAAGTTGCGTCGCCGCACCACTTTTTGGACAAGCTCCATACCAGAAACCGGAGACTTTTTTTTTTGGGGCCATATCTTGTCTTTTTTTTCTCAAAAATCTAGGCAGAATTTGGTTAAATGTACATGAAACAGTTCATGGGTGAAGGTTTCTGTGAGAATCTCAGGGTAAGGGAAGCAAAGGTTTATCGTTGCAATGCCTTGATCATCAACGGCTGACAAAAAAAATTTCAATGGTAATTGTGGCCACCGAAAGGTCAAAGGAGTGTGTAAGATTAATGGATTATCCATACATGAAGTTGGGCTCAAGCCAAGCGTTAAAGCAAGGAACGACTATGGTTTAGCTTCGTGTACGACTGCTATTTATAACCAAACAAATATCCAAAGCAAAGAAAAAATGTTTTATTCAAAGCGATTTGCTTAGAAATGTTTCTGCTCATTTCCTCTGTAAAACTAGGCCATATCATGTATAGTTGTTACCACAAATGAGTACAAACGTCAGTTATTCTTTGTAAGTAAAGCTTTGATTTGATACAAGTGTCTTAAAGAATAGACTTGTCTTTACTCTACATAACATTTTATACATCAAACACGAAAAGTATTTTGCTATGGTGCTTGTAAAGAGCTATAGTACAATAATAACAATTCAACCCTAATAACCAGTTCGCGTCGGAGTCCACGTTATCATGCGTACTCTGTTTTTATACACAGACACAGCTGACGGGTTAAGACGTCAAGATTACTTCGACTTGCCACACACACGAAGTCTGTGGAGGCAGACCGTGTGTTGATCTTTAATTGGCCGCTGTGCACGGCCTATTGCTCTACAATTTACGCTCTGTTACACACCCCGGAGTGTTCAAAAGCATTAGGTTTCGGCAAGAAATATCGTACAAATGCTGTTGAAATGACTCTTGCGAATCGGTATTTGTGGCGTTTGGCTGTATATCAGAAGTTGGCTGCTATATTTTTAGAAAATCTTAATTTTCGGCAAAAATAATTCCAGCCCGAAGTGGTTAAGCAATTCATCGAATATTGAATCAAGTGGTTCAAATTCTAAACTTTTTTTATTCTTTTCTTATTCCACAGTATATGAGTGAGAGGATCGGGGGGGCCGAAAAGACAAAACTGGATGAAGACTTTATCGAAATGGAACGGGTAAGATTTCTTTGTTTATTTGCTGCATTTTACAAACTTTGAATTGCTCTTGAAGGTATTGCTTTTGCTGTAATTTTCAGAAATGGATGGATTTGGGGGTTAGTGTTTTATAGCAAATCTTGTTACACTGACCTGTTTTACAGTGTTGTGTTCATAGATGCTGAAAAAAACCAAGAAAAAAATGCTGTTCTTGTAGTCCAGTTCCCTGACCCTACTTCGGACAAAACAGAGCACTTTGTAGGCATCGGGAATTGTTAGGTCAGGGAACCAGACTAGCTGGCTTGTGACCAACTGCATCCAAAATGTGGACTAACTAAATTTGGTAAATGGAGTACCGAAGTGTGACGTCATTTAGAACCAGAAAGTGCAGTGCAAACGAATGGAGTATGCACGCGTGTTGGTTCACGGGCTGAATCACGCGGCTCTTACACACATTTTGTGCGCCTGACGTATATTCACTTAGGTACTCCATTGGGGACAGTTTTTGAGAAATGTCGTTTTTTTTTCCAACGATAGTCAGTCGACCATTGTTGGAAATCGATAAAAAATTTCCACTTTTCTTGAAAACGACAGCACACCAGGTGCCATGATTTCACAGGATGCTTGAGACTATTATTCACCTACAGTCAAGTAAGGTATTTCATGATAAATTGGTAGTTTTGTTTTTTTGATGTTTGCGAATATTGTACATTTAATGTCTACAATCCTGTGTCTGTCCTACCGATACACGTGTCAACTTCTATTCACAGGACCATCTGTCATGTCTGTACAGTTTTATAACTTCCTCTAATTAAGGATGTTTCATGGCTCAATTGAAAGTAATCTTAGACAATTCAAAGATATCAAATCCCTGAAAGCTTCTCCCTGGTGCAAGGATGTTTTCAGTTTAAAAAAAATCAAGTGCAAAACCATCCGTACCATAATGTATACATTTACATCATATGCGAGTATAAACTCTTTTGCATAAACATTGCTAAAGATTGCTCAAAAAGTAAACAGCAAATCGACTCAATAGAAAATTTGTGCAATTCTGCAGTTCTTTAAAGTGATCAGGAAACAGGAACCTACCTACATGTATTTTGTAGTTTGGTTCTACGAATGAAGTTAAAAATAGAAACGCAAACAGAATGAATTTCAGGAAACAAAATGCACACAGCATTCATGTGTCTGATAAAATGACCGTTAATAACAGAATTATGTACTCAGCATAGTGCTGTATTAAATTCCTAGAGCGCTGATGACTCGTGTACAAATGCAGCCTGCCGGCCGCATCCATGTTTGTGCACAAACCTATGGGAAAACTCAAAATTTAGTACAGCTTTAGTACATGGCGATTTGCATAGCCCCTGCGTTTGTTTTTTATACCAGTGAGTTATCATAGTTGATACACCCAAAACCGAAATACGCAATTACCAGTGGTCCAATGGTTACGGTGTTCGACTCGTATGCCATGGTACTTGGTTCGAATCCTGACCATGGGAACAGGGGCTTGTGCTCTTGAGCAAGGTACTTTACCAATATTGCTTTGTCCTTCGGATGGGACGTACACGTAAAGCCGTATGTACCGTATGTTGTGTAATGAAAGTTAAAGAACTCAGTAACACTTATCGCTAAAGAGAAGGGGTTTAATTGCCCCGGTGTTTCTGGCAGTGGCTGCAATATGCGCCGCAGCACCTTGTAAACCCTTATAAAGGTGCTACATAATGGATCTCATATTTCTCATTTACCGGTCTTTAAAAGTAGACATAATTACCAGCGCCTTGATTACCTAATTGTTGGTAGATACGATACGTGCACTGTATATAGCTCGGTTTTATTTTATTATTATTATGTACAGCTCATTGAAATTTGGCCATTTGAATCATATATTAACATTTTATGAATTTCAAACACATCCAAGTATCCCCAGCTTGGGAGTGACTATAAACTGTACTTTGCGCTACATGTACATGTACATGTACATGGGCATTCTATGTGTACCATGCGTACATCCCATTGTGTTGTAAGCCCAGAAGTTTTTCAAAGGAAGGAACCGGGACAATAGTTGATGATAAGATCTCCTTTGATAGACCTTGCTGTTTAGTCATGGTCATCCTACCATCCTGACAATGAAGATTGTCGCAATCACCAAGGACTACTGAGGCAGATAACTATCGGTGCATGGTACTACGGAACATGTAGAAGACACTAAGTACTAGGTTGGGAAATGCCACCATTGATCACTTTATGGAATGTCGTACAGCAATCACAGTCATCTACAGGGTTGCAAGTTGACCAAATGAATGGACATTTCAATTTTCGACTCTTAAGGCTCTGTGTTTACGGTGTTTAAAGGGAATATACAACATTTGCAAACATCGAAAAACAAAACTACCAAGTATTTACGACAAGTACTAGGATGTTCATAAATGACAGTCTAAAGCATCCTGTAAAATTATGGCACCTGGTGTGAAGTCATTTTCAAGAAAATGGTATTTTTGTATACATTTCCAACAGTGGTCGGCCGACCACCGTTGGAAAAACCTAACCATTTTTCAACTTCTGCTCCAAATTTACAATTTTTTTTCAGTCAAAATGTTGTTTGCTATTGGTTACATGTTCATGAACGGGTACAGGCCAGCTAGACTGGTTCACTTACCTTACAATTTTCCAGCATCTATAAATTGATCCATTTTAGCTTTACTGGAGTCAGGGAACCAGACTACTTGAGCATTTTTGTTTTTCTTGTTTTTTCCAACACATGTCAGTGCAACAATATTTGATCTATTATAGTAACCCCTCAAATACAATGTAGTTCATTTCTGAAAATTACAACAAAAGCCAATGATGTACATTCCCTTTAACATGTTTAATAAAGCGCACTCATTTGGGTGTTGCTCTGCATGCGCCATTATATGTACATTTGTATGCTGCAAGATGGCATGCAAGCTCTGACAACAGTGTTGGCATAAAGTATGTGTTTGCATTGAATAAGTGAGCAATTGATGTTTATGTTTTGTGTGCGATGTACGTACATCACACGTGTATGAGTCATGAAATGGATACATGCACACAATGTGAAAGTGTGGATCTTATTAGGGGAACAATCACAAGTCATTTACACTGGCATTTTATCAAAGTGCATTCATCTTTTAATCCTTTTGAAGAAAATTCTCTTTTGATTGCGACGTCAAGTACCGGCAGTGCATGTAGTACACACTGTGTTTTAAAATGTCTTCACCATGTTTCTTTCTTACATAACACCAAACATTTTGGACATATAATTACATATCAGGGTTCGAAATTAGCGGTAGCCCGCTAGCCAAATGCTAGTCAAGACAACGGCGGGCTAGTCAAACTATTCTTTAAGTAGCTTGGCTGGCGAGTGAACAATTATTGGGATACGGCAAAGATGAACGTACAGGAAGAAATAAATCATTCAATTCAGAAAGAAAACCCCATCAATTTGTGTCTAACTTTATCAACTGTTTTAAATTAAAGGGTTAAATTATTAGATCTGTTAATCCAAAAACACTGTCATAATTGCCTCAGAATTGAGCCTGAAAATACGCCATTTTGTATTTGAGATAAGAAAAAAAATGCGGGCTAGTGAAAATGCCCGCGGGCTAGTTAAGAGTCTGTTTCAGTAGCCCGGCTGGCTAGTGAACAAAAAAGTTTAGGTCGAACCCTGTATATATTTATTAAAATGACTGATTTAAAAACTCTTGCAATTACATACTTGTACATTAGTCATTATTGTTATTTAGTTATATAAATAACTATACTTTTTTTCGAGGGGGGGGGGGATAAGTAAAATATTGCTTGAGATTATTTACGAATTTTAAATGCTTGTCATTCCTTTTCAGTAATCTCTATTTTTTTCTCATCAGAAAATTGACGTGACTGGTCACACAGTGGATGATTTGGTGAACAAGACGATAGAATACCTTCAGCCCAATCCAGGTAAGAACCAAAATTGAAACGTCACAAAATTAAGCAAGTGAAACCTTCCCAAATCCAGGGCAGGGGTCAGATTTCCTGGCTTGCACTCAGCCAAACAAGAGGTGAACTAACTGAAGTTGGTAAATTGGGAGCAGTATTTGAAAAAAGAAGAAGTCATTTTCTTCCAATAATGTTCGGCTGACCACCGTTGGAAAGTAATACACAAATTCCACTTTCTTGGAAAATGACAACACACCAGGTGCCGTGATTTCACAGGAGACTATTATTCACTAACGGTCCGGTAAGGTATTTCATAATAATTTGGTAGTTTTGTTTTTGATGTTTGAAAACGTTGCATATCATCTTTAATTGTAACCTTTGGAGTAATTACGTTTGGGGTGACTATAGAACACCGGTTTGAATCAGCTGTTAGTATTCACTTCAAACAAACCAAATAGAGATAGATCTTCTATTTGTGTGCTGACCCTAATCAATCGTATTGTCTTTCCTGAACAGTCTCCAGAGCCATGAGTAAAGTCCGTGGTCAGAACAAAGGAGGAACCAAGCCTCAACAACCCGTAGGATTCCTGGGAGAAGTCATGCTGAAGAACGGCAGAGAATTAGGAGAAGATTCAATGTTTGGTGAGCAAGCTTCAAGATGTATTCTCTTTCCTAATCTAATCGATTCGTACTTTTACCAAGGACCACACCCAAAACAAATTTCATGAAAATCCGTCCACAACTTTTTGAGTTATCCTGTTCACAGACAAACCAAGGCCGATGAAAACATATACTTCATGGTGGAGGTAAAAAAAAACAGACGGGAAACCGTTTTTTTTTTTACTCTGTCTAATAATGCATTTCATAGACCATGCATTTCATAGACAATCTCAGCTCCCAGGGTATACTTAGCACAGCCGTTTAGTTTGGGTGGAAACAACAGAACAATAAAACCTTGCTTTTTATAGGTATTATTAAAAAAATATTTGTTTTGGTTATTTTTTGGATACAGGTACGGCGATGGTCGAGATGGGAGAATCACTGAGGCAACTTTCTGAAGTCAAGGACGCCTTCGATTTGAACGTCAGACAGAACTTCCTGGATCCCCTGGATCATCTCAAGAACAAAGATCTGAAAGAGATCAACGTGAGTTCCATCTTACAGAATCTGACAGAATTTGGTTGATTTTGATAGAAGCAGGACTGTGTTGCACAGCCACCTGCGGGGAAATTCAAGCACAAATTGTGGCCAATCTGGAAAAAAATTGATACAAGACAAGTGATCGATTACTGGTTGATTTGGGTTGTAACTTATGTCTGTGTACTTTGGGTCATTCGATAAATATGGGGTCCACTTTTTTCCTGTCCCTGTTACATCTGACGTCTGTGATTTTATAATTCTGATGCACTCCTTAATGCAGTCGTCCTCCTAGAGTGATTATGTGAAGCAGACAACCTACCCAACAAATTGTTGAAGTCATTCTTAATGATACTTGAGCGGCAAATGACAATGCTCAGAGATAACAGGAACTCGAAAATTGTCACACTTTGACCCATAATTTATATAAGGTGCCTTACAGCAATGTGCAAATGTCTCTTGTCAAACAGTACATTAACTTTCTCCCCAATGTTTGATTTCTACAGCACCATCGGAAGAAGTTACAGGGGCGACGTCTTGACTTTGACTACAAAAAGAAGAAGCAAGCAAAAGGTAGGCGACAGATTATCTCAACTCCATCATATCAAATCATCTTACATTACTAAAATATCATAACTAAAACAAAAATAAACCATCAGACTTCCAAAGTGTTATTGTTAACCTGACACTAAATTTATCATTATTAATTGTCATAGAGTATGTCCCAAAAAAGTGTCTGTGAAAGAAAGTCTGATGTGGTTTTGGATTGGAATCATTTGCCCTTGAGCATTAAACCGAGGGCTTGCCATGATGACTGATAGCCAGGCAAATGATTCCAATCCCAATTGCAGCCCTTTTCACAACATGCAGGATTTTACACAGCTTACTTAACACAGCACTGAAATTGATTAAGGCAAGGAACTTGGTCACAGTGTCCCAAAATGTTGTTGTGATCAATTGACAAGTGTGCAGTGATGCGTGACTGAAATTAAATGAAACTCATCGGGGTTGAGGCCAAGGCTAAGGAGTATCTGCACAATCAAACTTTTCAAATTGGACTTCATGGTTTTCAAAAATAGTCAGACGGACATTTCTTTTGGACATACTGTACAATGCGTATAATATTTGTTTGCACTAAAAGAAAAACAAAAATTGCATTTAAAATAGTGTTCCTTGTAAGCCTTCAATTGTGGTTTAGATTTTTTGAGGACTTAGTTTAGACAGTCGAGAAAAAGTTTGAACTTTGTGTCAACCATATTCACTCAGCGGCCAATATGATCTGCCAAATATTGTTTCCAAAAGTGGATATTGTCATCGGGAACTGAACTTTGTTACTTTGATCGATAGGCCTAACTGTCTCTAATAGAAGAGTTTAATCATTAAATCCTGTAAATTGACGTCGCTATATATGAAGGAATTGTCCACACCTTTGAATTCAACATCATTTTTTTTTACCACTTACTGTATTAATGTTTTACTTTCATTTTTCACTGTGCATCATCTACATACTCATCAGCATTAGCAGGTTTGGTCGGTATGTCAATAGTCTAGTTCCTAGACTCGTCATGAGTGGTCCCTTATTGTGCTTAGCACCCATAGTGTACACCCATAGCTCACTACAAGTTTGAACTAACAATAAGCGAAATTGTCTGTGAGTTTCAAAAATGAGAATAGATAGTGTTGTTGACATTTGTTAATGCACAATATTACCTTGTACTTTCCCTACAACAATATTGTGAATGTGTGTATGTAGAATGCTAGATGCTTAAGATTTACCACTGTGATAAATGTCCATGTAATAGATTAACCTCAGCCCACATGTACGTGCAGGCTTTTAAATATTCCTACTTTTCCTAGTTTTTTTTTTTTTACCGTACTCCATTTTTTCGTACTTTTTTCTTGATTTTTGTCCCACAACTCCGAAGAAATTTAATCTCATTGAAAACTTTCATGGCAGTGTTACACACTGTCAAATCACACAATGAAGGGCTTGGGCTCAGGAGTACTGCAACTGTACTTCCAAGAGCTTAGTTGAGGATGGAGCACAAGTGTTGTGAGTACAGAACATGCCAAATGAGGCTTATGATGCTGTGGATGTGGGCGAGCATCAACGAAAACTACCCCAGAAAGCCCACTACAGTCCTACTTTTATCCTGAGTCTGTCCTCCAAAATCCGACTTCTGTCCTGTTGGTTTTTGTAAATTTTGACCCTACTTTTCTCCTTCTTTTTCACCTGGGTCTGCTTGAAAGCCTGTACGTGTATCGTACTATCATGACGTTCTATTTTGAAGTGTGTTTTAAATCAAATTAGGTTAATTGCCCTTCAACGACGTTTAAACACTGTGTACTCGGTGGGTAACACACTGAGTGTACAGTGTTTAAACGTCAGTGAAGGGCAAAACCTAATTTGATTTATATCACCCCGACGCAAAATTCCATCTTATAAAAGTGTGTTTTAGTTAGTTAATCAGTTACATGTCCCTAATAAACGTCTACCCCTTCAGGATTGGTCTAGACAGCCTCCGGGAAAAAAAAAACGACCAAACTGAATACAAAGGAATCCAATGGCTGTTTAGATTAATGGTCTCCATGCGCAAACAGGAGAGGGAGCTATTTGATCACTTTCAATAGTCCAGTGGATAGGACACACTACGTACATGTATAGCGCATGGTACCCTGACTACTTTCATTCCCAATATGCACAAAGCCATAGCGTCTTCCTGTGGCGTCAGGCGTCGTTGGCAATGCGTTCAAATATCTCTCCCAGTCGTCTCTCCGACCCCAACTCTCCCTTTCTTACCGTTGAGGGGGTACTTGTGCGAAGAGCCCATTGGTCTATAATCCTATGATGACATCATGTTTCTATTTTTACTTTCCATGTACCCGTAAAAACGTTTTCGTCGGTTCCTCTCAGCAGCAGGTGGTATGTCAACACCGATTTTGTAGCGTAGCATTTCGTAGAAAATATTGTGGTGAAATAGATCAGAATTGATTGAGGATTCCGAAAATACAGTATAAGGCCAAAAGTCTATGTGTCCGTCATGCGTAGTGCGCACTTCCTGATGTGTAGAAATCAGTTGTTTGATAAGCAATGTGCATACATACATAGGTCCATGTACCTGTATTGCGCATTGCGCTATCCCTGCTGCGTTAAGACCAGTCATTGTGGGAATATGAGCTTGTACGTCGGTCAAGTGTGCCGAGAAATACGTACTCGTGGATTTTCAGAGTACGCATCGCGGATACGCAACTGGTATGCAAAACGCAATACGCACGTCAAAAACGGACACATGGATTGTCAGCCTAAAGCCTATCAAATTTGGCCAGCAGTCTGGGCTATAGAGTAGGCAGTAGTGCTATATATTTGTAGATTTCGCCGTGGGTGCAGAGTCGAAAATGAAGGGAAAAGGAAAAAGTGTAAAGCCACATCAGAATGAAGTGGCTACGGCTAATACATTAGTTGCATCTATGGAAGCAGATGAAGCCACTTCCCATGTGGGCTAGTGTTAGCCGTAGCCATGTCATTCAGACATGGCTAATGCTCACTAACAGAAGGGTTAACCAGGGTTACTGGAAATTACATTCTCATATACAGTGGAACGTTGCTATACCAAACACCGCTATTTTGAAATATATTATCCCAGATTTCTAAAGCTCGGTAGTCATTTTTTTTGAAAATCAAAACTGGATTAGAGTTCACTTTGTCATTTTGCAGTTTTGGTTTTGTTTTGGTTTTGATGCTAGCTTGTGCATGTTACTTCCTTTATTTTGTTTGGCATTTCACAGGAACGTCCTCATGAAACTTGCATGTTTTGTTTTTAAACATCCTGCTTGGAACACTAACAGCATGTCATAGAACAAACGTAGCCAGCATTTTCACTTTGCCTGCATGTTTAAGCCAGCTGCTATGTTTTCTTGATTGGAGATTATCATTCCATTTTCATTTCATTTTTTTTCAGTTTATTTTAAGCACATCCAAATCAAGCAACAGTCCAAAGACCAAAAATGTCTGTTTTACTGGGTGATGAAATACGACAATTTATGTTATCAATAAAACCTAAACAATATTCAAAAAGAAAAGAAAATTGCTTTGGAAGATGATCAGATTGACCCCAAAATGGTAAACTTTAAGAGTGCTTTTAGTTTTAACATCAAAAGACATATTGTGTTACAAGTTTTAGAATGTAATTTGTAACTGTTGTAAATTATTGTCTACTAAAGAAGGACAATTACTGGCAAAGAGTTAATGTCGGTTGTAGTTGATTCTGTCAGAAATAACATGAATTTGTATATATGGAGGTATCATGAATATTCATTACATCTCATACATATTTATGAGCCTGTTTGCGCATTTTGTTGGTCAATATTCAATTGCATTGATGAAAAAAATTGACCCAAATCATTTTTGCGTGGACTCAAACTTGGAAAAGTGTAGATAAGTGACTTTTCCGAGGACGAAATTGAGAATGTCTAAGTGTTAAATATGTGTGAGTTGTAATAAGTACGGAACTTTGTTATGCAGCTGATTTCACAAAACAGTGCGTAACTTACGCCATGCGTAGGACTTACACGCAACAAACTTATTGCGCGGCCACGCAATGAACTTACGATCAATTTCACGAAAGTTGACGTTCATGGGCCACGTTTTAAACAATCTAAACATCTTGGACGAGGATAATAACAGCATTTCATGGAAGAAATGTTTGTGTATGATTTGTTCGTTCGTGAAGCAGTTGTTGAATCACTTCCGCCCGCCATTTTGGAAAAAAAACCTGGATTAATACAAAAAAATCTTAAAAAGCAATCAAATTTAATAGACGAATGAAGTATACAAAATGTAGCTCCATGGAATGCCATTGGAAGCTATTGAGCTGAGTGAGAATTACAGATTACACACAGGCATTCAAATACAAATGACATTTCAATCATTTGAGTCAAGACTGAAACAGTATTTTTACTGTCAGATTTTGTGTTTCGATTACGAGGAACAAGTCCACTCTTTTTTTCTGAAATATTGATGGCGATTTTTGTCCGTTTTTCCATTCATTCATGGAGGTGGGAAAACGTTTATGTTTCATGGTATTTAATGGGTATTTATTTGTTTGTAGAATGATAATTATCAGTGGTGGACAACTGAATGTTGGATCATTGTATCAAAATATTCATTACTTGGGAATAGAGTATGCAAATTACGTGAAATTTTCACAGTTACTAGTCAATAACAAGTACTTTACCCCTATTTATATTAAACAGAGCGAGCCACATATTTTTTGAAATATGTTTCTAATTTGGTCACTTTTTTTATGACTCATTGTGTACATGGTGATGGAGTAACTCTAACTCCCTAGCATGATGTACCAGGAACCATACCCATCCTGGCAAATTCCAACACCATATGGGAAACTGCTCACACATATTTCTGACTTTGATTCTGGAGGTGTGCCAACCCAATGTAAAAGACTGTCAGTTTAAGGGTACTGTACCCATCCTGACGGATTCCCACTAAACATGCAGTTGGGGTTTGATGGTTGAGTTCTGTTAGGGTTAATGCATGCTTGCATGATGCAACAATTATACTACATTTCCACACCAGGAAAATACTGGCATCTTGGATAATTCTGAGCCAATATTTCTGACTTTTGTTCTCATCAATCTTGTTTTTGTTTGTGTTGCAGGAAGCACAATTCCTGAAGAAGAAATCCAGTTTGCAGAAGAGAAGTTTCACGAATCTCAGGAGCTTGCTGAGAACGGGATGAGGAACCTCCTTGAGAGTGATGTAAGTACCTGACAAATCGGAGCAAAGATGAGCCAAGATGCACTAGAGCATCTTACTACTCAATCAGATACCACTCATTGAGTCTCAAGAACAAGTTTTCACTTTATATTTCTGCACATTTATTTTGATATTTCTCTCAGTTCAACCATGGAAGAATAATTTATACCGATATTGTATGGGTGAAGAGATTGACGGTTTCCTTTTTAATTCTGTTGTGTAAGATATTCTTTAAATTGCCATGTAATTTAATTGTTTTAATGCAATCCTTGAAAATGCACCTTGTTTTCTTTAACAGGTTGAGCAGGTGTTACAGCTTCAAGCGTTAGCCGAGGCACAGCTAGAATACCACAAACAGTCTGCGGAGGTCTTGGAAAGCCTTCTGTCAACACTCAATGAAAGGTATGCCAACAGGGGAAATCTGCCCCCCCCCCCCACTCACAAGTGTCCATGTTTGATAATCAAAAAAAAAAACGAAGAGAAGTAGGGGTTACTTTTTTTCTAAATCGATGCTTCTCGTCATCAACGGATTTGTGAAACTTAAATCAGAAAGAAATATAAAAGGTTAAACAACCCTAACATCAGAGGTCCAGAACATACACCCCACCCACCCCATCCCCCCATCCCTCCATCCCCACCCCCACCCACACCCCCACCCCCTCACCTTCTAAAATTTGTATCCTTGTGGAGACGTTTCTTTGTTCTCGTGTAGTAAAGTGTTCGATTTTGAAAGTGAAGTTTCAAAACGCTCTTATTTTAACCAAAATGAGTTTCCTTGGCTGAAATTTGGACTTGATATCCCTTTTCTCAAACTCTTCCATTTGCGACAGATCAACCACACCCCCACCTACACCCCACATCCCCACCTACACCCTTGACTTGTGATGACTTTTCTTGTGCTGGACTTGTGATGGACTTGTGATTGACTTGGGATTGACTTGTGATTGACTTGTGATGGACTTGTCATTGACTTGTGATTGACTTGTGATGGACTTGTGATGACTTGTGATGGACTTGGGATGGACTTGTGATGGCCTTGTGACTGACTTGTGATTGACTTGTGATGGACTTGTCATTGACTTGTGATGACTTGTGACTGACTTGTGATTGACTTGTGATGGACTTGTCATTGACTTGTGACGACTTGTGATGACTTGTGATTGACTTGTGATGGCCTTGTGATGGCCTTGTGATGGACTTGTCATTGACTTGTGATGGCCTTGTGATGGCCTTGTGATGACTTGTGATGACTTGTGATTGACTTGTGATGACTTGTGACTGACTTGTGATGGACTTGTCATTGACTTGTGATGACTTGTCATTGACTTGTGATGACTTGTGATTGACTTGTGATGACTTGTGATGACTTGTGATTGACTTGTGATGACTTGTGATGGCCTTGCGATGGCCTTGTGACTGACTGACTATAATACCCAAACTTGTCAGTTACCATCCTTCTCAATGTTCTGTGATGCTTTCCAGGGTTGAGGAGGCAGGCAGTCGACCCAAATCAGAACGCAAACCCAGAAGTACTTTCAACTCTTACTCCACGAAGAGAGACTCCAGTGACGGAGACGACACCGACGCGTACCCGTCAACGGTGGATTACAACGCACCAGGTAAGTCAACAGGGATCTCATGCTCCAGCTCAGCACACAGTTTGCTTAAGGTTGCAGGCCAGTAAATAGGCCCCAAATTGCCTTCCCTGGCCAAATCACCATTTGAATGTCCTCAATTTGTTTGCTACATGTATTGGAGCATTTTGTGGGCCGTGAACTTGAGGGTTTGTAAAACAAGAAGGGTCCATGCCGTGATGAGGACGAAATTTGGATGAAATTACCGTAGTCCCTAAATTTGCTCTATTTTGCAATGGAGCATAGGCATCGTTTTCAAAATGGCGATGGACTTCAGGACTACTTTCAGGGGTAATCATCTTTGGATGGAATTTTCTCCCAAAACTCATTGGATTACCCACCGAAACTTGATGAAATGAAAGATGATGAAATGAGCTTTAATTTGATGTGTGCCTCAAGCACCTTTAGAGACGTGTGAGTATTTGTCCTGATCTTTAGAAGTGGAAGTATTTATCACTGAGGTTTATGGCAGTTTATTCGCTGGTTTGCAACCTATAGGCTTTCAAACCGGACAGAAAATATTGCTCAGTAAAAACAGGTCACCAACTAACCATCATGTCAACTGTCATGTGATGTATATTAGTTGTAACTGGTACCTTGCAGATTTTTGCAAACTGAACAAATTCTTCAACTGATTTTGTACTATTTCCAATTTCTCAGTACCAGTAACGGCAACGAAGGAACGCTGCAAGGCACTGTACGACTTTGAGGCAGAAAACGAGGGCGAACTGGGGTTTCAGGAGGGCGACATCATCAGCATCGTCAGTAAGATCGACGAGAATTGGATCGATGGAGAGTTAAACGGTCACACGGGATACTTCCCGGCTAACTACGTGGAAATTATCTAACCGGTTTAATCATGGTAGGTGGTAGCGTTACTTATAGTGTTGCAGTTTGTACTTTGTCATCGTGTGGTTGAGTATGAGCGTGAGTTCTTTGCGATGAGTACACGTACAAGTACTTTGTCATCCTGAGTTTGAGTACGAGTACGTTGCCATGGGCACAAGGACACATTGAAGTACTTTGTCATCATGAATTCAAATACAAATACGAGTACTTTGCCTTGAGTACTAGTACGAGTACGCATATTCTGGCATGACAAGTATGAGTATGAGTACTTTGTCTGAGTATGAGTCATTTCTATCAGTATGAGTACTACAATACTGGTTACTCACAATGGAACTCTGTGTACAGTGAACAGATACATTGAATAGCGCCCTCTGGAGAGTGGTCCTATGTATATCAGCATAATGTCAATTGTGTATTTTTTTTTTTTTTTTTTAATTCCATCATATTAAGCTATGTATTTCCATAGACGAGATCTCTTAATTGTTAGTTCTTTTGTAAGCCTTGGCAGTCTGGTGTTTTCTTTCTTGAAACAACTAAGAATATGTCTTCCCTTTGATTATACCAAATGAGAAATTACCGGTCTGTTGGTGTTTAAAAGGAGGCATTATACAACTTAGAACTCTTGAAAAGTTCCCCAGATTCAGTGAATTCCCAATGATGAGGCTACGGCTAGAAAGTACAGTAGTCTATGGGAAGTGACCTCAGCCGCTTTCCATAGACGTGGCTACGGCTAGGAAGTACAGGAGTCTATGGCAAGTGACCTCAGCCGCTTTCCATAGACATGGCTACGGCTAGGAAGTACAGGAGTCTATGGGAAGTGACCTCAGCCGCTTTCCATAGACGTGGCTACGGCTAGGAAGTACAGGAGTCTATGGGAAGTGACCTCAGCCGCTTTCCATAGACGTGGCTACGGCTAGGAAGTACAGGAGTCTATGGGAAGTGACCTCAGCCGTTTTCCATAGACGTGGCTATGGCTAGGAAGTACAGGAGTCTATGGGAAGTGACCTCAGCCGCTTTCCATAGACGTGGCTACGGCTAGGAAGTACAGGAGTCTATGGGAAGTGACCTCAGCCGCTTTCCATAGACGTGTGTGTGATTGCAAGCCGTAGTCAAGTAATTTGAACACAGCCTTGGTCAAGGCTTGCTCAAGAGTAGTCTGGTGCCGTTTGCAGCACAATGGGGAAAATACTAGGTTGCCATCAGGAACTAGCATTTCCATTGACATGTAATTTGTTTGATACAGAACAAGGATAGCCGTGTCTGAATTACTCAGCTATGGCTCATGTGTAATATCAAGCCGTAGTCGTAGCCCAGTAATTCAGACATGGCTAATTATTCCAATTTTAAAGACGCTCCTTAACACACAGGAACTGAACAATTTAAGAATAATTTCATGATATTATAATTCATTATATCATAATTATACAAATACCGAATGTTACATTACTTGAATATTATGTATAAATGGAGCTAAAATAATCCTTGCATACCTTTTATCTATTTTATAACGGAAATCTTAACAAGCAACTGATCATTGTGGTGTTTGTTTTTTTCAATCGTAGAGAAAATTAGAATTGTTTTCTGTTTCGGTAGACGTAGTTTATGTATCATATATAAATAAATAACCTATTTTTGTACAGAACTTAGCTGTGGAGAATGGTTCACACTACAATGTCTGATAGGGAAAAGAGTGGGAAAGTTATCATAGATGTCCAGATTTCAGAGATTATAGAGCAAACTTTTGTGTCGACTAGACAGGGTTGAACTTTGGGCATTTCATTTGAGAGTTGCCAGTTCAATCTTGCATTGATATGTTTGTCTTAATAAGAAAAGTACTTTATATTTTGGGTTGAAGCTAAAACTGTCTCAAGTCGAGATTGATGGTCTTTATTTTACTAGTATCTTTTTTTGTTTACTTGTGTAGTTATATCCCTGAACTTTATGTACAGTTGACACTCAATGTATAAAGGCAGTAGGGAAATCAATCCCTATTTTTCCTTTTCTGGATGGCATTTGTGAGAAACGTGTTTAACCCGAGATGAAAACCCAAGGTAGTAGTAATGGTACGCTTTTGGAAAGAATGCAGTATCCAGACGCTACTTCTTTGGCTATGCACAAAGTCTATGGAGAGTCTAAGACCACTTTCTAACAAAATTGGGCTCACGTTTCTCAGTCCCAGATTCATGTCTTTTCGACATTTTTGCAGTGACTAATTCATTGAGATAATATATGAGGAAAAAATGACATCAGGATGCAACAGTCTTTCCCATATTTCTCTCGGAGTGAAATTTCTTTTCTTTTCTTTACACCTGAGACTCTAACAGAGAAAAATCTATTCAAACTTTTTTTTTCAATGTAAGTGTATTTTTTTTTCACTCTGAATGATCTGGTGCCTACTTTTAGTGGGCGACAGAGTGATTTGTCGAACTTAAAAGTAAGAATGTTTTTGCAGTTTTTCTGCAAGGTGTGCGTGTATAAGAGATCCCTAACTTGTAAGTTCCTAACAATTATGCATAACTACTCATGATGCATGTACCTTGATGTAAGTTCAGTCTGTCACAAGCCAATGTGGCCCATCAGGCTGGCATTTATCTCCAGTTTCAGTAGCATGAAACAAGAATATTTCTACTCCCCCTGGATGGGATGCTAGTCCATCTCAGGTTACTCCCCAGCTAATGCTGGAACCATTTATACTCCTGGGTGGAGAGAGGCAAGTGGGGTAAAGTGGCTTGCCCAAGGACACAGCATATGGCCAGCAGCTGGATTCGAACCCTAATGTGTCCTTCAACAAAAATCTGTTGAGATTTGTTGGGTTTCAATAATAATTTCAGTGACAGTTAAATCTTCTTTGTAAACATGTCCAATTTTTCATTCTCGAAGATTCATATAATTGTCAGCGTGGTTACGTAGTAAATAATTTTGTACATGTGTACTTTACATGTATTGTCTCTTACATCAAAAATGTTACATAGTGACTTGAAACAATGAGAATCCAATGATTAGAAATTAATGTGTGGTCGACTAATTTGAGTGTTTATGTTTCATTTTAGTATTTTGTTGACTACTTCTTTTTCATGTTTTTATTTATTTATTTTTTCATTTGATGTGACCCTAATATGAAAATGAAAATTAAGAAAAGGAATTGTCCAGATTTTGTTTTCATGTTGTACATGGATTGGCTCGTCCCAATTTGACGCTGGTTTTGGAGGACTCTTGTAATGGCTAACACTAGTTCTCGACTTCCTAGTCAGTTCATTGGTCAACTGCACCCTGTTGGATTTGAATGGGTTTTGGAAGCACCTGTAAAAATGCGAAGGTTTCAGAGAAAACCATCTGGAAACATTTTCATTTTGTAATTTTAATTATTGATTTTAATTTGTTGTATGATATTGGAAACTATTGGGTTTCTTCAGTTGAAAATTGATTAAACTTTGTGGATCATTACAAAGGAGAAATTCCCTTTATTTTTTTGAATTTCAAATCGAACTTGTAAATGGAAATAAATTCCATTGTAAATGGTGATCGTGGATGTAGCAAACCGAGTCATTAAGCCGCGCCCACTGCCATGTGAACACTAGCAACGCGTGACCCACTCAACCAATGCTGCAATGCGTGTTCAAGACGCGCGCGTCGTACGCAAATGCACGCGTGTCAGACCACATTAAATCACGGCTGTGTTGGTCAGAATATCATGGGGCGGGGTTTAAGTGGATCAGTTTATTATTTTTGCTGGGTGGGATCGTTGCCTTCCAGTGAAATTGAAATAACCTACATGTATTTCCATTTATGAACGAAGGTCATAACCTCAGTTTGTTTATTTTAACACCAAATTCAAACTTGTGGAAAGTCCCAAGTTTCACTATTCCCGTTTTTACCCAAAATTATAAACAAAAGCAAATGCTAGGGGTTAAACTGATTCTTTTTTACTTAAACAAGGCCAATAAAATGAAATATCTGCAAACGAAAATAATGAACTTTCGGTGAGACGACCAGCGTAAATCAACACAAAAATACTCAATTTCTACACTTAATTCTAAGATTAGAATTTATTTTACCGATTTATGTCAAAAACGGAGAAAAAATTGCCAAATTTAACTAAACTTAATTTTCTTTCAAGAGAGGGCGCGCTACACAAATAGTGGTCACCATCGTAAAGAATGTTCTGTCTTTAAACTGAAAGCATGAATGCAACTTTCATAGTTCAAAAACAACACACTCGTTTTCCAGACGATAACTCAAGAAATGCGTGTTGCATTGAATCGATATTTCGTATTGTGATTAAAGGTAACATATATCACAAATCTGTTGAATTTGGAGTGGGATCGTCCGACAATAAAAACAATATAACCAAAATAATGTACTGGGGAAACACGGAGAAAATCCCGCCAATTTATGTCATTTTTTTTTCTTTCACAAGAGGGCGCGCTATTGGTCACCACTGTACTGTGTACGTAAGTACAAAAGTATTGTCAACACGAAAAACCATGCCTCAAGTTCATGACACAAAAACGCTCTCGGTTTGACGATTCCTCACTAAATTCAACAGATTTGTTCAATCATCTGTATGTTTAATCAATTTATTAAATGTCGATTTCATGCAAATATGTATTTCTTGAGTTATCTTCTGGAAACCGAGTTGTTTTTGTGTCATGAAAGTTGACTAAAATCTCCAGTTATTTGTAGCAAGCTAGTTCTTTAACACACTACATTTCCGGAGTATATTAATTATATTTTTGACGGTTTCTCTCCAAATTCGCAAGTGATGTGTTGTTTATGATAACTTATCAGGAGATTTGATTTCAGTCCAATACAACAAGCATTTCTTGAAAAGTCGTCTCAACAACGAGTGTGTTGTTTTTGTTCCATAAACATTGACTCAAATTCGCCTGGTATTTTGCGCGCTTACATGCCACATTGTCTTGTGTATATTTTTATTATTGGTCAACAATTGATATCCAAATTCAAGAGATTTGATACATATATCAGGTTGAATCGTTATGCAATATTTCAATTTAATGCACTAAGTACTTCTTGAGTTATCTTCTCGAAACCGATTGCATTGCTTTTTGTCATGAAAGTTGACTCAAGATCGCCAGTATCTTGAGCGCTTTGGTTTGTAAAACTGTACGCATGCAGTACTGACATGCGTGAAATGTTTTGGTTAAATATGATTGTTTTAGTTTGTGTAACAAAAATGCTCTGCAACTAGTTCAAGAATAATACCATAGTCAGTGATAACTCTGTGTTAAGTTAAATTCATGTACATGTAGACTGTTACTTTGGAGTTGAAAGAAATAAAATTTCAACTGCTTTTCAGGAAACACTGTGTTATTTCCAAACTTGTCTCTCCCATAGTTTTGAATTTCTTGATCCAATCATGGAGGAATAAACAATTAAACAAAAAGAATATTTATATTTTTAATTATATTTTATTCTGAAAACAACACTTCCATTTTTCTAACATAAGTTCAGTCAATTTATGTCTCGGGAATGTAAAAAAAAAAAAAAGGGAAGAAAATTAAGTAACAATAAAATAATGTGGGACTCGAACCTGAGTCGCCTGATTGGGAGTCCTACGCCGGTCCACAAGACCATTAACGCACTCAAATGCTCAACCAGTTCTACTTAATTAACTGTAAGATAGGCTTATCGTGGCTTTTCACGTTGACGCCCATGCACGCTTAGACGTAAAATACAGTCTGACGATGTTAAACATTCGTTTGATTTTGGGTGTA